GGAGAGCCGATGCGGATCACACCGACGTCGCTCTACTTGGCCACAATCTTCTCAGAGGCAACGGCGTGCGGGATTGCGGAAACAGAGAGCGGCTCGACGAGCGAGGCGAGCGGCCGAGCGCAGTACAGTAGCGCCGGTGCCAAGTCAAGCGAGGGAGCGAGGAAAGCATTCAGGAAGAAATCGCGGTGACCGTGCAGACCCGCACCGCGCGGACGGGCGCGCAGAGTCTGGCGCAAAGTGGCCGAGGCAGAAGGGCGACCGACGAGCAGAAAATGACAGCGATCACAGACCAACACCTGCACTGTGCTCCCGTGCCCAGCGCCAGAGTGCCGAAAGGATGACAGCGCGGGTGAGCCAAAGCCGAGGTGCAGCTGCAACGAAAGCGCAGAGCCTTGCAGCAGCAGCAGCCTCGCAGCAGCGGAGGCAGCCGCAACCCTGCGTGCTGTGCGTGCTGTAGCTGCGCCCAATGAGAGGGCACAGACAGTGAAAAATAAGCATCGACGAAAGTTGCCGCACACGCCAACGCTGCCAACACGCTGCGAGAAGAACACTCAAACGCGCGGCGAGTGAGCAACGCGAGCAACACCTCCGTGCGGGCGCGGATCGATAGGGCCTCCTCCTCGAATCAACCTTACTTTCCGAAATCGGCGTCGTAAATTCACCATCTCCCGATTTAAGCTCAAAACATGCACTCGCGCGAAAAGATTACGCCGACTCGAGACGGAGGACCGGAGGAGCGGTCCGGAGTGGCATGGGCGGAGGTGCGAAAAAGGCTCCTCCTCGGCGAAATAGTTGGCCATCGGCTCCCCCGCGGGTGGAGAAGCTCTCCACGTCTGAGGCCCTGGTCAAAGCGCCAACTCTACCGGCACACAAAGGCGGGCAGCTAGCTGCTGCTGCTGCCGTTGGCGAAAGGACGCAAGCTCCACGGCCGTACCGACGTCGTGTGCCTGAACCCATCTGCCCCACCCTGCACACCGAGTGAGAGGGGCGTGTGTGGCGTGTGTGCACTGATGCCCCACGTTCATCTGTCGCCCATCCAACGCATTTGCTCGGCTCAGCTCTCGGAGCTTCTTCGCTGAATATAAGCAGTCCACGTAGATCCTCGAATCTCATCTTTCCTCAACCACCTACATCTTTGCTCCTCCAAGTCGTCTCTTCTGTCGCCATCATGTCCAAGCCCCAGGTCCTTGTTTGTGGCACCATCGTCCACGCTCACGACGAGCTCAAGAACGACCTTGGCTCCGTCGCCGAGATCCTCGTAAGTGCCGCCATGGCTTGCTCGGAGCACCTTCTCGCTTTGTGCGCGCGCTGACCTTTAGATCCTCTCGTTCTCTCTCTACCTCGTTGCGGCGTGCAGCACCTCGACACTCCCTCGCGTGCCGAGTTTGTCAAGGCGACCGCGGACGGCGGCAAGTACGCCAACATCGTTGCCATCTACCGCCACAACGACTCTGCGGACAAGATCGGCGTGTTTGACGCCGAGCTCATCAACGCCCTGCCTGCTTCGCTCAAGTTCATCTGCCACAACGGTGCCGGGTACGACCAGATCGATGTGCACGCTGCCAAGGCGCGCGGCATCCTTGTCTCGCACACCCCTGCTGCGGTCGACGATGCGACGGCCGATACGGCCATGTTCCTGGTGCTCTCCAGCTTGCGTCAGTACTACCGTGCCGAGGTGAACGCCCGCAGTGGCAAGTGGAAGTCGGGTCTCAAGCCCGCGCACGACCCGGAGAACAAGGTGCTCGGCATCATCGGTATGGGCGGTATCGGCTCGGCGCTCGCCAAGCGTGCCGCCGCGTTCGACATGAAGATCATCTACTACAACCGTAACCCCAACCCGAACGCCGACGCCTCGTACACCTACGTCAAGTCGCAACAAGAGCTCCTCGCCCAGGCCGATGTCGTCTCGCTCAACCTGCCTCTCAACAAGGAGACCGAAAAGAGCTTCGGCAAGACGCAGTTCGACCAGATGAAGGACGGTGCCGTCCTCGTCAACACTGCGCGTGGTGGCGTTGTCGACGAGGAGGCCCTCATTGACGCCCTCAACTCTGGAAAGCTCTCGAGCGCAGGTCTCGACGTCTACCCCGCCGAACCCAAGATCGACGAGCGCCTCGTCAAGATGGACAACTGCATCCTCCTCCCGCACATGGGCACCGAGACCGTCGAGACGCAGAAGAAGATGGAGGTCCAGGTGTTCGGATCCATCAAGACCGCCCTGCAGTCCGGAAAGCCGTCGTTCATCGTCAAGGAGCACAAGTAGAATCTCTCTCCTCACCCCCAAAAATTTCTTCCGCCTCGCTCCTGAATCTTGCATACGTATACATGGTCACCAATCGTCTCAATCTGCCTGGCCGCGCTGCTCTTTAGTGTGAAACGCGATCAACACGATGAGATTGCAAATTGCTAGGTGTGCAAGGCAGTCTAGTTTTCCTTGTTCTCGCAGCTCGTATGCGAAGCGGGTGCCGTTCGGGCCGATCCGACAAACACTGCCGACGTGCGTGGCTTGAATCCGAACCCACCGCTGGCTGGCGTCCGCGCCGTGGCCGTGGGTCTGCCCGACGCCGGAGCAGCGATTTTGGACGCCGTCACCACCTTCGACGAGGCAAGAGGAGTGCGCAGCGCGTCCGCCTCGGTAGCGTTTGCGGCTCGCTCCACTAGGGCTTCTGCTCTCGCCGACGTCCGCACTCTCGAAGCCTCGACAGCTGCAGGTCGAACACTCCTCGGCGTGGTCAGTAGCGATGACCTCGCCGCCACAGCAGGAGCGGCCGTGCCGATGCGGCTCATACTCGCGCGCGGAACCAGCGTCCTTGCCCTCGCGCCCGGAGCTGCGGGCGTCGCATCGCCGGATGCATCCAGGCCTTGCGGCTGCGATGCGCTCTTCCGCATGCCACCCAGCGGCGTTGCCTCGGCCTGTACACTGCGCGCCGATGCCCTTGCTGAGGGTGTGATGAGCGATGCGGACCGGATCTGCCCCACGCGCGGCGCTGGCGTCTTGGCCTCCTCCGCCTGCACCGGCACTAGCGACACGCGCCCGGTCAGCGAGGCCCGAGGTCGCGGAATCGATCCCACGATGCTCGGAGCTGCGGCCGCACGTGGGGTAGCTCCGGTCAACGACGCGCGCGGTTTGACGATGCGTGCTGGGGCGGTTGGTGTCTTGAGCGAAGGCGAGTTGGACGCGACCCTCGCCACGGGGGCTGGGCGCGAGCGACCAGGGGTGGTGGCGACGAGCGAGGGCACAGGCGGAAGCGGCTGCGGCACGGGCACACCCGCAGCTGCCGCGAGCGACTCCCTGCGACGTGCGGGCCCGGAGACGGGCGGGCGCGAGCTGGTGAATGTGCTCTTGCGTCGGCTGCGCATGGGCGTCTTTGCATCGCTGCCCGGCTCATCCGCACTGCCGCCCAGCATCGATGCTCGCGTCGACGTGGTCGAGCGGGCGGGCGAGCTGAGAGAGACCACGGAAGAGGTGCTCCCAGATCGGACCAAGCGCCCCTCACCGTTCGTGGCAGGCTTGATCGCCACCGCCGACGAGCGCGGCTTGGCGAGGCGCGAAGCAGCTACTGGTGTAGTGAGCGAAGCGCGGGGCGCCGCTCGTGCGGCTGGCACGGCAGGGGCTGCCCTGCTCGCCGTAGCTGGAGCAGGAGTTCGTCCGACCAAGCGACTGGGCGTCTTATCTGCCAAGGTCGAGACGCGAGTCTGTTGCGCCTTGCGCGCCGCCTCGGCGGCCCACCTCTGCACATCGCGCGCCTCGCGCTCGTAGTCCTCGTTTTCATCATCGTCATCATCTTCCTCGTCATCCTTGCTAGCACGTGCACCCCCTCGCACCTTGGCCGGCACTTGCTGCTTCTCGCCTCGAGCGGGGGAGCGCGACTGAGAGATGGAGAACGAGTTGTTGCCAAACAGCAAAGACGCCTCTCCGCTCTCGTCCATAAGGTTGCCCAGCACGAGACTCGAGTTGCCCATGAAGGAACCGGTGAGGTTGAGCTCGATCGTGTCGTCGCCTGCGGCGTTCTTCACCACGCGGCCCACGCCGAGGTTGCGCAACCCCAGCGAATTGGAATCCGTCTGCGAGGCTGTGCGCGGCTTGAACTCGGCCGCCGCGTCTTCCGGGACGGCGCTGAAGCGAGGCTTTGCCCGCAGCGCACCGAGCTTAGCGGGCGAGCTTCTGTGCCTGGGCCCAGGAGCGGCTGTGGATGCGGATCGGATGCGTGCTTTGGCGCGGGAGACATCGAAGCTGTCGTCGATGGTGACGTCTGCGGCTGTGTTGGCAGCAGCAGCGAGGAAACTGGCGTCCTGGTTGAAGAGGAGCTCCTGCGTGCCGGTGGTGTCAAGGACGAGGCTGAGGTCCGAGAGCTTGGCGCTCGGGCTGGACGGAGCTGCGAGCCACGACCGCCCAGCATGCTGGCCCGAGGCAGAAGACGTAGGCGCAGGAGACAAAGGCGTCGATGCTTTCTTGTCCTCGTTCGTGGTCAGATGCCCGGGGCCAGGCGAGGAAGATCGAATGACGATGGGACAACGTAGTGGCGATCGGGAAGCCGCCGAGTCGGTCGAGTCGACCTTGGACGGAGAGCTGGATGCGCCAAACAGTCCGGACCCACTCTTGGATGGCGAGGTGAGCAGGTGGTTGGATGCCTTGCGCGGCGACTTGGTCGGCGAGCTGACAGGCGGTGGCATCTTGATCGAGTCAAACATGGCTGCGAGTGCGGCTTTTTCGGGTGACATCGGCTTGGTTGCAGCTGCATCGTTGGTCAGGTTGACAGCCTTACGAGCTGGCGATAGCAGCAGCGTGTCGGTAGCGCTGGATCCAGCAGTCGGCTGATCCGATCTTTCGCTGGGCTGTTGGATGGAAACGTCGGCCAGCGAGCTCGGGTCGGAAGGACCAACGAGCACTGCCTGAATGGAAGCGTCTGGACTGGTCGGGAGTGGCACGGCCATCGGCTCGACCGACATCGCAAGGTCCGAGGTCGAGGATGCCATTGTCCTTGAGTGTAAAGGAACGAGATAGTTGATGCTGAGATGGAGGAAGAGCGAGCAAGCAAGGGTGCCAAATGCAAGGCTGCGGTCCAGAGGCGTGCATCTGGCGGGCTCGAAAAACACCCGAGGCCAGTCCAACACTGCAGCTGCAGCAGCGTAAGAGCGAGGCAGGGCGCGAATCAACTCTACCCGCGAGCGTCTCCACGTGATTTTTGCAAGAGCCTGGCCCGATGGGTTTTTGGCCACCCGATGCGACCCTGCCGTGCAGAAGTGGAGGTCTGTCAGCCGAAAAAGTGCGGAGAAATGCGCAGCTCTGCAGACCCTGGCTGAGCCACACGCCTAGCCATGCATCCTTCCACGCTCAGCCTGCCCGCCTTGCCAACGGCTCACCATATCGGACCTTAACTTCTTTCGAACACATCAACATCACCACCATGACCACATAGCAGCAAACATGTGCGGACGATTTGCAAACGCGCAGCCCATTCCGCAATACCGCGCCGCCGTGCGCGAACAGCTCCCTGACCGACGCGATCCTACACCCGCCCCGGACGCCGACGACTACACTCCTTCCCACAATGTCGCGCCGCAAACCAGATGTCCTGTAGTACGTAGGGAGCTCTCTTGGGAGCGCGAGCGTCGTCTGCGCAAAACGACCAATCCGACGCCGCAAGATCGCCAGTTCCAGATGATCATCCAGACCATGAAGTGGGGCCTCATCCCGCGCTTCCACAAGACGCCCCCGAGCTACGGCGAGGCGTACAAGACGATCAATGCACGCGACGATACCATCCTCTCGCCTCAGCGCTCCATGTGGCATTCTCTGTTGCCAGCTCAGCGCTGCGTCGTCTTTGTTCAGGGCTTCTTCGAATGGCAGAAACGCGGCGCCGAGGGAGACAAGGTCGAGCGCATTCCACACTTTGTAGGCATGACCGAGCCTGGTCTTGGGCGTGCCGACAAGCTCGGTCACGAAAAGCGCCTCATGCCTCTCGCTGGTCTTTGGGAACGAGTCCGATTCGAGGGCGAAGATAAGCCGCTCTACACGTTCACCATCGTGACGACGGCGAGCAACGACCAGCTGGGCTTCTTGCACGACCGCATGCCGGTCATCCTACCCACGAAAGAGGCGATCGCGACGTGGCTCGGCTTGGGTGCGGAATCCAAGTCCGATGCGCAGGTCAAAGACGGGATGAATGTGGACGACTCTTGGAGCACGGAGGTAGCCAAGCTGTTGCGGCCATTGCAGGGAGAGCTGGAGTGCTACAAGGTGCCCAAGGAGGTTGGCAAAGTCGGCAATAGCGACCCGAGCTTTCTTCTGCCTGTCGAGGAGAGGAAGGATGGATTGAAGGCGTTTTTCGCAAAGCAAAAGCAGGCAAAGCCTGACTCTCACTCGGCGGATCCGGACGCAGAGAAGGCGGAATCGTCAAAACGCACAACTGGTAACGATGTGACCTCCTCAGGCAAGACTGAAGAGTCGGACACGGTTTCGCAAGATACGGTGGCGATCATGGCGACAGAGCAAGCGGAGGAAGAAGCGGCACTCGTCGAGGCGGCTGCTCGAGCGGAACAGGAAGAGGCTGACCGCAAGCTAGCCGAACAGATGCAGCGCGACTTGGAGCACGACTCGAGCTCGCACGAATCTGTCGTCGATGCAGGCGAGTCCTCGCGTGCCAGCTCTCGGGCCACTTCCGTCGTTGTCGTAGACGACGATGACTCGGTCGAGGCAGACGAGGTTGGCGATGGCTTTGGTGTTCCCGAACACGGATCCCGCGAAGACTCGTCGGATCGAGCGAGCAAGCGCCCGCGCGTGGAGCCTTCATCGCGCTTTTCGCCTGATCCGTACAACCCACCCGTCTCGCCACCACGACCACGCGGAGGATACAGCCGCAAGCTATCGCCTGCAAGTGGAGGCGGCATCCACGTCACACCCCCACGCAGGAAGAAGGGATCACGTCCGCACGAGCCTTTCCCACAAGCTCCACCACACACCTGGTCTTCACCCAAGAAAGAGCATGGGAGGGGAGATATTGGCGATATGCTCAAACAACAGGCTGCGAAACAGCCGCGCTCTCCATCCAAAGCGAATGAAGCTAGCAGTGGCGGGGCGAGGAGAAAGGATGCGGCCAAAGGCGCCGATATCAGAGCATTCTTCTCACCCACTAAGCCGACTTCTCCATCCAAGTAGTCACAGCCTGTATCGTCACATTCTGGCAAGACAATTGATCCGAATCCAGCTTCATTGCTCTTAGCCTTGCTGGCCACCTTGGGTGCTGCCTGGGCCTGGTTTGCGCACGGCGACGGGGGCGCCTGCGGCGCGCGGTTTCTTGGCGCCGCCCTGCTGCGCGTCTGGCTGTGCGGTGGCGAGGCCCTGTGCGGAGAGCTTGCGTTTGGCGCCGGCCTGGGCGGCGCCGCCGCGTGCGATGCGTGTGCCGCCCCGGCCTGCCGACGCCGCGCCGCGGATCGAGGCGACGGTCGTGGGCGTCCCGGCGGCCGGGCCAGTGGGGATGGGCCGCGCGACGGGGCGCGCTGTAGCGGTGCCTGCCGCGCCACCGCGCGCAGCGCCACGGCCAGCCTGTGCACCGCCGCGTCCAAACACGCCCGGCTTGGTCGGTAGCGTCGACGCCGAAGCAGGACCCGTAGGCGGTGCTGCGCCGCCCGCGGGGGTCGCCGGCTCCTCGCCCTTGAGCGCGGCGATCTCGGCGGTGAGCTTGGCGATGCGGTTGTCCTTCTGCTTGATGAGCAGCGTGTTGCGCAGGTTCGCCTCGTTCTTGCCCGCCTCGAAGCGCGCCTTGACGCTGGCGTCGTGCTGCGTCTTGAGCTCGGCCTCGCGCGCCGAGACGGCGGCGGCGATCGCTTCCTGCACCGCCGCCTCCCGCTCGTCCTCCAGCACCTTGAGTCGCTCCTGCACCGCTGCCTCCACATCCCCGCCTGTGGTGTTGGCGCCGACACTAGACGAAGCGGCGTACTTGGCTTCGAGCGACGCCTGCAGCTGACGCAGCTCTTCGGCGTGTGCAGCCTTTAGGTGCTCCACGGCCTCGCCTTGGGCACTCGCCGCCAGCTGCGCTTCCAGCTCGTGGATGCGCGTCTCGGCCGCTTGCAGTTGCAGCTCGAGCTCCGCCACGCGCGCGCGCAGAGCCGCCACGTCGGCGTCACCGCCACTGCCACCAGCATCGCCGGTGCTGCCAGCCAGCCGCTCCTGCACGGCCTTCTCGATGGCCTCGAGGTTGTTCTCGGCGAACTCCTTCTTGAGCTCCGCAATCGCCTCGTCGCGCTGCTGCACCTCGGCCTGTGCGGCACGCATCTTCTTGAGGAAGTCGCGGCCGTTCTGCAGATGCTTGTCGCGCACCGAGGCGATCTGCTCCTTCTCCGCCTCGAGCTGCGCCTTGACCTCGTCAAACTGCCGCTGCGCCTCGGCCACCGCAGCCTCGATTGCCGCCTGCTGGCTCGCGGGAGCCACCGCCGCAGCAGCCTCGGCGTCTGCAGCGGCTGCATCGGGCGCAGTCTCGAAGGGAACCGCCTGAGCCGCGTCCGATGCATCGGTGGCCTCGGCGGCCGGAGCAGCAGCGGCAGCCGGCGCCTGCGACTGCGCCTCTTGGAGCTGCTGCTTGAGCGCATCCCTTTCGATCGTGAGCTGCACCACGTTGGCTTCGTGCATCGCAATGGCTTCTTTGAACCTGACCGCATCCTGGTCCTTCTCCTTCTGCAGCGCAGCCATCTTCTCCTGCGCGTCGGCGACCGACTTGCGTTCCTGCGCGATGCGCGCACGCACCTGCTCGCGCAGCTTGTCAAAGTTCGACTTGGCCGTCGCCAGCTCTGCCTTGACCGCCTCGGTCGCCGCCTCGTTCTCCTGCAGCTTGGCCTGCGTCTCGTCGATCTTCTGCTGCGCCTCGGCACGCTGCTGCTCCACCTTTTGCATCTCTTCGCTGATGCCGTGCGTCTGGAGCAGCGACTGCGATCGCGTCTGCCAGCGCTTGCTGTCCTCGCGCAGCACCTTGACCTCGGCCTGCGACGCCTCGAGCTCGATCTGTGCCGTGCGCAGCTGCGCCCGCACGGGCTCGAGATCGGACGTGGCGCTGCGCAGCTCGGCCTCCAGCTGTGCGGCGCGAGCTTCGGCACGAGAAGCCGTCTCCTGCAGCGTGCTGTGGCTCTCGCGCAGCTCGTTGAGCTGGTTGATTTTGTCGAGCAGCTCGGCGTGCTGCGTGGCGCTCGCCGTCGACGAGGCGCCCTTGGCGCGCTCGGCATCGAGCTCGATGCGCGTCTCGGCGAGCGTCTTGTTGACGTGCTCGAGCGTCTTTTGCAGACGCGACGTTTCCTGCTTGGTCATCTCCATCTGCATTCCGACAAGATCCTTGTCGCGCTGCAGACGCTGCACGAGCTCCTGCAGCTCTTCGACACGTCGCTTCATGAGCGAGTGCGCCAGCTCGGTGCCGGAAACACTGGTGTCTTCCTTCTTGACAGCGACAGCCTGAGCTGCTTCACTCTCGGACGAAGGTGCGCTTGCGGTTTCACCCTCGACAGGAGCCGTAGCTGCCTCACTTGTGGTCGCGCCCTCGGCAGCGTCCGACGTGGTTGCAGCGGCTTCCTCGGCTGCGGCGGGTGCAGCTTCTCCGGCAGGCTGTGTTGCTTGAGCCATCGAGCTCAACTCCATATCGACGTCGAAGGTGGGCAGGGGAGCAGCCGCGGCCTCGCGGATCTGGCTCGCCTGTGCGTTGATCGTTTCGAGATGCGTGTGCAGGATCTGGTTCTGCGCAGTGAGGTCGTCCATCCTGCGCTGTAAGTCAGCCTTTTCGCGCTCGAGTGCCTGGCGCACAGCATCCCAGCTCGCCTTCTCCCGACCCCACTCGGCCTCGGCCAGATCCTTGGAACTGCGCAGCGAGCCCACCTCTTGGCGTGCCTTGTTGAGCTGCTCGCGTGCCTCGGCGAGTTCGGTAGTGACGTTGTCGACGTTGCGAGAGACGGTCTCGAGCTTCTGCTGCGCCTCCTTGGCCACCTGCAGATGCTTGCGGATCTCGCCCTTGACGTCCTCTTGTTCGGCGCGCGCACGCTCCTCGACGCTGCCGAGCTCGGTGATGGCATCTTCGAGCGACTTCTTCTCGGCCTGGAACGCGGCTCGCTCGGTCTCGAGCTGCTTCTGCACCTCGTGCAGCTGCGTCTGTGCTTCGGAGAGCTGGGAGGATGTGCCCGCGACTTGCTGCTGCAGCGTCTGGATTTCGGTGACCTTGGCGGCTATCTCGGATGTCGAGCTACCCTTGAGCTGCTCGTGTTCGCTGCGCAGCGAGGTGAGCGCGGCGTCCTTCTCGGCGACAGCCGCCGCCGCCTGTTCGACCTCGAGCTTGCTCTTGCGCACCTCGACCTGGGCAGCGGCTCGGCCCGCCTTGAGGTCGGCGAGCTCGATCTCAAGCTGCTCTTCCCTCGACAGCTCGACGTCCGGCTGGGCGCGGAATGCGACAGGGTCGCGTGAGAGCTGGTCGCGGCGCTCGTACACGGCGAGCTTCTCCTTGGTGGCCTCGAGCTGGCGGGTGATGTCCTCGACGCGGAGCTGCGTATGATCTGCGCTGGTTCGCGCGATGGCCAGCGCCTCCCTCGCATTGCTGAGCTCGGTGCTGGACAGATCGATGCGGCTCTGGAGGTCTTTGGTCTCGATCTCGCGACGCAGGCTGAGCTGGCGGTACAGGTCCTGCTCGGCAGCAAGACGGCTGCGCAGATCCTCGTTGGTCTCGTCGAGCCTCTTGACGTCCTGCTTCAGGCGGGAGGTCGAGTCGCGCCCGCGTTGCTCCAACTCGGCCTGCATTGCTTGCGTCGTTTGAACGAGCTGCTGGAGGTTGTTGCGCTCCGCTTGGATGGAGCGGCTTTCCTCCAGGAGCTTGGCCTCGGCGGCCTTCCAAAGGTCCTTCTCAGCCTGCAGAGTCGAGACTTGCGAGCGGAGATGCTCGAGGCTGGACCGCGCTTGAATCAGCTGTTCCTCCAGCGTCTGCACGGCAACATCTTTGCTCGCAAGGCTTTGCTGGAGCTGAGCAGCGCGCTTCGTGATCTCCTCCAAGTCCGACTTGGCCAGCTCGTACGTCCTCTGCAGGTTGGCAAACTTGTCTTCGGCCGCTTGGCGCAAGGCGCCTTCGCGCGCCGAAGAGACCGTGGTCTTGCCAATCTCGGCTTGCAGCGATTGGACCTCTTTGCGGTAGCGAGCGATTTCGGCATCGGTGTCGGACTTGAGGCGGTCGTGTCGAGCTCGCAAGGCCTCGTACTCGGCGAGGGCGAGGCCCGAGCCAGCGACGGGAGCGGCACTCGCGACGCCCGCCGAGCCCTTGTCGTCGGCGGCGTTGTTTGCAGCGCTGCGACCGCCAGTGGCGCAGAGCTGTCGGAAAAGGTCGCGTTCCTTGCTGACCTCTTCCACCCTGAACTGCTCCTGGCGGACCTCGTCTTCCAGTCGGACGATGAGGTCGCGAGCCTCGTTGACGGCTTCGTCCTGGTCCTCGGCGAGTCGCGCTTTGTAGTTTTTCTCCTCTTCCTCCATCTTTGCGCCCAGCTGGCGCGTGACTTGCAGCAGGCGGGCGTTCTGACTGCAAAGCTCGGTGAGCGAGGCAAAGGTGACGAGCTCGTTGGTGATGACAGTCTGGGTATCGGACTCGGGCAAGCTTTCGGGCAGAGGAGCGATCGAGTCGAGCTCAGCCAAGAGGCTGCCGTCGTCCTCGAGGCGCGCAGCAGCCTGCGGGTCGTCACGCAAGATGATGGCCTTGGTCAGTTCGCGCACCTGGCGACCAAAGTCGGCGAGCTGCTGCGACATGAAGCCGTTTTCACGCGTGATGCGCTCCAGGTCGAGACGCAGACGTTTGGCCTCGGCTTGGACTGTGTCGCGCTCCTGGGAAGCCGACGCGACCTGCGCCACCATCTCTTCAAGATCGGCCGCAAGACGTTCGGTCTCCTCGCGCTGCGCCTGCAGTTCCGGAGCCCGCTCTTGGAGCTCGTCCATGACCTGTGCGAGCACAGCCGTGAGGCGGTTGGTCTCGAGCTTCTCGCGACGGAGCTCTTCGTGCGTCTTGGCGAGCTCCATGTAGATCTGGCTGAAGGACTTGCCGGACTTGCGGATGCGGTTGGCGATCTCGGCGGTGGGCGAGATGCCGAAGCTGTTGTTGAAGGAGGCAGCGGTGCCCATGAGCGCAGAGCGACGCGGCGTGGATGCGGTGCTGCGCGCATCAAAGTCAAGGCCGGCATCGCTGGCTCCGTCGAAGGTCTGGTCGAGCAGGTTCTCGCCGTTTTCGCGCTGCTGGCCGATGCCGACACCTTCTGCGAGACGGTCGAGGGCCTCCGACAGCTCGCGGTTCTCCTTCTCGAGAGCCTCGCGCAGTTGGGCCTCGTTCTGGGTCTCTGCCCAGGCGGCCTCTTCTCGGGCGCGGCACTGCTCGAGGACGTCTTCCCATTGCTCTTCGAGCTCCTTGATGCGCTCGGCTGCGTGTTCGGCCCGCCTTTCGAGCAGCTTGACGAGTTGGCTCTGGTTGCTGACCTCGGTGCGGAAGGAGTCCTCCTGCGACGCGAGGCGACTTTGAAGCTCGGCGAGCTTCTCGGACGCCTCGGTAAGCTTGCTGCTGGTTTCAGTGTAGGCGGTCTGAAGCGAATCCACCTTGGAGCGGGCCAGAGTTGCTTCTTGACGGGCGGCATCCAGATCGGCCTGAACGCGGGTGAGCTCAGCGCGCTTGGTGGCACGGAAGGCGGCGGAGGCATCGTTGAGTTGAGCGAGCTGGTCGTGAGCCCAGTCGCTGTTCTTCTTTGTAAGCTGGATCTCTTGCTCTAGACTTTGCAGCTTGAATGTAGCGATGTTCTCCTGGCTGCGGGACTCTTGGACGGCGGTTGAAAGGCGCGAGATCTCCTGGCGCGCATCGCGGTTGCGGGTGAGGAGGGCATCGATCTCTTCGGCCTTGCGGGTGCTCTCTTCGCGCTCGCGCTGGAGACTGGCGAGAAGGTCGCGCTTTTCCTGCTCGACCTGGTCAAGTCTGCCGCGTACTTCGGCGGCGTGTCGGACGCCGGACTCGGTGGAGCTCTTGAGGGTGGTGAGTTGCGCGGTGACGCCGACGAGCTCTGCAGAGAGGCGGTCTCGTTCGCTGGCGACGAGCTCTTTGGCGCGTCGTTCGTTCTCGAGATCGGTCTTGAGTGCTGCGGACTGAGCCTGCGCTGCGGTGAGCTCGGTGGCCAGCTCGGCACTGCGCTCTTTTGCGGCGGTGCTCTCGCGCTTCTCGTTGTCGACTTCGGTCTGGACGGAGCCGAGTCGACTCTGAAGGCTGTTGATCTCGGTCTGCAAGCTGGTTGTGAGGTTGGTGGACTCGGTGCCTGCTTTACGAACGGTGTCCAGCTCCTGTTCGAGCTCGGTATTGCGGTCGCGGAGGGACGAGAGTGTCGCTTCCGTCTGCTGACGCGCCTGCTCGAGTGTTGTGAGCTGCTGCTTCATGCCAAAAGCCTGAAGAGCGACATCGTAGAGATGGAGCACGAGCTCGGCGTCGGGAGACTGCAGGCGTTCGAGCGTGACAGCTGGTCGGGATTCTGCGTTGCTGAGCGAGGTGAGTGCCAGGGTGAGTTGATCAGCGGACACCTGGGGCGGGAGGTGGACCTGCAGTGTGGCTGTTGCGTCTGCGGCTTGGTCCTTGCTAGCCTCTGCGGCCGCAGTCAGGTCTGGCATGGCAACATCCGTAGGTTGCTCTTCGGCAGCCTTTTGTGCATCGGCCGCTTCGGCTGCGGCAAGGGTAAGCCGCTGTATCTCCTGTGCATCGGGCACAGGATTAGGGTCGGCCATGCGCGGCGTGGAGCCGTCTATGGGCAGTGTGTACTCTTGGACGGTGGGTGTACTGGTCGAAGCGGAATGAGCGTGCGCGTAGACCGGTGGAAAAGGAAGCCGCTTAGGCGTGGTGCTGCCGGAAAAAGTGATCGGTAGGCAGCAATGATGTAAAGAGTGTACGGGTGAAAGCGAGCGGTGATGGACGTGGTGATGGAGATGGCGATGGAGCGGACCGTGACAAAGTGGAGCTGGGCGGAGCGCCGAGCGGTGGATGGAAGACTGTGCGCTTTGAGTCGGCGATTCTGTGGCAGTTGAGCGGCTGGCTTCACGTGATGTGCAGAGGCATTTTTGAGACACTGTTAAAGTGCGGATCTCGGACGGTCGGACCATGCGCGAAGAGCTGAATTCCAGCGCATTCAAGGGTCTCTGCCACGACGCAGCGTTGCCGCCTTCATTTGCTCTGCTTGACATCCTCCTCCTCATCTCCCAGCAAGCAGCCTCGGCGCTTCCGACTTATCGATACGCGCCTCTTCATACCTCTCGGACATCCCGCCGACGTGATCCACGATGGGAGCTTCCGAATCGCGGCTTCGCGTCGACGACTCGGACGATGCGCCCAAGCAAGGCTACCACGTCGTGCGCGTTGCAGCCGGTTCGCCCGCACACCTTGCTGGCATCGAGCCGTTCTTTGACTTTTGCGTGGGCATCGACGGTGTTGCGCTCGATCCGACCAAGGATGTCGACGGTGCTGGCGATACCACTGGCCTCGGCGCATGGAAATCGCTCGAAGAGCGTGAGGGCACCCAAGTCGTCCTCAACGTGTGGAACTCGAAGCGACAACAGCTTCGTCAGGTGCCCCTGGTTCCATCGCGGCAATGGTCCTCGCAACCGTCGACGAGCAGTATCAATGGGACCAGTTCCGAAGCCACATCACAGCCCTCGTTGCTAGGACTCTCGTTGCGGCTTTGTAATCCGTCGCAGGCGCTTTCGCACGTCTGGCACATTTTGGAGATCCTCGAAGGCTCACCCGCCGAATCGGCAGGTTTGGTGCCATTTGGCGACTTTGTCATCGGCTGGCCAGGTGGAGTGCTTCAGGCAGAAGGCGACTTTTACGAGCTGGTGGAAGCACATACCGATCGTGCATTGCGGCTGTACGTCTACAATTCCGACTACGACCATACGCGCGAAGTGATCATCGTCCCCAACCGCGAATGGGGCGGTGAAGGCCTCCTCGGTTGCGGCGTAGGATACGGCCTCCTCCACCGCATCCCCAAACCACAAGACCTACCCCAAGTCCCGCCAGAGTTGGAAGGCCGTGATGCAGTACCTGAGGACCAGCTCCAAACACCACGAATCGGTGGACCGCCATCCGCTTTTGCTACGCCGTCAAATAGCAGGCTGGAAGAAGACGAATTCAGCACCCCACTCGCAAACCCATCCTCGAGATACACTTCGTCCTATTCGGGTCGCCCAGATCCAGAATTCGCAGAGCAGGACGAAGACGACTACGAAGCAAACACCAGCGGCGTCACCGTCAGCATGCGTCACGACGAAGAAGACGAAGAAGACCTCTAGCTCGTCCACCGCCGCAGCTTTTAATGAAAAGTCGATGATGTTTTTGCTCACCCATCTGAGCAACAAAGAAAAGAGATGTGATTGATTCGACCGAACGCACTATACAAGCCTATGGGCTACACTACTACAGCCGCGCTAGCAACTCAATCACGGCGAGTGAGCGGCTTGCGCAGAGCCGCAAAGAAGGGCGGCGTGTCCAGGCCGAGTCGGCGCTGCACCTCGTCGGCCCACATGGTGAAGAGGCCGATCTTGTGCTCGAGCTGCTCAATCTGGATCTTGTGCGTCTTGTCGCGCCTCTGCGCCTCGTCCGTCAGCTCGTGGCACATGTCCCGCATCACGTCGACGCGCTCCGACAGCTGACGCATCTTGTGCTTGTGCTCCTCCAGCTCCGACTGGCTCTTTGCCAGCTGCTCCGTCAGCTCGTGCACCCGTGAGTCCGGCGCACTCGCAGTCGCGCTCTTGTTTACAGGAACAGGCGAGGCTACGGCCGTTGGGATGGTAGGCACAGTCTGCGTGTCCAACTTGGGCTGTCGCTGTTGGGCAGGGTGTACGGGCGGTGCAGACTGCGGGAACATGAGCTCGGCGAGGAACTCAATGTCATCGGCCGACTGGACATTCGTCTCCTTGCCGGTCTCCGCCCGGGCCGCCCGAAGCTTCTCGAACAAGGCGCTGTTGGGACGTGCCTTGACTGCCTTGGCGTCCAGCTTCTCTTTAGCCGACTTCTCTGTTGCAGGAGACGTGAGGCCGGCGAAGCTGTCGTCCCAGCTCGCCATAAAGATGTCCTCCAGATCGCGATACTGGTTCGAGATCGGATAAGCGTACACATCCGAGCTGTCCAGCTGCATTCTGGAGGGGTTTGCGCCAACTTGCTCCTTCGCTTGATCCCCGTTCATCTCAGTATGGATGATCGCGCGGTCAGGCTCATCGCGCATGCGGCCATCCGTGGCGATGTACAGATCCGAGACGGGCAGAAGGTGATCCTCGGTTTCTGCGGCGCTGTCGAGCTCTTGCTTGTGCTCCTGCGAGCACTTGAGGTCGCGCTCGCGCATCGCTCGATCCACGTCGCCGATCCACTCTTCGCGTAGCTCGCCGGTCTCCTCGGTCTCGGCAGACGAAGCGTGATCTTTGGCCACAACCGTGCGCGCAGGCTCATCTACAGCCGTTGAGTCGGCGGCAGCGGCCGCACGCCCAGCTACTCTCTGCCACTTGAGCTTGGCGCTGCGCTGGACCGGTGCGTCTTCTGCGGCGTGCACTTCGTGCGAAGTGGCAGTTGAAGACATCGAGCCCTCGGATGACTGGAAGGCGTTACGGTCGCTGGACGTCTGTGAGACATCGTCGTGGCGAGACATACGACCAGGCTGCCAGGTATCAAAGCTTGCAGCTTCGGCGCTTCGACGTCCTGTGCGTGAGCCAAAGAGGAAGCCGGAACGCTCGAAATCGAAAATATCGCCCCAGATTTCGGCCAGGCCGCCGTTGGAGGAAGAATCGGCAACGGAAGCCTCTTTGGCGTCTTGCTCGCGGATCCAGTTTCGGCGCTGTGCTACGGCTTTGCTTGCCTCCTGCAGCTCGCGCTCGATCTGTCGTCCAATGTCCTTGCCCGCCTGGCCATCGCGAAGGGACGCAGCGACGATGTTCTGGACGCGACCGGCGGCCAGCGCATTGATCCTGGCAAAGTCGAGGGCTACACGGCGCCAAGCGCGGGCGTCGCGGTACGCGAGGCTCTTGGCAGCCTGAAGGCGATTCATGGTGCGTCGGTTGCGGACAAGGAGGTAGACGGCGGCGCTGGATGCGGCGCCGAAGAGGACAAAGGTGAAGGTGGTTTTGCCTTTGGTGAGGTCTGACTCTTCCTGCGGCTGTTGCAGCTGCAGCAAAGGACGAGGGGGTCTAGTCGAAGGTTGCACGGGTACGGGTGCAGGCTTGATCTGAGCGGACTCAGAAGACGGAGGCGCGAACCAGGAGGTTACGCCGGGCAGGGACAGCTTTGTGAACGCGCTGTGAGACGGCAGACTTGCGTCGCAGAGGTAAGAGGAGACGGACTCGAGGCGCGAGTTGAGCGAGGAGGAGATGTCTGAGACCGTGGATCGAATGTATTTGTCGGCCTCGGTCCAAGTGCGACTGGAACGCCTGTTATCGGCGTCTGAGCTCTGTGCAGCCTCGGTGAAGGTGTGAAGGGGACGTCGGTCACGCGTCGTGGAGGAGGCGGGTTCGGGATCGACAGGGGACGAGGAGGAGTGGGAGGAAAAGAAGTAGCAGTAGCTCGAGAGCATGGGCCGTTTTGGAACGGGGCTTCGGCGGGGTGCTAGGCGTAGTAGAAGGACAGTGAACGATGTAGGCAAGAACCGAGATGGTGGTGCGGGAGAGAGCAGTGCCAAGTAGGATCGTCGCCGGTGGTCAGCCTCAGACGAGTGCGCGGGGACGTCTGCTCGCGCTGCGAGCGTGCTTGCACGAAGGGGGGATATCAAGCCGAGCGCGCCACAGGCTCAGGCAAGCTTCAGGCCATCGTGGACAGGGTCTCGGCAGGAATGAAATGTGCGCGGATCAGGAGCCTATCAGTTAGCTCAGCGCTGGGCGTATCCGCGCGCGCACCTCGTTGAGGGCAAGGTGATTGCGATTGACGGGCACGCGAGTCGCGCGACCTTGGCTAGCATTGCGCGCAAGAGCTTCAGAGCGGGGATGCTTTGCCCAGCGCACGGCTCAGGGGAGAGCTGCCGAGCTGGCGGATGGCTGAGCCAAGCGGCACTCTGGTGGTCACACCTTGAAGCACGGACGCTGCAGAGGTGCATGACAGCCCAGTGGACCCTGGCCCGCCCGCCGGAGGCTCAGCGCCAGAGAGCGGGTTGCCTGAGCCAGCAGGGCGAGCTGCTGCAGCCTTTGAATGATGCGCGCAACTCAGCAGCCCGTGGACCCTGAAGATAGCGTCCACGGTCGAGCCATCTTTTCCTTTTTGGCGCGCGCGCAGATGCTCGCTTTTTCCCCCTCGATGAAACGGAGATGTAACAGCATTAAATCTGAGAATTGCCCGCACACGATTCACGCTCCTTTTTCGCCGGAACCTGCGTCCTCGGCTGGCGAGCACGGCCCAAGCCTGCATTTCGACCAACTTATTTCCAGCCAGAGCCTCCACCTTGCTAAAAGCGTGGGTGCCCGCCGATCCCGCCGCTCGCTGCTGTTGCCGTCTTGCTGCTGTAGTGCGTTACCACCTTGGCTTCCCCGCACTCGGAACGCTAGGCAGCCAATTTCTCGTTCTGGCCTGCTCGCCTGGGTGGCGGCACGCCAACATTCCCTCCATCACGTCCATCCTCACCACCATCCGGGTATTTGTGGCCGTATCACGCAAACATCATGTCTTCCTCGACCAAGCCCGACGAGCGTATGAAGGCGGAGGCCGACCAGGCTCTGCACACCCAGGAGGACCTCGACTGCCCAGGCTTTGAATCCAGCCGCGTGTTTGCGCTCTCTGCGCAGCTGCTCGCCAATCCGCCGGAGGGTTTTCCTTCGCGCAAGCGGCTGCTCCGATCGCTCCAGAGCATCTACCTCTTTGTCATCCAGCCCTCGAGTGCCATCGACCCATCCAACCCACGCACCAAGCCCGTGGATGGTAAGGTGTCGACGTCCGGAGGCGCGCTGCGTCCTGCCATGTGGTACGCCGACATGAAGAGCAAGGGCGTCATCGGACGCGGACAGCCTCCCAAGACCGTGCTGGGCCGAAAGCGCAAGGCGGATGTCGTGATCGAGTGTCGAGACCGCGATTTCATGGAGCTCGCAACCGGCAAGGTTCAGGCGCAGCGTCTCTACAATGAAGGAAGGGTAAGTCGTCAAATTGGCGTGCCTCGCCGCCGCAACCTGCGAACGATGAACTCGCAGAGCTACTTTGCTCACGTTTCGAATGCTTGCTGACAACATTTATCGATGTGCTTGCTTTTGGTGTCTCGATGCGTCGGTTGATCCGATCCAGATCAAGATCCGTGGCGATCTTGACCGCGCCCTCAAGATCTCGTCGCTCATCTCGCACGAGCGATCCAAGATCTACGGCACCTCGCCTGCCTCGGCCTCCGTCGAGGAGAAGGTGGCCGCCGTCGATCATGAGCGTGAAGGCCATGCCTCGCGCAACGACGACTACGGCGCCGGCAGCCCCGCTCCGATCCCGGACCGTGCGCGTCTCTGAGCGTCACGCTGCCTCTGCGATGTGCTGGGTCCAAAGGTGGATGTCGTCGATTGAGCCGACTCGACTTGCTCGCCAACCTATCTTCCAAATGAACACTGAATCTACATCACATTGGTGTCTACGGGTCGTCACTCTCTGCGATGTGTGGCTTTTGAAAGCTTTTCGCAGGATGGCTACGCCGAACCTGACGACATCGTCGTCAGCGTTGCTCTTGCTAAGAGTCTTGACCACCAGCGCCCCAAGTGTCATCCAAAGCAGCTCGAGTCACCGTCAGCTTCTGTTCAGTCCATCCTCGGCTAAGCTGGTGAGAAGAAAAGCGGCTCAAGCTCGTCTCTGTGTAAGTCACCCCTTTGTTCGCCACCCCTTTGTGCCAAAGTCACACGCCCATCCTATCGTACATTGTTCCAAGCGGCTGCATCACCGTCATGAGTCTTATGCACGCTGCAGGCAACCCGCCCCATGAGACAATAAAACTGGCCCTTCCCACTCGAGCTGCATACGGTATTCAGAGATGGGATTTATTGGTCAAGGCTGCTCAGCTCGACAGCTTCGAGACGTGTCCCGAGTCCGTCTGAGTCTGCCCGGAATCCCTTTTTGCTCGCTTCTTGGACCCTGCCAACGCCTCCAGTCCCTTTGTCCCGTTTCTTCTTGCTCGACGGCTTCCAGCATGCAACCAGCGTGCGGCGCAGCCGATGCACGGATAACGCTAGGCCCTTTGGCCGGCCTCCTCAGCTGCGCTCATATGAAGGCTCGAGCGCTGCAACCCACAGCCGCGACTGCTTCTGGCCTCTTCATTTCGTCCACGAGCGGCAGCAGCAGCAGCACACGCTGATGCTCGGAATCTCCCTGCCCGGATCAGGTGTGCCGTGACCCTGATCATCCCTTCTCAAGTTCATCCCGGAGGAGCCAGACCCTTCAGTCTCTTGTCTCCCCACCCTCACACCGCACAGGCAACAGCTACCTCAACGTCCTCTCCGGGTCGTGGTCCTGCAAGCACCACCTAGCAGCTCCTTTCTTGACCTCGAACCTCTTCGACTCCGTCTCCCTCATTCCTTGCACTTGCAGCCATGGAGGTCTTTATCGGCAACATTCCTCCCAATCTCGACACTGGCAAGATTGAGCGTTTCATCTTTGCTGTTGTCAACACAGAGCAGGTGTTCGGCTCGGGTGCCATTCCCTCGTACGGTTCTAGCACGCCGCCGGCTCCGCCTGCCACCACGGCCATCGTGCCGATCAACAAAGGCTTCTTCTTCAAGCGAGTCCCGCGAAACGAAGGTTTACACTTTGGCTTCCTTACTTTTGCCCGTCGAAAGGTGGCTCTGTGGTTCATCGAATACACCCAATGGCAGCCCTTTGTTCGCAACCACGGTCTGAGAGTCAAGGAAGGCAGGGAGGAGCCTTTGCCAGCCTTCGTGTCTGCCATCGCCGAAAACGCAACAGATCAGCAACCCTCGGCGAGTGTGCAAAAGGCGCCTCCCAAGTACTCCTTTGGCGTCGCCCACGTCGGCTACTGGGGAGCGCCCTTCCGCTTCAACTACACCCATGCCTACGTTGGCGGACGTCTTTACCTCTCGATTGAGGACAAGAACGTCATCCGCATCCAGCTCAATCATGACACGGTCACCTTTCTGCCGCGCGACGTCAAAACGTTGACCCTCAGGCAGGTCAAGTCCGCTGGTTCGACCGCTTCGGACGTCGGTTGTGTCATGTTTTTCGAACTGAAAACAAACCCTCGTATCGAGGGAGACTTGCGTCACGGCGACGACGCTCACGCTTTTCGCCTTCCAACAAGGATCATTCAACTCATCTTTGGCAAAGACAAGCGCGCTAGTGATGACTCCCAGAACCTCTGGAGACGTCTCGAGGTTCTGCTTGCCGGCGTTCCGCAGCTCAAGTACAGCAAAATTCAGACCTACCAGGACAAAAATGCGCCATTCCTGGCCAAGTTCTTCCAACGCAGCAAGAGCCTCGACGTCGAGTTGGCCTTGCTCCGCGAGTCTCTGCTTCGTAACGAGCTCCTGAACATGTCGGCGCTCGTGAAGCTTTCGCCCAAACTCGACCACATGATCAATCAAGATCAGCAAGCTCTCGCTCTGCGTGTCCTCAAGAACCTGGTCCCCAAGCTTGAAGCCCGACAGGAGAGGGGCGTCGACGAGGAAGCGGTGCTCCGAGTTTCGCAGAAGCTGTGGGAAGAGGCCTGCGCAGAGGCCACTGGGAACGATTCCCGGGGATTCCTCTCCGTCCTCGACCCGACTCCTTCGCCGGATGACGATTATCTGTCCAAGACTTTTAGCATCGATGTGACGCCCACCCGTGTTCTCGTCTCTGGCCCTCACACGCACGTATCGAATCGTGTCATCCGAGCGTACAGCGACCATTGGCACCACTTTGCTAGAGTTACGTTCTCCAACGAGGACCGCGGAGGCGCTACGACCATCAAGGCCAACTATGGGCTTGTCGAAAGCGAGCGGTACATCCAATCGCGTGTGCTCAAGATTCTGCAACGCGGCATCAATGTGGCTGGGCGACACTGGGAGATGCTGGCATGGTCGTCGTCGAGCATGAGCGCGCACACCGTCTGGTTCGTGACGCCATTTCGCGACAAAGATGGATCACACGTTCACGCCGAAGTCATTCGCCGCGAGTTGGGAGACTTTACCGACGTCGCGAGGTATCCGGCCATGTACGGCGCCAGACTGTCGCAGGCATTCAGCGCAACTGCACGCACAGTCGAGGTCGATTCGTCACTCATTCTTCACATGCCCGACATCGAGACTCCGGACCGGAAAATGGCCTACACGGACGGGGTCGGCCAGATCTCACCGGAGCTGATGGCCGAGGTGTGGGAGAAGTATGTGACGTCGGCGCTAGGCGAGCCGCGAAAGCGTAAATTGCTCAAGGCTGCCGCCCCTTCGGCCATTCAGATTCGTATTGGTGGTCACAAGGGCTGTCTGACCGTCAACCCAAGACTGCAAGGGAAGCAGCTTGCGCTTCGTCCGAGCATGTCCAAGTTCGTATCGCCACATCAAGATCTCGAGGTTGCCAATTCCTCGGCGCGCTGTCTGTCCGCCAAGCTCAACCGTCCTCTCATCAATGCGCTTGATGACCGCGGCGTGCCAGCCACTGCTCTGCTCGACATCCAGAAAGAGGCTATCGCCCACATCGGCAGAGCACGCACGCACTTCGACGAGACGGCGAGGCTGTGCTCAGCATATAGCTTTGGCACGGGCTGCGACCTTCACATTCTCTTTCAGAAGCTGCACAAGCACGGCATGGGGACGAACTCGATCCACAGCGACAGCTTCTTCCTTGTGCTGGCCAAGGCCGTCATAGCTGCTGCGCTAGGCGACATGAAGCGCAAGGCTCGCATTCCTGTCCGCGGCGTCACGCTCATCGGGGTCGCCGACGAATTCGCTTTCTTGAAGGAAGGCGAGGTCTTTGCGCAGGTCGAACATGTCGACCTCGGGCAGGTCAGACGGCGAGTGCTTGTCGGAACCAAGCTGATCGGCCGTTCTCCTACAGTCGATCCAGGCGACATCGCCATGGTCAAGTGTGTCAGGCCTCCTCCTGGCCACCCGCTCTTGCAGCTAAGGAACGTCGTGGTGTTCAACACATGCACCCGCCAGGAGCCTTTGCCTCGTCGGTTAGGAGGAGGCGATCTGGACGGCGATCTGTACACGATCTACGAGGACGAGCGCTCTGTACACGATCTACGAGGACGAGCGCCTCTTCCTCCCTACGCCGCAACCGGGCACGACCTTCCATGCCAAGACGAGGCCAAAGGAGCTCGATCGGTACTGCGACTCGACGGACTTGGCGAACTTCTTCGCCGACTTTATGCTCAACGACTTTATCGGCTTGGTTTCGCATATGCATCTGCGCATTGCGGATGCAAGTAAGCGGGGCTCGCTCGATGGTCGCTGCAAACAGCTCGCCATGCTGCATTCGCAAGCCACTGACTTTCGCAAGACCGGCGTTGCGGTCAAGCGCACACAGCTGCCACGCATGGACGAGCCCATTATTCCGGACTTCCTGGCGCAGGGAGAGCCTCGACAGGGAAGATTGACCTACTTGAGCACGCGCGTCCTCGATTACCTCTACCGCGCCGTTAGCTGGAACCAGACGGACACGCCTTCGCTGGACAAGAACACGGACCCCGAGACCGGCCTCGAGCCCGATTACACCGAGGACTACGGCGATGAGGACGACTTGGCCTCGGAGATCGACAGCGAGTTTGGCAGCGACTTCGATAGTCTTGTGGAGCAGCATGTGCCGCAAGGCGCAGCACGTGATCCTTCGGCGCGCGCCACCGTAGGCAGTGCCATTGGGAATCGGACGCTGGGCAGCGGGCAGAATGGGGCCAACGACGGCAACTCTGCTTCGGCATAAGCGGCGCCGTGGCAGTTCAAGGATAACACCTTTCCGGATCTGCTGGAGCGGATCGCACATTCCAACACCGATTGGCTGCCAACGTCTGCGTCGGACGCAGACTCGGACGAGCAGACCGTGGTCGAGGAGGGATATCGCTACGTTTCGCTGTTCATCGAGTTCACACGAAGGCTGCGTAGCCTTTCGCGGATGATTGCAGAGTATCATCCCGAGAACAACGGCTCCGCGAACGGGATCGGCGGCGCGATGCTGGTGTCGGAGGTGCATCTGCTCACCGGCCGATTGCCGTGGGCCAAGGTGGCGCGGAAGACGTGCCACGATCGCGACAGCAAGGTGCTGGACAGCATGCAGCCGCTGTGCGCTCTGCTGCGCAAGAACATTTGCCGCATCTCGGAGGCGGAGGCGTTTGCGCCGCCGGTCAAGTCCCAGATCGTCAAGACCGAGGCCGATGTTCATCCTATTGCGTTCACGGGCGTCGCATCGTTGGCGGCAAACGGCGCGTCTGGATCTCAGCAAACGCGCGTGCAGTCTGGGCCAGCTGGAGGGACAGGCCAGACCAGCAGAGCTGCCTCGGATTATGGCAGTCATCGCAACCCGATTGAGATCGACTCGGACTCGGACTCGGACTCGGACTCGAGCGATGACGTGACCGTGATCGGGTCGCGACGTGGCTCGTTCGGACCTATCGGGTCGCAGCCTCGGCGACCTCTGGTGTCAGTGACGAATGTGGTGCCGCCATCCTCGCAGGCGTCCGCGCCATCTTCGCAGGCTTCCGACGCAGGGTCGAAGCGAAAAGCGTCTCAAGATTTACCCTTCACGCGCTCGCCTCGATTCTCTTCGAAGTCTTCCTCGCACGACTCGAGCTCCACTCGCAACGCCGCCACTGTCGCCGAGGAAGAGGAGGCGGAAGAGGGTGAATTCACCGTGGTCTCGGCGCAGAAGGTGGTCGACTCGCTGTGGCGGGCGTGCTGCTTCTTTGCGTCGCCGCATCGGCCGCGGTACTCGAACGTCTACGGCTACAACACGTTTATGATCACCCTCGTGCTGCATCTGCTGTCGATGATCGAGACGCTCAAGCATTTACAGCGCAACACGATGCGGCGCACGGGGCGTCAGCCTGCCAGGCCGGCGCAGACGACGCAGACGCAGGTGCAGTGGGACGACGCCGCGTCCGAGGCGTACACCGAGGACGACTACTCTCTGACCGAAGACGCCGTGTCGGCACTCACGCTGGGCACGATGCTCATGGATCTCTCACACACCAACGCAGGCTACGACTGAGCTCGACCCAGCCGAGCTGCAATGTGATTCTTCTTTCTCCCACGTCCTGTTTGCGCGCGTGTGTGATTCGCGTTCTTCTTCTGTCTTTGTTGCCTCACTTTGCCTTTGCTGCAGTTGTGTGATGTCGGTGTGTCTTTGTGGTCTTGCCGATCTTTCCTCGGTTGGTGTGATGTCGGTGAGAGAATGCGCCAAGATCGAATTTCCGCGCGCACTCGGCTTTTGACTCTTGAGATTCAAAGACGGCGGCACAACAGCATGGGGGGAACGACACGGGACTGACGATTGCGAGAAGCGAAAAGAATGTACTCGAAGACCTGAACCAGGAGCGAATGTGTGTATGTATCTAGAAGAATCTACTTGGGAAACGGAAGGAAGGATCAATGCATGCGGAACAGACGGGCGAGCTTACCCGTTCTTCCCGCGGATCTGTTTCGCTGCGTCGTAGGACTGGGCGGTTCCGCGCCGCGCTCGAGTGCAGGGCTGGGGGCAAACAGCGCCGCCAGCGAGCGGTGCTTGCTCCTACCCACACTGCTCGTCTGCACCTGGGGCGAGAGAAACCCTTCGCCGCTCTTGCTGATCTGCTGCGAGGCGAGGAACGACGCATACATCGACTCGACCTGTGCGGCTGACGGCGTACCCCCCGCGGGTGAGGTGTGTCGCTGACTCGAGCTGAGGTCCATCGAAAATGCCGCCGACACCAACGACGCATCCGCCTCTTCCTCCTCCGTCGTCTCTTTCGACCCCTGCGATGCAGGAGGAGTCGCAAGCAGCCCAGGCGAAATATCAACCCCCGTCATCGTGCTCGTACCAGACGACGGCCGTACGCGCACCGGCGTCTCTTCAGCCAGAACACCACCGCGGTCCGGACTCAGGATGGTCGACTTGGTCTCGTCGATCATCTTGGTCAGCATCCCCGCCAGACTCGCCATCTTCTTGAGCCGGCGAAAGATCGCTTCTTCGCCCGGCGACGATGTGCCCATCGACACAGGCCGAGTGCTGATACTGCGCAGCTGGGTGCTAGGCTGACCGCACAGCGCAGCATGCAGAGCAGGCGTGCGCACACCCTGCTCCACGCCCCCATCGGCGAAGTCTGTGCCGCCAGCATCCTTGGTGTCGGATCGCGCCGAACCGATATCGGTAGCATTGTCGGCCTCCACCGCGTGCTTGGGTTCAACAACGTCGACGGCGCTGTTGTTCGTGTCGAAGAGACGGCGTGCGCATTCGGGCATCGGATGCTCCATCTCGCCTGCGTCGATGTGTGCGTGTGCGTGTGCGATCGAGCCGGTCGATCGACGAACAGACAAACGCGACACGCCGTGGCGCGAGCTGGCGATGTTGTACGACTTGGATCGGCGATGGCCCGGACCGACCCGGGGCAGCTGCCCTCCCACACTCAAGCCAAGGCCGGACTGTCCCGCCATGGCGGTAGCGTGCGGGGGCGGGCGCGCGAGAAAGTTGGACGCGTCAAACTTCTTTGCCAGCGAGGCCACCATGTTGCCACGCGTAGCGACGTCGGATCGGGCAGGCTGCTTGGTCGTGGCGACACCTTTCTGGGGCGAAGGCAGGCACTTCGAACGGCTTGTCGGAGCGGTGGGTGCCTCAAGAGGTGCGACGACCGAATGACCGTCGTTGGAGTGAGGCACCTTGCTACCTGGCAGGCCTCGGCCGACTCTCAGCCGAAAAGGCGATTCCTTGCGAACAGCAGTTGGCACTGCAGCCTTGACAGAACTGGCTTTGGAGGCGACACGGATGTTGGCTGGCGAGCTGTGGCTCGACGAGGCGTCGCTCTCGTCTTGCTCGTCAACTGCTTGAGCTGTGAGACTATCAGCAAGCATGTGCTGACGATGAGCCGAAGGGATGGGAGTGCCTTGACGAGGTGGTGGCTGCCCGCGCCAAGGCGGGCTCACGCACATGAGATCCGTAAGACGCGAGTCCATACCGACCTGCGAGAGAGAAGGCGATGCGGGTGCGGCCGACTCGCGTCTAGCAGCGACCGCTCGCGAGACTCCAGGGGAGGCGAACTGAGATGGCGCATCGCTTGAGGCGCCGTGGGGCAGCCGAAGACGCTCGGTCTCGGCGACCAGCTCGTGGAGCATGACGTCGCTGTCGTCCGGAAAGGCTTCCGAAGCAACCGGGTCAGAGTCGAGCCCTTTGCACTCGGTGACTCGCTGCATGTGACTGTACTCGTAAGAGAGCTGCAGCAGTTCATCGAGCGAGTCGCAGCTTTCGCGGCGATCGAATTGACCTTGAAGCAAAGCGCCACCGGCATCGATGCGCTCCTTGGGATCGTGACGGAGCATTTTGCGGATGAGATCCTCCATATCAGGCGCCAGGTCCCACTGACCGAGCCACGTGCCTCGATCGGCGCGGGCATAGTACTCCTGGTACTTCTCCTTGGAGTCGAACTTCTCGTCATGATGCTCGAAAGGCGTCCGGCCAGTGAGCATCTCGAAGAAGGCGATGCCGAGAGCCCAGACATCGGTCTTTCTCTCGTCGTGAAGGAGCGCATGGAAGCGCTCTGGCGCAAGGTACTCGGGCGTGCCCCAGACCTCCTTGGACATGAACGCGCCTTCCTTGGCCGGGTCGTAGCGGTTGGCGAAACCAAAGTCAAAGAGGGTGACAGTATCGCGTCCGAGGCCAGAGGTGTCGTAGGTGACGCCGAGATTGTCCACCTTGATGTCGTTGTGGCAGACGCCATGGTGGTGGAGCCAGTGCACGGCGGAGAGAAGTTGATGGAAGTACTTGCGGCAAAGGGCGTCGCCGAGACAGACCTTCATGGGCTCGTCGAACTTGGGCATGACAAGCATGGCGAGCGAGGGCGTCAGAAGGAACTCGTAGAAATTGACGACGTTCGGATGCCATCCGGTGCGGTCGTTGCGTACGCGGCAGTTGGGACTGCTGGCATCGACCTGCTCGGCACGAGGAAGCTGATCCATGAGGGTGCGCAAGACCTTGAACTCGTTCCACAGACGTTGTGTTCGAGCTGCGGCCGAGTATTTGCGCTCTCGCTCGCAAAGCTTGACGGCGAGCGGACGGAAGTTTGGGGTGTTGTCGATGGTGTATGTGCCGGAGCCGGTGAGCTTGACCGCCTGAAGCGATCGATAAGCCGAGGAGGGCAAGTGATCCAGAGGCCGCAAGGCTTCGACTGTCCAGACACTTCCCCACTCTCCAGCGCCTGGCCAACAAAGCAAAATCAGACGACCATGACAAGGGCGCATCAGCATTCTGCAAGGCTCATAGTCAAGCGGCAGAGCAACTTACCGATTTCGTTGAGAAATTTGTAGCGATCCTTGAGATCCGCTTCCGCGATCTTGAAGATGCCGAGCTGCATGGCTTTCATCCTGACCTCATCGGCTTTGTAGGGAGACGAAGAGGTAGTTGAATGGCTTGGGCTGGCTCGCTGGGGCAGCTTTTGCGGAGGGGCGGCGGCGGTAGAGGCATACTGTTGCGGCCGATTCGATTGAAGCTTGGACTGGGATAATGGGAGATCATGTACAACGAAAGCAGACTGCGCAGGATGACCTCGAATGACGCGCGAGAATGTCGACGTGGGCGCGGTCGCCTGTGGGATCTTGGAAGCAACCTGTTGTACCGACCTGTTTGTCTGTGGAGATTTGTGACGTGAGTCGGGAGAGGTCGGGTCTCTGATACGGAGCTTGGAGAGCGAACGCTTCAAGATACTGGTTGACTGCGGAGGCTGAAGGCGAGAAGGAGGCGCCAGAGCTCTGTGGATCGATTTAGTGGTGCCGATGCACTTTGAGTCGATCCGTGACGACACGGAGCGCGATGCTGTCGGCGCCGGCCCGAGTGGACGCCGTACCTGGACGGAATGGTCAGCATCGATTGGATCGCGTTGATTGTTTCGGCCCATCGAGCGAGTTGAAGGAGCCGACGGAACCGGCTTGGTGAGTTTGTGCCGCGTAGGCTGCGACTGCTTGACATTCGACATGTCGTCGAGGCCATCAGCAAGCTGACGATGGAGGATACAAGTTACGCAGCGACCATGAGCGACCCGAGGAATCTCCCTACTCCAGAGCGCTACAAGATGCAGCCCCTCGCGTTGACAGCCTGCCCTTTGATCTGATGAGCAACGGTTGTGGGACGCATGTTTCGGGTCGAGGTGCATGCCGTGAGATGGCTTCATTTGGCGATGACGGTTGCGGTGGACACTGTTGTACTGTACTTCTGCAGACGAGCTCGCTGGCTGGACGATCACAGATGAAGGGCACTTGAACAAAGCAGGCAGCTGCGATGCAGGCATGCAACTGTGACCCGATGCATGTTCACATGGTGAGGGTGCACTGCAGCTGCATTGGCTGTCTTGCGGGTAGACGTTGCCCTTCCATTGTTACAGCGGATGATTGGCAGGGTCCAGTTCTGAGCCAGTGGAAGGCGTACGCTTGGGAGCGGAGGGAGGATCACAGTCGACAACTGGCCAGTGTGGACGCGGACCATTTGCTTGATCGATCAAAAGGGCACCGACGGTGGAGCCAGACGACGGCGGCGGATGTGCCCATGAATGCGTTCATCAAAAGCGTGGTGGGAGCGAGTCGAGTGGAGCGTGGGAACGAGAAGGGCGGCTGCGGTGGGGCACCGAGGCGTGTCAACTGAATCCACAGCGAGTTGCAGAGCGAGACCGCCACCATCAAAGTTAAGCCTCGTGCATGAGAATCGACCGATGTGCCTTCGACCGGTTCGCGACGGAGCTCCAGGACTGCTGCACGGCAAGGCTCAGCCAGGCATCAGACCCTGAGCGGCTCCTCCGAGATTTGATCAGATTGCGACACATCTTGAGCTTCTCTGAAGTCACGCAAATGAAGTGTGAAGGGTGAGGGGCCCAAGCAGCGGTCGCGTTGTCGGCAACTGTCCGAGTACAGTTGCGAAGATGTGATGCGATTTCGTCGCGATTGTGACGGATCAGTCTGATCTTTGGACCACAGCACGAGCCGTCTGAGAAGCGCACTTCAATGTTGACATCACAAGCACCCGTGTGCTGTTGTCTCCGGGTTGCGATGGAACTCCATCCAGTCTGCTCGGAGCGATGCTGCACGTTGCTGCAGAAGCATCTGCTCGCCCACTTTGTCGTGCAGCGTATAGCCTTAGCTGAATTATACAAAGTGTTACGTCCAGACGCGAAGACAGCTGCAGGTGATTCTGTCCTGATTGAGACGATGGGAGTATCCGTCCGTATCAAAGCGTCAAGATGCCGAGACCCTTTCCCTCAAGGGCACACTTGCGAGAAAGAGCCCGCGGGCCTAATCCCGACGAAGCTTCGCGTCTCGTCAAGCGCCGCCAGGGTCCAGTCCCACGCCAAAGAGAGGCCGGTCAAAAGTCCGAAAAATGTGCCACGGCTCAGCTGGGCAGGTCTTCTGGAGCCCAGAGCGCAATCTGCTCTGGAACCAAAAAAAAATCACGCACTCCTTCGCTCTCGTGCTGCAACTCCGAGCGGCCTGGCCGATGCTTGACGAGCTTTGGGGAGGAGAGGGCAGCATCTCGTGACGCTGATCAAATGCGCTCTTCTCATTCGACGCTTTGAGGCTGCACTGCACCCCGCGACGTGATGGTAGAACTGCACGGTCGGAACCCCCACGTTGCTCAACGTCCCTTGTCCCGGAGACGAGAGACGGCTTTGAGCTCGTTTTGCCTCGACGCGCTCCGATAAGGTTGGCCTGGCCTGCAGACTAGATATACATCACACCTTTCCCCTCCGTTCACCGTCGGACCTTCATCTGCAACCTTGCTCCTTCTCTGAGCTAACTTTCGCAGCCCTCGTGTACGCTCACCTACGCAAGCATCATGGCTTCTCGCGCCTCCTCGTCCACACGGGCTCTTGCCCGTGCGTCTCAGCTGCGTCGCTCGTCGGCACCGGCTGCCCGGCGATCGCTCGCTACCGTCGCCTCCTCGCTGTTCCCTGGCGAGCCGTCGACACCGCACCTCGTCTCCCCGGCCATTCCTGGACCCAAGTCCAAGGAGCTCAGCGAGCGCATCGGCTCGTTCCAGGAGAACCGCGCGCACGGCTTTGTGGTCGACTATGCCAAGTCGCAAGGCAACTGGATCGCCGATGCCGACGGAAACGTGCTCCTCGACATGTTTGCACAGATCGCCTCCATCGCCATCGGCTACAACAACCCGGACCTCATCGCGCTCGCCAAGACCGACGAGTTCATCACCGCGACCATGAACCGCGCCGCCCTCGGCTCGTTCCCCCCGACCAACTGGCAGGAGCTCGTCGAGACCGGTCTGGGCACCGTGCGTCCCAAGGGGCTCAACCAGATCTTCACCGCCATGTGCGGCAGCTGCGCCAACGAGAACGCTTTCAAGGCTTCCTTCATGGCTTACCGTGCGCGCGAGAGGGGCGAGCAGGCCCAGTTCACGCCCGAAGAGATGCAGAGCTGCATGAAGAACCAATCGCCCGGCAGCCCCGACCTGTCCATCCTCAGTTTCACCAGCGCCTTCCACGGTCGGCTCTTTGGCTCGCTCTCCGCCACGCGCTCCAAGGCGATTCACAAGCTCGACATTCCGTCGTTCAACTGGCCCGTCGTCGCGTGGCCCGACGTCAAGTACCCCTTCTCCCAGAACGCTCGCGAGAATGCCGACGCCGAAAAGGCGGCGCTGGCAGCTGTCGAGGAGGCCATCGTCAACTCGACCAAGTCGGGCTCGGCACATGGTCCCGTGGCGGCGCTCATTGTCGAGCCCATCCAGTCCGAGGGCGGCGACAACCACGCCTCGCCCGCCTTCTTCCAGGGCCTGCGAGACGTCACCAAGAAGCACGGCGTGTTTATGATCGTCGACGAGGTCCAGACGGGTGTAGGCGCGACGGGCGCATTCTGGGCACACGACAAGTGGAACCTCTCGAGCCCACCGGACTTTGTCACCTTCTCGAAAAAGATGCAGGCGGCGGGCTTCTACCACAACCTCGACACGCGCCCCTCGCTGCCGTACCGCAACTACAACACGTGGATGGGCGATCCGACGCGCACGATGCAGGCGCGCCAGATCATCCACACCATCAAGGACCACGACCTGGTCAAGCGCACCGACGACGTGGGCAACTACATCCACGCTGCGCTCGCCGACATGATCGAGAACGGCGCCGGCCGCGGCAAGGTGGAGAAGCTGCGTGGCGAGAATGCAGGCACGTTCATCGCCTTTGACGGCGTCACGCCCGAGACGCGCGACAAGCTCATCCTCGAGATGCGCAAGCAGGGCGTCCACATGGGCGGCTGTGGCGACAAGGCGGTGCGTCTGCGCCCGATGCTCGTGTTTGAGCGCAAGCACGCCGACCTTTTCCTGGAGCGTCTCGAGAAGGCGCTCGGACAGCTCTGAGGGTGCATATTTGGCTTGGGCTGCTGTTTTATTGTCTCGCTCGATATGCTTGTTCAATCTTATATGGGTTTTCGGTCCGGCATGGTTCGAGGAGAGTGAGGACAAGCGTTGCCGGTGTGAAGAAGAGCTTAACTTTCGAGTGCACCTTTTTGAGGAGGTGATTTTTGTGTGAGCTGTGTGGAGGCTTTGGATCCAAATCCGACTCGCGCAGCTGCGTGTTGGATGCGAAGATCCCATGATCCGCACGGCCTTCTCCTTTGCTCACTTCAATCACCTCTTCTCCGTTACGGTCTTCACGTTCCGCTTCGGACTCTTCGAAAATGGCTGCGGATGAAGTTGCCTCTACTGCAGCTACCGCACCATCCACCTACGCCGCACCCACCACCACACCCGCACCCACATCCGCAGCACAAGCTGAGTCCGCACCCGCAGCAGACAGCAATGGTGCAGTGACCGAAGACGAGGCGGCGCTGTACGACCGACAGATCCGTCTGTGGGGCCTCGAGGCGCAGAACCGACTGCGCACAGCGCACGTGCTCATTCTCGGCTGGAACGGCATCGCGACCGAGATCATCAAGAACACGGTGTTGTCTGGCATTGGGAGCATCACGCTGCTGGACCCGACGCGTGTCGAGGCAGCCGTCGACCTGCTGACAGGATTCTTCTTCCGCGACGACGACGTAGGCCGACCACGATGCAGCCAGGTACCGCTCGACAGGGTGCGTGCACTCAACCCGCTCGTCAAGGTCGAAGGCATTGCGGACCAGGCTACGTACGACACGATCGTTCAAGCCGGAGACGAGGCGGAAGCGTGGTTGAAGGAGCGTGGTGTTGATGTTGTTGTGATCGGGACGCCGCTAGTCAAGCCGGGGAAGATGATCGAGCAGCTGGTGGGTATCAACGCGCTGGCGCGCAAGATGGGCATCAAGAGTTTTGTGTCTGCAACGTACGGGCTGGGAGGATTCTACTTTGCGGACCAGGTGGAGCACGACTACGTGGTGGAGCGCAACATTGATGGCGACAAGAAGCGGATCAAGCAGAGGCAGACGTTTGTATCGCTCGCCGACTCGCTCGCGCACACCTGGGTCGGACTTACCGACCGACAGAAGCGACGCACACGTATTCCGCTTGAATGGTTCGCCTGGCTAGCGCTGACGCACCTGCGCACGAGTCTCGCCTCGGACGCTGCATCGACGACCATCGCTCCTGCTGCATTGCGCGGACGCACGGTTGCTGTCATCAACGAGAAAGGGCTGGACGCAGACATGATCCTGCGCAGCACGGATGCGGAAGCGGTGTTTACAGGCATGGCTGCAATGCGCGTCGATAGCGACGGCATTACGCTTGCGCCCGTAGCTGCCGTGCTGGGCGGCGTGCTGAGCCAAGACATCCTCAACGCCATTGGGGGACGCGAAGAACCGGTGGTCAATTGGATGATGCTCAGCTTCAATGCAACGGGCGCCGCGACGGTCCACAAGATCGGCAGCCTCAGCGGTCCAGTGGTCGAGTAAAAGAAATTCATTACGCCAGTGCGAGTCCAAAACGAGTCCGAGTCCAAAGAGAGTGACACAAAAGAGAGGGGGGATGGGGGGAAATGAGTGTGGAAGGGGGCCCCCGGCGGGAGGTAGACCGGGCCCCAGCGAAGAAGAGCGCAGCTTGAGGAGGAAGTGGGGTGGAGAGCGAACAAATGAAAGGGCAGATCCAATAACGCAAAAGTAAGCGGGGAAGGGGGCAACTAAAGAGAGCGATCTAGAATGCGGTGAGGACGACAGCGATTGTGGCAACCACCGCCACACCGAGACCGCCGGCCATGTTGGCGGAAGCACTGTTCTGCGCCGTCCCTCCCTGCACAACAGTGTAGGAGGGCTTATCGCCCTTCTTGCCCACGGCATAATTAGCCGCATACTGACCGGGCTTTCCACACGTGCTGCCGTAGTTCTGCGCACACACGCCCAGGCACTTGTTCTGATCCTCGACCCCCTGACCCGGCTTGATGCACGCATCCCTACACGCCGTATTCCTGCCCTGACAATCGGCCAGCATAACGGGCCACTGGTACTGCTCCAGCCTACTTGCGCCCTTGGAGCACGAGCACGCCGTGCCCATGTACTTTGTCTCGCAAAAGTTGGTGAGCTTGGCGTCGGTCTCGTTGCACCCCGCGGTGCTGCAGAACTGCATCTGACTCGCGCACAGCGCCGTCTTGCTTGCGTCCGAGCTCGAGTTGAGCGCGAGGTTCCAGTTGTACAGCGGCAATCCACTCGTATCGGCAAAGACGATCTGGTACGGATTCGAAACCATGCTGGGGATCGATGCAAACGTGCCCGTCGCCGTCGCGGAGGGGAGGGTGAAGTTCGACGAGGCCGTGGCGTTGAGTGGTGGAAGCGAGGCGGGAAGGCGCGTGACGTCGATCGAGGCCGTGCTGGACGGAAGAGGTGGCGGCACATAGGTGACAGTACCAGCAGCGTAAGCGGGGGAGACGACTGGGTCGGATGCGATGGTACTGGTGGCAGGCGCATCGGTGCCCGAGGCGGTGGTGATCGCGTTGGTCGAAACACCCGACGGCGCCGATGCGAGCGCAGCAGACGACGCCGACGCCGCCGACGCCGCCGACGCCGCCGAAGTAGCCACCGACGCAGCAGAGGTGGCCACGGGTGCAGCAGACGCAGCCGCCTGTGACGATGCCTGCTGGCCCGGCGACGAGGTCACACCGCCACCCAGGTCGAGCGAAAGGATGGATTGGGCCTGCACTGGAGTGGCAGCAAACAGCGCCGCGGCCGACACCGCCACGAGGCCGGCAATGTTGCGCTTCATCGTTGTATCGCGCGCGTATATGTGAGATTGGCCGAATGAGTGTGTGGACCGTAGTCGAATGCGATCGGGTGTGGAAGATGGAGCAGAGTCGAAGCGTCGCCAAGGGTGGATGGAGAGATGGTGGAGTCGCGACGAGACGCGGATGGCAAGGAGGAGGGACGATGGTGGATGGCGCGGAGGAAAGGATGGATGGCGATCGTTTCTTGCGGGGGAGAGAGGTGGTCGCCCAGCCTCGAGCGCGGCTGCAACGGGGGAGGCGGATGGCTCTGCTGAAGCGCCGGTTTGCAACCGCGGCGGCGTCCGAGCGATTGCCCCGCCTGTCTTTTGCGCTGCTGCTGCTGCTGCTGCTGCTGCTGCTGGTGCTGCCGGACGCTGATCCCTGCCTCTGCAAGCCCTGACGGGCGGTTCCTGTATTTTTTGTGCATTTTTCTTTTTTTCCGTTTGCAGCTGGGGGGCTCTGTGGGGAAGGTGAGCGCGCAGCAGCAGCAGAACAGCAAGGGGAAACCTCGAGTGCAGCGCTGCAGCCTTGCATACGGCAGTGAGATGCGCTTGGGCGAACTCGAGCGCTGCAATGCCCAAAATTGGCAGCCAAAAAATCCAACTTGGGCCGCTCTCTCGCGTTTGTCTCGAAGCGGAAGGCCCAGCTGATCTGCGCGTCCAATCAGCCCCGCTCGTCGTCCAAATCCCCGAATTGGGCCTCCGAACCAGCTCAGCGCTTGCCTCGCAGAACTTTCCTCGACGCTTCACGCCATGGTCGCCATCCACCGCGACGCTTTGACCTCGATCGCTAGCCCGTGCTGCCTCGGCTCGGAAACATTCTCGTGCAAAAGAGGGGGTGGCACCGAGCTCGAGCACCGACTGGCTTGGGAGAGCTGCCGATGCGCACGCAGTGCAGTCAGGCAACGAGGGCGAGCGAGGACGTTGCGCTTCGCCAAGCGCTAAGCGAGCTGCGCTGAGCTCGAAATCGATTTGGCCTGCCCAATTTTCCTCCCCGCCTGTTTTCACGTTCCTCGTATGATGTCGACGGCTGCTGAGGAGAATACCAGCAACAACAAATTCGCGCGTCAATCGTTGTTCGGGGTTCGCGATCGAACAGCTTTAAAGGTTAGAAATCCCGACTCCCGAGGCAAAAGTGCATCTTCGCGTGGACCCTGAGCGCAAGACAGGCCGGGCAATATCTTGGCTTCACACCAGATCAGCTTTACGCCGGCTCAGCCACTCTGGTCAGCACCACCACGACACGGATCCGAAGGCATGTGCTGAAGATGCTCCCACACAGCTCGCAGTACAGTGCGTACGGCAGCGGCCGCGCAGGTCACGGCCTCTCGCAGCCGGGCGCCGCGCCCTCGTCCGACTTTGACGAACTCTTCTCGAGCCAGCCGGGACCCTCTTCCGGCTTCGGTCACCAACCCTCGCAATCCACCAAGCGGCCTCGCTGTCCGGAATGCGGCACGCGCAAGATGCGTCTGCGCGCCGGCCAGCTTATCTGCAAGCGCGGCCACGTCCAGCAGTTCTTCCGCGTCGAAGAGGCCGAGGGCGACGAGTACATTGGCGACGGCATCGCGCGCAAGCGCAGAGTCCAAAAGACACACCGCGTGCGCAGACTCAAGAGTCAGCATACGCCGTGGTACTCGCAGCCGGAAACCGACGTCGAGCCCGAGGACAGCGAGGAGGATCAGCTGGAGCACGAGAGCACACGTGCCAAGAAGCGGCCGAGGAGCTCCAGTTTCCGTTCTGCAGGTGCGGAAGAGGATGAAGACGAGCTTCTTGAAGACAGTCAGGATGAAGGATCCGATAATTTAAGAGCTAGGCCCTACTCGATCAGGGAAGATAGCTTCTTCGAACGCACGCCTCGCTCGCTCCGAAGCTATGCAGCTTCCTCGGCCGCCGAGGAGAGCGGCTTCGAGTCCGAGCTCGATTCTCATGCCCGTGCATCCCGCCGCGGCATCCGCAGTATCTGGCGCTCCGGTGTCGGCCTCCACGGCGCCTTCGAAGGCCGTTTTGCGCTGCTCCAATGCCTCCAGCTCGTGCTCCGCCTCCAGCTGCAAAGGCTGCGTGAGCTCTGGGGCGACAGACTGCCTCGCGAGACCGAAGCGGTGGCGCGCGATCTATGGGCGATGTTCGTCTCGCTCCTCCCCGTCGGCCACTATCCACCGGAGCCGCTGATCGCCGCGACGTTCGACTGGCACACGCGCACGGCGCTGTCGCAGGAACGCGCCGCCGAGATCTTCCCCAACCACCAGACGTACGATCCGGAAGCCGACATCCACGCCCACAGGCGCACCATGCTCTTCAACGCCTTCCACCACCACTGCGAGCGCAGCGCCAGGGGCGAGGATGTGGCTGCACGCCGCTTCCCCACGCAGCATGCCGACGACCGCGCCGACGCCGAGGACCCAGGTGTGGCCAAGGAGTGCATTGATTGGATCGTCGGCAATGCAGAGGACCAGAGTGTGAGGTCAAGGTCGCAGCGCTCGAGCGAGGTGGAGAGTCTGGCGGACCCAGAGGACGAATTGGCCCAACTCGACCCGGTCTTTGCCGAACAACGCCGGCGGCAGCAGGCAGCAACGTCCGAGAGCGAGCCACACGACACCGAAACCGAGCACGGCGGACAGGGCGGGCAGGGTGGGAGGACGAGGCGCAAGCGAAAGCGCAGATTCCTGCCGCCCTGGGCGACCAAGAATGCGGTGGGTACTGCGCAGACCGAGATCCTGCAGCTGGCTACGGTGCCTACAACGGTATCCATCGTGTACCTCGCGCTGCACTTGCTCAAGGTGCCTGTATTCTGGGCGGACTTGATGAAGCTGATTGCATCGTACGAGCTGCCGTTTTTGAATGTGGTGCATCGGCTGCCACTTGCGCTCACGCGCTCGCTCAACAAGGATAACGTCCACCACCATCTGCTCGACACGGATGCGGTGCCGAGCATCTCGGCGCTGCATCTGCATACGCTTGGCGTGGCGGAGCTGCTGCAGCGCACGTACGGCGTCGAATTCGGCGATGCCAATGTGTCCGGTCAGCTCGCGCGGATGACAGAAGCCATGTTGCTGCCCCCGACGTTCTATGTGGCGACGAAGAGATTGCTGGATGTTGTAGCGCGCGGGGTGACACCCCAGCTGCTGCCTTCACGCAGCAAGGGCAAACAAGATGAGGAGGATGGGAAGAAAGCAGGGTTGCCGGGAGCGGCGTTGGTGCAGCGGCTGCCGAAGGAGTTTGTGCTCATGGCTGCATTGCTTGTCACCGTCAAGATGCGCTACGGGCTCGATGGGCAGGAGAGGTGCGAGGGTGTGGGTGTGGATGGAGCCCTTTCGTGTGCGCCCGAGCTCGACGCGTGGTTGGCAGCACTCGATGCGAGGAGGGACCGATTTCGCGCGTCGAAAGAGGCAGTACCGCGCGTCGATCCGACCGAGCTCGATCCGCTCAGTATGTCGGACGACCAGCTGGACGCATACGCCTCGTTTGTCGAGACCAACTTGGTGCTGTCGAACCACATTGATCTGCACGAATGGCGCCGACTCGAGCCGCAGCATCGATGGGCTGCTTTCACCAAGTTCATCCCGGAGCTTTCCGATTCGAACCCTCAATGTGGGGATGGTTCTGGTCGCGGTGATGGAGGAGGTACGAAGGAGTGGGCCGAGCTGGAGGCGGATTTGCGCGGGCTTTATCGACGACACACTGCACGACCTGGCGAAGGGGGTTTGAAGGCGGGGGAGCGGTATGTGATGCACCAGTTTGCGCCGGGTGCGGGTGCGCCCTCGGATGCGGATCCGCTCGGGCTGTGTTACTCGCCGCTGTACCCGCGCGTTATGCAGCATGCCAACGAGGTGGTGGGCATCCGTACGCCCCAGTCGGCCAGTGTGGCTATGGACGTGCTGGTGGATCTCGAGTGCACGCGTGCGCGCACGCGCGGCGCAGATGCGGTTGTCAGGACCTGGGAAATGGCTTATGGCATACAGGCTCACCTCGAGGCTGTCGAGAGGATGCTCGATGCAGAGACAGAACATAGGGCAAGGAATATCAGGAGGAACCTCGCCCGAAAAGCCCCTGCACGGTCGACCGAATCCGCACCACACCACCTCGAAGACGAACAGCACCAAGAGCATGAAGAAGAGCTGGAGGAAGAGCTTGAACAGGCGCAGCAGGAACAGGATCAACACACCGACGAGTACCAAAACAGGAGCAAGCCGCGAGACACCTGACCTGCCCATCATCCCCACTCGCAATGCAACCCTATGCGCACGTTGACAGGCTCCCTGTGTGAAATATGTATTCTATGGCTTGCTACGCATGCTCGTCGTCGTCGTCCACGCCAAACAGCACAAACGACTTTTTGGGTGCATCGCCCCACTCCATCTCGCCATGCGCGCCGTTGAACCGCTGACCCGCTCTCCGATCCAGCCCGTCATCGCGCTCGGCCTGGTCGACGTGGTCGGCATGCTCGTTGTATCCGAACCGACTCGCGTGCGTGTCGCCGTACACCGAGTCGTCATCCACGCTTTCTCTCGGCGCATGCGCATGCGCTGGCGGCTCGCGCACGCGGATGGCGGCGGTAGCCTGCTCGAGCTCCTGCAGCGTGCGCGTGTTTACAAGGAAGCCGATGCCGTCCGACAGCGGCTCGCCGACGGGCACAAACCACAGATACCACACGTCGCCCATCACCTGGCGCCAGTTGCTGCGCGCGCCCACGTCGTACACGTTGAGCTTGCTCGCCTTTTTCAGCGCACGCCGCTCGTTGCGCGTCAGATGCTCGTCGCTCCGCCACACGCCCTCTCCTCCGCGTCGATGCTCTTGTGCTGGTGGAGGCGCGTCCGTGGACGTACGCATGGCACTGCGCAGCCGGTCTTCGACGCGCGCGCGTGCCGCATCGCGCTTGACGCGCAGCCGGATGCGCCCCGAGCCCTCCATGCTCTCGATGGTGGTGCGGTTCTTGCAGATCAGCCACGCATGGTAGCCTGCAAACGGCACCAGGCTCGCACCGAAGATGAAGCCGAGGAAGAGCACCACCGCCCACGTGATCGGGCTCGACTCGAAGCCGTTCTGCTCGTACTCGACGTAGCGGAGCAGCGCGCGTGCGGTCTCCTGGCAACAGTACACGCAGAAGAGCGCCGTATAGCTGATGAACAGGAAGAAGGCCTTGTGGTTGCGCAGGCCTACACAGCGGTTGGCGAGCCAGGGGCAGTGGTGGTCCATGCGCAGCACACACCGCTTGCAGGTGCTACAGTGGTGCGAGCGATCCGGCTTGGGCGCATCGCACTTGTTGCACCAGCGCGACTCGCCGCTCGACTTGACCCAGATGTTGGCGCGTCGCTCGACTGCCGCGTCTGTTGCCGACGAGGCGTGGTTGCGCAGAAGCTGCAGGTCCGCCAGCTGCTCCCGACCCGATCGCGCCGGATACTGCGGCTGGCCTGGAATCGGCACGCTGAACAGCGCGGCTCGAGCAGCTCCACCGTCCTGCTCGTCTTGTCTGTCGTGGCGATCCAAGTCACTAGATGGCCGGCCCTGTTCCGGATGTTGCCGACGCATGAGAGATTGAGCCTCTTCCTCTGGCTCTCCGTCCAACTCGTACTCGCTCGCAGGCCGCGCACCGCCCCATCTTTCCCGATCACCTGAGCGGCCAGGAGAGCCCGGATCGCGAAAGACCGCAACGACGAACGACCACACTGCCCCGCCAGCGAGCGCAGTAGAGAGCAGCAGCTCGATGATCGCAGATCCCCATTCGTGCTTGCGAGCGAGGTGGTAGCGCAGCGCGAGCGAGATGGTGACGGTGAGGTAGGCAAACGAGATGAGGCCAGATATGAAGACGAACGGCACCCAGCGCAGGTTGCGACAGACGCACTTGAGCCAGCTGGGGGCGCGCGGGTCCTTGGGATCGCATGTGAACGCCATGGCTGGTTCTCGATGTCCGCCGAGCCAGTTGGCGGCGTGTTGGTCTGGGAGCGGGACCGCGTGCTCGAATGCGCACCGACCGGCAGCGTAGCCTCCTTGCGATGATGGCGTGAGATGCCAAGGTAAGAAGGTCCGGAAGCGCCGATGATGATGGATCCAAGTCGGCAGGTCGCAAGTCGGATGAGCCGACCGTCGACCTCCACGCCAAATCCCGATCCGCGGCCCAGGCAGGACGTGAGCCAGACCCTGAGCTGTCTGAGCGCGCCTCCAGCGGCCGAGCCCGAAAAAAGTGTTGGTCTCCACATGCGCGCGACTCAGCCGCTGCTTCTGATTCCGGATGCCCCGCCGCTCCTTCCTCGCTGTCACCTTCCCACGGCCACTGTGATTGCTCGCAGGGGCACCACGCACCACCCTTCGCCTCAATCACGATCGACGTGCACTCGCATCGCAGATCGTAAGCCAGGGACACCAGAGGCTGAACTCCGATAGCGCTGAGGCGCTTAGTTTGGCAGCCACCCTCTCGTTGATCAAAACATCAAGGCCTGCCGTCCTCGCATGACCTCGGCCGCTCTTCGGCCTATCTAGCAGAGATGGCCTCGCTCGACAAGCTCGCCATTCGCGGCGTCCGTTCCTTTGACGACAAGTCGATCAACATCATCCAATTCTTCCAGCCGCTGACTGTTATCGTCGGCTACAACGGCAGCGGCAAGACCACGATCATCGAATGCCTCAAGTATGCCACCACCGGCGACCTTCCACCCAACACCAAGGGCGGTGCCTTTGTGCACGACCCGCAAATGGCCACCTCCAACGAAGTCAAGGCCCAGGTGCGTCTGCGCTTCTATGCCGCCAACAAGGTCCGCATGAATTGCGTCCGCAACCTTCAGGTCTCGCGCAAAAAGGGCGGCGGCCTCACCATGAAGACGCTCGAGGGCCTGCTCCAGATCGCCGACGACGACGCCAAGACCGGCAAGCGCGGCACTCTCTCCACAAAGTGCTCCGAGCTCGACGAGGAGATCCCCAGACTGCTCGGCGTCTCCAGGTCCATCCTCGAAAACGTCATCTTCTGCCACCAGGAAGACAGCAATTGGCCCCTCGCCGAGCCAGCGAGCTTGAAGAAGAAGTTCGACGATATCTTCGAAGCGACGCGCTATACCAAAGCGCTTGACAATATCAAGAGCCTCCGCAAGGACCGCACCAACCAGCTCAAGGTCGACAAGGCAGCGCTCGAGGGGCTCAAAGTGGACAAGGATCGCGCAGACAACATCAAGAGCAAACTCACCCACCTTCAGGCCGACCTCGCGCAGAAAGAGGCCAAACTCGAGGACCTCAACGAAGAGATCCGCATCAAGACCGTCCAAAACTCCAAATTCTACGACGAAGCCACTCGGTTCCGCGAGATCGTCAGCCGTGCCGAGACACTCGAAGAGAAGGAGAGGCTCCACAAGGAGAACATGGAGGCGCTCAAAGCCACCATGACGCCCATCAAGGACAGCGACGAAGACTTGCAGAAGCGCAAGCAGACCTTCCGCGCACAGCTCGATCAGAGCCATGCCAAGATCAGCACGCTCCAGACGCGCATCGCCAAGAGGGAGGACGAGCTGGAGACGCACGAGCAGCGTCATCGCAAGAAGCTCTCGGACAAGGGCGGTCTCGAGGCCGAAAAGCGCGCCCACGTCCAAGCAAAAGAGAAGCGCGAGACCGCCGTCAAGAAGATCAGCACCGAGCTCGGCATCAAGGGCTTTGCAGGCGACGGTCTGAGCGATGCACAGATCCGGTCCTTCGAAGACCGTGTCAAGGAGGACGTGCGCAAGCTCGACGACGAACTCGGGCGTCTACGTGAAGCAAACGCCCAGAAGGACGATCAGCTCACCACTGCATGGCAAAATGCTCGCGCCGAGCTGCGCGCCAAGCAGAACGCGCGAGAGCAGCTCGTCGACAATGTGCGCAAGCTGCGCGAAAAGATCAAGCGTGCACAGGAGGAGCTGGACGGCTATGCGCTCAGCGATGCCGACGTCGAAGCTGCGACGCGCGAACGAGAGAACCTGGCCGCCAAGGTGACCGCAGCGCAGAAGGAGTTCACAGATGCCAACTACGACGAACAGATCCGTCGCAAGAACGCAGAGATCCGCGAGAAGGACGATCTGCGAGAAGAGCGCACCGCCGAGATCAACCTGCTCAATCGACATGCCGAGCTGCGAGCTTCTCTCGCCCTCAAGATGCAGCAAGCAGGCTCGCGCCGCACCAACGCGCAAGGTCTTTTCGACCGCCACAAGGCCTCGATCTCTCAGCACGTCTCCTCGAACGTCGAGCTCTCGTCCGTCGAGAACGAGCTGACCCGGGCGCTGTCAAAGCTCGAGAAGCAGGCTTCCGAAGTCGAGGCGAAGAACGTCGTAAAGAACCGACAGCTTCAGGAGGTCGAGTCGACCATCTCGTTCGCTCGCAAACAGCTCAAGAGCAAAGAAGCGGCGGCGAACGAGCTGCAGCAGGCCATCACTGCGATCCTGTCGCCCGACTTTGACAGCGCCGAGGAAGCGGTCAAGGTCTGCGCAGAGGAGATCGCAGCCGCCAAGGACGAGTATGCATCGATCGACTCGCTCGATTCCTTCTTGAGACGTGTCCTGCGCGAAGCAAAGGGCAAGGGTCACTGCTTTGCCTGCAATCGCGGCGTCACTCCGGGCGAGTACGAAGCTATCGAAAAGCACGTCTCCTCCACCCTCAGCACGAGCAACACAACCGAAAAGAAGAAGACGCTCAAAGCCGACATCGATGGCTGGACCGAGAGGAGCGCCGAATGCCAGACCGCCCTTGCCAAAGATGCCCAGCTCAAGGCCATCCGCGACAACGAAATGTTGGACCTGCGAAAGACGCTGGATGCCAAAGAAGCCGAACTGAAGCAGGTCGCTGCGGCCGCGGAGGAAGCCTCCGCCGAAGTGTCCAAGATCCAGTCCCAGCTCAAGGAGCTGCAATCGCTGAGACGGGTCGGCTCCGACATTGCCCGGCTTCTGTCGGAAGCCGGCGACCTGGAATCCGAGGTGCGCGGCTTGCAAAGTGATCTCGCCACCACCGGCTCGACGCAGACGGGCGAACAGGTGCAAGCCGAGATCGACGAGCTCGCCTCGTCCATCCGAGTGCTCAAGCGAGAGCTCAACGTCTTGCAACAAGACCGCGAGACCAAGCGCACGCTGATCAACAGCCTCGAGCGAGACGCACACCGAGCCGAGGTGGCTGTCATCACCAAACAGCAGGAGCAGGCCAAGAAGACTGCCGTGCAGACGCACCTCGGCGAGATGAGCGCGGACTTTGACGAGCATCAGAAACGCATCAAAAGCCTCGAAGCCGAGATCGAGACATCCAACGCACCGATCCGTCGCGCCAAGGAAGAGTTGGAGACTTTCAAGGCGGAGGCTGGTGAAGCGGAGAACAAGCTCAAGAAGCGAGCAGACGAGCTCGAAGGCTGGGCCAAGCAGATCCGAGAACTCAACGCCGCTGTCAACGCCTACCTCCAACAGCGCGGTGACAAGCGCCTCGAGGAGTGCGAGGAAGCCATCAACACGCTCGTCGAGCAGATCCAAGCCATTCACCGTGATGTCAAGGAGCTCACGGACAAAGCCGCCGAGCTGCAGAAGGAGCTCAACCAGTCGCAGGCCACCGAGCGCAACATCCTCGACAACATTCGCTACCGGCAGCTGGCCAAGGATGTAGCGCAGATCGAGGAGGAGATCAACTCGCTCGACCTCGAGCAGGCGCAGCGCAGCCGCAAGCACTTTGCAGACAAGTACACCGAAGCCAAAGAGGAGGAGAACAAGCTCAACGGTGAAGCATCGCATCTCAGCGGAGAGCTTGCATCTCTGCGCTCGCAGATCAAGGGACGCGAGGCAGAGCTGCGAGACGAGTTCAAAGGCGTGCATCAGAACTACAAGCGCAAGCTGATCGAGGTCAAGACGTCCGAGATGGCGAACAACGACCTGGAGAAGTACGCCAAGGCGCTCGAAAACGCCATCATGCGATACCACGCCATCAAGATGGAGGAGATCAACGACATTGTCCGGTACCTCTGGCAGAAGACGTACCAGGGGACCGACATCGACACGATCCTCATCAAATCGGACAACGAGGGCGCGCGCGGCAACCGGTCGTACAACTACCGCGTGTGCATGGTCAAGGATACGGTGGAGATGGACATGCGCGGACGCTGCTCGGCGGGACAGAAGGTGCTTGCGTCGATCATCATCCGGCTGGCGCTGGCCGAGTCGTTTGGCAGCAACTGCGGCATCCTGGCGCTGGACGAGCCGACGACGAATCTCGACAAGGACAACATCGAGGCGTTGGCGAGAAGTCTGGCCGACCTGATCAAGGAACGCGCCGAGAACAGCCAGCTGCAGCTCATTGTCATCACGCACGACGAGGACTTCTTGACCTTGCTCGGCCAGAACGACGTGCTCGAGTACTACTGGAGGGTCAGCCGCGACGTGCACCAAAAGAGCATCATCGAACGCGAGCGCATTCGCAACACGTGAGGCGGGGCGGCCTTCAATCCCCACTCTTTGTTCCTGTTACGGTAACTTAGTCTCGCTCGTCTCGCAATCGCAGCAGCATAGCATGTGCAGTCCGAGTCGACCGGTGCAGGGACAAACAGAAAGCGAAGCTGTTTTTTCTCGGCCCGGATTTGTTAGATTGGTAGTGTGATGTTTGGGAAGAAGCGTGGAGGTGTGATTTCTGGCCGAGGGTGATGGCCATGCTCTCTTCGAGATCACACTCTCTTGGCATACTGCCAATACCACTCGGGCTGAGCTGGACGCACACGACTGCATCGTCCGTCTCAAGCCACGAGCCCCACCATCTCGCGAGCACAATGCGTCGGCCGGCACCGCCTCCAACCGGCGATGTGCTCGACCTGGACTATGGCAGCGCCGACGGGACGGCAGTGGAAACCAGTCAAGGGGATGTGACAAATGAAACGGCTGACCACGCACGAGGTGCAGATGAAGTCAAATCTTCACACGCTTTGACCCGCGCCAAGCCAGACGAGCTTGTTGGAAGCACCCGCAAGCTTCCTGCAGCGTACGACACCGACGATGTGGATCCCGCAGCATCCTCGACGGGGCCTCCGAGCTTGGGCCCCGTTGCTACAGCCGCTGCCATCTCGGAAGGATTTCAAGTGCCAGCGCATAACCAGGATGCGAATGCTGTCGCAGGGCCGTCTTCTGCAAAGCTTGCGGGAGCTAATGCGGTTACGGACAGTGGCGCAGCTGCGGAAGGCTTGTGGGTTGATTCTGCTCAGCACCACCCTCCGCCTCCGACCTATCCGCCGCCCGCTCTGCCCCACGGCGATGCGGTGCAGGAGCAGCAGCAACTTCCGTCCCATTACGGGTACGACCCAAACCTTCCACACTTGCATCACTCCGCCTTTGAGCCAAATCATCAAGGTTTGCACGGCGGCGTCTATCTCGGCGCGTCTGCGCAGCATCCGATTGCCAACGGCGGCTCAGACTATGCCCAGATGAACCACCCTTTTGTTCCCTACGATCAGCCCTATGATCCTCGCATGCCCATGCCCTTTGGCCCTTTCGCAGCAGGATCCATACCGCCACCATACGCGTTTCTTCCATATCCTCAAAGCAACCCCTATCCAGGAGGCTACGCAGCGCACCTCATGGATCCGAATGCGATGGATGATTCCACTGCGCAGCTGAACCGGAAGCAACGGAAGAAGCTCCTCAAGAACCAGAAGAAGAAAGACAAGAAGCTCAGGGCGCTCTCAGCTACAGCGGCGCCCTTCGATCCTGCTCCAGCCAACGTCGAGCTGGTCTGGACCGAGGATGGCAAGCCCCAAGCCTTGGCCATGATCAGCGAGCTCCATTCGCGCGGAGTGCCTCCGGCTCGATTGGCCGAACAGGGCGTGCCACTTGCGATGATCGAAGTGTGCTGTGCCGAACTTGGAGTGTCCGCACATGTTGCGGGACCGCCAGAGCAGCCTGCCGAACCACCAGCGACGGCGCCGAGCGACACCGAAATCCAGGTGGCCAAGAGGTTGGTGCAGACGACCAAGGCAGAAAACGAGCTTCTGGAAAAGCAAGAACAGGGCGTGCCATTCACACCGTTGGAAGAGCTGCGACGAAAGGCACTGGCTTCCCGACTAGCCAAGGCGGCTGCGGCGTCGACAGCCTCGGCGCAAGAAGGTGCCGATCGGCAAAGCAACGGCAGTAGTCCTTCCTCAGCTGAGACATCGTCAAAGAAGTCGACTGCCTTTGACCGCGTTGCCACCTCTGGCGAAGCCGACGCGCTCGTGTCGCAGATCAGCGGAGTCATGCGTAGCCTTCTGCAACCTGCGCAGCCAGCGGCAGAACAGTCCAGCACGTCCCGAAAGAGGGCCTACCGAGACATCGATGCTGTCGATCCGAGCGATTCAACCTGGGACGGTGATCTTGCAGCGGCTGACGCTGCGACTTCGCCCCTGCCTGTTCGACGGCAACGCATCTCGTACGCCGACAACTTCAGCCGGGCGGCCGTGGCGCCATCTGGCGAAGTCGATCTCAGCACGCCGCTGCCCGAGCTCCCGGATGCAGCGAGGTCGCCTCAACCTCGTCGACCGAGACCTGTGGCAGCCGACTTTGACACGGCCGAGTACGTGCCCAAGCCGCCGAACCGGTTTCTCGACGTGCCGTCGGGCCTCAACACTGTTGTCGACCTTTCCGACGAGGAGCCGGAGGACGCGGAAGTGGCGGCGTTCGACTCGGCGGACGGCTGGACCGAGGTGCGGCCGGCGCTCGATCCACGCCGCGTGCTGGAGCTGCGCCACCGAACGGCGACCGAGCACTACGATACCTTTTGCTCGCTCAATGGTCTGTCGCCTTCGCGCAGGCCGGCCACGCCGCACCGAGACAGCGACGGCTTCGAGAACGACGTTGGTGCGGTGCCGGACGCGCTGGTCGCGCAGATCTCTGTGTCCGGGACGTCGTCCGGTGGACCTAGCACGCCGTCGCGCGAGGACCTGCTGCGCAAGGAGCTCGAGATCAAGCAGCTGATGCGCAAGATTCAGATGATGGAGGAACGCAAGAAGCAGCAAGAGGCAGCAGCAACAGCACCGTCGAGGTCGCCAGCACAGCCTCCCCGCGCGCAAGACGGACTGGACGGCGCCGGCTTGCGGCCCGGTGGTGCGAACGGGAGCCAATCGGCGGTGCAGCCTGCGGACGCGTCGGGTTCGAATCCAGCGTTGAAGGATGCGTCGTCACAAATGGGAAGCACGGCGAGCAGCAGCGTGCGGCTTGATCCTGCATTGCAGAAGCAGCGCGAGCAGCTGCTGGCGCTGCTGGCGAGCCGGCGCAAGAACGTCAGCGCCGCGGCACCACGCGACGCTGCTTCGACTTCAGAGGCGGCCAGGGATGAGGGCGTACCATCGCCAGCTGTTGGCATGGCTGTGAGCGACGCTGGACTGGAGCGGAAGGAGGTGAGTGCGGGCAAGTGCGCTAGTGCTTTTGTGTGTGTGTTGGATCCATTGACCGTTGAATTTTTGCTCGGAACCGGTTTGGCGGGCAGAAGACGCGCGGATCGCGTTATGTGCCGCTGGTTCCGAGTCTGTTTTCGAGTGTAAGTGGTGCTCGTCACACTCGTCGCTCGACAGCAGAGTCTTGCGGGGGGGGGGGGGGGGTTTTTGCGTTTTGACCTTTTTTTGGTTGGTCTGGGGGATTGGTTAGGTGGCGAGTCGGGTGCGTGCGTATCTGCCACTGTCCTGGGGCACGTCATCTGGCGATGTGGACAGGTTGGCGATAAGGTGGTGTCCGCGCGAGGCAGATGGCGCACACTGCACAGACACACGATGCACCCAACGCCATGCCAAAGGTAAGTTCCCCAAACCTTCAAGGGGAATGTGGTCAATGACTAACACAGCTTGTCTGTCGGTGGTGCAGAGTTCAACGCAGAGTGACAACGCAGAATGATGCACAAGTGAGAGGTAGGTTGTTGATCCCCACACACGCGCGCACGGTTTGGACTGTTCGACATACGGTTCTCATCGTCCCACCCACACACGCACGCGTAATGCAAAATGGCAATCTTCACAATCACACACACTCCCAAGCGTTGTTTTCGACTGTGATGGATGAAGATTGCAACTGGAGTAAATCAGGCAAGGTAGGAGTAGGTGTCCTTCTGGCCGTCTGCGCGTTCGAGGTACTCCTTGTCGATCAGCTGGTCGATGGCTTTTTTGATGTCGGGCACACGTGGGGTGAATCGCGAGCTGACCTGGGCGACGGTCTCCTGGATGAGCGCCTGATGTTTGATCTGCTTCCTACTCTTCATGATGCGCACGATGGTCGCCTGGAGCAGCAACCTGCGATCCTCGTCGACCGTCTTGAGCACGTCGTTGCTCTCGATCTTCTGCTCGCTCTTGATGGGCAGGTTGAGATTGACGCGCAGCTTCTTGGACTTGAAGTTGACGTTGAGCTCGTACGACTCGTCGCCCGACGTCTGCAGCACCTTCGCCTTGGTCAGCATCGCAAGCACCGCCTTGAGCGTCGCATCATTCAGCCCCGTTGCTTGCGCAAGCTGGCTGCGCGACAGCACGTCGTTCGTGTTGAACTGCAACAGCACCGCCGTCTGGAACGTCGAGGTCTGGAACTGCAGCTTCTGCTGCAGGTAGTTGGCGCGCACCTCGTTCTTGCTCAACTGCCAGAGCCACGTCAGCTTGCGACCCGAATGCTTGGCACTGTAGTGACGCTGGAAGCGCTCGTACGTCGGCAACAGCTCCGTCGGAATGCTAAAGTCCGTCGTGGGCGCCTGCAGCGGCCAGAATCCGTTGGCGAGGACGAGCGCGTAAAAGTCGACGTCCAACTCGGCCTTGTCGTGGTTCTTGGCCATGGTCTCCTTGAAGTGGTCGTTGAGCTCCTTGGACAGGCCCATGTCGGTGAACATGCGCGCGAGCTTGGCCGTGTATTCGAACCCACACGCCTCCTTGAGCCGCGAGATCATGTTGGCCTCTGCATCGTCCGACGCCGAGGCAAAGTTGACCAGACGCTTGGCGAGCATCTTGGAGTAGAACTTCTGGAAGACGTCCTTGTCCTCGATATACTTGAACACCACCATGACGTCCGAGAGCGCCTCCTCGAGCGAGCTTTCGGCCGACGACTTGTTCGACTTTTTGAGCAGCGCGTCGGTGTGCTTGGCGAGCAGCTCGGGCGACTTGGACGTTGATGTGCCCGTCGCCTTGTTGCGGTTGACAAAGTCGCGACACGCCTTGTCGAGCGCCGCGAGGAAGCCTGCCTCGCCGCGGAAGGCGACGTTGATGGTGTTGAGGTTGGCGCGGTGCGCCTCGAGCAGGGCCGATGTGTACGCACCCGGGTCGAGCGAGTCGCTGGCAGCAGCACCACCAGCAGCAGCGGCCGCGGGCGCCGCCGATGTCGAAGCCGAAGCGCCGTTGGCAGCCGCGCTGGGCTCGGATCCGCCGACGACCTTTTCGACGGCTGCGAGGCCGACGCGCTTGACGTGCTGCTCGAACTTGGTGCGCAGCGGCTCGAGACCCTCGGGGATGCGCGAGAGGAGCGTGTAGATGCGCGACAGATCGTCGGCGTGGTCCCTGTCGAGCAGCTGCTGGAACTCGTCCCATAACATGGTCGAGTGGCGGCGCACAAGCACGCTGTCGCACGTGGGCACGAGCTTGGTGCGCGTGGAGGCGTGGAGGTAGAGCTCGACTCGGTCCTCCTCCTCCTTGAGTCGGGTCTCTGCCTTCTTCATGTAGTCGGTGGCGGTGTTCTGCGCCACAAAGGCGTCGGATTCAGCGGTGTAGTACGCCTCGGTGGCCTCGAGGAAAGGCTTCTCGAACTCCTGGCGATAGACGTCGAGGTTCTGGCGGTTGGTATCGGTCTCGTCGAGGCCGAGCGAGACGAGCGAGTCGACGACCTTTTTGACGAGCGATGCTTCGATGACCTCGCCGTTGCGCTGCTTCTCGATCTGCTTGAGCAGGGCGTGTACGAGGCGGCCCTTCTGCTGGACGTAGCGGAACATGTGCTCCTTCCACTGGACGAGCGCGAGGATGTAGACGGTGTAGACGTACTTGCGGCCCTCGTCCTTTTCGCGCTTGACCCAGTGGCGGTTGAGGTATGCAAAGAGGCGGTGGACGAAATTGGCGCCGGTGGTGTAGCGGTCCCACTCGGTGGCGTAGTAGCGGAGCAGGGGCTCTTCCGAAAGGCCATCGGAGCCCTGGCGGACCTGCTCGAGGTGGGTGCGGAAGTAGCCGATAAGGCAGTTGTAGAGCTCTGCGCCGACGAGGTTGGTGCCTCCTTTTGAGCCAAAGGGACCGGAGGAGCGGCCCAGGACGGTTGAGGAAGAGGCGAGCGATGAGGAGGTGAAGTGGTTGTAGGCGACGGTGTAGAGCTCCATGTAGCGAGGATAGGTCATTCCCTCCTTGAGACGAGTCATCATGAGGTCGATGCCTGGCTCGAGGAAGCCCCAAGTTGCCTTTGCATCGTGCACGGCGGGCAGACGGGTCTGGCCGGCGGCGGCGGACGAGGAGGCAGAGGCGGCAGACATGGCGGCTCAGGCCTGAGCAGCTTGCCTTGGTGGTGTGCAGATGGCGGTTCGATGGAAGAGCAGTCGGCTGTTAGGCGGAACGCAGGGAAGCGAGAATCGATGGATGGCGAGGAGGCGCAGGCACGACTGCCTGATGAGGATGTGATGGACGGAGGACGCAAGCACGGCTTGAGGTCGTCAGGGACGGAGAAGGAGCTGCGTTCAGGTTGGCCAGAGCGAATCGCGCCAGAGATCGGATGCAGGCCGATGTGATGGTGGGATGGGATGCAGATGGGTGGAGAGACGGAAATGTGCCGATGTGCTTCTTGACGCTGGCATGGCGTGGCGAAGTGATGGCTGTCGAGCAATCTGACAGCGGCGCCTCGAAAGCGAAGCTACGGCGGCTCAGCGCGTGTGCGCATCGTCAAAATCCGGGCTGCAGAGCGCAGCTCTACGACTTGGCCGGCAATCATCCGCACGCGCTGACAACGGCCCACGCGACTCCACAGCACTTTCGGAGCTACTTTTTCCACGCCCGGCCCAAGCGGCAGTGAGAGTGACGCTGCTGCTGCTGAGCCTCGGTGGAAGCCCTGTCGTGATCGGGTCCAATCCTCCACATTTCGCCCCTTTGGCTAATTTGTAGGCTGTGACGTAACTCTGCTCTAACATTGTTTTCGGAGCGCTTGATCTCACCAGCAGAGCCCGACCCTTGAGCCCATTTACCGATAATGAAGTCGCAGACTGTGATCAGCCCGAGTCACAGGGGAGAAGTGGTGTCCGTATTACAAGGATAGTACCGGTGAAGTTTGCTGCAATAGTGACGAATGACGAAGCGTGGTGGCAGGAAAAAGCGTTGGCGAGCGCCGGACTAAACTTAAAGCTTGATGCCAGTCCAGATGGTGGCGACACCGAACGTGAGATCCTCCCATGCGCCTGCAACATCCTCGCTGCCTGGTGCGCTGCCAGATTCTGCAGGGAAGCCGAGACTCGTGGCGGTGGGCGAGCCGGGCAGGTGGAAGCCCGCCTCCTTCATCATCCTGGCAAACTGCGGCTGCGTCGGGAATCGCTCGATGGACTCGACCAGGTACTGGTACGATGCGCGGTCGCCCGCCAGCATCTGGCCCAGCGGCGGAAGCACGTTGAAGCTGTACTGCTTGTACGCTTCGGCCAGGAAGGGCACGTTGACTTTGCCGAACTCGAGGCAGCTGAACACGCCGCCCGGCTTGAGCACGCGGTACGCCTGCTTGAGCACCTCGTCAATGTGCGTGCAGTTACGGATACCAAACGCCATTGTGAACAGGTCAATCGACTCGTCTGCGATGGGTTCGCTGATCAGCGGTGGCAGGTACGGCTGCTTGCTGTTCGGCCCGCGCACGGGCTCCGGTGGCACGGGCATGCTCGAGTCGAGCTGCTCCGCATTGCCCAGCTGGAACGTCACCTGCGGCCCGCCCCAGTACATGGTCTGCTTGAATCGCTTCTGGCCTTCCTTGAGCATGCTCGGGTTGATGTCGAGCACGGTAACGTGCGTCTCGCGGTCAAAATGCTTGGTGCGCGCGTGGTCGAGGATGCGCAGCGCAATGTCGCCCGTGCCTCCAGCCACGTCGAGCACCTTGATGCCCCCGCGAGGATCGAGCTTCGACACAAAGTGGTCCTTCCACAGCCTGTGGATGCCCAGCGACATGGCATCGTTCATCACGTCGTACTTGGATGCCACAGATGAGAACACCGAGGCCACCATCGACTCCTTCTCCTCTTCCGCCACCGTCTTGAAGCCAAAGTGCGTCTGCTTGGACTCGGATCCGACGCCCTCCGTGCCAAAGTTCGCGGCAGGCCTCGAAGTGCTGAATGTGCTCGATGAAGCGTCGTTCTGCTGCGGATGCGAAGATGGGGGGAAGTTGCCTGTGGGTGGTCGATCCGAGCGGCTGTAAGGGCTCGAGGCAAACGTGCGCGACGACGTAGCCACCGATTGACGCGGCGCATTCGAGGCAGCCGACAGCGTCGACCGCAGTGCCGACAGCGTGTACCTCTGTGCCACCATGTTTATGAATGAATGAGCCGAGAGTGTGATGGTGAAGGTGGCGTAAGAAGATGTAGAAGTGCAATCTTCCGGCAGACGGAGCGAAGCTGCCGACTTTCTGCCCTTTTCCAAAGATGCGCAGCAACCCACCCAAATCTGACCCCGATGGCGATTCCCCCGATTTGCTGCCATCTGTCGGATCTTCCAAAAAGCAGCGCTGTTGCTTAGGACCTCACTTGGCTCTGTGTCTTCTTTCTCATCAACCAACCCACGTCTCAACGACGTTCCGCACCTCATCAACAACACAAGCAAGCGCCGTGCTGGGTCGTCCATACTCCTCAACCTCATGCCCTCATCGCGCTCGGTCGCTCGCAACGCACTCCTCTGTCCCTAAGCAACGGCGCACCAAACGCAGCCTTCGTTGCGCTCAGCGTCAGCGCGTGCGCGTCGCCCCTCGACTGGCTCAGCACCATGTCCTCCTTGACCTACTCAGAGACTGACGCGTCTGAAGCCGAGGCCAAGCATCTTGTGCTGCGCCAGATCGCCAAGGATGTCACCGTCCGTCTCTCCGACCCACTGCGCGTCGCCGAATCCAAGCAGCACACCAATCTGCTCGCGGTCTCGGACGTCAACGGCCTCGTCTTTGCCGCCACCAACACCGGCTTTTCCGTCATCCGCACGTCGGATCTGAGGAGCTTTTTCGCTGCGGCTGCACGCAACACCTCGCCCACGTTCGACAAGTCGCTGCGATCCATCGACACCGTTGCTGCCGCTTCCATCACATCGCTGCCCACCTTCATTCGCTCCGCCGACAACCACGCGACCGTCCTCGTCGGCTTTCAGAATGGCATCATCGCAGCATGGTCCGTCTCCGGTCTCGTCGAGGGCGCCAAGCTGGATCCTCTCTTTGTCCTGCAGCCTCCTTCACCAAACCTGCCGCTCATCGACCTCGTGTCCAATCCTTCAGACCGACCCGAACTTGCTGTCGCCCTCTACCGCCAAGACGGCACGCCCGGCGTTGAATCGGGCACGCCCATCATGGTCGATGTGCGCTCGGGCTCCTTCGGTTCTCAGCTCAGTGCCACGGGCTCGCGCGCTACCGCCGTCTGTTGGTCTGTCAAGGGCAAGCAGATTGCCGTCGGTCTCGAGTCTGGCGAGATTGTTCAAGTCACGCCAGAAGGAGAGCCCAAGGATCGCATTGCCAAGCCTGAATCGCTTTCAGGGCAGTACTTCATCTCCGACCTCCGATGGCTCGAGAACCACGTCTTCATCGCAACCTACAATCTGCCATCCTCCGGCTCGCCCGAGGACGACCCAGAGCATTCGTACGAAGTCTTTACCGTTCTCCGGGATGCCAAGGCAGGACAGATCACATTTGCAAAGATGCCCATGGACCCTGCACCGCCATACGGAGACACTGCACGTCCGGGCACGCGCTACGCCGCATGGCTCAAAGCATGGGATCCTTCCAAACATCTCGTCTTTGTCGCTAGCGGACCGAGCACAGACGTCGGTCTCATCTCGTGCTCAGCGACCGAGAACGGACCCGCAGCATGGGCAACGGTCGAGCTCGAAGAGACGTCCAAGCCGATCCTGCCCTTCTCCTCGGTCGACCAGTCATCCGACACCGCACCCGTGGCTATCGACTTTGACTTGACCTCGGCAGACGAGGTCGACGATCCTAATGCAGTCGCCCGAGGTGACGGTAACACCAAGCTGCCTGCCGTTCCCATCCTCTACGTCTACACGTCCGACGGCGTCTTGCTCGCATACAATGTCATCAACACTCAAGGGCCCTTCCACGGAATGGTGACGCCCTCCGCTACCCCGGTCGCCCAGTCTTCCTCCCAAGCTCCAGCAGCACCGGCTCCCACCGCAAATCCAGCAGCACCAGCTGCTACTCCGGCCGCCGCGCCAGCCACCCAGCCGAGCACGCCCGCATCCGCCTTCGGATCTGCCTCGGCATTTGGCCAATCATCAGCCTTTGGACAGTCTTCGGCTTTCGGCGCCAAATCAGCATTTGGATCGACGACGTCTGCTTTCGGTCAGTCTTCAGCATTCGGTCAGTCTTCCGCATTTGGCTCGTCCTCCCCGAGCGCTTCGACCGCCTCGTCAGCCTTTGGCGCGCCTGCCAAGCCCTCCAGTGGTTTCGGCTTCGGTGCCTTCAGCGGAGGAGCCGGCGCGGGCAAGCCCACGTCGGCATTCGGTTCAACTGGCTTTGGCTTCGGATCGAATCAGTCGACGAACAAGGATAGCCCTGCTCCTCCGACCACGTCTGCTACTTCCACTCCAGCATCGACCGCACCAGCTCCCGCCAGCGCTTTCGGTGCCAAGCCTGCAGCATCCGCATTTGGCACCGCGTCGGCGAGTCCTGCCCAGCCTTCCACGCCGTCCAGCACTGCTCCTGCGTTTGGATCGACGTCGGCGTTCGGATCGACGTCGGCGTTCGGCCAGACTCCCGCCAAGCCTGTTTTCGGTCAGTCCGCCGGATTCGGCTCCACCTCGGCTTTCGGCACTGCGCCTGCATTCGGCTCGACGACGTCTCCCTTTGCATCTGCCAAGGCTAGCACGCCCTCTCAGGCTAGCCCAGGTTCAGCCTTCGGCGCATTCAGCACCCCTTCGGCAACCAAGGATGCCAGCACCACTTCCGCCGGCTCTGGCTTTGGCGGCTTCGCTGCCAAGGCGCCAAGCGCTTTTGGGTCCACCACCCCTTCCTCAGGCTCCGTGTTCGGCAGCGGCGGCAAGCTCGAGACCAAGAGCGAGGGCACATCAGGTGGTCTCTTTGGCTCCTCGCCCTCGACCGCGCCAAAGCCGACTGCCGCACCACCCTCGGCTTTCGGCTCGACTACCTCGGCTTTCGGACAGGGATCGTTCTCGGCCTTCGCCGCGAACAAGCACGCAGAAGACAAGGACGCCAAGAGCAAGGACAAGGGCGCTCCTGACACCGGCAGCAAAGACTCGGGCAGCTTCTCTTTCGGCGGAATGGGCGACATGTTCAGCAGTAATGACTCAGCTCAATCGTCTAAGAAGGAGTCGTCGCAGACACCCAATAAGGACACGGGCGCGCAAACGCCAGACTCGGGCGTCAACTCGACCGTCCAGACGCCCAAGAGCGAGGCGGCAGCAAAGCCGTTTTCGTTCAACCCGTCCGGTGGGTTTGGCAGCAACAGCGCAGCCGCCTCGCCGAGCAAAGATGCACAGGCTGCCAAGGCTACATCGCCACCTCCACCTGCCCCGGCCTTTAGCTCGCTCCAGCCAGGCTTCAATGCCGGTGCCACATTCGGCAGTCAGCCCTTCTCGTTTGGCAACCACAAGGCAAACGCAAATGCCTCTGCGCCGCCCACCGCATCGACCTCCTCCGCAGCAGCAACGACCAAAGCAGACGGAGAGGGCAAGAACGGCGAGGCTCAGAAGAAGGAAACGCAGCCGACGCAACCTAGCCCGTCTACTCCGGAAGCGCCAGCCCATGAGGCGCAGATTCCAATTAGCAAACCTGCGACAGAAGCTCCCAAGCCGACATTCAGTTTCGCCCCGGCATCAAAGGTCCCAGCAACCTCGCCCAGCTCTCAGCAAGGTGAGAGCCAGAGCAAGCCTGCAGCGGCAGAGCCGTCGAAGCCAAGCTCCGCGTTCTCTTTGAGCAATTCGCCCGCTCCCTCTCAAGCGGCACCTACAGCAAAGCAGACTGGCTTTGGCGGCTTCGGTACGCCACCCACATCAACTTCAGGGCAAGCCAAAGACGCTCCAGCTTTCTCCTTTGCCAATCTGGGCAAGTCGTCACCCGCTCCCACGTCGACTCCTACGACGCAGGCTGAAGCCAGCAAGCCTTCGGCAGCGCAGAGCCCTCTCTCCTTCGGCGGACCGGGCAGTCTGCCGGCATCGACGCCTGCAAAGTCGACGCCCGCCACCACTGGCGCTTCAGGTGGCTCGTTCCTGGGCTTCAACTCTAGCGCGCCCCGGAGCAGCTCGCCACTGACGTCGGCGCCACTCAACAGCTCAGATGAGACGCCCGCCGGCTCGCCCGAAAAGCCAGCTGCGACGGCAAACAAGCCCTTCTCGTTCCAGCAGGACAAGCCAAAGCCAGCTCAGGCGGGCTTCGGCTTCGGATCTGGTGCAGGATCGCCCTCGGCATTCACTCCGACCCCGACGCCCTTCTCTGGATTCGGGCAGCCGAAGTCTGACAAGCCGGAAGCGGCGCAGGCCGAAGCACCAGGCAAGACATCGACGCCTTCCGCACCTGCGCCTGCACCTTCATTCGGCGGCTTTGGCTCGTCGGCAAAGCCCGCAGCTTCTCCTGCTCCCAGTTCTGCACCAAGACCAGCGACGGAGGCAGCACCGTCCGCTCCCGCCAACAAGCCTGCTGACGTGCGCTCCGGCAGCCCGCTGGTGGCGGGACGAGCGCCCCAGTTATCTTCTGCGACCAGTGCGCAGCCTGCCAAGGTCGCAGAGAGCGGCATCCAGGGCGAGTTCCTCAAAGCCTACCTCGTCTTGACTCAAGAGCTCGAGGTGCTTCGCAGCAACGTCGAGCAATGTGCTTCTTTCCTTGCCGATCTTCGCGAACCGACTCCGCTCCAGCACTCGGCCGAGGACTTTGGCGACAACACCAAGTGGTCGTTCGGCGACCTGCCCAAGATGCTCGCCCTTGCCAAGTCGATGCGGCCGCTGACGGAGCGCGTGGAGAACGAGGCTGCCAGCCACAAACGTGCGGTCGCCGAGCTGCAGAGCATGCAGCTCAAGGCCGAGGCGAAGCGCGAAGAGGTCGCGCGCTTCATTCGCGCCCGCAGCGACCCCGAGTTCGCCAAGATGATCCGCATCAGGCAGCTCGGGCCCGAGCACGTCGAGAACCAGACCAAGCTGCGCAAGGCGAGCCAGATCGTCCAGTCGCGCATCGCCGAGCTCGAGGAATACCTGGCTGCACTCAAGGACAGGATCCAGGCGGCAAAGAGCGGCAGGGCCACGCTTAAAGCCCCGAGCTTGGACTCGATCGCTCGAGCGTGCAGGAACATCACGGCTCGGACGACGGCAGTCACGCTCGAGCTCGACAACCTCGCGCTCGAGATGGACCTCATGCGGCCCGCCGATCGTGACACGGACCGCGATGTGCGTCGTTCGGAATCGCGCGCAGTGTCGGTGCTGAGCGGAATTCAAGACGGCGCGGCGCTCGGCGACGTAAGCAGTTTGGTGAGGACGCTGCCTGCTGCAACGGCGGTACGATCGGTGGATCAGATCGCGCGCGCTGAGCAGGTCAAGAGCGAAAGCGTCGACGTCTTTGTCAATGCTCGCAAGACTCCCGTCCTCAACAAGCGGGCGGTGCCGACACAGCCGGCTGGACGCAAGACGATAACGTCCATGCAGGGATCCGACCTGCAGATCGCCTTTGCCAAGGGCCCCGTGCATCTGGGTAAGCGTCCGCCTGCGCCGACCCCAGCTGCCGTACCGGCTCAGATCGAGAAGCCGGCAAGTACACCACGTGGCGACCAGTATGCGTCGGCCGGAAAGAGTGTGCCTGTGCCGGTGCTGTCGAAGCCCCCTGTGCCTGCAACCTCGACGCCGCCAGCTCGTCCCGCTGGGCCTCCTGCTCTGCCTGCGACGAGCACGGCCACTGCTGCGCCTGGCGCATCTGCACCAGCCACGTCTGCAGCCCCTGCTTCAGCAGCCAAGACGGACGGAACTCCCACACCCTTCACCCTGGCAGGATTTGGCACACCTCCCAACGCTGACCCCAAGCCGGCATCAAGTCCCTTTGCCGGTTTCGGCAAGACGGCCTCGTCAGCTGCGCCTGCAGCTTCTGAGACTGCAGCTCCGAAGCAGCCCTCAACTCCGCTCAAGTTTGCCGGCTTCGGAACGCCGCCTGTCTCTCAGGCCGCGGCTGAGAAGCCCTCCGCCGCGTCGGCTCCTCTAAGCTTTGGCGGCTTTGGAACGCCGCCTTCCACTCAGGGTGCGACCGCAAAGCCGCCGGCTGCATCCGCTCCTCTGAGCTTCGGCGGCTTCGGAAAGGCACCTGTCTCCCAGGGCACGGGTCAAACCCCACCTGCTGCGTCCGCTCCATCGAGCTTTGGTGGCTTCGGAACGCCGGCCGCGTCTGCTGCCAAGCCGACTCCCCTGCCATTCGCCGGGTTCGGTAAGCCTGCTGCGGCCGAGGCCAAGGACAAGCCGGCGTTCGGCAGCGGTGCGCCGCTCAACTTCGGCAAGCTCAGCTCGGTGCCTGCGGGCATGTTTGATCTGCCCGCGCAGGAGGATACGCCTTTCCAGCCCGGAGCGCGCGCGCCGAGCTCCAGCCCGAGCAGCATCCGTGCGTCGCACTCGAGCAAGCCTAAATCGCGCGGTAGTGCTGTCCAGCTCCCGCCCTCCGAGGGCACACAGGCATCTAAGGAGGTTGCAGGCGCAGCCAAGGCGGCCTCGGACTTCTTTGCACTACCTCTGCAGGCGAAGACGGAGGAAAAGAGTGCAGACAAGCCAGCCTTCAAGGGTTTCGGATCGTTCGGCAGCAAACCAAACGAGGACAAGCAGGCACCTGCTGCTAAACCTAGCTTCAGCTTCGGCGACTTTGGCAAGAAGACCGAGGGTGCTCAGTCTGCGCCGCCGTCCAGCGACGCACCAAAGCCTGCAGCTACTGGCTTCAGCTTTGGTGATCTGGGCAAGAAGATCGACAAGCCTGAGGCTCCAAAGCCAGACGCTGCGCCCGTCAAACCTGCCGCTGGCGCCTTCAGCTTCGGTGATCTCGGCAAGAAGGTCGAGAGCACCCCGCCTGCTCCTTCGGCTTCCGAGCCGGCAAAGCCTGCCTTCGCCGGGCTCAGCTTCGGTGACTCTGGCAAGAAGACAGAGAACGCGCAGGACACCAAGCCCGACGATGTTCCCGCAAAGCCTGCCTCGAGCAGCTTCAGCCTCGACCTCGGCAAGAAGGCAGAGAGTGTGGACGACGTCAAGAAGGATGCCGCCTCGCCGAAGCCCGCCACGACTCAATTCAGCTTTGGAAGCGCTGGCAAATCGGCGGAAAGCACGCAGGACGCCAAACCCGATGCTCCGCTAGCCAAGCCCACCGCTGGATTCAGCTTCGGGGATGCCAGCAAGAAGGCTGATGCCGCTGCCAAGCCGGATGCACAGGCAGTGAAGCCAGCCACGGGCGGCTTCAGCTTTGGCGATCTTGGCAAGAAGACCGGCGACAATGCTTCTGAAGGGAAGAGTCCTGCTGCGAGCGCCTTTAGCTTTGGCGATGGAGGTAAAGCGGCCGAAGAGGAAACAGCTGCGCCGGTCACGTCCAGCAAGCCCGCTGCGGCTGCGTCCGAGGCGCCCAAGCCGGCCAGCACGGGCTTCAGCTTTGCCTCCGCCGCTGCGAAGACACCAGCGAAGGAGGAGACGAAGGAGGAGGCAAAGCCTGCAGCGGATGCCAAGGATGGCGAGAGCAAGGACACGGCGGAGTCGGATCCATCCGAATTCTCGTTCTGCAAGCCGACGGAGCCGAGGAACACGCAACCGCTCACGGCACCCAAGGAATCGGAGCCGGCCAAGTCTCCCGCCGATAAGGACAGCGCGGACGAAGACGCAGAGAAGGTGGCTACGAGCGACGCTGGAGCGGCTTCGTCCAAGGAAGCGGAGCCTGCCAAGACCGGCGCTACGACATCGACCGTTGCGGCGTTCAGCTTTGCGCCGAGCAAGCTGAATCCGTCGGCATCTCCCGTATCGGCGTTTGCGTTCAAGCCTTCTGGATCGTCATTTGGATCGGGTGCGTTTTCGAAGCCCGCCGATGGAGTCAAGACGGCGGCGGCATTCAGCTTTGTGCCTCAGTCCACCGCGAGTCCAGGCTCGGCGTTCGGGAGCGTGTCGAGCTTTGGCATGGCGTCGTCGTCGCCCTCGACGCCCACGGCTCGGGACGAGGGTACGCCCAAGTCGGCGTTCAGCATGAGCGGCTCTGGATTCGGCGCGTTTGCAACGGGCAACAGAACGTCGCCGTTTGCAGCAGCTACGCCCACCAAGTCCGAGCAGGAGGACAAGGGGGACAAGGAGGCGACGCCGAGCGGCGCGGGCAACTCGCTGCTGGCTCGCATGAGTGCGGCTGCCCCAGCCAAACAGTCGGACGACGAGGACGACGAGGACGAGGACGAAGAGGAGCAAGAAGATGACTACGAGGACGAGGATGATTACGAGGACGAGGAGGATGAGGACGACTACGAGGACGAAGACGAAGACGAAGAGGACTACGACGATGATGAGGATGAGGAGGATGAGGACGAGGGCGACGAGACTGGCTCGCTCGAGGAGAGTGGCGTGCGGGTCGAAAAGCCGGACGACTCGCAGCGCAGCGATGACGAAGCTGAAGTCGAAGACGACGGCAGCGAAGACGAGGAAGAGGACGAGGAGGAAGGGCTTTCGGCAGTGGAAGAGGAGCCGGAAGAAGAAGAGCAAGCTGCAGCTCAAGATGCCGCCAAGTAGAGCCCTCACGTCGTCGCGCAATTCACACTCTGCTCCTCAATCCCATGCAATCACACACAAACACACAAGCCGAGTTGGTACCGATTCAGAGCCATTGCAATTGAGTGTTGCGATCTCTAGTCTTCGCGAAGGATGAGGCCGGCAGCGCCCATGCCGAGGCCGATGCACATGGAGACGACGGCGACCTTTTGGTTTCTCCTCTTGAGCTCGTTGAGGGCGGTGACGACGAGCCTTGCACCCGTGGCGCCGAGGGGGTGGCCGAGGGCACATGCGCCGCCGTTGACATTGACCTTTTCCGGGTCCAGACCGAGCTTCTCGACGCAGTAGACGTACATGCTTGCAAAGGCCTCGTTGATCTCGAACAGGTCCACCTGGTCCTGACTCACGCCCGTCTGCTCGAGCAGTGCAGGGATGGCACTGCTGGGGCCAATGCCCATGATCCTAGGCTCGAGACCGGTGACGGCACACGAGACGTACTTGCCCAGGATGGTGAGGCCGAGCTTGTTGGCGAGCGATCGACGCATGAGAATCACACCGGCTGCACCGTCGGTGATCTGCGAAGCGTTGCCGCCCGTCGTGTTGCCGGGCGCCCACTGTGGGAAAGCGGGACGAATCTTCCCGAGCGACTCTGCGGTGGTGCCTGCACGCGGACCCTCGTCGGCGGAAATGACCGAGGTCTGACGACTGCCGTCCTTGGCGACGGTGGGGAGCGAGATGGGGAAGATCTCGGCGTCAAACTTGCCCTGCGACTGCGCCTGCACGGCGCGCTGGTGCGAGCGCGCGGCAAACTCGTCCATCTTTTGCCTCGAGATGCCAAAGTCGTTGGCGACGTTCTCCGAGGTCCAGCCCATGGGCATCTTGCAGTCGTCCGCCTCCTGGCTGAGCTTGCTCAGCTCCTCCGAGATCATCGTGGGACGCTTGGGCTGCGTCGACATGTGCTCGATACCGCACGCAAGGCCACACTCGATCTCACCGGCCTGGATGCCGTTAGCGATCGCGCGGATCGCCATGAGACCCGAGGAGCAGAACCTGTTGACGACGATAGCAGGCGTAGTGTTGGGGATACCCGCAGCGAGCGCGGCGGCGCGAACGTAGTAGGGCGCCTCATCGTTGTGCACGTTGCCCACGACGATGTCCTGGATGAGCTTGGGATCGACGCCCGAGGACGCAACGATGGACTTGAAGAACTCGTAGCACAGCAGATCGAACTTGGCGTCCTTCATGGAGCCCTTGTAGGCCTTGGTGAACGGCGTGCGGCCCGCGGCGACGATGACGACGTCCGAGTCGTTCTTGGCCTGGTGCGCGTGCAGGCCCTTGCCCGACCACGAGCGTGGGTCGAGGTGCGACGCAAGCTGGGTGATTCGTTGAGCCATGTTGTTCGTATACGGAGCTGGAGTTGGGTCAGAGAGAAAGGATCTGAGGGGAAAGGTCGGGGAAGAAGGCGGATGCGGGGTGCCCGAGGGTTTTTGTAGGGGCTGCGCCGAAGCTTTGCTCCAGAGAAGTTGCCGACTGTGGGGAAGCTGAGCCGGATACTGGAATTCCGCCGCCGAGACTGAGCTGCTCCGGGCGCGTGCGAAGCCGGTCCCACCTTTCGCCAGTTGCCGCTCCACCGGGTCCTTTCGCCAGCCCTGCTCATCCGTCCTTCTGTCCCCTCATCCTTGCTCCTTTCTTCCAACACGTCCATGTTGACTGATGAATGGTCTTGTTCCCGGCCGTGTTGCTCTCGACTTCGTGCAATGCGCAGCTGCTATACAGTCGAGAGATTGAAGGAGAAGGCCGGATGGAAATCCACTCGGCCCAGCGCGCAGCGAGAACCGGCGGCCGTCAATTCCGAGTGGCAGACTCGCGCGGGTCCCTGCGACGCTGCCAACGCTTTCGCCCGAAACGAACGCGTCGCTGAGTAACTTTCGTGCGAGTCAAACAGCGACCGTTTCCCCCGCACACTATGACCCCCACGACTTGGCGCCCTCTCCGACCCCGTGTTCAGCCGCACTTTGTCGTTTAGCACCATGTTGGAGGAAGTAAACCTAGCAATCCAGTCTCAAGCCCCACATAGGGAACATCGGTCGACAGTCCGGTTGTGGGTGCAATTGACGTGCTTGTAAAATATTGTTCCTGCGTCCGAAAAAGATGGCAGAAAAAGATGGTGCTGAAAATACAACGGATGCTGAAAGACGGACGAGGCAACTAGCCAAGCTTGCGCGACTTGACGAGGTGGGTCGAGATACCCGAAGCCTCTCCTCCGTATCCGCCCTGGAGGCTCGACTGGCCGCCCTTGAACACCGCCTGGCGCGAGCCGAGCTTCTTCTTGGCCTGCTCGTACTTGAGGCGCTTCTTCACACGCGGGTTGCGCGACGTCTTGGGGCGGTGCGGCGTGAGACCCTTGTTCTTCTCGATCTGGCGCGTGATGCCACGGTGCTGGCCGTCTTCCAGCTCCTCGTCCTCCATGAGGGCGAAGCGCTCCGCATTGCGCGCCTCGTCGTACTCGGCCTTCTTCTCAGCACGCGCACGCTTGCGCGACGACGCAACCAGGTCGTAGTATCCCGCTGCATCGTCGTCGTCGTCATCGCTGGCATCCTCGCCACCGCGTGAAGCGGCGCCGTTCGACGACATTGGCTGGTCCATGACCTCGCGCCAGTCCTTCTCGTCTGCCTCGCCCCATCCATCGTCGCCGTCAAGCGACACGTCCTTGCCACGCCCACCGTTGAGCTCCTGCTGCAGCTTGGCTTCGCGTGCCGCCTTGGTAGCCTCGACTCCCGCGCGGCTGCGTTCGCGGTCGCGGTACGGGATGTCGGCATCGCCCGATTGGCGTTCCTTGGCTGCCTTGCTGCGCTGCAGAGCCTTGCTCTCGATCGCCGACGCGTGGAACTGCAGCGACCGCTTGCGCGCCGCTCGCTCCGCAGACTCGATCGCAGACAGCCCAGACAGCTCGCCAAACGTCGCATCCTCGAACTGGCGCTCGTCGCCAGACACGGCAAACGGATTGCTGGCCGCCGAGCTCGCCTTGGCTCCCTTCTTCTTCAGCTTCACCTGCAGCTCCGGCTCGTCGTCCAGATCCGCCAGTCCAGCCGCCAGCGGCGCCACGGGCTCAGCCTTCTTCGTCTTCTTCGCCTTCTTCTCGCCCTTGTCCGCTTTCTTGATCTTCTTCTTGCCGGCGGCCTCAGCGCCGTCCTCGCTTTCGCGAGCAGCCTGCTTCTTGGCCTTCTTGGCAGATTTGTTCGCCTTGCGCGGTGCAGCATTCTCCTTGCCACTCGCCTCGGCATCGGCCATGAGGTCGAGCAGTTCGTCGTCGTCCAGCTCGCCCAGATCATCGTCTTCGCTGCCCTGGCTGAGCATGTGCATCTCGTCCGCCTCGTCCGAGCTAAGCCCGCCGATGGCCGGCATGCGGTGTGGGTCGAACGTGAGGCCGAGGTCCTCCATCACGCTCAGGCCCTGCTTGAGCCGCATCATGCGCTGCATCACCGGATGCGTGCGCAGCTTGGCCGGCTCGCTCGCGAACTCGGGCGAGGCGCGCAGGTGAAAGTAGAACGTCATCGTGGTAATGTACGTGGCCAGCGTTTGGTAGTGCACGTGCATGATCTCCAGGCTGGCGTGCTTGGGCTGCTCGACAGTGAGCTTTTTGATCAGCGCGTCGACGCGCCCGAATTCTTCAAGCATGTCGGCGTACTCGCCTGCGAGCGCAACCGCCTCGGGGCTCGTCTGCTGCAGCTTGGCCAAGAGGGCGCGACGAGTGTTCTCATCGTTCGTGCCGTCGGAGAGCGGAGCGGTGGGCTGCTGCTGCTGCGGAGTCGGGGAAGGCTTGGGCTCTTCGTCGACGCCGTCCAGCTCGCGCCTCCTCTGCTCCCTGCCGGCGTCCTTGGCCGACTTGACGAGCTCGACGTCAGCATCGCCGCCGAGACCAAAGTCGGAGTCGTCCATGGCACTGCGACTCTTCTTCTGCAGACGCTTGACTTCCTTGAGCTCGAGCTCGCGTGCTTCCTTCTCGTCGATCTCCGAGTCCGAGTCCATGTCGTCGAGGTCGTTGGTGTTGTAGTATGCGCGCTTGTTGGTGCCCCAGCCACGGTCATTTTCGTGCATCTGCGGGCCATCGTCCTCTCCGTCCTCGTCCTCGTCGTCCATGTCGAGATCGTCGTCATCGTCGGAAGAAACCTCGATGTCACGCTTCTTGGTGCCGCGGCTCTGTCGTGCCGAGAGGCCCTCGTCGTACTCCTCGGCATCATCTTCGGCATCGTCGTCGTCCTCTGCGTCGGAGTCTTCGTCTTCGTCCGAGGGTGCCTCGTCGATGCCCAGAACTTCCCGATTACTAAGTCCAACGTCCATGTCATCGTCCGAATCGTAGCCGCCGTTCTGACCGTCTAGCAGGATCTGATCGCGGCTGGCCTCGAAGAGATCCTCGTCATCCTTGGGGATGTCGTCGAAAGTCGCCGAACGGCTGAGCGAGCTCGAGGCGTTGCCGCCTCGTCGTCGGCTCGGGCCACGTTCAGGCATGTTTGCGATGTGTGTAGAGCTGTCCAGAAGCAGCCGGTGATGGAGGGTGTGCGGGATGTGTGGACCGAATCGACATTTGACACAGAGACCCTGTTGCTCGTTGCTGCTGCTGCGCCTTCAAATTTTGGAATGTCGAACCTCTGCAGCGCCCTCCTCGGCGAGATTTTTTCAGGCTCGCCCGGTCGCAAGCAGCTCGTAAGCGTTTGTCATGCAGAACAGGAAGAAAGTGGAGTTGCTCGTCCAAAAAGTCCAAAATTTCGGCTCAGCATCACTCGCAGCCTGGCAAAGAGTGGCGGCCACTCGAGCTCGAGCTTGGTGCGCGTTGGGCGGGCGGGAAAGTCAAATCGGAGGTGCCGAGAGAGAGGGTCCTGCTGGAAAGGGAAATTTTCTTGAGCGGGAGCAGTTGGTCGAGGCACCCTGCACGGTCAGCACTCGCCTCCTTCCTTGTCCTCTCCATCCTCTCCCTCCTCCTCCTGCTCTCGTTCTCCACCATACCGATCCACCATGCCTATCACAAGAACAGGTCGGCAGAGCTCGCCAAGCAAGGACGCTGATAGTCCCTCCAAGACGCGCGTTCAGCCCATGCGCGGCGCTCGTCTTCGCAGCGCTTCGCCCTTCCTCGACGCCTCCAGCGCGTCTACCAGCGCCTCGGCATCTCAAGCGTCACAAGTATCCCAGGCCGCTTCACCATCCAAGTCAGCGCGCACCTCGCCCCGGAAGAAGGCTGCGGCTACCGCCTCCCTCCAGGCTCCCACAAGAAGATCCACCCGCTCGCGCTCGCGCTCCGTCGATCCCGAGAGCTTGTCTGCCATCGACGAGGACACTTCGGCTCCGCAGACCCGAGACGCTTCCGAGGCACTTGACTCGGAGACGGACGTCTCGCGTTCCCAGGCCATCCCATTAGAATCGGAGAGGGATGAAGACGAGGGCAGCAGCCCCGAGTCCCGTCTGCCCGCCATCACCGAGGAAGTCGACTTGCCAGCAACGAATGTCACCAACGCAGAAAAGGATGATGCCTCCTCGAAGGCCAGCTCCGACAGCGAGGATGACTCTGCCACCGATTCCGATTCCGACTCGAGCTCCAGCGCCAGCTCGGACGATTCCAGCTCGGACTCCTCGTCTGACGACGACGACGAAGAGGACGCACCTGCCGCCGCAGATCTTTCTGCACTGCTGAAAGCCTCACAGCAAGCGTACAAGCAGCGAACACCCGCGGCTCCTGCCCAGAACCGATTCGAAGACAACCAGGACGTGATCTCGTTCGATGCCGATGCTAGCGAGGCTCGCGACTCGAAGCGCGCCACCAAGAACGTGCCTCTGGTCGTCCGAGCCAAGCAGCAGGTGTCCAAGTCGCAACCAGGTCCCTCCAAGAAGAAAGAGGACAAGCTGGACAAGCAGATCGAAGCTCTCGAACAAGGCGCGATCCCGGCCGAAGTCAAGAGGTCGAAGCACGCACGCACCGTCCAGACCACCGCTGGTTCCAACTGGTTCGACATGCCCGAGTTCGGCGCCTCTTCCTCTCGTCTTGCCGCTCTCAAGAAGCAGTCGGCCGCCGACAGTGGCCATGCCAAGGTCACCGGTGGCGATGCCCGCCTCGCCTCGGCCGAACAGCTGCGCCGCGAAGTGCAGGCGCTGCGTCTGCGCAACGCCCTCGATCCCAAGCGCTTCTACCGTGCCTCGGCCAAGAACCAAGCCATGCCCAAGTTTGCCCAGCTCGGCAAGATCATCGCCTCGCCGCTCGAGCCCAAGGCGGTGCTCTCGCGCAAGGAGCAAGGCCGCACCGTCGTCGAAGAGCTCATCCGCGACGCCGAAGCTGCCTCGTATGCCAAGCGCAAGTTCTCCGAGTCCCAGGCAAGCCACCGCTCCAACTACAACGGCAGACGCAAGCCTCCGTCCAAGAAGAAGCGCACCTGAGTGCGGCATCAGCCGTCAACAACCCAATAGATACCCGCAGACATCAGCGCCAGGAGGACATCGATCGGACCGGCTTCGAAATGTCACCCGATCTACCAACAAGCCGATCTCGAAGCCGGGCGCGGAGCTACGCTCAGGGACTGCCAGCAGGTTCCAACAAAATCCGGTCAGACGCGCTTTGGCTGGCCAAGTGCCCCTTGACTCCCTCGACGAAAATTTTTTCCAGAGAGGGAAGAGCAGACTCGATTCCGGCAGGGCACCAGTGACTCGAAACACTGCTCTGCTTGCGCCGAGGAACGCCAGTGACGCCGAGCACTCTTCATCCAGTTCGCACATTTGCGATATGGCGGCTTCGAATGGTCATGGCAGCGGCCACGGTCCTGTTCGCAGCAGACGCAGAGACCTGCATACAGCGCTGTCGTATCGGAGAGGACGGGCTGTTGCGGTGCGTCAAGTGGTGCGCATCGGGCGTGGCTCAGCAGCGGCTGTGGGGCCTGCCATGTCGCTAGCAGCAGCTCGCCTGCACCCATCAGCGCCTGACACAAGGCGCAGCCCCTCTCGCCTCAGGCGCGTCGAGGAGGGCAGCCGCAAAGCAGTCCGCCAATTTCCCCCCTCGAGCTCATCTGCAGATGGCTGGCTGGGCTCGCCGAGCTCGCCGCCTCGCAACCTGGATTTGGCCGAAAATCGCAGGAAATTCCAACTTTTCGCCTCGGCTGCCCATCACGTCGCGCTGCTGCTCCTGCTCTGGCCTTTCGCTGCCCAGCGTCTCTCGCCAGTCCGCACTCGGTGGGCCACCGAAAAGCACTTTCCGATCCTGCCGTGCTTTTTTCGACTTGCACGTCGTGCTGCCATTTTTCCTCGTCGTGGCTTTTTTCGCTCAGCCAATTTTCTCCTGCCACGCCCCCCTGCACTTCGGCCCAGGGCGCAGTCGAATCGCCCGCACACGCGCGCCTGCCACGGCCGTCCTCTGTTGATTCGCACCTTTTCCCCCTGCCCCCCAATTCGAAATCTCCTGCCAAAACGCGTCGCCCCCCTACCATCAGCTCAGCCCGGCGTGCAGTCGTATCAGCTCGACCTCCTCTTACCATCGACCCTGCATCCGCGCCGCCTGCCTTGCGCGCGTCTTTTTTCGTTCTTGCTCGACCATTTCCATCCGTTTCTCGAGCTTTTGAGTCGATCCTTCCCTCCCATCCGACTCGACACGCCTCCCCTTTTTCGCCCTACATCACCGCATCCCCTGCCTTCCGCGTTCCTTTTTCGCATCTTCACCTCGCCCTCCGTCTCCCTCTTGGCCTGTACGGACTCGCTCGCGGCGCTGCACACTTCTCCCTCTGAGCCTGCTTGCGTCTCGCCATCCACCTCCTCCTCACCCTCGTCGACCTTTTCGCCTCACCCTCTCCCTCCCTTCTCCTCGTCCGCGTCCTCGACCATCCCTTTCGGACGTCGCCGCCTTTCCTTTCTGCGCGACCTTCTTGATCCGTTAATTTCGTGTCGACCGCGACCGCGACCGTCATCACCATCGCATCGGTCGCCTTCCGAGCTACTTAGTCGAAGCTCGTCTCTTTCATTTTTCTTCTCGTTGCTTGTCATCGAGTAGCGGTCGCATTCAGTGCAACGTTTTTGGCTTCCTTGTACACTAGCTTGGCTCGATATCGGCCTACATACCCCCACCAAAATCATCGTTGCGCGCGCCTGCACCATCGCCTCACGCCCTTTCGTCGTCGTCTTCGTCACCATCGGCATCATCATTCGCCGTCGTCATCACCACCCTCTAACGTCGTCGGCTCCAACCTCGCCATCAGCCATCTGAGCTTCGCTTCGCCCACCTTCGCCAGGCTCACATCACCCGGAGCGGACATCCACCTCCTTGCTCCTCGGCTCATCCGTCGTAGGCTCACACAGCTCGGCGCCGACACACGTCGTCACCGCACTTTCTTGCTCGATTCCATCGTCGTCGTCGTCGTCGCCTCCGGTGCCCTTCACTTGACCTGGATGGGCTCGACGGCAACGATCTAACTCGTCACCATCCGGCATGGCGAGAGGCGTGGCTCCCGTCCCCGCTGCGACGTCGTCCAGCAGAGTCAGGAACAAGAAACTCTCCTACAGGCAGAAGCGTAAGTGCCATCACCGTCATCACCACCGACCTAGCAGCCTGGCTTCTTGCTCCAGGCAGCAGGCCGCTCTTCCGTCCGCTGCTGCATCGATCCGTGCTAACCATCTCAATTTCCGTCTTTTTTCAAATTCTCTTTTTTCTGCTGCTGGCTGCCGCCTTGCTGAATTTTCCTTCGATTTACACGTGTCCATCCACCCAATCCGCGCTCGTCACCATCCAAATTCTCCTCCGTCGCGATCATCCGACTTTTCATATCGTCTCTTCCTGGTGTCATTGCCACTAAAATCCGTCTTCACAACGCATCAACACTCGAACCTTCGACAACGTCATTTGACCATCACCTCCTTCCCGTTCACCACCACGCACGCCATCACAACTGTCCTCGCCACCACCATTTGTCCTCTTGGCCACCACGTGCCTTGACCAATCACCACGGCCGACAACTCTCGACACCATCAATCCGTGACGCCGATTTCTCAACCCTGCAGTATGCGTTCAACGTGGCTCGCATCTGCTCAACGCCGCCACTTCGGTGGTGGCCGGGCCCGAGCCCGAGTTTGAAGGTCAGGAACATGCCCAGGACTCCAATCTTGGTGTCGACGCCAGCGAGATCTCGGAGCACCATCTCCAGGCCGCGCTCTCGTCCAACCAGCTTGCTACGTCCGAGGCCAATGCCGAGGCGGCCAAGGCTGCCTACAGCATTCCTGTGCCTGATGCGCATGGCACGCTATCCAACGCCGAGTTTGCACAACTCTACCCCTCGGGCGTCTACTCGGATCCAGTTACCTACATCCGCTTCTCCGAGACGGTCGAGGACTGCATCAAGGGTCCCAGCTATGACATGGACGAAGATGACCAGGATTGGCTCGACACCCGCAACGCCAAGGCGCAGGAGGCCCTGACGGCAGCCATCCGCAGTGCCAAGACGGGTCCTCTGGCAAGCAGTGGCGCCAAGGGCAAGGGCAAGGAGAAGCTCCGTGAAGAGGCCATCGAGAAGCTCGTCGCCGAAAATCAGGGCAGCTACCGCTTGCTTTCCGAGGATCAGTTCGAGATGATCATGACGGTCTTCGAGCAGGTCACCAACGAGCAGGTCCCCTTCCTCCACCTGGACGTCACCAAGATTCCGACGTGCGAAGAGCTGGTGGCGTACTTCGAACCGTCATCCTCGATCTCTGCCCAGGCTCAGCCGGACCTGCCGGAGCTCAGTTGGGAGAAGACGGTCTCCAGTTCGAGTTCGGGCTCGAGCTCGGGATCATCATCCCAAGCTCGCCGCCCTTCCGTCGCTGCGGCTCGCTCCAATGCGTCTCCGTCCTCGCCAACCGAATGGTCGCCCTCAAATCCCTTCAAGAATCTGGCCGATCTCAAGAATCTCGCAACGATCGTCTATCCGCACTGGAAGAGCCGTCGCGAGGACCGCGAAGGGCGATCGGTTGCTCCCATTCTCAACTTCGACGAGACCAACGACAACGACCCTTACGTCTGTTTCCGCCGACGTGAGGTGAAGCAGATCCGCAAGACGCGAAAGACGGATGCGCTTCACATCGAAAAGATGGTTCGTCTGCGCGCGGAGCTCGAGCATGCTGTGGCGTTGACCGAGCTGGTCGCTCAACGAGAGAAGACCAAGCGCGCCTCGTTGCGGCAAAGCCGAGAATGCTGGGAGAACGTCAAGGATCTCATGGACATCAAGCGGCAGTGGGGCATCGTCGGTCCGCAGCAGGGGTTGGAAGACGAAGAGCTCATTTCCGGCGAGCGCAGAGATCCGACGCAGGCTGCTTCCGGGCCTGCGAAGAAGAAGCGCAAGGCCGACGAAGCGGCTGCGACTATCAAGCTTGCTGGCCGCAAGTCACGGACAGGCGAAGGCGACGGTGCCTCTGCGACTGCTTCCGCTGCAGGCGTGTCTGGTATGGGTTCCGCCATTCTCGAGCGCGTGCACGCAGTCCAAGCGTACATCGAGCGCGAATGCCTGCGCAAGGCCGACTCCGATCTTGGCTGGGAGGAAGGCAGCGACGCAGCCTTCCAGCCTATCCCGGCGCCAGCACCTCTGCGCGCATTCAGGCCCATCCACACCGAGTCCTCCGACGACCCGCTGCCGTTCTCGCCTCTCTCGACTCGCGCTGGTCGTCCGCCCTCGTTCCGCAGACGCCTTGGTCGTGGCGGACGTGTCTTCCTCGACCGACGCCTTCCCGTCCCCAGCCCCGTCCCCACAAATCTTGCCGATTGGCCGCGTTACGGCCGCACGAGGTCCGAACTGCCGGGCACCGAGTCACGGTCCTCGACCACGGCCCGGTCCGCTGACACATTGTCGGTGCCAGAGGCGTCCCCCGCTCAATCGACATCGCCTAGCAAGACATTGATGGGTCCCTTTGCATTCTCGCCGGACGTACATCCCCAATTGCTTGCCTCCACGTCCCACCCGTCCGTTCAATCGGTGCTCAACCAGAGCACCGACGCTTTTGGCGGCCCCTTTGCTCGCAGCGGTCCGTTTGCCGGCCCTGCGAGCACCTCCGACTCGCACGACGAGACACCGGGCTCGCAACACTCGGACGCATCCAGCACGTCTTCCGACTCGAGCGACCGATCGCGGCTCAGTGGCACCTCTGTTGGTGTTGTTAGCACACAGGCCACCGAGGTCGGCGACATCGACATGCTCGGCCTCGACGAGGAACACGAGAAGGAATCCGAAGAGCGCGCTGGTGCCTCTGGCGACAGCGACAGCTCGGAAGACGAACTTTCGGACCCCGAACGCCACCTGCAACGATGGGTCAAGATGGAGGAGCGATGGAGGTACGACGACGAGGCTGGCCGTTTCGCCGGCCTCGGTCTCACTGCGCTTGGAGGCATGGAGGACGACGATGAAGCTGTGCTCGACGACTTTGACCAGAAGTTCATGCGGTACAGGATGACGCTTCTGGAGGAAGCCGACCTGCTCAGGCTGTCGACAGATCTGACGAATCTGCAGCAAGCGCAAGCTGCTGCTGAAGCTCCGCCCCCGAAGCCCGCAGGCTACGTGGAGCAACCAGCATCGTCGACGTCATCTGCTGCCGTAGCGAAAGCGGCCGCCACGTCCAAGACGAATGGCGCGCCGGCTGCCGCCCCGACCGCCACTTTGCCTGGCCTGCCAACCGCTGCGACTCTGCCGATGCCCTCGGCGGCGCGTACCGCGGCGGCGACCGGTGGAGGCGGTTCGCAGAGCGCACTTCAAGCACAGCAGCTGCAGGCTCAGCAGGCACAACTGCAGATGGCCATCCTGCAACAGCAGCAACAGCAGCAACAACAGGCAGCCGCAGCCGCGGCACAGGCACAGGCGCAGGCGCAGGCAGCAGCGGCGGCAGCACAAGCGCAGGCTCAGCAAGCGGCTCTCCTGCAACAACAGCAAAAGCAGCAGCAGCAGCAACTGCAGCAGCAGCAACAGCAGATGCAGGCGCAAGCCCAGGCCCAGCCTCAGACTCAACAGCAACAGCCGCAGCAACAGGCGCAGACCATGGGCGCTCAGCAAGGTGTTGCGCAGCAGCAGGCACTGCCGCAACCGTTCGGCAGCCAGATCATGTCGCTGTCGCACAACAACTCGCAGCAGGCCCAGCTGGCTGCGTTCGCTGCAGCACAGCAACAGTTGCAAGCGGCCCAACAGGCCGCACAACAGCAGCAGCAACAGCAGCAGCAGCAACAACGCCGGATCAGCGGTGTGACGGCTCAGCAGCAGCAAACGCAACAGCAGCAGATCGGGCTGCCGGTGCAGATGCAGATGCAGATGCCGATCCAGCTGCAGATGCAGTTGCAGATGCAAATGGCCGCTGCTGCGGCGCAGGGTCAGACGCACTTGCTCGGCCAGTCGATGCCTTTCGATGCCACGTCCATCCAAGCTCAGATGCAGCAGGCGCAACAGCAGTTGGCGAGGTCGATGCCGGCCCAGAGCATGGCTCACTCGTCGCCGATGCAGTCGAACGCCTTTACGGTGCCAAACCCGCAGCCGTTTGGGATGAACCTGAGCCTCAACATGAATGGCAACGCTGGCAGTCCGCCGATGCAGCACGCAAGGGTAAGCTCACAGCCACAGCAACACGTCGGTCGCACCTCGGCATCTCCTGTTTCGTCAGCGACTAACGGACAAAACACTGGTCGGACCAACCCTTCGCCCGTCATGCAAGCAGGGATAGTCATGCCGCAGCAAGCAGGACAGATGCAGCAGGCCCAGCAACAGCAGCAGCAGGCGCAGCAGGCAGGTGCAATGAACCTCAATCTGAGTCTCGCCGCAGCGCAGATGAAGAACGGTGCACCCAACTTGCAGCAGCTGCAAGCGCTACAGCAGGCGCAGATGCTGCAGGCGCAGCAGGCTCAGCAGGGCAACCTGACGGCTGCTCAGCTCATGGCCATGAAGGCGGCTCTGGCGCAGAATGCGAATCTGCAGCTGCGTTTGCCTCCCAATCGGGCTCTGCAGATCGCACAGCAGGCTGCCCAGGCAGCTATGGGTGCGCAGCAGCAGCAGCAACAACAGCAGCAGCAACAGCAGCAGGCCCAGGGTGGCGGGAGCGCCTCCAATCAAGGCTCGCCCGCCATGTCGCGCGCTTCGACGGCAGGATCGCCTCGATTCGCAGCCAACGGCATCGCGGGTGGGATGGCCGGAAGCTCGCCCGTGCAGAACGGGACGTCCGCAACGACGAACGCAACCAACTCGCCGTCTCCGCAGATCTCGGCCGCCAACCGAGCCGCGATTGCCGCGGCGACGAACGCAGCGAATGCCAAGATGATGGGGCAGTCGCCGGTTTCGTACCACGCGTCGCCTGTGCAGGCCAACCTGAGCCTGCAGGCGACGCAGCAGCAGCAGCTCAAGAACGCGGCTGCAGCCGCAGCCGCAGCCGCTGCTGCTGCGGGTGCCAACGGTGGAGCTGGGTCGCCGCATCTTGCGACGCGGGCCTCTCCTCAGACGCAGCAGGGCTGAGGCCACGCGCCCACCGCCTCTTTCTAACCACCTCTCCCACCAACCCCGTCCCCATGTCTTGTTCGCCTTCGTTTCTTCCGCGTTTGTATAAAGTCTTTCATGTTTGGCAAAAGGTGCCGTCTTTCTTCTCTCCGAGCATACACAAAATTGCGAACTTGGCTCCAAAAAACGATGCGCGGCTGTGGATGTGTGTGCGGGCGCGGCGCAAGACGTGTCGATGTCACGAGATTGAAGCTCAAGCACTGGGATGAAAGGGACTGGCGTGACGCATGGATGTGGCATTGGGAGGTACGAGTAACAACAGTGGACGGACAGAGGGATACGGAATGGATTTAGACGTTGTCGATTTCCTCGAGGGAGGAAGGACGCATACGGATCCACTTCATTCTTGGACCGGTCTTTGCGTATTCCGAGACCTTGAAGCCGTAGATCTTGGGGGTGTAGATGCGCGAGTAAGGGATCCTCTTGCCGAGTTGGTCGGGTTGAATCGTCCTATGCGCCGTCTTGTCCGCATCCTCGGCGGGTTCTTCGTCTTGGTACTGCAGAGCCGAAGCGTCGGTGTTGTTCTTGGGTGCAATGATGCTGGGGAACAGATCGCGGTAGCACTGGTAGAGCAGATGCGGGAATGTCGTACCGAAAAACGCACCGTCCACTCCGTGGAATCGCGAGCTAGGTGGAGAGTAGTTGTCGATACAGTTCGGGCAGAACAGCTTCACCGTATCCAAACCAGGGAGGTCCGATCGACCACAAGGAAGAACAGGGTGGGAATGGCAGAAGACGCGAGGACAGTATCCAAAGTGTCCGGCTTCGTACTTGTCCACCATCTGCTGCATACCGTGTCGTGTAAGGATATAGCGCTGGTGAATAAGCCCATACAGCAATTCGGCGGAGGATTCGACAATCGACACATCGGGAATCTTGAGCGAATCTTCCTCGGGTGGTTCGACGTCAAGGATCATCTCGAGCGCTTCCTTGTAGAACGGCACGAGTGCGTTGAGACCGGTGAGGTTGAAGTCGTCTTCGATAAAGTCCTCGCCTACTTCGGCAAAGTACTCGTGCCCCGGAAGAGAGCAGAACCACGAAATCCACGTGAGCGACTCGGTCCCGCTCTCGGACGGAGACTCGGACTCTACGCAAGCACAAGGAGCAATCCAATCCAAGGTCAGCGATGAGCCCACGTAGGAAAAGGAGAGTGAAGGAGAGCTTACCATATTCGTCTTCGAACTCGCCAAACTTGACATCCTCATCTTCCTCCTCCTCGTCCTCCTCGATCGGCGGCTTCGGATAGGCGTACACCATGCCCGGCAGCGACGGGCCGTCCCTCTCGCGTGGATTCGAGGTCATACTGTATCAAAAGCCTGGCGTGGTACCAGCTGTGTGTGCGAGTGGTCGTCGGTCGTTGGTTCTTTACGCTGCCAGTGTGCGGATGCGGAGCGGCTGGGTATAGTGGACGCAAGGGGTTCGACTTGCGTGCCAGGTGTCGGTGGTGGTGCACTTGGTCGGAATGCGCGTGCGTGCAAGCGGTTGCTGTCGGCGGAAAAGATCGGCGGCGCGTACGTAGGGTGCGAGCAGGTGGTGGAAAGGAGCGACGAGGGATGCAGTCGTGGTTTGCGCGAATGCCAAGGCCGTGGATGCGGATGAGAGTGTGGTGTCGACGAGACGTGCAAAAGGGAATCCCACGGCTGCATCTGAACAATTTGCGACGACAGAGTCCGACTGCGCTTTGACAGCCAGTTGCAACGGCGAATTTTCGACCTCAAAATGTTAGGTCGCTTCAAGGCGTGTCCCACAGTCAGCCCGCCCTCAACGCCACACTACGACACTCACATGGACCAGCAAGATTGCGACGTCACTGCTGGCGACGGCCAAGGACAGCTCAAGCCCCACCGCGAACAGCAGGAGCAGACAGACACGAGAGAGACAGCGGGGAGATGGTACAAAGCCGATGGCTATATGTGCTTATATACATGGAAGGGAGGGTGGAGTGGCAGAGAGCGCTGCAGCCACTGCTGACAACTACAGACAATGCCTGCATGGCACCATCTGCCGCTGACAAAGACAAGCCTGGAAACAGCGGAATGCAATTACTCGTCCTTCTTGCCCGAGCCGGCACGCTCGGCCTCCTTGATGGCAGCCTTGTCGGTCTGAGGGCCGGCCTGACCGGCGGCACCGAAGAGACCGGGGGGAGCCTTGAAGGGGCGCTTGAGGTCGCCGGTGGCGGGCTGGCCCCACACCCAGAGCTTGGCCATGTTGGACTCGAGCGCGTTCTTGAGCGGGAGGATGGACTGGATGACGAGCGGGTTGGTGTAGCCGAGGTAGAGGTGCATGAAGCCGACCATGGCGCAGCCCATGAGGATGCCGCGCGTGGCCTTGGAGATCTCGGCGAGGTCGTAGTCGCGGTTGGTGGTGGTGACGAGCTCGCCGGGCTCCTGCGACATGGGGTTCTTGGCGTTGACGTACTTGATCACGGTGAGGTCGTTGGCCTTCTTGACGCGGATCGAGCAGAAGTAGTACACGGCGAGGCAGAGGAGCTGCACGGCGACGTAGCCGGCACGCGCGTAGGTGATGTACTCGGGCTTGTCGTCAAAGGGGATGCGCTTGGCGACCTGCATGGCGCCAAACATGAAGGCCTGCGGTGAATCAATCCAAGGAAGGAGCAAAGCGTCAGCAGCCGTCGACGGCATGCGCAGGTGCACACAACGCGGTGAAGGAGAAGGTGCTTACCATGTTTCCGATAGCTCCGCTCATAATGGACGATATTGCTGCACTCGGGTGAGTGGACGAAGAGGGAGGCGGGACGGGGGAAGAGGGGATGGTGTTGGAGGGAAGGAGGAAAAGGGTCCGGCAGGATTAGAGGAGTGTGTGCGGAGAAGATCTAGGCTGGAAGAAGCGAGAGGGCGGTGAGCGGTGAGCTGAGCCGGTCCGCCACGCCCCACCGGCATGGGCAGGGCAGGGCACGGGCGGCACTCATGATTGGGGCTCGCCAGAATTAATCGCGAATGGCTGGGCGATTGCGTGGCTGCTGCTGGGCGTGGCTGCCGAGGCCGCGCGGTGTGTGGTTCGCCGTTTGCGGAAGTGGAATGGCCGAGCCCAGCAGACGTGGAACGCGACTCGCCACACCGCTGCCTGTTCGACTTTTCGGCGCTGCCACCGCACCAACTTGGTCGCCCGACTTCTTTCGCCTTCTGCCCGCCCTTGCCCCGACTCTCGCCCTGACCCTCGCAGCTTTGGACCCTATTTCGCTGCCACCGCTGCACTCTCTTAGGCCCCTCATGCCCAAGATATTCAGAGCAAGGCACATCAGTAGCCTTCGCTTGGCGATTGTCACCGACGAGACAGAAGTGATGGTACCTTGCTTTCTTTTTCTTCACATCTGCGGCCATAGAACCTTGAAAGCACCGCATCCCGTCCGATCTGCGAAGTTAAGCAAGGTATCGCCTAGTCAGTACTGCGGTGGGGGACCACGCGGGAATCCTAGGTGCTGCAGTTCTTTTTTCGCGGGCCTTTTTTGGGCACAGTTAGATCGCACCTTCTGTCGCCTCTGTGCATTTCCAACGCTTTGCGACCGACAGGTGGGCTTGATCGAGGCTTGAAATTTTTTCGACACAGAGCCGCTGCTGTGGGGCGGAGGCGCAGCTGCTGAGCAACCACCGGAAGACGGAGGCTCGAGTTGGGCCACTACTGCGCGCCAGCCTCTGAGGCCGCCAGATGCAGCCGCGCCCGCTTGCTTCCGACTCGAGAAATCCTCGTCATCTCCACTTTGGCTCGCTCATCTGCATCGAGGCCAGGCACCTTTCTTTCTCCACCATCCCGTCGACCAGCTCTCCCACCATCCGCGTTTGCTGCATCGCATCTAAGAAGCACCCGCTTGCAGCTCACTAGGCACTCTATCGACCACCGCATCCCATCTCTGCATAGCTCTTCAACATGGTTCGTCTCGAAGAGGTTCCCGACGAGGAGATCCTGCGACAGCAGCGTGCCTCGACTGCCGCTGCTGCTGCGGCCGACGACGATGACTGGGAGGAGGAAGACGACTCGGATGCCGAGGTGAGTTCAAATCATGAAACGCAGCCCTTTTGTCGCATCGATCGACTGACACTGGCGATTTGCTTTGGAACAGTCCGACTTCTCTGACGACTCGGAAGTTTCGGAGCGCGGCCTTGCGCTCAAGGAGGAGACGGTGTGGGAGCGCATCTCTGCGCTGCGCGACATCATTCCCCCTTCCACACGCCGCTCGATCGCATCCACATTCAACACCACCACATCCTACGCCTTCACCGGCGGGCTGCTGCTCGGCAAGCTCGGCTGGGTCGTCACCACCTCGGCGCTTCTCGTAGGCCTGCCCTTTGCACTCGCCGTCGAGGACGAGTCGAGGATTGTGGCGCAGGAGAAGGAGATGATGGCCCAGCAGCAGGGCGCTCAACACATGCTCGCCCCCGCAGGCGCCTCCGGCGCACCGGCACAGGGCCAGCAGGCTGGACAGTACCAGCCACAAGCACAGGCTCCCCAGGGCCTCCGTCCCCCCGGCTTCTAAGTCTGTTGTCTCGACCGATTCGTGATAAAAATGCGCCCGTCGCTCTTGCGAAAAGCGGCGACCGGGGCGGCCAAAGATGTCCACATCGATCATCGAACGCCTGCCAAGCCAATTCGTTGCGGCGAGGAGCGCCTCGTCGTCTGTTTGTAATACTAGTCCACACACACCACCACCACTACTCTGGGTCCACGATGCTTCTTCCCCATTCCTCTATTCCCTCGTCCCTTTCAGACCGAGCCGGACGGGCGTGTGGGAAGGCAGCAGCTCGAGCCCTGTTTCTTGCAATTTCGAACCATGCACTACGATCCCTATCTGGAAGTGTGCAGCTTCGGGCCGCGACTGTACGACGCATTCGGGTTCAGAGGGCTGTGGTTGAGGTTGGAGCGGATGTACGAATGTGCGAAAGCCAGCGCGGGCAAGTGTCGAAATTGAAGTGGTAAGGGGGCCTCGAAAAAATCAAAGTGGAGCAACACAGCACAGGCCACCAGCTATCTTCTTGGCCGTCATCTCTGGATCTTCCGAGTATGGCGGCTAGCACCTGCGGGAGGTGACGAGGATTGGGTCCTATCAGGTCGATTGGGGGGAAGGATGCCGATGTGTATCCACTGTGCGACGCCGGTGGAGTCGCTGTACATGCGGTATGGCAAGGACCACATTGTGCTCACTCCCTGCATCTCGACCGCCTGCAATTCCGATCGACCCAACGCTCCCGTTTTGGCAGACGAGTATCTCGAGCACCACATGACCGTGGTCGTACTCGACCTCATCCTGGCCAAACCAAAGGCGTATCGACATCTGCTCTACAATCGCGCCAGCATCCTCGCTCCACCCCGACCGCAACTTCATCCTACCCGCGGAAGTGGATTGATGGAACTGGTTAAGCGAGGATTGGCATTGGCGCTGGTGGATGCGTATATCCGGTGGTTCTATCTGTGTGTTCAACCACCTCAACACCAAGACAGTGCAGGGGGGAGGTGGACGAAGTTGGCAGGGTATCTTCCCATCCATGCGGGTGTGTTCTTTCCAAGCCTATTCACCCCCACCACGGGTCCAGCCCGAGCGATCGAAGCCGTCTGCAACCCTTCTCCCTTCTGGATCCATCTGCATCCTGCAACCGACGACCCGATCCTACCTACACTCGTATCATACACCAACGTCCTCCTCGTCACCCTCATCGAGGCACTCGCTCTACACACAACGGTCGCCCTCATCACCCACTTGGCAATCACCCGTATCCAACGCTCAAAACCCAAACGCAAAAGCGATCCATGGCTAGCTTCAAAGGCCCTCTTGCTCTCCCAACTTTCTCCCCTCATCTTGCTTACGCTTGTCCTGCTCTGGTCAACCAAGTTCCCACACGCACATGCGACAGTCACAACACACGATCGAAGCGCCCTCATCTGGCTCATACGCACCTTCCTCGCCAGCCTCAATGCAGGCGTCGCAATTGCTACCGTCCTCCCTCCCAACAAGCCCGCTTGGCCCCCACTCATCCTCGCCGCTGGCTGGACAGCGCAGACCCTCACCAGCTACACGCTCTACACCGCACTCTCGTAATGCCACACTATACCCCCCTCCGAACAGTCGGTACTTCTGCATATGGGCATTGTGTCTGTGTTGCCTGTCTGTGGTCGTGTACGCTTCGACGGCGTAGGCTCAAGCTACGCGTCGGAAGCCAGGCCGCCACGATACGCCGACTGCATGGCGAGCCGCTTGACCTGGTCGAGCGAGATGGCGCCCTGGCGGTAGGCGAGTGTCTGGCCGTCTTCGCCCTGCACGTGGATGACGCCCTCGTCGCTCACGGCCACCGGCAGCGACTTGGAGTCGGTCGCCTCGTCCGTCCCGCCAGCATCGACACGCAGCGCATCATCATCGTCGTCGTCGTCCTCCATGGCCGCGTCCCGGCCGCGGTACGCAAAGCCGTCGGGGCCCTTGTATCCGAATCCGCCGTTCTGCAGGCGCGGCGATGTGCCCGAGAATGTAGACGCGTTGGCCGAGGGCGGCGAACCCGTGTGCTGGAAGCTCATGCCTGGACTTGCGCTGAACGCGCTGAACTCGCTCACCACCTTGCGCGAGCCCGAGTTGGCCGCCGAAGACGTCGACGCCGAGCCGCCAAACACGGTGGGGCTGCCACCGGCCGGCTTGGGGAACGGCACGTACGGCTTGTACGACGACGTGGCCCGGCGCGTCTGCAGATACTTGTCGCTGAGGCGCGAGCCGGCGACGCGCTTGATGTTGGGTTTGGCCGCGGCGAGGTCCGATGCGGTGGCCCATACCTGGATGTTGTGGCGCGACTCTTCCGTGTCGCGGTAGATGCTCTCGATGTGGAGCTGCTTGGTGCTCTGGTTGCGCAGCAGGAGGCGCTCGTGCAGCTCGCGCGCCACGTCGTCCATCGGGTTGCTCTGGTTGCCCTCGAGGCTCAGCGACTGGATGCGTTCGGCGATGGCATCGCCGATCTCGCGGTGCAGCCGCTCGAGGTCCATCGCTTCGCCCGCAATGCCGAGAATCACGTGGCTCAGCAGACTGGCCGTCGTGAGCGGCACCAGCATCGCGCCCGTGATCTGGACCAGGCCCTGGTAGAAGTCAGCAGCATGCTGGTAGCCGGAAAGCGCAGGCTCGCACGCAATCATGAAGAGCGGGATGCCCGCTTTGGCGTATTGTCGAGCCAGCCGCAGCGGGTCCTCGCCGTCGGGCGAGCCGTCGTGGAAGCCGTCGCCGTACTCGCCGATACCGTGTGGTGGGGCGTCGGCGATCAAGACGGCGAGCTTGGTGGCGTTGGGCCGCCAGTCTAAGTCCAGCGCAGCCTTCATGGCGGCTGTGACGGCCTCGGGGCCGTCTCCGCCTCCGGAAGCGTAGAGGGTCTTGAGATTCTCTTTGACCTTCTCGACCTCGGTGTGGAAGCCAAAGTTCTTGACAATGTACGAATGATCCTGGGGCGGATGGTCGCGGTAGGCGATGAGACCAATGCGCAGTGCTCCTGGGCCGCTGAGCTGCTCGGAATGGATGATATTCTCGCAGATGGTCTCGATGTTCTTGGTCGCGGAGTTGATGTAGCTTCCCATCGAGCCTGTTGCGTCCATGATGAAGACGAGATCCATGGAGCGGCCAGGCTCGTTCCAGATCGAGTCGCTGGAGCTGGAGGCATGAGCATTGCTCGCATCCTGGACGCTCAGATGTTGCGCTGCGGCGCCAAACATGCCAAAGACGCCGCCGGCATTGCGCGAAGAAGAGCCGGCCGTCATGACTCGGACTTTGAGCTGTGCCTAGGCTTTGAACTCGACTCGTTGACCGACAATGGTAGTATTGGAGCAAGTAACGAACGCCAGAGCTTCTAACCGGATGCTGCTCTGGGACCGGCAGCGTTGAATGGAGCCCAGCTAACTACCACGCGCAAAGCTGAGTGGATCGAGACAGCCCGAGCGTTAAAGCTGGTCGTTGACAAGCTCAGCTTCCGCACGCTCGACCCGGATCTGAATACGGCACACGTCCTTGGGTCGTGTCGTATCGATCTTGTACAAAGTCGGTGCAGTCGGTGAGGATTCGATGGCGCGCGAAGAGGATGGAAGCGGGACCGCAAAGTGCTGCTGAGTCGAGCCTTGACTCGTGCTGTCCGCAGCGCCTCGGACGATCCGCGTTGCATCATCCCCATCGCCGCAATCCAACTTTGACTGCGCTGTGTGACTGTAACGTTGCGAAATTGTGTGCTTCGCGCGCTCCACATGAAAACTCCACAAAAAGATCACATCACCCGCACCCTCACTTTCACTCCTCTCTGCCGCAACGCACAGACACGCAAAAGGACCCCTTTCAGCAAGCGGGTCTCACTCAATCCACGACCCTGAACGCCTCCCGAGAAATCACTCTTTTCCGCACCCTTTCAACACGCCCCCACACGAGGCAACATCGGGTATCTGCCTCAACCCCGCCCTTTATCCGCTCACAAACAATGCGCAACCCAGGCCTTCATCGACATCAATCGCAAGCACATCGACTCAAAAACAGACTCGGCGGGTGGTGTGGATCGGATATGAGCTTCAAATTGAGGGTCTTGGCATGCGGATATCTAATTGATGCAGTTGTAGGTGGCGGCGCGACTATCGGCGCTTGGAAGGGGCGGCGGGCTTGTCCTTGCGCGCCTTGAGCGTTGCCATGATGCGCTTCACTTCGCCGTCCATGTTGTTGGGGTCAAAGTAGGCGGGCGCAAAGTCGTACAGCCACTCGGGCTTGACCTCGGTGATGGTGCGGATGAAGTTGCGCGTGGTCAGCACGAATTCGTGGTAGATGACAAACTCGGCCGCATGATCGAGCGTCGAAGACGGATGCGGCGACACAACCTGGTTGTCCTTGATCGTCTGGAACGCCTTCTTGTTGCCGCCCGCACGGTGCGCCACCTGCATGAAGAAGCCACACGCGATGGCCATCTGGATGTTGGTGTAGTAGCGCTTGTCCTCGAACGACGTCGAGACCAGGTCGAGATTGTGGCGCTCCATCAGACGCTGCAGCTGCGAACGCACGTTGTCCGCCTGCATCAGCGCACGGTGCGACAGGTAGTTCTGCCAGCACCAGTCCGCCGCCGTCTTGTTGTCGCGGCAGTTGGTCTTGTAGGCGTGGTATACGTTGAGCAGCGTCAGGTGGTCGCCGTCCGGATGCGCGAACTCGGCCTGCGCAGCATCCGCCTGCTGCTTCTGCGAGTTGGGACGCACAAACACGTTGGGCACCGAAAGCATGGCTGCGATGGTCAGGATCTCGTTCGAGCACTTGAACTCCGGACTGACGATCAGCATCTTGGCCAGCTGCGGGTCCAGCGGGAAGTCGGCCATGATCTCGCCCAACGGCGTCAGGTTGCCCTCGTCGTCGAACGCCGCCAGGTAGTTGAGCAGCTCGAGCGCACGCATGATCGTCTCGGGCGCTGGCGGGTCCATGTAGTCGAAGGTGACCAGATTCGAGATGCCGAGCTTCTTGAGCTCAAGCACCGTGTTGGCGAGGTTGCTTCGCAAGATTTCGGGATAGCTCTGCTCGATCAGCTCGTTGGCCCAGTCCTTCTCGGTATATAGCCTGAAGCACTTTCCGGGCCGCGTACGGCCTGCACGACCGGCGCGCTGCTGGGCGGATGCTTTCGAGATGGGAGTGACCAGCAGCGACTCGACACGGATGCGTGGGTTGTACACCTTCTGCTTGCTAAAGCCCGGGTCGACCACGTACACGATGCCGTCGATGGTCAGCGAGGTCTCGGCAATGTTGGTGCTGACGACGACCTTGCGGCCGGGCGGGCCGTTGGGCGTGAGCGGCGCAGGCGCCGCGTCGAAGATGCGCTGCTGCTGTGCGGGCGGAAGCGACGAGTAGAGCGGCACCACCTTGAGCGGTCCGCACAGATCCGGGTTGGTGGCAGCCAGATCATCGGCCTCTGCCTTGATCTTGCGGCACGCGTCCTCGATCTCCTCCTCACCGGTCAAGAAGACCAGAATATCGCCGGCATCCTCTGCTTGATGGATCATGATGACCGTACGGATGGCAGCCTCGAGATAATCGGGCTCGGGCTCGGGCGTGTAGAACGTCTCGACCGGGAAGGTTCGGCCGGGTACCTTGAGCAAGGGTGCGTCGTTGAAGTACTTTTGGAACTTGAGTGCGTCGAGCGTGGCCGACATGACGATGAGCTTGAGATCCGATCGTCTTTGCACCACCTCCTTGAGCAGGCCCATGAGGATGTCGGTGGCGAGCGTACGCTCGTGTGCCTCGTCGAGGATGATGCAGCTGTAGCGCTCCAGGTTGTGGTCGTGCATGGCCTCGCGCAGCAGCATACCATCGGTCATGTATTTGAGGAACGTGGTTCTGCGATCTGTCGCATCCTCGAATCGAATGGTGTAACCGACCTCTTTGCCGAGCGAGACATCCATCTCCTCGGCAACGCGCTTGGCCACACTCATCGCGGCCACCCTACGGGGCTGGGTGCAGGCGATCATGCGAGGGGCGAGGACGCCATCGGGTCCCTTGGTCTTTTGTGTGTTGGGCAGGTCGGAGTAAGCGACGAACTGAGGGATCTGAGTGGTCTTGCCGGAGCCGGTCTCGCCGATCATGACCATGATCTGGTTCTGGTTAAAGAGCTGGTAGAAGTCGTCCATCTGCGCGTAGACGGGCAGCTCCTTCCTCTTGGCGAGAATCTTTTTGTATTCGTTCGAGTACGGCTTGGGCACGACAGAGAAGGGGTTGACGTCGCCCTCCATCACCTTTCGCGCCTCAGCTCCGGTCACCTTGCGTGGGATGAGGCCGGCAAGCGGGTGGTCGTCGGCGATGGAGCCGTTGGTGGCGGCGGCGGATGCGGCGAGTTCCTCTTCCGACATGTGAACCAAGTAGGGGTTGGCGATGGACGCCTCTGGCGTCGAGCTGGCGGTGCCGTCCATCTTGCTGCGCTTGGACGGGCGAGCAGCGTCGGCACTGGTGCTAGCTTGAGGAGCGGCCATTTGCGCTACAGCACCAGATCAAAAGGTGCAGTGAAAAGCGAGTGAAACGATGGTATCACCCACGAGAGTTCAATGGCGGAATGCGTAGAGACGGTGGTAGGATGAGAGGGACGTCGTCGCGACAAGGTGGGAAGGATTACAGACCTGCGCCACATCCGACTGAGCGAGAAGAGGAAGGTGGAGTCGAAAATTTCCCACCGCGCCAACCGGCAGGGAAATTTTCCAGGAAGTTGCACGGACGACCCTGGCCTGAAGAGGTGGGAATGTAAGCATGTCTCAGCAAAGAATTGATTTGCTCTAGACGTGTTACATCGAGCAATAAAGCGACGATGGGGAAATTTCGAAGGCTGGGACTCATTTTCACGCTCAGGAAGCGCGCTTCTGTGCTGTCACTTGGCTCTGCCGATCCGGGTGGCCCGGGCATGATGCGGCCGGCCAGCTCCTCCAGAGTCTGCAGCCATGCACCGGAATTGCTGCGGGGCGAACCGACGAGCCTCGAAAGCAACGCGGCCTGCACCTGTGGGCCACTCCGCTCGCCAGCATCGGAAGAAAGCGTGACCGGATCACCCGAGACCACGCAACTGAGAACAGACAAAGCTTGTTTGCACCTCCCTCTTCACCACTGTCATCACCCAACACATTCCCCTCTGATCTCGTCATCCTCATCGTCTGCACACGTCTCTGCTGCATTCCAAACATGATGCTCCAATCGACCCGAAGCGCCCTGCGCGTGGCCCACGCCCGCAGCGGCCTCATGAGCCAGACGGCCAGCCGCGCCTTCTCCACCTCGATGATTCAGAACAAGGATGTGCAGAACATCACCGTCTTCGGTGCGGGTCTCATGGGTGCCGGTATCGCACAGGTACTCGCGCACAAGGGCAAGTTCAATGTGACGCTCTCGGACGTCACGGACAAGGCGCTGGCCAACGGTCAGACCATCATCTCCAAGTCGCTCGGCCGCATCGCCAAGAAGGCCATGGCCGAAGCCAGCGCTGAGGAGCAGGCCCAGTTCGTCAAGGGCATCGTTGACTCGATCAAGGTCACCACAGACCCTGAAGCGGCTGTCAAGGACACCGACCTCGTCATCGAGGCAATCATCGAGAACGTTGGCATCAAGAAGGACCTCTTTGGCTTCCTCGACGGCAAGGCGCCCAAGGATGCGCTCTTCGCCTCCAACACCAGCTCCCTCTCCATCACCGACGTCGCCGAGGCTGTCTCGGCGCAGAGGCAGGAGCTTTTTGGAGGTACGTAGCCTGGGGGCCCCTCGACTCGACACGCTTTTCGTCGACAAGCTGACCATTCTTCCCGTCGTCTCCCCGCAGGTTTCCACGCCTTCAACCCAGTCCCCCAGATGAAGTGAGTCTAGACGCTTTCGAGATGACGCCGAGCTCGAGCCTTGAGCACGTACTGACACTTGGCGTACACCTACAGGCTCGTCGAGGTCATCCGTACCACCAAGACCAGCAACGACACATTCGACTCGCTGACCGAGGTGGCCAAGCGCATGGGCAAGACCCCCGTTGCCTGCATTGACTCGCCTGGGTAAGTTGGAATGCTCGACAAATCTCGTATGAATACGACTTGCTGACTTCGGCCTTGTACAGCTTCATTGTCAACCGCTTGCTGGTGCCTTACATGCTCGAGGCGATCCGACTGGTGGAGCGCGGCGAGGCGACCGCCAAGGACGTCGACATTGCCATGAAGCTCGGAGCGGGATACCCCATGGGTCCCTTTGAGCTTGCCGACCTCGTCGGTCTCGACACGCTCTCGCACATCGCCAAGGGCTGGAGGGAGACGCGCGTCAAGACGGGCGAGATCTCGTCGGAAACCGTTGCCGAGTCGTCGCTTCTCGAGAATCTCGTCAAGCAGGGCAAGCTCGGCAAGAAGAGCGGCGAGAAGGGCGGCTTCTACGAGTACCCTGCTCCTGCCAAGAAGTGAGCAGGCGTCGATCAAGGCTTGCTTCAGGTGAAAGCCTTCGCTTTCACATCCACCGTGCCTGCTTCGGCAGATCCGACAATAGAATGTTCTAATCACTCGTGTGCAGTGAAGCGTAAAGTACAATTGCGAGGTCGGGTTGGCCGATCAAGATGTCGTGCAGAAAAGTGACAAAGTCGTGCAGGGTTTTGCAGCGGAACAAGGGAAAGCAAAGAAGACGGCGCGTGCCACCTAGCTTCGATGCAGCATGAGTAGGGTGTAGCGGGGACGGTGCGCGACAGACGGTTGAGACCATGCGCGGGTATAAAGGGGAAGTCGTGAGATCCGAAAGGCCTGGTCCATGGGCGACTCGCCTACGAACGACGAGAGTCCCACTGCCTGAGGTAGTCGATGCCCATCTGCTTGGGCATGGGGCCCCAGTCTTTTCTTTGACGATTGCGTGGACGCCTCTTGATCTGCTCTTCTCCATCGTCTGCCATGTCCTCGTCCTCCTCGTCATCGTCCTCTTCGTCTTGCTGGTCGACGGCTGATGGACCCGTGCCTGGCTTGCGAAAGACTGGCTTGGAAGCACGTGTCGCCTCCTCCTTTTGCCGCGACTTTTGTTCGAGCATCTGTCTCTTTTCCAGCGCCTTGCCCGAGAGAGCTGCCTTTTGCACGGCAACTTGCTTGAAGACCGGTGCGCTTGAGGAAGAGGCCAGCGCGGAGGACGATGCGGAAGATCGCACCTTGCCCTGTGCAGCCTGCTTCTCCTTGAGCGACGGCTTCTTGTAGAACTTGGATGACTTGCCCATGGTCGATGCTCTGAAGGTTTGTGAAAGTCAAGAGGACACCTGCAAGACGTAGAGAAACGTCAGAATTGTTGAAGAAAAATGAATCGCTCCAAAAATTCGCCGGGAGAAGCGCCTTGACCCGGAAGTCGGAAGAGCCTGCGCCTGCACCGCGAGCAACACCAACACCACTTCATCCGACACGTGAGCTACGAGCAAATACGACGCCGACCATTCCTGAACCTCGGCCGTAGCCTACAGGAGATCTAGCGCCCTTCTCGAGAGTCAAGCAACTCCGCATCCTTTCTCTCGCATTCGTCTTTTATCGACAGCATGGGTTCTAAAGGCCAACAGGTGGACTTGATGTCCTTGGACGTGCCTCAGGTATGTGCCCTCTTCGAAGCTAGCATGTCGGAGCGCTGAGATGTCGAATCACTGACGCAATGTGCCTCCTCTGCTGCGTCCTATCTCCAAATCTTCTCTGCTTGCTCAGCTTCTGGAGGTCAAGAAGCAGCTGGAGACGGAGGTGCAACACCTGACTTCATCGTTTGGCCAGTTGAAAGCTGCGCAAGCCAAGTTCAGGAGCTGCATCGAGAGCGTCGCCACGATCAAGCCCGAGAACAAAGGTGCGTAGTAGGCTGGATCCCTTATCAACGACGCGAGAGGGCTGACTCCTTGTTCATCATCTGCGACTTTTATCACATCGCCTGGCTTGTCCATTTGCCCGCAACCAGACAAGACCACATTGATCCCTCTCACGTCGTCACTCTACGTCCCCGGCAAGCTGTCGGATCTGGAAAACGTCATCGTTGACGTCGGCACAGGCTACTATGTCGAAAAGGTAAGCCTCGCTCCTCGACCTGAATCATCGCTGGCGAAGCCTCTTGCTCACCTGGATGACGCTCTCCCGACTCGGCCCGCAATGCGTCTACACAGTCGACCTCGGATGCTACCAAGATGTATCAGGAGAAGGTCGAGTTCCTGACCAAAAACCTCGAGCAGCTGCAGGAGACGGTGCTCCGACAGCAAGAGAATCTGCAGACCACCGTCGAGATGATCCGCTTGGTAAGTGCGCCCATGCCAGCACCCTGAGTCTCTCTGGGAAAAGTCGCGCTAACCACGATGCAATCTTTCTTCCATTTCACTGGGAGCAGAAAGCTAGGACCGAGCAGCAGGCACAGCAGGGGAAGGGTGCCCAGGCAACAGCATCGGCCTAGTCTGGGCGATGGATCCAGGGCCGTTCTCATGTACAGTATCACCATCACAATCATCCATTCGCACATCATTGAATGAGCTCATGAGGTGAGCAGTCACCACAAGCACCCACGGTGCTAGTGTTACAGCCAAAACGACCCGCTGTCAGGTCCATGCCATGACTGGGGTTGGCAGGAACGACGATGGACACATTCGGCTTCAGACGCAAAGTGTCTGTCCAAAGGGTCTCACATGTGGAGTTTTTTTTTTCCCTTTGCCAGCCAGGGTCTGGAGTGACGGGCCTTGCCCTGCTGCTGACCAATGGCTGTGACTGCCACATCCAAGCCAGGTCTCTTTCGGAAGAAATGCCCAAAAAAAACAGGCCGAGTGGCGGCGGCTGCTGTGCTCGTGTGGCTCCGCGTCCTTTTTTTTCGCGAGTTCCGGGCTTTTGGCTGAAAGGCCAACTTCAACACTCCACGGCTTCGTCATTTTGCGGACCTTCTCCCTTCACACCTTTCCTAATCCTCCCACCGACTCGCCTTCACACCGCTCGGGGCGCGCAGAAGTGACAGCCGTCAAAAGCTCAGATCCGATCGCTGCTCTCGGCTTCATCCGCACTGCTCGCACGCAATCCGGACCCCTCGACTTTCTCGTCCCTCCACACATGGCATCGATGACCAACGGACGGACACAGGTGATGGTATGATTGGATCTCGATGCCTGGGTCCAGGCGGTCCGGAAACCGCATCACGAGCGCTTCGTGCCTCCAGTGCCGTGCGCGCACCATACGTGCTCTCACCGCCCGTGGCCGAATGCTCATATCGAGTGTGGCAACCACCACCGCCGGCTCCCCATCTAGAGACCCGTCGTAGCTCTCGGAGCTTCACGTCCGACTCGCACGTAAGCGCACACTCCGCCAACACCTCCCGCCAGGCTACATCTGCCGACCCTGGCAGCATCGAGACTTTCGTTCATGACCCGCCTTTCGCAAAGGCCAAGGTCAAACGACTTCGACGCGTGCACAACGCGAACCCAAGGGATCCTTTTGGAGCATCGCCCGGTCTGAAAGCGCATGCCTCGGCGTCATCACAAGACTCAATACCTTCCGGTCACGACCGAAGCTCTGACCCCGTCACAGGCTCACACCTGCATCCGCCACGCGTCACCGACTCGGGAGAGCAACCGCCGGCGCTTCGATACACCCACCGTCTGGATCCATCTTTGCTGCTCGAGTACCTCACCACGAGCGGAACCGAAGCAAAACACCGCATCAAAAGCCAGCTGCCTTCAGGTCTCCTTCTCATCGATGCATATCTGCTTCTGCGAGATAGCCACCCGGAGAGCCTCTCCGCCCTCTCCATCCCAAACATCTACTCTCTCATCAGACATGCTGGCAGGGAGAGCCTCGGTGGAGTCCTTTCCCTTCTTCTTCAGGACATCGTGGGTCCCGAGCTCAACAACCCCAACGGTCCTCCCGGCCTCTTTCAAGTCAAGGCTGGAACACAAGACCGCTACAGGCTCCTTCGTGAAATCCTTGCGCGGTGCACCCAAAGCGACTTTCTGATACACGACGGCAACATTCTCAACATCTTCACGCTCATCCTCCACGATCTTCGCCAGATCCGCCAAATCGATACAGACACTGTCGAGACCGATCCAAGCAGCGCTTCTACCATCGACAGAGCGTATGTCAATGGAGACGCTGGCAGCGTCCAGATCCCCGACAGCTTTCCAACCGGAGAGGCCAGGCGTCTCGTCAAGTTGGCTTTGCAGTTTGACCGACCGGAGCTAGGCCCAATCGTCAAGGCTCTTCGAGTGCATCTCGAGACTCGGAACCCAACCTTTCCAACAGCCCGTGAGGGTGCTCAACTCATCGCTTACTACCTCCAGCCCAACTTGCGCGACTTCGAGTCTGGTCTAGACGTCGTTCGCGCACTCCGCGACACCAATGCTCTAGCGCAAGACGTGATCGACGATGCTGTCCACGACGGCAGACAGTATTTCGACGCGCTACAGACTGCTTTCTCCTCGGTCCCGGACGACACACATGCATCACCGTCGCAAGAGGAGCTGGAAAAGGTCTGCATGGATGTCTCGCTCCGTCTCGTCGGCATGAAGTGCCTCATGGCCCAGCGCCCCGACGGAGGAGTGCAGTACCGCATGACGCTCGAAAGCCTGCTATCGAGCTTTCGATTCGATCTGGTCGACTCCTGCCAGGATATCCCGGGCTGTGACCTTCGATCTCTGCTCGAGGTCCCCGTGAACAACATCCGGACCATCATCAAAAACTTGCTGCAGAGTCAAAGCGACCCTCTCAACGAAGTACTGTCCGTTCTGCAGCGATGCGACCCACGCATCGTAGCCATGCTTCCGAACTCCGATTTGCAGGAAATCTGCGATGTAGGCCGTGACCTGGAAACGCTTCGTCAGGCTACCGAGATCTATGCTCTCTTCGTCAAAGCCAAAACGACAGCACGCCTGCCCCTTCAGGCGCGGCACATTCTCGCGCGCGACGGATGTCTGACGAACGCGGAAATGTTTCTGATACTCATGCGAGTATTGCTGGACAGGGGTCAGAAAGTCGGCATTGTGGCCAATCTGCGTGCGCTCGGCGTGCTTCCCTTGACCGAGGCGGCCGTGCGTCAGCTCAACCTGCGCTTCGCACCTGCACAGAGAACCAGTCTCATCACGCTGTTGGCCAAGGCTGGTGCCACCGACGACGCATTCCTCCTGTTCCAGCACTGGACGCAATGCCGCTACGAGGAGGGCCTCGACGTTGACTCCGCTCGCAGTGTCGCTGCCAAGTTTCGCGGTCCTGACTCGATCCAGGTCGGAGATGCGCTAATGGAAAGACAGATCCGACTGATGCAGGAATCGGACCGTCAAGTCGCCATCTCGGCCTCGTGCGTTGTCGCCCTGGTCCGCTCCTTGTGCTCGAACCGGCGTTTAGGTGACGTAGATGCCTCGCCAGCGCCCGAGACGCAAGCGGCGTCCGAGGCGCCAAAGGGCCCTACCGAAGGACAGCTGCGAAGGGCGCGATTCGTCATCGATGCGTTTGTGCAATCATGCACATCGGTGGATTGGACGCACTATCGGCTCACGGCGCTGGCTCAAGTATGCTTCCTCGTCAGGGACGTGCCTGGCGCCTTCTATGCGCTCGCCCAGATCAGTTTTCTTCGTCAGTTGCCAGACAAGCTCGACATTACGGTCCTGCTCGGTGGACTGATGCATGTTGACCCGGACCGGGCGGTTAGGCTCTTTATCCAGCACGCCTCGGTCCCCAAGACGCTCACAGCGCGTGCCAAGCAAAATACCGACGCGTTCGACGCTGAGCCGGCTTCGCAGGCGGAGAGCCGAACGCACCGATCGGCGACCCTCCCTCCCATGAAGGCATCGCCAACGTTGGTGTCGATGCTCATCAATCGTGCGATTGTCCAAGGTCGCACGGACCTAGCGGATCGGTTGTACAAGTTCGGCGAGATGAACGGCATCAAGAACCTGCCTGGTCATGTGGCATCTCTCCGAGCGCTCTTCCTTCCGGATGTCGCACCGAACGCCGTCGTCAAGACGATCGATCGCGCGCACGAGACTGGATGGAAGTCCGATCCTGGCTTGCTCGAAAGCCTCTCGCAACGACTTCTTCGGCGTGCCGTAGAGCGCATCGATGCTCCTGGCGAGGTGTCGAAGCAAGTGGGAGTTGGCAGAAAAGGTGGCAGGGAGCATTTCGCGCTGCCACCTCTCAAAAGGCTAGACTTGGCCAAAGCTGCTGCAACACTGATGCGGATGAGTGCGCAAAGCATGGACGTCGTCAATCTCAAGTCGGTTCATCTTGTGCTCGAAGCCATCGACAGCGTCAAGACGTCCTTCGCCCGGCCAAATGCGAAGAGAGCCGCCTCTTCTCCGACTGCAAGGCAGCGCGATCCGGAGAAACATCGGCTGCAGTGGATCGGAATCCTGGACGAGCTCGTGCACCGGCTTCGCTGGACCACGTTCTTCGACACAGGCAACGACTATCGGCACAGCCTTCCGTTGTGGAAGTCGAGCAAGGTCAGGGACGGGCAGCTTATACCAGCCGAGCTGGACGACATGATGACGCTCGGGTTCGATGGCCGGGGCCGGAAACGACAGGCGGCGGGAGAAAAAAGAGGAGCGTCAGCGCCACGCCTGGCTGAAGCAATGGACGAGTCCCAGCACGGAAACGAAGCTTCGTCGTCGGAGGGTGGAGATGTCTCTAAGGACGCTGCGCTGCAGCAGCCTCGTGCATCCTCGCCCAATGTGCTCCCTGCCATCCTTTACCGGCGACTGATTGAGGCGTATCTGGTACTGGCGGATGCCGAGGGTGCAGCAGAAGTCGCCGCGTGGATGCGCGACGAAGCAGGAATGGAAATCGCCGAGTCTCGGCATGTCGCCAACGTCTTTGTGAGCCGAATCAAGGCCGCGGTACGAGATAGAGAAAGCGACACGGATCACGAATCCGAGACGAGTAACATTTTGCGCATGCTGGCCGGCCAGCAGGGCACGGCAACCACGAAGCGGTGGTGGATCCCCTAGAGCTCGAATGTGGACCTCATTGTATACTACTCTACATTGTCAGGGAAGCCAGGTCTTTGAAACATGTTCACGACAAAGTCTGTCGTGTAGAGAAAGGGCAATCTGGAACAGCGAGAAGCAGCTTGCGGCGATAGTGTTTGAGAATTGAGACTGATTCGCACGATAAAATTGCGCTTGTGAGCAACCGTTCCCGCCCGGGCTCGTTGTCTTCGCGGGCGGGCAGGGCTGATCGGATCGCGCCCCGGAGGCAGCCTGCGAGCTTGGGATCGGATTTGAATTTGTGGCAATTCGCACCTTCTGGCTGGAATACGCTTTTTCGCGCCGGCGCAATACAAATCGCCTGCGAAGGGGCACTTGAAGGGCACTTGAAAATCCACGGCGAGAAGGACTGGGAGCGGCGAGGCAGCTGCTGAGGTTCTGGCGTGCGAGAAAGCCAGGGCTGCGCACCCAACGCCGCTGCTCGGCCAGCTTCTTCGCTTGGCTCAGGCTCGCGGAGGGTTGGGTGCGAATCCGAATCGCATCGTCGCTTTTGGTCTGGCTTGGTGTTCTTCTCCACCTCACCTTCTTCGTCCACACCTCCCCGACGTCGTTCTCCATACATCGACCACAATGATCGCCCGCGCCGCCCTCCGATCCAGCCTCCGCGCCGCCAAGGCTCCCAGCCCGCTCGCCCAGCTCGGCGCCCGCCGTGGCTACGCCGAGGCCGTGAGCGACAAGCTGAAGCTCTCCTTCATCCTTCCCCACGAGGTAAGATCCATACGACCGAGGAAGATCCCTGCTCGCTCTGCACCGTCATGATATCAGCACATGCAACAGCGAAGGAGGAACACGAATCGCACGACAGAATAAGATGCTCAGAAAGCAGGATACACGCAGCATGGAAGGATTGGCAGAGTTGGCGGTGGATTGCCTAGAATGCGGTGGATGCAGTGGTACAAATTGCGCACCATGGCACGCTCCGACTCGATGACAGCGAAGGGGAACAGTATGACATGCTGCTGGCCTCTGGATCGATAGCGAATGCATCAGGGCTTGGAGTTTGGAGGCTCATCGCAGACTATCACTGGACGGCCACGTAAGGAGAGCAACGGCGCCATCGTCGCCTGCCATCAGCACTGTTCAGTTGTGCGCTGCATCGAGGACCTACGCACGGCTAATCTGTTGGAATGCTGGATACGAGAATGACAGATGCACGAGCAGGGTTCTCGATAAGATCCGCTGGACCGGACGATTGCTGACTTTTTACTACCCTCTTTCGCATTTGCCCGCGCTCAGGCCATCTACAACTCGACCGAGGTGACGCAGGTCAACATCGCGGCATCGACAGGAGACATGGGTATCCTTGCCTCGCATGTTCCTTCCGTCGAGGAGCTGCGCCCCGGTGTGCTCGAGGTGGTCGAGTCGAGCGGCACCAAGAAGTGGTTCGTGTCCGGCGGCTTTGCCACGGTGCACCCGAACAACAAGCTGGTCGTCAACGCCATTGAGGCGTACCCGCTCGACAACTTCTCGACCGAGGCGGTGCGCTCGGCGCTCAGCGAGGCCCAGCGTGTCGCCTCGTCGTCGTCGTCCGCGGAAGCCAAGGCCGAGGCCGAGATTGAGATCGAGGTCTACACCGCCCTCCAGGCTGCTCTTGGCCGCTCCTAAGTGCGACGCAGCCAATGCCGCCCGCAGAACTCGTCGAGCCACAGCTTGAATCGATGCCCGCATAGGGACGATGTGGCGCAAAGCGCTGACAATCTGCGCGGTCTTGTCTGGTGCCCGCATGCCACAGACGAATACGAATCTTTTAGAATTAGTTGCTGAATGTGCTTGTGCTGCCATGCAGTGGCGATTTTGCGGGCTGCGAGCATCGGAATGCGGACCGACGCAGCTGATGTCTCGCGAGAGTTTGGAAGGCAGGGCGATGAGATTGAGATTGAAAGGCGTACGATACAAATACAGATGATGCAATGATGGGGGCGGGCGACAAGAATTCTAGGCCAGCAATGGCGGGTATGCGGGGAGAGAGTGAGTGAGAGCGCGGACCACTAGGAGGGCCTGACAAAGTCCTGCGAGAGGTCGACGCCTTCGAGATGGGTGTTTTGGAGCTTGAAGCGGCGCGGACCGGATCCCTTTTTCTTCTTCTTGTTCTTTGCGTTGGCTGCGAGCTGTGCTGCCGAGACGGGTGCATCGAGCATGTCGGTTGTCGTCAGACCCTCGCGCTCGAGCTCCTTGGGCAAGTCGACAAGATCCGGCACCTTGAGCTCGTGCCACAGCTCCTTGAACTCTATAGTAGCGGACGCGTTATCATAATCAGTATTCCGCAGTTGTGAAGAAAGTCAAGCCTGGAAGGAGAGCACGCACCGTCATCTACGCCCTTTGCTTCTTTGCCACGGAGTGGATTCCAGAAGACCTGTTTGATGGCGCCGTCACGTTGGCCGCGGAGCACGAGCACCTCCCTGTCCTCGCGCGGCTCGGCCTTGCTGAGCTCCTCAATCGCGTCTCTTGCTGCCGGGTAGCTCTCGCGCAGCTCCGCCAGCCGCATGCCCGCCGCCGACGAGTTGCCAGCGCCATTGCCTGGGTTGAGGTAGCGATCCTTGAGCAGAGAAACCAGGTCGGCAGGGGTGCGCAGATCGTAGTCGGGCTTGTACATCCACAGATCCGTCTTGGCATCGTACATCACACGATCGTGCACCTTGAAGCGCGCAAACAGTCCGCTGTTCGGATTCAGCAACGCCGGCAGACCCTGCGAGAGCGCAAAGTCTTCGAGGCGCACCGGGTTGGCATGGTGCTTTAGCGCATCGATGGCCGAGGCGAGCTGCGTGTTCTCGTGGATGCCCGAGCCTGTGTTGGCCGGCTGGCTGTACACCGTCGTAGGCTCTCGGCTCATCTTTGATCTAGAGCTGATCAGCTGACGAGCGGAGGAGGAGGTGTATGTGCGAGTGAGGAAGGGTCGAGTCCGATGGAAAGAGCGGGAACACTTTGAGGTCGGTCCCTGCGTCCGAAGCTGCAAGGACTGGGTGAGCGGATCGGGGTTTGGGGATCACATATCGAGATAGCCCGATTGCATTGGCCGCTGCACGATTCGGAGGCTCGAGCTGCATCCGGTCTCTGTGCTCGCCAGAGCGTTTCGGCTGGGTAAGTGTGAGGGTGCTGGCTGGCCTCGCTGAGTGACGCGCTGCCAAAATGTTCGAAAATCAAAAGCAAGCCACCACCGCTTTAGCGTCCGACCGGCAGCAAAATCTGAAACACCCTTTCACGCCTCAGTTGGGAGCTGCAGCTGCAGCTCACCGATCCGGTTCGAGCTCGACCTCGCGCGGGCGGCGGTACCAGCAGTGCAGCAGAGCAGCAGCCCCACACGAGCCCTGGCCAGCAGGCAGGCGCGCCTTCAAGCTTCCGGCAACCGCTCTTCCTCTGCACCACAGCACCTCGATCGGCACCCTGGCTTTGCATCGTCTGCCCCCGACGCTCTGGTCAGCATCGTCCTCGTCCTCGTCCTTCTTCTTATCACCTTACTCACCTATTCTACTCCGCGACCCCTCTTGGCACCCTTTCACCGTGGTCTGGTGCATTTCACGACCCCCCCTGGCAAGCACGCAGGACACCGTCCCGCTCATCTGATCGGCAATCTTTCCCGACACGGTTCTGCATCCAACCCTTGCGCTCTACGGCAGCGGCGCCCAATCTCTGCCACCATGCACGTCCAGTCTCGGCTCCGGCCGATGATGGACGAACTCAAGATGAAGGGCATGACATACGGCATCAACTTCTTCATGGCCTACCGTCGCAACCATGCCACCATCCAGCGCGTCCTTCGAGTCTCCTACATCCTCTTCATCCTCCACAACCTCACCCGCACCCTCCGTGCAGGTTCGAAAAAGAAGCCCAAGAAGGCCGCACCACCAGCCGGAGAGAACGAAAAGGCTGGCGCAGTTGCGAGTGCACAGCCAGCTGCCGACGTCGACGACTCTTCAGCAAGGGGCCGAGGTGGACGCCGTGGCAAGAAGAGCCGCGGTCCTCGTGTCGAGGTCGATGCCGTCTTCTTCGAGCGCCTAAAGCGCATCCTCCGCATCGTCGTCCCCGGCTGGCGCTCCAAGGAGGCTGGCCTCCTCATGCTCCACACCCTCTTCCTCGTTCTGCGAACCATGCTCTCGCTCTACGTCGCAGATCTCGACGGCCGCATCGTTTCCGCCCTCGTCCGATCCCAGACCCGCCAGTTCATCACCGGCATCCTCTGGTGGATGGCCGTCGCCGTACCTGCCACCTACACCAACTCCATGATCGAGTTTCTCCAGTCCAAGCTCGCCCTTTCGTACCGCAGCCGCCTCACAAAGCGCGTGCACGACGCCTACCTCACCGACATGACCTTCTACAAGCTCGGCAACCTCGACGATCGCATCAAGAACGCGGATCAGCTCATCACCGTCGACGTGGCAAAGTTCAGCAAGTCGCTCGCCGAGATCTACAGCAACTTTGCCAAACCCATCCTGGACGTCTGCCTGTACAACTACCAGCTCATGGGCCGCGTCGGAGCCGAGGCGCTCATCGGCATCAACATCCTCGTCTCGGGCTCGGCCACGCTGCTGCGCAAGCTCACGCCGCCCTTCGGCCAGTACGCCGCCACGGAGCAGCAGCTCGAGGGCGAGTTCCGCTTCAACCACTCGCGCCTCATCGAGAATGCCGAAGAGATCGCCCTCTTCCGCGGCCAGGCGGCCGAGCAGAACGTCATCGAGCGCGCCTACTTTTCGCTCATCAAGCACGTCAATCGCGTCTACCGCATCCGCATCATCCACGGCATGACCGAGGAAGGCATCATCAAGTGGCTCTGGGGCGCTCTCGGCCTGTGCATCTGCGCCGTGCCCGTGTTTGTGCGTCTGCCGGGCGGCGGCAAGGGCTTGGATCTCGGATCTCGCACCGAATCCTTTGTCACCAACCGTCGTCTCTTGCTCTCTTCCTCCGACGCCTTTGGCCGAGTCATGTACTCGTACAAGGAGATCTCGGAGCTCGCAGGCTACACCGCGCGAGTCTCGGAGCTCCTCGACACCATGGACGCCATTAAGGCTGGCAAGTTCGAGAAGAAGCTCGTCTCATCCGCTTCGATCGAGGAGAACGCGCTGGTTCTGCAGGGACGCGGCGCCATCCAGGAGGACACCTCGCGCACGGCCGGCGTCGAATTCCGCGACGTGCCCATCGTCAGCCCCAACGGCGACATCCTCGTGCCCAAGCTGAGCTTCCACGTGCAGCCGGGCCAGCACCTGCTCATCATCGGCCCCAACGGATGCGGCAAGAGCTCCCTCTTCCGCATCCTCGGTGGTCTGTGGCCCGTGTACGGCGGCACGGTCAAGAAGCCACCCACGTCCGAGTTCACCTACATCCCGCAGCGTCCCTACCTCTCGCTCGGCACGCTCCGAGACCAGATCATCTACCCACACACGGCGCAAGAGATGCGTGCGCGCGGCAAGACCGACGAGGACCTGCTGGACATTCTGCGTGTGCTGCAGATTGAGCACATTGTCGCACGCGAGGGCGGCTGGGACGTGCAGCGCGAGTGGCGCGACGCTCTGTCGGGCGGCGACAAGCAGCGCATCGCCATGGCGCGCCTCTTCTACCACAAGCCCAAGTACGCCATCCTCGACGAGTGCACCTCGGCCGTCACGCTCGAGATCGAGAAGATCATGTACGACCACGCCACCGAGCTCGGCATCACCATGCTCACCGTCTCGCACAGGCCGTCGCTGTGGAAGTACCACAGCTACGTGCTCCAGTACGACGGCCAGGGCGGCTACGTTTTCACCAAGCTCGACGCAGAGAAGAGGCTAGCGCTGCAGGAGGAGAAGCAGGCGCTCGAACAGAAGCTGCTCCAGGTAGCCAGATGGCAGGAGAGGCTCGATGCGCTCAAGGAGGCGAGGCGAGAGCGCACCCACTCGCGCGTCGGCTCGCCCGTGCAGGAGAAGTTCGCTCCTCTCGCGGCCGCCTGAAAATGTATCAAACCGCTGTCGCAGCTAATAACGAAGCGTATCTGAAAGAGAGTTGACCTTCGCCCGACGAGCGTGAGCCAGACAGACCGACCAAAGGGATCTGTTCCTGCGGTGCTTGTGGGGTCGAGGTGGGACTGGTCGTGCGAGGCGGCCGGACCGAGGCTGGTGTGGAGGTGACGCTGAGTTCCGACTCCCGAGGCCGAATGCTTGCGGACTGGAAAATTTGCTGGAAGAAAAGGGTTCACTGCTGGTTGGCACTTGGAGCCGCGTTCAGAACGGCCCACCTGGACCAGTTGCTCTCACCATCATCCATCGATTTCTATTGGAACCTCACGAAGGACAGCAAATGAGCAGAGGATGGTGGATCGTTTACCTCCTCGTGCTTCGAGCGCGGCTGCAGGGCTCGTGACGCTGCTCAGGCTGCACAGCACATCCGCAGCACGACCAAGCCCCAGTCGGCACTTTGCATCCGTCACCTCGCAAGCCAGCTTCCAAGGTACCAGCACCGCACCGAGCGCTTGTGCATCCTCGGCCAACATCTATGGCCGCTCGGAGATAGCCGTTGGCGCTGCCCGCTCCTTTGCATCGTCGTCGAGTGCAGGCGTGAGTGCGCACCGCAAGCAAGCCGGCCGCGAGAAGGCGCGGTCGCGAGCGATGCGCCAGGAAGAAAGGGTGCTGCGTCAGCGCGAGAAGGAGGGCTACAACGCTGCCCGCTCGATTCCACGCCGACCACGTGATCCAGTCGAGGAGGATGTCGAGGCGAGCATCCGCGAGTACATGGCTCGCACCGGCCCGCGCGGCGAGCGCCTCACGCTCGCGCAGCAAGAACGCCTGCTCAAGCAGGAACTCAAAGGACTCGGACACGACCTTGAACGGCTCGAGAAGAAGGAGGCTGCAGACAAGGCCACACAGGACCTGCCGGAGCTCGACGATCAGACGCTCGATGAGCTCTACCAGGCACTCATGCTCCCACCCCCACCAACGCCCGAGGAGGCCCGACTCGCACGACTCGAGGGCGGCCGCAGAGAGAGGGGTCTCTTGGACCGCATAGAAGACGGCAGAGGTCGAAAGAGCTTGGAGAGGCTCGCAGGTCTGGCGCTTCCACCCTCGACTGTTGAGGTCAAGAGGGAAAGGACGGCCAGGGACCTCAAGCAAAAGCTCATCCACGCTCGCGAACGAGCAAAGATCCTCCTGCCTCCGTCCAAGGCGTCGACACAAGAAGCGACAATCACGCCCCTGCAAGCCGAGACAACAAGAGAAGAAGCAGTGGAAGAGACTGTCGACGTGGATTTTGCAGCACTGCCGTTCGAAGAGCGCCAAGAAGTCCGATTGCAGCAGCTCTTTGCGCGACTGGCGCTCGTACAGGATGGTGCCGATGCCGCAGGCGACGCCTCGGGGTCCGAGTCGCTCGCAGCTATCAAGTCGGGCCTCGCCGGTCGCATCGCAAGGATCTTGAAACAGCACGAGTACGAGCTTCATCCATCGACACAAAGTGCGCGGCAGCAAGATGGCGACCTCAAGCACGACAGCGAGATGGCGGAACAGGCCGAAACGCACTCGCCCGAGTTCGAGAGCGTGCGTCTCGACCGACGCGCACCCAGCCTTGCGACAGGCGAGGCAGGATCTGGACCGAGCGAGACGATAGCGACGCTCGGAGAAAAGAGCGATGTGATCGCTAGAGCTGATGCCATGATCAAGGATCTTGGGTCTGCCGAGTCGCGCGCCTTCATGCTGGATGGAATCGAGCGCCTCGTGCGTTCGGCCAAGAATGCCACTTCGTCCGAGCTTGCGTCTTCGGGCTCGCAGGCCTCACATCTGCCATTGGGCGTGGCGACGACGGAAGAGTGGGTGGCGATTGCCGTCTCTTCCGCTCGTGCAGAGGATGGCGCCTCACTGCAACGCACGCTGTCGCTGATGGAATCAGCGAGACATCCGGCGTCGCTCGAGCTGTACAACAACGTGCTCGATGTCTACGCATCCAAGGGCCGCGTGGCAGAGTGCCAAGAATGGTTGCAGCGCATGACGGAAGCCGGGCTGACTCCTGACGACCACACGTACCACAGCCTCACCAAGGCGTACGTCACAAGTGCGCAGTTCCTGCCTGCATTGGAACTGCTCAACTCGCTCGAGCAGTCGGGGCATCCTGCGGCCATGGCGACGTACACGCTCGTCATCGACCGTCTGCTGGACCCCGTCGCCATTCCTCGCTCCGGATCGGCAGGAGTGTCCACGGAAGAGCGACCGGAGCTGCAAGCGCTTGCATGGAACGTGTTCTACCACATGCGGCTGCATGCGCATCCTGTGCCCGATGCGCCTTTGTATGCGCTCATGATCCGCGCATGCGCGCGCGGTATTGCGCAGCCACACGAGATCGACGACCCGACCAAGGCCTACACGGCCCTCTCTTCCGATGCCAGTGGGCGCAGACACGCACCACGCATCAGCGACGCCGAGCGCGCGCTCGACCTCTTCCGCGAGATGACGACGCGCTACAACGTGCGTCCGAACGCCGAGGTGTACAACAGCCTCATCCTCGCGTGTGCACGCCGCAAGGACTTTTATCTCGACACCTTCCGGCTGCTGCGCGAGATGGTTGAGCTCGAAACGGAGCGCGCGCACGCCGCGGACGCCGAGCCGAGCGGCATGCTCAGATTCGCCCCAGACACGTACACGTTCAATGCGCTGCTGCAGGGATGTGCGAGGAACCGCGATCTGGCGAGAGCCAGATGGGTGCTGGCGGAGATGATTCGCACCACCATGCCGCTGTTCGATCCAGAGGTGAGGGGCGCGTTGAGCAGGCAGGATGTGGTCGAGTTGCTCGCCAAGCGACCGAACCACGAGACCATGTGTCACATCTTCCACACGTACGCTTCGTACGAGCCTCCCCTCAAGCGCGATCACATGCAGATAAGCCGTAAGACCGAACGTTCGACTCGGGAGGCTCACAGCTCGGACACGCAGGCGACACCATCGCCCGTAGAATCGATCAAGGAGCCGGCGGCTCCGACCGCGTCGACGGAAGTGGAGCCGAGCAGCGAAGAGACAACGCCGGAAGAAGCCGCGTCGATCTTCAGCGCGCTTGTGCCGCAGACTGCGTCGGACCTGGTTTCGGAGGCGCGCTCGCTGTTTGCGCGCATCTTGGCGGATCAGGCGCAGCCGAGTGGCGATGGAGCAGGGCTTATGGAGGGTCCGTTGGGTGGGGTGGAGCCAGGAGTGCGTGTGGTCAATGCGTACCTGACCGTGTTGGCGGCGCACTTGCCCGTGGGCGTGCGCGCGCGCGTTCTGCACTCGGTGTTCGCCGCCGTTCCCGAGCACGACGAACCGACGCTGGAGCACGGTCTGTTTGCACGGTTGGGCGTAGAGCCCAACGAGCATTCCTTCCGCATCGTCCTCGAGGCGCTCAGCGAGCTACCTCCCGACCCAGCTACGGGTGCAGACATGGTGCAGGACATCTGGTCGCGCTTCGAACGTCTCTTCCCTCACCCCGATCGAGTCTCAAGCGACCTCGTCAAGCTTCCTGCCGCCAAGGGCGAGGGTGTAGATTGGACCCAGGTGAGGAAAGCCTGGAGTGCGTACATCCACTTTTGGGCCAAAAACATCAGCCTAGCAAGTGGAGACACCAAAGAGGCCCAGCCAGGGCTCGACTATGCTATGGTGCTGCTTCGTAGGTATGCTGCGCTGTATCCACCGCGTGTACAGGGGAAGAAGAAACGCAGACGCCCTCTACAACCCCCACCCGGTACCAAGGTCGACTTGTCCCCCCTCCCGGTGCCTGTAAAGTCGCTTCACTCGCTCCACTTCCTCGCCAACCCTACCCCACTCGAGGAGCAGCCAGCAGCACCCAACCCCGGCCTCGGGTTTTTGGATGTGCAGCTACTGCATCACCGCCTCGTGCGATACTCGCGCACGCGCGACCTCGCCTACCTCGCCTGGATCCTCCACCGATACGCCGCCTCGCGTTAGGACCCCCCACACACGCACCCTTCAAGACAATCTCATGCAACACCCACATCTCCCCAGTCTGTGTCTTTGCTCTGTGTCCATGAACTGCATTGATGAGAAAGCGGAACTCATCGTCGACGCGGCGCAAGGCTGGCAAAGAGTCGACGCAGCTCGTTGGAGCCGAGCTCGAGCGACGCCGACTGGTCCGGGTAGCACTCGGCGGCGATGCGCTGGGTGCGCTCGAACTCGCGCTGGTATCCGAGCTCGCACGACGACCATACCCGACTGAGCACCTCCGCCTGCCCCGCATCCGCAGTGTCCGTCCCCGCTGAGGCCGCGGGCGCCGCGACCGGCAGCGCGTCGTCGTCGTCGCCAAAGTGCTTGGCGACTCGCTTGCTGAGCGCCTCGATGGCCTTGCGCGTGTCCTTGGCGGTAAAGTCGCGCACGAGCTTCTTGAACGACGACTTGGAGTACGCCGAGTGCAGCGAGACCTCGTTGGCGGGCGTGGAGCGCAGCAGCGCATCGATGCCGTCGCCGTAGTCGATCATCTTGGCGAGCGGCCTGCGCAGCACAAACTGCGTGTACGACGCGAGCGAGTCGCCGTAGATCGCCTCGGCGCGCTTGACGAGCCCGGCGAGCGCCGAGTTGCCGCGCTGGCGCGACGCGCGGTTGATCTCGTGGATAAAGTAGTACATGTTTTCGATGAGGATGACGAGGTGGTTGAGCTGACCCTTGTCCTCGTCGCCCGCCGCGCCCGCGCCCGTATCGACGCGCGAGATGGTCTGGAGCGCATCAAACATGGCGCCGCAGATCTGGGCATAGTAGCCGTCGACGGCGTGGCGGATGTTGAGCGTCTCGGCGTTGAGCAGCTGGCTCTCGACGCGCTCGACAAAGACCGGAAAGATGCGCATGAACGGCACCACGCCCTTGCGCTTCTTGACCGTGAGCTTGGTCTGTTCGATGCCCTTGATCTGCTCCTGCACGAAGCGCTCCAGCTGCGACGCCAGCCGCAGATGCAGCTTGGCCAGCACCTTTTGCAGACTCTCGCAGTTGACCTCCTCGGCTTCGATGATGCCTCGATCGAGCGTGGCGAGCAGCCCGACGATGCTCATCTTGTCCTTGGACAGAGCATCGTCGGTAAACGCCTGAAGCTCTGGCGCCACGAATCCGAAAATCAGGTCCATGGCACCTTTCATTTCGCGCAGCGGTCCGGCGGAACCGGTGAACATGCCTGCGGCGCGCCTGCGGAAGTACGGCTCGAGGTCCATGTAGTCGGCAAAGGTGATGTTGTTGTCGTTGATGTGGAGCAGGTCGGAGATGAAGCTCTGCTCTCGCAGCAAGATCGGGATGATGGACGAGAGGATCCTCTGGAGGCCATCCTGACCCGTGACGTCCCCACGGTCTCGTCCACCACGAGCCGTCTTATCGCGCTGCACGCGTCGGATGGTGCCGCTACGAATTGCCGATGTGGCGGTTCCTGTGGACTGCGATCCGGTGAAGCTGGACTCGTTGATATCGTCGTCGCTCGCCTTGCGCAACTGCTTGCGGTAGGCAACAAAAAGCTGCTGCATCTCGGTGCGGTAGCATTCGCTTGCCGAGGCAAAGTAGGAGGCCGAGACGCGCGAGAAGGTGTCGGACGAGACCTCTTTCATATAGAGAAGCAAGCCGCAGTACTGTCCGAGCGCCTCCTCCATGGGTGCGTGATCCGGCAGCGTAGGATGTGGCGGCTGCAGCGCCTTCTGGCGGTTGGGATCCGAAAGCAGTCGCTGCGACTCTGCGCTAAAGGTGACGTTGAGATAGTCGAGGATGCGCTTGCAGAAGCGGGACGAGATGGCTTCGTGGTCTGCCAGCCTTTCGGCTGCGGCCGCCATGTCGGCTCCTCCGCCATCGCCGTCCCTTCGTGCCTGGAGCATGGACTTGTAGAGCGAAGCGGCGGCCATCTCGAGCTGAGCCACGCCTTCGGAGCTTTCGAGGCGACCGGCGCTGAGCGTGTGGATGGCATCCTCGTCGACGTTGATGGTGTTGATGAGGTTCTCGATCTCGCCCATGAGCGTGCGCTGATTCGAGGTCTGCACCTGAAGGCCTCGATTCTGCGACTCGATGTGGGAGATGTCATCGGCACGCGCATTGAGCTGCACCTTGAAGCCGGCGATCATGCTGTCCATCATGTCGAGCTCGGCGAGCGCTTCTTCCATGTGCTTGACGACGAGAGCGACGCGGTCGTCCGACTCGATGATGGCGTGTATGTTGGCCGACTCTAGCGCGGAAAGCTCGTCGAGCAGGCGCGCTTCGATCATGTCGGCGGTGCCTTTGCCAGCGACGGTGCCGTAGCCCTTTGCTCCGCCGTTGCGCCATTCAAAGCCTTCGAGCATCTCCTCGACGGCGACGAGGGTCGAGTTCTCGTCCTCGTCTTCGTCTTCGTCGGCACGGTCGCCTGACTTAGCCTTTTGTCGAGCGGCGGTTTTGTCAGGCATCTCCAAGCGTGCGATGGCGGGTCGGCCGAGTGTGGCACGCTTGGACGAAAAGGAGGCGTCCGGGGCCGCAGCATCGTTGTCTGCGAGTACGGCACCACCATAAGGATCGTCATCGTCGTCCGCCGCGCCATCGTCGTCGACCTCGGTGACACCGTTGAGTCCTGTGCCGGCCAAGAGCATCCTCTCGTATGCAGCGCCTCCTCGGATCGGCTCGATGGAACTGAGACGTGCACGTGCATCGCCTCCACCGCCAGCGAGGCCGCCGTGGCTGCCGTTTCGAATCGAGAGCGAGTCTGCGCTGTTCTTGCGCGGTGGGGGTTGTGTTGGTACGGCGAGGGACTTTGCATCTGTAGGATGCCTGTAGCTGTTTGAATCTGAGACGGCTGATCGATCGGACTCGGCGGAAGGGCGGGAAGGCAGCTGCGCGGTACGGCCGAGAGGGCTTGGCTGGAGAGTGCTTTCCCGCCTGCTCTTGAGGGGATTTTGACTGGTGTTGGAGCCGAGTGACGACGCGCTCTTGTCGCGACCATTCACGGGGCTTCCTTCGCTGGAGAGACTGCGGGTGGGAGACGCGGCAGGATCGATGCGCGGCTTGGGCAAGGACGATGTTTCGACGGTGGGAATCGCAATGGCAGACGAAGCGGTGCCATTGTTGGAGCTGAGCTGAGACGTGTCGCTGCGATATCCAGACGGATGGTCGGATAGGTTGGCCGAGTCGGCGACGGCGGCAGCAGAGGGGGTGGACGCCGAAGCCGTTGGAACATGTAGACCAACTAGTCTTGGCCCGTCATCTTGGGTGTACTTGCGATACACTTTGACCAAGCTCTGGAGGAAGAGTTGCTGCTCGACGGGCTGCTGTGTCTGCCACTGGTAGGGCCGCGTGAGAGTGATGCTAAAGACGTCGGGCTGGATGACGTGCACCTCTCTGAGCGTGTTGAGGTCCCAGTCCTTGCCGATGCTGAAGCTTCCGTTGGCGTTGCGCTTCGCCTTGTTGATGGTGACTCTGCCAGTGTCCTTCTGCACGGCGAGGATGAGATATCTGGCCTTCTTGGCGGGGGCTGCATCGGGGGCTGCTTCCTGGGGCACTTCCTCCCAAATCTTGAGGTGTGCAATGTAGGCATTGTTGGGGTTGCGCGCCTGAAGAGCTGCGTTGAAGAGGTCCTTTGTCTTGTTGGGGGAGGATGCAGAGACGCTCGCGCCGTTGGCGGCCTGTTGCGAGGAGGACGGAAGTGCCGACATGTTGGCCAAGTTGCTTTTGTGACGATAGAGTGGGAGCTGAGGCGGCGCTGCGGCAACTGCAGCTACAGGAGCATTGGAGCAGAGACGACCGGCTAAGATGCGCACCGGGCCAGCCGAGGGGTTTGTGGTTCTGGCAGCGCGGTGACCGGACGAAGATGTGATGGTGACGGTGACTTTGTGTTGGCTGAGAGGGTCAGCTCCGAGGCCGACTGCGTGTTCTGTGCAGTCTCTGGGCGGCTCCAAGGTGGAGCGCGGCCGTGCGCGCCAGCCATGGAAGCTGAGCTTTTTCGGAAATGTGTTAGGGCGGTGCAGAAGGGCTATGCAGCTCAGGAGCTCGAGTGCTGTGGTGCTGTTCGATAGCGTCACTATTCTCGGCGCATGCTCCACTTGGACCCATTCTCGAATCTAGCTCGCACCTTCGTCTTGGCAAGCACCACCTGTCTCCTGACGACCACCGCTTCATCACCTCCATCCATCCTTCCTCCCTTCCAGTACGAACCCAGTCTTACCATCACAAATGTCCTTCCTCGACAAGTTCCGCGACGCCGCTCAGAAGGCCGGCATCCAGGCCAACGCCTTCGCCCAGCAGACCGGTCGTGCCATCAACGAGCAGGCCGCAACAGCGCGTGCAGGCTTCTCCTTGCCCAAAGAGTGCGACCGCTCGGCCAAGATCCTCCAGGCTTTCCTCGCCGACCCCAACCACCCGGACTCGGCGCTCAACTCGATCCCCAAGGCGGTCCTGCAGCAAGCCAAGGGCCTGGCCGTCTTCAGTGTGATCAAGGCGGTACGTCCTCACCCTCCATGATCCACATCTTTGAGCGCTCCCATACTGATGAATTATCCCTCTTCGATTCTGTTTCCATCTCAGGGCTTCGTGTGGTCGGGCAAGATCGGCAGTGGTGTTGTGATTGCACGTCTGCCCGACGGCAGCTGGTCGGCGCCGAGCTGCATCGGCACCGGTGCGGTGGGCTTCGGTCTGCAGATCGGCGCCGATCTCACCGAGTTTGTCATTGTCATGAACAGCGAAGAGGCGGTCAAGGCATTCGCACACGCCGGCAACCTCACCATCGGAGGCAGTCTCTCGGCTGCCGCCGGGCCCATCGGCACGGGCGGCGCGATCAACGCTGCGATCCGCGACCCGGCTCCGCTCTTCACCTACTCGAGATCCAAGGGTCTGTTTGCCGGCATCTCTCTCGAGGGCACCGTGCTCGTCGAGCGCAAGGAGACCAACAAGGACTTTTACGGCCAGCCCATCCCGGCGGTCGACCTGCTCACGGGCAAGGTGCCCGCACCCGAGGCGGCGAGCGCCATGTACGAGGTGGTCGAGGCCGCCGAGATGGTCGACGAGTCGGGCATCCCGCAGCAGGCGTACGTGCCCACTGCCGACCCGGCACACCATGTGCCCGTCGCAGGCTACGATCTCTCGGACAACGCCTCGGCCACCACCGCATCCACAGCAGTCGAGCCCACAGCCGCCGCACCCGCCGCAAACAAACCCATCTTTGACGCGTAGGTATCGCCCGCACACGTCCCTTTGTTGCAGCGTTCGATCACTGACTCCGCTCATCTTTCGTGCCTGCAGTGACGCGAGCGAAAAGCGAACCAACTGAGCCCGTGCACCTGCGCACGTTGACCGCCATACCCTCTCCCGCACCACGCCGTTCAATCACACACATCTACACGCACTGCCTCGCACGCCGCCTCGCGACTTGATCGTGACATGAATTTATTCTATGACTGTGCAAGTGCCTGCCTACTGCGCATGGGGCGCATGGGGAAAGTTGTGGGCCCTCCTTGCGTGCAGATGGGTACGCGCGTGCTGCGAGAGTTCAGCGCGCGTATTGCGAGGGCTCGAACTGAAAGGTTCCTCCAAGCTCGGTGGCGTCGGTGGCACCACCTCACCTCGGACCGCTGGTAGCGGCTGAGCGATGAGGGCAGTGGGCGAGGCGGATCGCGACTCTTCCGAGAGCGAGTCGTTCGACGAGGTAGGTTCATGCCTCCTGCGCACATGGGCCTGTCCGGCGCGCATGCTGGGGATCCCGCGCAGCGATGCCGCCGTCATCTCTGCCTGGTGCCACCCACCATACGGCGGACTGCTCATACCGCTTCCCGAGCCCGTCGAGATCCAGCCGTCCGGACGAATGCGATCCTTGGCGCGCTGTCTCGCTGCCGCCTCGGACGCAGTACTCGATCCCGACACCCGTCCACTGCGCCCTTCACCCTCGGTGGCCGTCGAGGTGTACGAGAGCACGCGCGAGGTCATGCGCGGACTGCGCGGCGTGGCGTGCATCTGCACATACACCGAGTTCTCCGCCTTGCGCATATACCCTCTCCCGGGTCCTTCCCGCGGCCAACCTGCCTGCCTCGAATTCATCGGCGACGGGGTGCCATCTCTAGCTCCCTCCACCACCTGCGAGACACCTTCGTTGCCCGACGATTCCTCGCCCGACGACGACTCGTCGTCGCCGTCGCGGCTGTCGCTCGCTTCGCCGTCGCGCGCATCGGTCACCTCCTCCATGCTCGCTCGACGCTCAGCCCCGTACGCCGGTCGAAAGCTCGCCTGGGGCGAACCGGCACGCTGCCCTTCCGCCCGGCGCGGCTCAGTCTGCCTCGCAGCGCCGTTGTCCCTCGCAGGCTGTCGGTTGGCCGCCTCGACCGCCCGACGTCGATTCGGCGAGGCGGGATTCGCGCGCCAATTCCATGCATTGGCAAAGTTGCCAATCGCACCCGCCTGGTCCCAAGCATTGACGAACGACAGATTCGACGGCAACCCTCTCGGCCTCGACACTGCCGGAGCCGCCGCAACCGACGCAAAAGCTCCGTTGTTACCCTGTTGGGTGCTGCCCATCTTTGGCGTGGTGTCGGCGCTGGGCGGTGGCGACCGCTTCGGCTCGTCGGGAAAGACGCGCGTAGGCGCCGCCGACGTACGCTGCTGCGTCTCCCAGGGAAAGATGGGCTTGACCTTGCTCGCGTCCGGCTTGTGCGAGCCCAGGTTGTCAAAGACATGGTCGCGGCGCAGCTGCGAGGGGATGTATCCCGGCCCGCCGCGCTGTCGTCCACTGCGATCCTGCGCGCCTTGCGACTGCGGGACGAAGAACGCCGCCTTCTGCTCGGCGAGCGTGCGCGGCGTCTTTTGGCCTGCGTCCCAGATGTTTGCATAGTAGGCATCGATGGGGACGCGCATCTGGTACAGCGCGGCGCCCGAGCCGGTCGGCGGAGGCCCGTGGGCGGGATTCCACGAGAGCTTGGGCGGAGAGTAGTGCTGAGGCGACGTATCGCTGTCGTCATCATCGCCCCTCTTGGCCACACTGCCGTGCTGGATGCTGGGTGCCGGAACAGGGATGGGCTGCGCCGGACTTGCGTCGCGCGACCGCAGCTCGGCGTCGATGCTCTCCTGTGTCGGCGTGGGCGGCGACGGCGTGCGAGCCACCTCGGGCACAGGCGGGATGAGCGAGCTTCTGCCATCGAGCGGTAAGCTGGCATACGAGGCTTCCCAATGCTGGTGCGCGCGCGGGTGCGCAGGAGCAGACTCGCGGGCGGGTGCAGAAACGCCAAAGCCAAGCCCCGACGAGGAGGCATCTTCTTCGCGCGCCTCGGCGTCCCAGACGGCGTGATAGGTGGGCACGGTGAAGTTTCTGCGCTCGACCACCTCGACGCCGCGTTCGGTGTGTACGATCTCGATCTCGCTGTCCGGCGATGCGGAGCCCGAGGACGGATAGAGAGAGGCGAAGGCGCTGTGCCAGAGGGCGAGCAGGTAGTCCGGCTGATCGGGCATGATGGGTTGGCTGTCGAGATCGCGTGGTGCCACGAGAGGATTGGGCTGAGCGCTTCCATGTGGCCTGGGCCGGTTCCACGGCTTGTGTTGACCGATAAAGTGGACGATGTTGATGTTTCGGCCGTAGCGCTGGTATGCTGGCGCGAACGTATATCCTCCGTGACTGGTGACGTTGTATCGGAAGCTGAGCCTCTTCCAGCCCCCGCCTGGCGCTGAGGATGTATCGGGCGATTGTGCCTCGTCTGGGAGAGATGCCGAGCTATCGTCGGAGCCGTAAAAGTCGTTGAGGAGGCCTTGATCGGCGCCGTCCCAAGAGCCAGTTGTTCGAGCGAACGAGCGTATCGCTTCGAACGTGGCGGTGGAGGGTGTGAGCATCATGACGCCGCTGTTGAAGGCATCGGGCCAGCCGGTGTCGGGAGCCGCGGCGAAGTGAACGCTGGATCCGAGACGAAAGAGGTGGTCGATGGGGCGCAGGACGAGGGTGTCGGCGTCGAGGAAGACGAGCTTGTCGAATCCGTGCCATTTTTGATCGCTGCCATCGACGGGAGAGGCGGCTTGGGCAACGAGATGTGCCGAGTCGCGACCGAGCCTCCAGGCGTGGAGTTTGGTGAGGGTGTTGGTGAGATCGGGACGGCCGAGCAGACTTAGATTCCTCTCCATATCGCGGATCTTTGCGTCGAGGTCCGAGTCGAGCACTGCGGCGTCGTGCGCTGTGCTGCTACCGCTGATGCCGGTCGTGACGGTGGTGGGAGCATTGGTGGACGAGGCGAGAATCTGACGAAAGCCGATGGGCTCGACACCTACGATCCAGTCGAAGAGACCGCTTCGCCGCAACGCCTTGATGGACTGCACCGAGAGCGTATCTGGAGTGATGAGCGCCACGACCTGAAAGTCGGTGGTGGCTGCGCTTCGCGAAGTGCCGGCGCGTGCCTTGCCCTTCCTAGCGAGTCCATGGCTGAGGCGAAGCGACTCGGCGAGAACGAGTGCGCCAGGCAGGTAATGATCGGAGGTCAGGAGGGTGACGAAGGCATTGTTGGTGCTGGTGTGCTGCGATGGCGAACTCATCGGCACAGAAGCCAAGACGGAATGTGAGCAGCAGCGCCTGGGATTCGCAGACGCCCACTGGGAGGATGGCTTTTTGGTGGATATGAAGTGGCGGTATGAAAGGTGCGTTGGCTTCGTCCGATATGAAGCAGGGTGGCGCGCGTGGATGTGTTTAGGGAAAGGATGAAGGTGGTTGTGGCGAGCCGCAAAGGTGGCAAGAAGGGTGACAGGGTCAAGTCGATAGGCAAGAGGTGTGGCGGCGGAAGATTGTTCCAACCCAAAGCGGCGGAGTGGCTCAGCAGGCGAGGCGAGGCGATGTCGACTTGACGGACCGCTACCCGCCGTTCCTACAGGGTGCCGATGCCAAGCTGCTCCGCTGCTGCCGCTGTGCTGCTCGCGATTCTACCGAACCAAAATTCGGCTGCCGCACCGGGTCAGAAAGTCCAACTGCGCGCTGTAGTCAGGCTTGCAGCCCACGCTGCATGGGTGCGCAGCAGCCCGCCCACCTGCACCAAATCACAACCACCCCCCCCACGCCTGCACCCTGCAAATCGAAATACGGCGGGGCCTTCCAAGCAAAATCACCGAAACGACGAGGCTTTGTCGCTCAACGCCGTACCTAGACGGTCGAGCTTATACTATGCAATTGATCACACCATTGGCAAGTGCGGCAATGTATGGTCGAGAAAGGGCTTCGACACGCCCACACGCAGGGTGGCGCGATCCGGACTTCGGCATCGGCTTTGGTTCGAGCTGCAGCAGTCAACTTTTTTGGGGGAAGAATTTGCCCTTGCTGCTCGCTTTGCCCCACACGCACGCGCGACTCAACGTCGGTCCAAGTGGGCGGCGGAATTCTGGAGAGAGAGAAATTGACCGTTGGAATTTCCGCGTGTTTTGAAGCCACAGAGAGACCGGCGAGGCGCCGACGAGACCGCACGCGAGGAGGTCCTGGCAGCCAGCTGCAGCTATCGATCTGGCGTGCGGCGATCTTTTTGACACGGCGTGACATGGCGTGACAGAGGGCAGTAAGCCGCCGCGCCCGTCTCGACACTCTTCGGCTGGATCCGAAGATCCGATCCTCTCACCACGGACAGAACCGCAACGAGTCTCGTAACAAGAAAGCATCGGGCAGCTGCTGGAAAGAGCACAGACGTGTGCGATTGCGCTGTTCGTTTTCGGGCGTGGCCACGTCTATCGATGTGTTGACAGCCGAGCCGAGCTGAACGTTAAATCTCCAGCTCGCCATCGGTTCGCCACCCCCGCGCTCTCGGAGGAGCGCTATCGATGTCCACATGTTGACAGATCGACAGCGCAGCTCACATCCACTCATCTCCGCAAAACTCAGGCTCCTCGCCGCGTCGCGGTCAAAACACGCACCGTCGATCCTTCTCACCCCGCGCTGTTTCCCCTATCGTCTGCTGTGTCGCTTGACGAGTCTCGGTCGCTTGATGCAACGAGTTCAATTGCATGTGCATGTGTGCGCGCTACAGCCAGCTGCTCCAGCCGATGTACATCTTGGCTAGATTGACCGAGCTCGTGGCCTCCTTGATCAGCGCGTCCACCAGGTTGTTGGTCGTGTACGGCGGCGTCGGCTCGCGCGAGCCCAGCCGATAGATGCGTCCGTCCAGCTTGTGCGCCACGGGATCCAGCGCGCGACGCGCCTCGACCACACGTGGGTCTTGCCGCTTCGACGACGAGTGTTTGCTCCGATGCCGCTCGTCCGGTCCGCTCCATTCGCCCAGCGGATCGTGCACCATGGCCTCGAGCACGCTCATCAGCGAGTCGCGGTTGTCGCGCAGGATGCTCATCGTGATCTCGGCGCTCTTGCGGAAGACCCCGTCGCATCCCGTCACACCCATCGCATCCACCATGTTCTGCGTCAGCCGGAACGGCACCCGCTCCGGAATCTCGAAGCGCTGACCCTTGTCGAAGAGACAGTTGAGATCCACGTGCACCGTATCGCCGCTGTTCGAGTCAAACAGAATGTTCTCGCCGTGCCGGTCGCCCAGTCCGAGCACAAAGCCCACCATCGACATGACCGCCGCCGTCCGCGCATACGCCGAGCGCGCCTGCAGCCACGCCGTCGGATCCGGAAACGTCGCCAGGAACCACTCGTGGAAGACGGGCGGGAACTTGGCCAGCACCTTGTCCTGGAAGATCTTCTCGGTCGTCCGTGCATCCGGCGAGATGCGTGCCTCGTCCATGTGCGTCTTGACCTCGCTGTTGTAGATCTGCATCCCCTTGGCGTTGTACAGCTTGGTGAGGATGTGTCGGAAGCCCACCGTGTGCGGCACCCACTCGATCAGGCCGTGCTCCTCGTTCAGGATGAGCACCGCATACGTCCGCACGTACAGCTTGCGCTTACGCGAATCGGGCTGGCTCTGCAGCAGCTTGTTGATCATCGAGTCAAACTCCATCAGCCGCGCGTCCTTGCGCAGATCGTCCTTGGGCTTGCACAGGAACGGATAGCGATTGCCATCGCTCGCCACGATCATCAGCTTGCGCGGCTTCTGCAGACTGTTCATCACCTCGATCGTGTCGTCAAACGTCCGGATCGTCGGCAGATTCGACGGGAACGGTCGATGCATCTCCGAGATCAGATGGTTCGACGGAAGCAGCACCGTCATCGAGCTCTGCAGCGGCAGCAGCAGCTCCGACGTGCCTGCCACCTCGAGCAAGCCGGGGAACAGCTTGTCCATGCTCAGCACCGTCTCGTTCTTGCTTACGCTGTAGTCGCACAGCCGCAGCAGCTCCTTGGCCAGTCGTTGCGACGACGCCACCACCTTGACCACCTCCTTGTGGCTCGCGCCGCCCTTGCTACCCAGCCTTTGGATGATCTCGTTGTACCGTCGCTTCCTCTCGGCGTCCTTCGAGCTGGCGCCCGCCACCATCGACCACATGGACTGCTGTGGGTAGGCGAGCAGCACCTGCAGGATCATGTCCTGCAGCACCATCCATGCATCCTCGTTCTTCTGCACAATGCGCGCGACCAGCTGCGGAAACACGGCGAGCCACTGGAACGGCTTGAGCTTGCGGCTGTACCTCTTCATCAGGATGTTGAGCTGCGCAAACGCGTCGAACTTTTGCGCCAGCTCGGTATCGGCGGTGGGGCCCTTCTTGTTGAAGTTGAGGATCTGATCGTCGGCGGCCATGTCCATCCAGATGGTCAGCACCCTCGGCAGGGTGCGGTAGAAGAACTTGGTGCCCACCTGAGCCGATCGCAGGAAGGCCCGGCACACGTTGTAGCGCTGCATCGCCATGTTCGGAAGCAGGCCCTCGTGCGTGTCTTGGAAGTGTCCGAGATGGTACCACATCTTCTCCGAGTCGTGTTGCTCCTTGGCGGCCTCCTTGTATCGATCAAGAATCTCGTTGGCCGTGTACCGGAACGTCGAGTCCTGCAGCCGCGCCCGCAGCAGGCACGCCTTGGCATAGGCATCCCGATCGATCCGCACCGTCCTCCCATCCGCGTCCGTGGCCTGCAGCTCGATCACGCTCGACCTGGCCGTATCCCCGTGCTCTGTTGGCTTGAAGCTGCTGACGAGCGTGTTGAGCGAGTTGACCAGATCGCGGATCGCAGCATGCGTCTGCTCCTCCTTGGCGAGGATCTTGACGCGCTGCACAAACGCAAACGTCGCCTGGTTCTGCGTCGCTTGCAGTGTCGCCGAATAGGCCGTCTGCATGTGACCGGCTCGGCGAGCGATCTTGGCCGTGGCAATCCACGCTTCGCCCACCTCGTTGCCGCCACCGAGCGACGATCGCAGCGCTGCGAAGGCCGTCCTCCGCAGACTCAGCAGCGGCTCTTGCGTTCGGAAGGAAGGCAGCGTGGCGTTGAGACGTGCCGTCAGAGATTTGTTCAGATCGGACACGGTGTCGGAGAGGTTGGCTCGGGTGACCGCTCGACTGCCGCCGTGCCTACCCGCGTGCGATCGGATCATCTCGAGCTCTTGCAGCATGTGCAGGTGCAAGACAGAGTCGTACACAGACGGGTAGGATGCTGTACCCGCCGCCACCAACGGCTTGCCCAGATCCTGGCGTGCTTGGACCAGCACGTTGCCAAACATGTCGGCATCGCTCTGCCGCATGGCCAGCAGCGCTCGACCGATCGAGTGTTCAGCGCTTTTGGCTTGGCTGCGCTGCGTGCGCGCTTCCACCTCGTCCCAGTCGCCGAGGATGCATGCACCCTCCACTCGGAAAGCGTCGAGCAGATCCTCCCACTCTGGGTGTGCGCTCAGGGCGCCGCGAATATGAGTGCGCATGGTGTCGTAATGGCCCAAGTTGCGGAGGCAGCGGAGCAAGCCGAGATGGAGCTCCGGATCGTTGGGCCGCTGCTGCAATTCGACCTCCCAACAGCTTTGTGCCGAGGTCCATCGACCCGTGCTCTCGTGCTCGCGGATTTGATGCTCGAGCGACGGAGAAATGACCCGGGTCGAGATGCCTTCCATACCGTCCGGCTCGTCGAGGTTGGCATAGATCCGGTGCATGTTTTCGTAGTAGCTCTGCAAGTCATGATCGCCCTTGCCTTGGACCCGCATTGTTCGCACTCGAAGCTCAAAGTTGAGCAGCGCACGCGAGTATGCTTTGCACTGCAGCGACGCCTGTGCCAACAGCTCTTGGGGGATACGCAGCATAGTCGACTCGACTCCGACCAGCAGGTCTTCCCCACCTTGAGCGATCCTCGGCCGACGCGAGGTGCGTGCGAGATCCTGCCGCTTGCGTCGCATCCACACTCCGATATGGTCCATGATGGTGAAGAGCGTCTGCGCCGTCAGCAGCTTGCGCTCCGGGTCGTAGCTCGTCCGGCTCTCGACCTGATCCTGCAGGATCGTCTGCATCTCGTCGACAATGGCTTCGCGGTCCGTCACATCGCCGGAAATGATCGAGTGCAGCACCAAGTGTGGAAGCAGGTGGCGTGCGATGCCGACATCGTGCGAGCGAATAGCGACGCGAAAGACGCCAAAGATGGTGGATGCAACCTCGGCTCCCTTGAGAGCACCTGCGTTGATGCCCCCCACAGCAGTCGACGCCGCGACAGACGCCTCGTGCCTCTCGACCGTCTTTGCGATGAGACGACTCGTCCAGCTCTGCAGCCAGTCGCTGTACGACTTGGAATGCATGTAGATGGGCGTCTCTCGGACGCTGGGTTTGCCGACTTGCGCGCCATACCTCGAGTCGAGAAGCGGCGTGATGGTATCGATAACGTCTTGCGAAAGTTCCGCGACCCGCTGCCGCGTCTTGATCCCAACAGTGCGTGCGCCGCCTACAGCCAAGATAGAGCTGTTGAAACCGGCCACTTTGAGCAGCTCTTGTATGGCGTACGCCAGCCCGTTCTGTTGCGTCGTGTCGGTAGCTGCACGGAAAGCCGGCACGAGGAGATCTCGAATGAGGTGGAGCGAAAAGTCGATGGCCTCCTCCTGGTCCTCAAAGTTGCTGAGGACGATCTTGAGCGGCTCTTCCACGGCATGCTCGATACGATCGGGATCCACCGCTCCAATCAGGCCAAAGCAGCGGAAGCTCAGATCGCGAATGCTGGTGTGTTGCGTGTCGCTCCGGGCAGCGACGTGCATCAGGGTGCGGACGCACTGTCCGATGAGCGGGCTGAACGAGTCGCCCGACGTAAGTGCTTCAATGTAGGAGCGTTCCTCCGACAGGAACGCCTGCAGCTCTTTGAGTGACTCGTTGCAGATCGAAGTGTTTTCGTGCGAGGAGCGCACCAGGATGTTGCGGAATCGGCGGTCGTGATTCCAGGCGTCGCGGACGCTGCGGAGACCGCGGCAGATCTCGGGGATCTCCGCGTCGAGCCGATCGAGGCTGGGAATGTCGTCGATGTACTCTTTGAGGTAAGCTGCGTTTTCGATCACAAGGTAATGCAGGATCGAGACCGCGATGCGCTTCCTCTCCTGATTGAAGCGATCCCAGGCCGACAAGAGCGCGGCGGCGGTCTGACCGACAAAAGGCCCGATGTCGTCGAAGCGCAGCGTAGTGATGAAGATTTTCCAGCTCTCGAGCGTTGCGAGGCTGAGAGCATCGGGCTGAAGGTGGCTGTTGAGCGTCGCCATGATCTGGGGCGTGACTGCGGTGATCGGAGGTCCGATGATCTCGACGAGTGCACCGATACTGCGCAGAGCAAAAGCGAGCTCCGTTGCCGTCCTTCGACCATGCTCCCCTGAGAGCTCCTGGTTGATCCATGTGAGTATGGCGAGGATCTCGCTCTTGAGGAAGGCAGCCACTTTGGATTTGCGTTGCATCGGGTCCGTGGCCCTGCCCGCGGCAGCTGTCCCGTTGATCGTCTCGATGATAAACTCGAGGCCCGCGTACGCCTCCTTTCGCGTGACGCGATTGCCGAGTTTGACGACGAGGTAGCCGACCACGTCCGACTGACGACTGCGCAGGAGAATCTTGAGGCTCGCAGCATCGACGCCGATCAATTGCACGAGCGTGTTCAAGCCTCGGTCTCGGATGGCAGCGGAGCGCATGAAGAACGAGCGAAAGATGGGCGTGATGTTGTCGTGGCAGAGACGCGGCACGTCGGTGCCGAGCGCTCTGGCGATGAGCTCGATCATCTTTGTGCCTACCTCCGCCGCACGGCCGCCAGTGCAGATCATGGAGATGAGGTGCGGCAGCGTGTACTCCTTTGTGAGGTTGAAGAACGTGGCCTGGTTCATCTTGATCAGACTCAGGAAGCTGGTCCAGAGATCCGGCATCGAGATGAAGCGTTCGACGATGGATGTCGACACCTTTTCAAAGTGCTTCTGCACCAGCTGAAAGGTAGTGCATCGCTGCGCTGCGGCGATCTGAACGATTTGCGTATAGGCGCAGGCCTTGATGAAGGGGTTGGAATGACCGAGGAGGAGGACCAACGCCAGCAAGCACTTCTCCTGACAGCTCTCGACCGGAAGTTCGAAGAACCGACCCATGCCGATCAAGGCTGTCTCGTGGAAGGCCGACAAGGCGGAGTCGCCGAGCAGGTACTCGTAGATGTTGGGAAGCCATGCGAACTGTGCCGCCCATTCTGCCTCGCTACCCTCGTTGCGTTGACGCAACAAGCGACACTGCCAGGCCATGGCAAGCTCGTTGGCTGCCAAGCGCGTGCCCCTCGATGGCGACCGCACCGTGCGTGCGACGACATTTTGCACCACCGCGTCGAGATCGGACGGGAATTGCGGCGACTCGGGAGCGTGGGCAACGTATCGGCGCAGCATATCGACGGTTCGAGCTGATTTTACTTTGGACGCTTTGAGTGCCGCCAAAACATCGTCCCACAGCGCAGTCACCGTTTCTGGGTCGATGGGTCCTGCACCGGCCAAGGCTCCGGGATCACCTTCGCTTTCGCCGATTTCGGACACTATACCTTCGCAGACACAGCCACCGGGCTTGTGATTGTCTTTCTTGGAAGCGCCCTCTTTGCCGTGGCATGATCGCAAGATGAGTTGGCGCCGGGCCAGTTCACGGCCCTCGCCAGGCTCTTGAAGTGTCGCTTCGATCGGTAGAAGAGACTCGATGACAGCCCGAGCCTTGCTTGACGACGCAGGATTGCCGAGCCTCCGTCTTTTGAGAGATCTCAAGCGCGAGCGGACCTGGCCGTCGTCTGCGCTCGGAGAGACAGGTTGAGGGCTGCTCAACGTCCTCAGAACATCACGGAGGGCGTGCAATTGCCTCAAGTCATGCTGCTGTCTGGGAAGCTCTTGCGTGTCGGGGCTGGTGTTGTGACGCCGTAGAAGCTCGATGATGTGCGCATCAAGATCCTGCAGCAGTTGAACGTCGTAGCGACGGGTTCCCGAGGCGACACACAGGATGGTCGCTGCCAGGAAGCATCGGAGTGCTGAAGATCGAAGATCGTTTTGCGGCTGGTCGGCCTGATCTGTGTCGGAGCGGACTTGACGTGTGAGGAGGCCGAGGAAGGGCTGCAATACCGAGGCCAGCTCTGTACGTCTCTGTTTTGGCGTCTCTATTGCGCAGGCAGAAAAGAAGGAGCCAAGTGTGTGGAGCGATTGAGTGACCTCGAAGCGTTGTCTGTCATCGAGATTGGGGTCCTCTGCGACATCGGCGAGAGCAGATATGTGCTCGGCGCCGATTTGTAGGACGCGCATGAGGTTGGCAGGACAAGACTCGGCCACAAAGTCGACGTGGCGGGACAAGACATCGTAGGCATGGGCGGCCCAGGGCGTGTGCAAAGCGGGGCAGGGATGTTTTTGCTTGGCGCGTGTCCATCTGTGGAGCGAGAGCTCGCTGAGTAACAGCATAGCATGGTCTGCAAGGTCCAGGACCAGAGACGGGAACTTCTCTGCGAGTCGGAGCGTGAGATCGATGGAAGAGGTGGCTAGGGCAGACGCTCGATCTGTGATGGCTGATGCCCGAGCATGAGGACTGAGCTGGGAGTCCGAGTCGACGAGCAGAGGGAAAGAGAACGCTGCGTCCATCCGCAAGGACGAGAGGGCTGACAAGCTCTTGCCGCTGGGCTTGGGTCTGTCCTTTCGGGAACTGAGGCGGAAGGACGGGGCAGGGGTGGCTGATTCGAAGAACTTGGCGCTGGGACTTGCGGTCGAGAGCATCTGCTTGAGGTCGACAGACGGTACAAAGTAGTCTGGAAGCTGTGCGCGCGGGCTGAAGGAGGTCTGACCTGTTAGTGCCAGAGCCTGCACCGAGACTCGCAGGCACTCGGCAAGGATGAGGCGGACATTGTCGTGCTGACCGACGGCGTCGATCGAAGTGGCGAGTAGGAGCTCAAGGCTGTCCATGATGTTTAAGGAGAGATTGTAGCAGCGCTGCGAATAGTCTGAGCTGGCAACGGCAGAGGTGGAGCGACTTGCGGAGACCATGGAGGCGGCGGCGCACAGCAGACGCGGCGCTGCCCACACATCAAAGGTGGTGTTGGACATGTCGAGGGTGACCGCGCTGGATGAGGGTGCTGAGGTGGAAGACTGGGATGATGGTTCGAAGAGGTGCTCGAGGAATTTTGGAGACGATGCGAGGGTGCGCGAGAGAGTGTCGAGCGCTTGGCGGATGCCGATACCGGCGGTGCCTGCGTGTGCATCCACATCTTGGCGGCTTGGTGGGGATGAGTGTGTGAGTGAAGTCAGAACGCCGGAGACGAGGAGGCGATTGAGAGCGTGTGCGATCGACTCCTCGGTATGAGAGCCATCGCGTGCGTCGTTGATGGCGGCATCAGATGGACGGTCCTCTTGCAAGTCCTGTGCGAGGCATTGGGAAGCAGCTGCGAGCGCGGAAGCAGATTCGCGGTCGGCATGATGACCACGGACGCGCTCGGCTGTAGTCGATGATGGCTGGTCTCCACTGTGGCCGGAATGGATGCCGTCACGACTGCCGACAACTTTGCGAAGCAGGGCCCCGAGCGCGCCGTTGTCCAACGCGCGCGTCTGGGCCGGCATGGTGGGGGACAGTAGGCTCCTGACTAGACGCGAAGAAGCGACAGCGGGGCGTGGACGGTGCGAACAGCGGCGCTGGCATGCCGCTGAGTCGGCCAGTTTGGAGCGGATGAGACTGTCGATGATGGCGCGAAGGATGGCATTGCGGATCAGAAGCTTGTGTTGCTCGGGCTGAGCGCACACGATCAGTTGCGCCCACGCTCAGTCGCTCAGTCGCTGCGGCGGCGGCGGCTCCACAAAAGCTAGATTTCCGCACTGCCCACCGCCCACCGCGCTTCTTTTTTTCGGGCTCTTTTGGCGACCAAACCGGACGCGTGCTCCGAGACGCGTAAAGTGCTCAGACCAACACTTGGAGACCCTGCCTGCACACGCCCAAAATCGCGGCGCAAAAAAGACACGCGCGCTGGCTCTCCATCGTCTCCCTCTGCCATCAGCCACCATCCACAGAGACACAATCAGTATGGAGGATCAACGCGGCGCCGCAAGTCAGGAGACCATGGACAGTGAGTAGCCTTGTCGCTGGCAGAAGCTATCGCATGAAAGCTGACATGTGCGTCTTGTCGTTTGATTAATCTGCTCGGTACATCCCAGTCCTGCATGATCTCTCACAGCTGCTCAACACCGGACTCTCCCGCGAACAACTTCGAGCTTGCACAGAGCTTATAGAAAGCGGCGTGAACGCTGAAGCTGTTGCTGTAAGTTGTCGTCTTGAAACGAGCGACAGCGACGGAAGAGATGTCTGACCTGCCAATCTGCTATCACGATTCATGACTTACGACGGATTGCCCGCTCTTGACCTGCCCTCGACGTTCGCAACAAAGGCCATCGTCGAGAGTCTTCGCAAGGAAGCCGCAAAGCGTTAGACGACTTCATTGTACAAATCGACAAAAGAAGCGCTCGCGCATCAAGGACCAACGACAGCAGCAGCGACCGGCAGCACACACGCACGGTATCTCCAATGAAGCTGCGCAATGGCCGCATCCAAGGAGATGAAGCAGGGTCTGATCCGCAAGACGCAGCCACCCCCGGTCGTCCGATCGTCGTCGCCCGGCTCGGACCCGATGCAAGACTCTGAATTCAACTAGCAAGATGCTGTAACGCGAGTCCAACGCCAGTCGTGGACAAAGACGGTCCAATGTCAGTCGCTCTCCACGGATCGACGGCCGAGATACAGCGTCGCCAAATGAACCAAATGAAACGACGCCGGCGGCTGGTTTCACGTAGTCTCGCACTCTAACAGGATGAGTTTAAAAATAGACTACACCGCAGCTCTGGCTCGGAAGTGGGTGCCGAACAGCGAGGGCCAAGGCGAGGGCTGACAGGGGCGAAGGGTGACGCTGGCTTTGGCCTTGGCTAAGCTCGGCGTGAAGGCAAAAGAGACGGGCCTGCCTTGAGCGCGGCCAAGGCTGGGTTGGGCTGAGCGGGGGGCTGGCGGCAAGGCTGTGCGGTTTGGTGCCCCTGAATCGGCTCGGGCCGCGTGGAAGTTGAACAGCTGCCTACTGCCCAAACACGCGCTCTCTCGTCGCCTCTCCATTTTTGGAAAGCAAAAAAAAGCAGCGCTTCAGGGTCACGATGCAGCGAGTCGCAGCGACAAAAAAAGGCCTTGCGGATCTGCAGGGTGTGGAGGCCAACAGGGGTGCAGCACTGCCAAAAGGCAACAAGCGAGGCTGTCAACACGCTCGAGCAGGCGACACCAACAACACGGCCATTTTAGGCAGGTTCGCAGCGCGGGTGGTGCAGCTGGCTGCAGGAAACACAGGGGTCGAGGGCCTCGTGCTCGTTCTTGGCCATGCCCTCACCGCCCTTGCCAAGATCGACCGAGCTCTGGCTAGCGTGCTTTCCAGCGTGCTTTGCGCTGCCCATTCAGTCTTGTCGTCATTCTTCGGTGCAGCAGCAGATCTGCGAAGAAGCCCCCGCTGCCTGAGTTGGGAATGCAGATGAAGCTCGGAAAGTCCGTGGATTGCCAAGGCCGCTTTGACCCGCAGGCGCCCACTCATCCCGTTCGTATCATATTTGTGTTGGGATTGGGTGCGGAGAATCGGGAGCGCCGAACGTCGCCCTCTCCGGATCCTGTTGGCACTGCGTGAGATTGTTGGGAAGTGATGAGTCGGCTGGATGACGGCTCGCTGCTCTGCTTGAGTTGCAGTCAAGTGCGGCAAAGCGATGCAAGTCATTCGCTCCGACGACGCCAGCATGAGACGCGGCAGCTTTTCCAACTGAACCCTTTTCGGCTCCTCCGCAACCTTGCCCTTCTACCTTGCCTCCTTCCCATCACAGGCGCCGACATACCTTGCCTCGCCCCTTCATCCCCTTGCCTTCGACCCTCGATCTCTCACGCCCGACCCACAACTCGCTCCTTCTACGTCTGTCTTTGGAGCTGCGCGTCCTCTTTCGCTTTGCAGAATCGAGCCAACACCAAACGACATCGGAACTGTACCGACCCTCCCGGCTCCCCTTGCCAGCAAGGTTGATTACACACGGCTACCCCTACGCTCCACGACACCATGCAGCAACGGCAGTAGAGCATCCGGAGTGATTGTATAGGACGGCCTCTCCACAAGCCTTCGCTTGCTCGTTGAGCTTGCACCTCGACCGTCACCATGCAGTACTACGCTGACCATGGTGCTCAAGAGGCCCGCAGCTCATATCCGTCGTACCCACCCGTCTCAGCATCGTCGCCTCATCATCATCATCAACAGCACCTCAACAACGCGCGACGCTACAGCGGGGAAAGCAGCAGACCACCATCACAGGCCGGCAGCTCCCGACCTCCTTATGGCCAGCCACCACGCAGCCCCCTCTCCTCGCTCCCCGCACATGGACGCGACGAATCCGACGAATACGAGGAGCGCGATCTGGGCGAAATCGCAGCCGCCAACCAAGCTGCCCAGGAGCAACGTTGGGGGCCCCACGCAGCCCTCTCCGAAGCACCCGCTCGCTTCGACGCCTATCACGATCCGCGCCATGACGACTATCATGCTCCCATGCCCACCATGCCCGTTTACGAGTCCGCCCACTACGACGGTGGCTTCTACATGGAGCCACCTGGGCTGTACGAACCAGTCCCACAGTATCGCCCTGCTCCCAGCCTCGGTCCGCCCTCGATAGCCTCGAGCCACACCCTCGGCGGCCGATCTCGCCAAAGCCTGCCGGTCTACGCGTCTCCACTTATGGCCCCATCCGCTTCATCTCCAGCGTCCGAGCCACCCAACATGTTCAACGTCACCGCCGCGCACCACACGCCCGGCGGCCGTCCGCGTCCCTACGATGACCCACGCGCTCAGTCTGGCGCCCGCATCGGCGATTCTTTGCCAGGATTTCCAAACTGGTCGCACACCTGGTACGGCGGTCATCTCTCTGCCGACGGTCATGCCTACACCATGGTTCCCCCCGGGTCGGGCCAGAGCGGCTGGGAGAGCGAGACGCTCAGCCACCACCGTCCCGGCTATCCAGGATCTCCGGGCGCCTACGGTCCGTACCCATATGGACGTACAGCAACGCACGATCAAGTCAAGGAGGAACGCATTCGCATGCTCGAGAAGGAGTTTGGACCCAAAGTGAAACACAAGGGCAAGGGCAAAGACGCCGATGACGATGATGATGAGGACGAGGATGAGGACGAGGTGGTCCCCATTGGTGGCGTCAATGCCAAAGGTCGACTGGTGCTGCCACGACGCAAGACACGCATCACGACACGCGTGCTGCAATGCCTCGTCTCTCTCGTTGCAGCCGGGTGCAGCATTGGCGGCTTCCTGGCGATCCATCCACAGGAAAAAGCACCGCCATCAGGCACCATGCCTTCGTTCGTCCTCTACGGCGTCTCGGCCTTGTCGACCATCATCTGCCTCTACCTCTTTACCATCAAGCCCTGTCGCTCCGGTCGCGACGCTACCGGAGGTGCTCCCATGGGCGGCGGCGGAGCGGGAAACGGCATGGTGATCCCGATCATGGCGGGAGGCGCAGGCGGCAAGCCTGGCAAAGGCGGCATGTTTGGCAAGAAGGGCAAGAACGCCATGCAGCAGGGCACCACCGTGAACCTGATTGTCGACCCAAGCCTGTTGGGACAGCGTGCCGACGAGAGCGACTCGGAGACCGACGAGGACGAGACGCTGCCGGGCGAGGAGCGTCGTCGCAAGAAGCGGCGCGCCAAGAAGCGGCAGAAGCTCGGCATGCTGGGCAACATGAAGCTGCAGGCGAGATGGCGCGTGGCACGCACGAGTCTCAAGTGGGACTGTGCGTGGGATGTGGTGATGTGCCTGCTGTGGGGTGCGGCGGCCGTCATGGCGCTCGGCGTGGGCAAAAAGTGCCCTTCCGGGACGGCCGAGGGCTGGTGCACGCTGTACAACAGCGCCATCGCATGCGCCATCGTCGCGGCGCTTGTCGGCCTGGTCGCCATCTACTGCGACATTGTCGGCCTGCGCGCATCTCGTGCCCCGCCCAAGGCACGGGTGTAGCCATGCCTCCGCCGTCCGTCCTACACCAAGCATTCACGATCAGCATTCACCACGATTTTTTTGACGAGCATCTGCATACTTTCATGATACCACCCTGTGCACGTCATGGCATTCTAGAACGAATTTGATTCTCATTCGCATGCCGCTGTCGTCGAGGCTGTGCGAGGGATCAAACGTTGCCAAGACCAGTTCCGCCTGCGGCGAGCTGGTCGATTGCGACTTCGTGGTCGAGGCCCATGCTGGCAAAGAAGTTTCGGAGTCCTGCGGGGTCTGCGCCTCCCAGGTTGACGGTGCTTTTGCTCGGCTCGAGCTGGGCTTCGATGCCGATTCCGTGCTCGGTGAGGTGCGAGTAGGATGCGAGGAGCGCCTTTGCAGCTGGGAAGATGCCGGCGCATGGAAAGATGGCGATTTTGAACCCGATGAGCCGGACTTGCTCAACCGTCCATAGGGGCGATTTCCCGCCCGTGACGCAGTTCGCCATCAGAGGCCAGCCGCGAAGTTCGCGGATAGCTGTGGAGGCCTGTAAGCTGGAATTCATGCCTTCGAGGAAGCCGATATCGGCCCCAGCATCTCGGGCGAGGGAGAGACGGTCCATTGCCTCATCAAAGCCTCCGACGGCCAGAGCGTCTGTACGAGCGATGATGAGGATGCGGTCTTCGGGTGCGCAGGGCAGCGAGTCCCGTGCGTGCACGGCTGCTCGAATCCGAGAGATGAACTCCTCGCGCGAGACGACCTGCTTGGAGTCCAGATGGCCGCATCGTTTCGACTGCACCTGATCCTCAATGTGCAGCGCCGCAATACCAGCTCGATGGTACTCTTGCACCGTCCGAGCCTACCGATGCCACAAGACCAATAGAACGTCAGTATTTCCACTACTTTGGTAAGCCAGCATGCTCGTGAGGGATGGTGGAGCTTACGACTTGGGGTGCGCCACCGAAGCCGGTATCTGCATCGGCGATCACGGGCGTCGTCATGGTCGGATCTGCCATGATCGACACGCCCGCTGCACCGACCATGTCCGACATGCCGAGGAATCCCAGGTCAGCACGAGCCAGTCGCGATGCCGAGGTGCCTGCTCCAGTCTGGTACAGCGCATGATGGCCCGCTGCCAGCGCCATGCGTGCGCTGATGCCGTCGAAAACTCCGGGCGCCACAACGATGTCTTGGTTGCGCATCAGCTGGCGCAGCCGCGCTGCCGGAGTTCGAGCTTTTTCCTCGGTCATCTCTGTCCTTTCGCTCGATCGTGTGCAAAGGTGAAGTGGTGTGCAAAGGTGAAGTGGTGGCTGACAAGAAGATGAGCTTGGTCGCAGAAGTGGGTGTAGGAAGCTTCGGTAGAACTCGTTGGAAGCGGCTATACTTTTCGGATACTTGAACCTCCACTCCCGCCAATTGGCCGAAAAGCACCGACAAAAAATCAAGCGCCAAAAACGAAGGCGCAAGAAATCGATTGAAAAAGGGCACATCAAAAGCGATCGGGAGATAAGCGTGTCTTCCAGGGTCCACACGAAGCCAAGCCTGGACGAGGCTTACACTTGGGCTGATCCGAGCGTTCACGAGTGCTCTCATGCTTCTCACATTCTAGTCCTTGGCGGGTCGCGGCAGAAGCGCCCAGTGCGACCTCGAGGATGCTGCCGATAGGGCGCATGACGTCCGGATCCACATTCGGATCCTCTCTCGGCGCCTCGGATCCTGGGGTGTCTCTGAGCGAGGAGAGCGACTTTGAGACGTATCTGCTTCTGCTCCTGTCGGACTCGAACTTGCCTACGGGCGGATTCGTCGCATCGTCGGGCCTCGAATCGTTCCACGCACACGGACTTCTTCATACGATCGCAAAGCCTCCACCGAATTCGCACGACACAGCTGGCACGTCGTCTTCGTCGGCGACAGCCAAGCGCATGGCGCCGTCGCAGGCCGAGCTCTCGTCAGCCACGCTCTCATTTGCACGCTCGACGCTGCACTCGTACTCGCGCTCGAGCTTTCCTTTCCTCGTGCGCGTGCATGCGTGCGTCGCAGAATACCTCGACATCGCCGTGCAGGCCCAACTTTCTCCCAATGATGCCGGCGCACAAGGCAGTGCGACGGGGGGTGAGGCAAGTACCGCGTTGCAGGCGTGCCTGGACGACGTATCGCGGCTCGACAACTCGTACCACTCGCTGCTGCTCAATCACGTTGCCAGGAGAGCCTCCAAGGCGCAGGGGATCGCGCTTCTCACACTGTACGCAAAAGCGTTTGCCAAGCCGATCGATCTTGAGCGCCAGCCGTTTGACGGATCGCGCCTCGGCCAACGCCACGCCGCACCACCGCAAGCATCCGATGCACACACGAGCACACAGCGCGCGGAGGAGAGACGCATCGAGCTGGCGGCGCAGCTGGTGGACCGGCTCAAGATCGACGTGCGGCGGTCGAGCGCGCAGGCTGCCGGTTCGGCGCACGTGGGGCCGCAGGGCCACCTTCCGATCTGCTGGGGCGTGTTCGCGGCGTGTCTGGGCATCTCGCTGCGCAAGAGCGTGTATCTGCATCTCTTCCTGCAGGCGCGCGCGCTCTTTTCGAGCTCCATCAGGCTCAACACGCTCGGACCGTACCTGGCGCACCAGATCATGCGCTTCCACATGCGCACCGTCGTCAACGACATCATCCAGGAGATGGACGACGCAGGGTGTATGGTCAAAAACCCCCATCCTACGTCAAGCCAGACGCTGCAGCCACCACCTGCGCGAGAGGTAGAGACAGGCGCGTATAGGATCGATGACGAACCGCCTCCGCCTGCGCAAGTGCTGCGTTCGCGAACAGGCAAACCGTTCCGTAATACGGGCAGCATGGCTTCCCCCGCGGCGCAGGTGGCACCAGCCAAAATAGGCACACTGCGCGTCGGCAAAGGCGTGCTCATCGCCGTCGACGACGACGACCCACACCAGGGCTGGGCTTGGGATTGGCCCGAAGACCAAGATCCCTCCAGCTCAGCGCATGACCCAGAGCACGGATTCTGGACCACACCTTCCGCCCCAGCTACCACTTTCCCGCTCGGCGAAATCATCCAGGCGCGCCACGATCAACTCCATTCGCGCCTGTTCAACAGCTGAGCTCCACCACCAAACGCACACACGGCAATGACTAGGAGATCAGTATCATGCGAATCCATTGCTACATACAATTCCAGTCCAAGTCTGGACGCGATGAGAGAGAGAGGGGCATTCTACAACCGTACTTTACGGCGCGAATCGGACGTATTCCAGGTTGGACTCGCAACAAAGTCTACTTCCGGACGTTGGGACCGATCTCAAACAGGCCGAGGTTGAGGCCGCTAGGGCCGCCGGTGATCGAATACCAAACCTTCTGGTAGGCGCGGAGGAAGAGGCTCTTGGGTGGAGCCTGGGTGCCGGGCACGTGGATGCGCGGCGAGTTCTTCACGGCGTTTCGGAGGTCGTTTACCTTGCCCTCCAGGTTGAGACCGAGTCCCGACACCTGGTCGCGAACCTCGTCCGGCTGGGGCAGGATGCTCTCGTTGCTGAGGAACCTTCGCAGCGGGCCTGTGGCTGTGAGGAATCCGGACGAGGTGTGGCGCGCCTGCTCGTCTGTGATGGGCGAAAACTTGGAGTGTACGAGGTACTCCCACAGCATCGTCGCGGCAAACAGGTAGATGGATGCGCGAAGGGCGACCTCGATGCGGTGCTGCGAGCTTTCCTCGCTGTCCGTCGCCGTCTTTTCGATGCGTCGTCCCTTGATCGCCTTGCCCGATGCGCTGTATCGCACGATGGCCAGCGCAATCGCCGAGCCGAACGACACGCCCTGCAGGAGCGCAATCGCAAAGGTCAATCCGCGCTCAAACTCGGGCGTCCAGTATCCCGAGCGGTGCGTCACCACATAGATGCCGTAGATCGGAAGCAGCACGTGCGGAACGAGCAGTCCCGACCCGAGTCCGCCCGTCCTGATCGTGTTGTAGATGGCGGAGCCCAGACGGAACGGCGCGTGACGTTCGGTGCCTGGTTCAGGATGAAGACGGAATTTGCCCGACATGATGAATGTGCGTTGTTTGTCTCGAGACGCGTTCTTGTGGGGGGTAATGTCCGGATGCTGCCGCCTTGTGAAGTGTAGGGAGAGTCGGATCGGAACGTGGCTGTTGCGGACGGAATGAAGGAGCAGGATGATGAAGGTGGATGAGAAGAATGGTGGGCGTGCCTGGCGCTGTTCCATCCGTCCTGACTGAGAAGGGCAGCAGCAGGTCGAGCGAGGCTAGCCAGCCCAACGTGGGGCCCAGGAAGAGCTGGCCAGGCGAGCGAGACTGCAAACGGAAGGCTCGAGCAGAGGCGTGGTTCGGCTAGAGGCAATGATGATGCACCTTTCACTCGCAATCCTCCACTTTGGGCCGCGTCTCACGTTCATTCTCCTGGCCAGAAGCGCCGCTTTCGCAAACGCCTGGAGGTCAGGGGAAATTTTAGGCTTTTGACACGGCTCAGATGCCTGAGCCCTTTGCGCCTCCGCTCTGCAAATCGACGTACGAGCCTTGGATCTCCGCCCAGCAGCCGTTCCCCCGCACCTGCACGCCTTGGTCGCACAGACCTTTGGCCCTGCCTCTCTGCGCCTCTGGCAGAGCTACTCTACCGCGACAAGAAGTGCTGCTAGCGATCGCTGGAGTGTAGTGTAGCGTAGTGCAGTGCTCGCTCCTTTCATCTGCCAGGCTGCGGTTGCAATCTGCACACGAATGCTCGGTGCGGCACATTGAGTCGTGGAGCGCTGTTGAGAGGAAAGGCCAGCTGCACTCTTGAAAAAGTAGCAAAATGTTAGACTCTCATTGCAGGAAGTAGAGCTCGGTCTAGCACATCGGGGATCGGGGAGGAGGACAACAGATCGATGTAGAGGTCGTCGGGATCGGTCGGTCCGACAATTGGGCGGGGGCCGAAGGAGGCTGGCCGCGGCAGTGTAGCCGAGCGGTGTGGCTTGCAGCGGGAGCGGTGGTTGTTCGGCAGGCGCAACGCAGCGAGGCTTCCGAACCTCCGCAGAGCCGCTGGAGCAAGACCTTGTGTGCGTCGTCGATGTTGCAAGCGCTCCAAGGGGGGTTGCGGCGTGGCGCATCCGATCGGCGTGTGTTGCGGACACCCAGATGTTGCGGACGCTTGTCAAGCCAAATATAGATGGTGGACAGCGTGGTGGCGTTTGCCGGCGCCGCGGGGAATGAGACGGTCGATGCAGTCATGCACATGCGACGTGCTCAGGCGGTAGTAGCACGCTGCGATCGTGTGATGGGCGCAAAACATCAAGCCACACCATCCCGTCGGCGGTGGAACCAGCTGGCTCGACGGCAAGAGGCACTACTGCAGCTGCCGACACACGCCCTCGAACCGGCGCAAAGCGGGGCAGCTCGCCCAGTGCATTAGCGCCGGAAAGACTGCATTGCGGGGGAATACTGGACGTCCAAGTCAGCCTTGCATGGCAACAAGCGTCAGCCTTCCGACGGCGTTGTTAAGTTTACGAAGCTACGAAGGCGGGTTCGGGAGGACGGCGTTCGGGAGGGCTGGCTGCCAAAGCCACAGGCGTGATGGAGGGAGGGGCACCGGAAGGCAGGGTCGTCGGCTCCACATTTTGCGTCGTCGTCGTCGGCAGCCGCAACGCGCGTAGGCGGGCTGCAGGGTCGGCTGTGCGGCAGCGAGGGCCTTGCAAGCGACGCGGCGCTACGGTCAACTGTGCGCACTGGGTGTGGTGATGGGAGCGGGCCGAGCTAAATTTGGCTCGACGCTCACACGGCCGCTCCAGGCTGAGACGGCGGGAGCATGGCAGCCATCGGTAGGTGTGCTGCACGGAGTCGTCGAGACGCATGGGAGCATCAGCGAGTCCCAAGCCCACTTGTTTGCGCCTGATCAGCTGCTCCTACAACACGGTCCGGTACACGGTACAGCTGTACATCGGACAGTGTGCGACAGGCGGTTTCGGAGCTTGACGGATCGACCGACGCGCAGCCGACGCGTAACCCTCGTTTGCAGCTAGATGGCACCATGGCGCTCTTCTGCTGCTCTGCTGGCGCGCACGCCTATCCGAATTTCGGACGTGCAGCGCCAAACTGAGACATGGCTGAGACGCAACAGCTGCACGTTGCTCAAAAAGCTCCAACCCGTCCTGAGCCGCACACACTGCTCGTTCGCCTGCCAACAGCATTTCACGCGACAATGATGTGCAGCTCAAGCTATTCAAACCCAACGCCAGGCCTGGCCTGGCCTCACACCGACACCTTTCTGTTCGCGCCGTCATGCCAGCTACAGTAGCCTCTTCATGCATTCGGTGTCGCACTTTGCCATCGACGAGACAGCATCTCGAATCGTCTCGACCGTCTCGGATGTGGTAGGTGTCGTATTCAAGCTGAGCAAGTCCAAAAATACCGACGTCCGGAGACAAGTTCCGGCCAGGCAGTGCCAAAGGCAGCTGCCGAGTGGGCCCGAAAAGTCGGATCAACCGACCGGCTTTGGCCCTCGGCACGTCGGAAAAACGGCTCAATCCCGACCCGTAACTCAGCCTGCACCTGGTCGGTGTCGTTCTGAACCCACAAAGGAACCTCTCGGGGTCCGAGATCTCTTGAACCCCTTGCGTTGTGTCTCGAGTAGAGCTTGTGCTTTCTGTCTAAGACGCCTTCCGTTCGATCCACTCATGCTGCGAATGCAACAGAAGCATGCAGCCCAACGTCGCGCGTCGAACTCGCCACACAGATGTCTTGCATTGCGTCCACCTCCAATCTAAGCGCAAATCGTGGGCTCAAGGGGACGACGAATCAGCAGCTGCGTATGTCAAGTGTGGGCCACGAGGTCGGTGTCTGCAGGTGCGACTGCAGGTGCAAGTGCCAAGCGCGCTGGAGGTTCTCATGCAGGTAGACCTAAAACCGCTTGTCAAGCGAGCTGTAGTAGTCTCGTCTGACGGATCATGATCTCGCTTGGCACCGCTACCCATGCAATCCTACATCAGGGCTGAGCCACGACCACCATCGAGTCAGGATATCCAGCAACCCTCGAGCTCGCCAAACATCAAAGCTGGGTATGAATGAGATTTCCGTGACGGCCGCGACCCAAATGAGGCATCCGACGCTCTTCGCCATCTGTCCAGGATGCAGCCGAGCCGCGATCAAGCGAGACTGGGCGGCCGGCTCGACGACGCAACGTCCCACGACAGTCTGAACATCATCCCCGACGCTTTTGTGCGCAGATGCGAATCCAGGCGGCTACATCTGTCAGAAGGCCAAACGAAAGCGCTAGCGTGGCCCGAAGCCAGTCTAAACCGGTAAGGCCTGCGAGCTTAGAACCAGCTCCGACATTGTTGGCGTCACGCTCCGAGGCTCGCTCGACAACATGACCGATCCGAAGCCCTGCTTTCCACGCTAAGCGCGACAAGCGTCGCTTGCACAGCCCTTGATTTTTTTTTTCCGCTCTTGATTCCTTTGTTAACTTTTTACGAAAAGACCCTCCAATTTTAGCTGCTTTTTTGTTGGTCTGGACTGCGCTCTGACAAGGCGACCGGTTCGTCCAAGGATCTTGGCAGATTCGCATAGTCGGGCTGGGAATCCTCGTCGAGCTCGGTCCCGGGCATCATAAGCTTGCCGATAGCCGGTGGGAAGATCGGGTTTCGCCCGTAATCATCTAGCGGATTGGAGGCTGGCCTGCCATCGACGCGGCGCTGACCATGCTTGTCTCGCCGCGGCGGTCGGCAGGATCGGCTTGACAGATTCTTGTGGTACCGCCCTGCACTCTGCTGCAACGGCGGCAGGGCCTGCCGAAGCCCGACAAAAGAAGGCATGGCCGCGGCCAACGCCGATCTGACCGCGGCCGCGAATTCATGCGCGAAATCGTTGGGCTTGCAGGGCGCGCAAAAGGAGCCCTGGGTGTGCGGACCAGGCTCGGACGGCGACGTGCCGCCGCGAAGATCGGTCCGGTCAAAGCCGCTTGCCCGCCTTCTTTGTCTTCGCTGTCTGGTGCTGCGAGAAACACGAAGCGAGGATAGCTCGGATAGACAAGGCGAGCCACGCTCCTCTGCCACATGTGATGCACAAAGGCAACGTGTGTCCCTTGTCTTTTTAGTGTTGACCGGTCGCAGCTGGCTTGATCCTCTCCTCGACCCTTGTTCCGCATGCAAACGCAGGAACGAGCAGAATGATCGGAGCTGGTCGAGGGGCAACGTGGCACTGCCGGTCAGATACCCGGAGAGGCGACGAGGTCAGGTAGCCGCGCGCTGTCGAAAAGGAAAAGCAGGCTGCCGAAGAGTCGTCATGCTGCGCCTGGCGGAGTTGAAGCCGGAGCACGGAAAGAAACGGCGCGCGCGCGGGGTTGTGGTTCGAAACGACGACGGAGGTGGAGCGAATTTGGTGTCTCAGCTGTGCGTCTCTCCCATCGCGCATTTTTTCGACACAACCGGCGAGCGAGCGAGCGAGCTAGCCGCACGACGCGGCGTTGTGGCTAGCTCGCACCTCGTGCATGGCCGATCTGATCTGACTTGGACTGCCTCACGATCAGAGCCCTCTTGCGACTCCGACCGCATCTCAGGCACACGACAGATACCGGGCCGTAAATTTACACTACGCCCCGAACACACGCCGGCGCCATCCATTGACATCGCCGTTGTGCCCACTCCAGCACAGCCCAGCCAAGCCAAGGTCCTCTTGGCAGACACAGAGATATTGACATCAAGCTTCTGAGAGGCTTGCGGCGGCGTGACGTCGAAGTCGGCCAAGCAATGCCAGCGTTTCGGTGGCTCGAGACAGTGTTTCGACCGTTTCGAGCATCCATGCACGAAGCATCGATGCCAAGCGGAGTAAAGCAGAAGCCAGCCAGCCAGCCAAGGCAACTCTATTGGGATGTATGCGGGTCTCGAGCTGTCTTGGCTCACGCGATCGGGTGTGCGGAAGCGCCACAGCACCGCTTTTTTCCTATGAATAATCCATCACGGCCGTCGCCATCATCCGCAAGGCAGATCCGGACGTCGTGACGGCCTCGTTTAGTCGACGCCGAAACGAGCTGGCCGGGCGAGCGGCGCCGCAATCCCAGCAACGCAGAGGCCTCTTTCGGAGGGTAAGGTGAGCCCAGCTACGATCAGAGCTGGCGGGGCTTCGGGGAGCGCAAGCCACAAAGCTGCGGCGTCAAAAACAGGCCCTGAGCGAGGGGAGCGGGCCTGACATTCTCAAGCCCGACTCTCATCGAGCCTCGGACGGACTCAAATTTGCCGCTCCGACGCGGCCCCTCCTGGACGCCAGCAGGCGTTTGCTCCTCGTCTGGCCCGCGCTGCCGCCATCCCAATGCATCGAGCCAGCTACCCGTCCGAGCCATGTCGCAGTGTCGCAGTTTGGTTCCCCGTCTCGAGATGAAATGAAGGCGTTCTTTCCATATGAAATGGCACGCGCGCGTGACGATCAGGTGGGCTCGAACACATGCCGCATCGAGACCCGTTGCAAGAGGCAGTGAAGGGCAGCCAAGACCAGCCGCCAAGCCAAGCGATCTCCCAAGAGCATGAATCATGAATCCTGTCAGGCAGAACAAGGCTTGCCTCGCTAGTTAGGGCAGCCTCAGACGATGGCGGCGGCAGCGGATAAGCACCCGCTCAGGCGACGCCGCTGGGTGTCTACTGTAAATTTAGAGATAAATTGACTGAAAAAAAAAAGAAAAGAAGAAAAAGCGCACCGGACCCTTACAGCAGCAGGGAGCTCCAGCTGCAAGCCTGGGTGACGCTCAGGTGCGTCTTCGTGGTGACGCGCCCAAGACGCATGAATAGTCACCGGTGCGCGCTTCTTAGCATTTCTGGACTCAAGCCTGGGTCCCCCCCAAACTGAGACCATGGGCGGCCCCCCGCCCGCCCTCGCTCGGAGGAGGGGCTCGATCCACGCTTTTTTACATACTTTTGGCGTAGCAGTACCGGCGTGGCTGTGGTGGTTCGTTTCAGGCCGAGCGAGCGACCGACCTACCGACCGACCGGCCGTACCTCTCCGCTCCCACCTCGACCGCCCTCGCCGCGGCAAGGCATGACTGACGCCTCGTGCGTTGCCTCTTTTGGCTCGCCTCGCCTCTTGTGCCCCCTTTGTCCGCTCCTGCGCTGCTCGTTGCCTAGGATACTGGCGTTCGCTCTACACGCTCGCTCCCGGTCTCGGAGCTTGAGCTGCTCCGCCGCTCGTCGCTCGCTACCTCTCTGGGTGGTGGTGATGATGATGGTCGAGTCGAGTGTCTCTGACCCTGCAGCTCATCTGCACCTCTGCATGGGTGAGCCAGCCGGACGATCCAGAATTGGTGCTCACCCTGCGTCCGCACCGCTCATGCGCAGCGCCAACACACTGCTCCCGCACATTGCCCCTGTCAAGTTGCTCCGTCACCATCGTTTGGAAGCTGTCTCACTTTGCCGGCTGCGTGTGCGCTCGTGTCGTGCGATGCCTTTCGACGTTGACTACGCTTCATCGCTGCTGCCAGCGCTCCTCTTACGGACGGCGCTTCTTGTCCCCGGCTTTTTTTGTAAGCACCGCTCGCCGTCCGAGCGCTTCGCCAGGAGTTTCGTCGGGCTAATGTCGAAGGGAGCCCCAAGCGCAAGCCAATGTCGAGACGGTGGGCTCATTGCGCTGGCCACACATGTTTCAGATGGCCTGCCTTGGCCGTGGCCCGTGAGGAACCCGGCTTGGCCTGCCAATTTTCGCGCCCGCCTTGCCTCGGCCCCCCTGCCTCGTGCATCGGTGCGCCTGTCCGACGCTGGATACTTCATAAGGCGTCCAGCTTGGCCCGCCTAGGCCGCCATCGCTCCTACTCACCCTCCCTCCCAACAATAGCGACACAAAGCATCACCCTACGCCCTGTTCGCGCACCCGCCCCTCTTTGTCGACCAACGTCAGCAACAGCTACAGCATCGGCATCCGCCATTGTCCACTGGCCGCGTTCCCTGCGTTTTCTGCGACACACTAGCGATCGACCGAGTCGCCCTGCCCTAGCCTGCCCTTGCCTCGCACCAGCTTTGTCTCGTGTGGCCCCTGAACCGTTCTTTGCGCTACACACCGGCCAGCCTCGGGCGCCCGTCCGTTCTGCATATCAAAGCCAGCCCCCTTCGACCTCCTCCGTCCCTTTCTTCCCTTTCTACACCATCTCCGTACCCACCCTCTCCCAGCATCTCGCCGTCCCCGCCTCTGCGCTCACACATCTGCTCCGTTTCAACGCTTCCGCTCAACCTGAACATCCATCGCACTTGGGACTCGGCGACCGCATTGGACACAGCCTAGCTCCTCGGTAGTGTGCGACATCTCCAGCCAGCGATTCTGGTGTCCGCCGCCCATCTCGACCACGGTGAAAGGCGCGGAAAGCAGACCTCATCTAGCTCGCTGTAGTCCATCAAGCCGACTTTGTGGTTCCTGCCACGAAATCAGCCCGTGTGCCAAAGCCGAGCCAGCTTCATCGAGGCTCGCGCCCCATGTCCAATCAAGCGGCGACGCCACGATCTGCATCCCTTTCGGCTGCGTCGCTGCTGCCTGATTGGCCGCAAGCGCCCTCACCAACGTACGCGCTAGCGCCTATCCGAACCTCGAGTGCGCGAGCCAGCTCGGTACGATCCGCTTCATCTTCGCCAAGGTCGTTGACCCACGAGCGATCTGCGCCTTACCCTTCTTCGAGACCCGCGCGCACGGAGATGCTCGACGTGCAACATCCTCATCATCCGCAGCAAGCCGCAAGAATGCACGACTCCGAACTGTACCGCACGCGCCAGGCGCTGCAGTCGCACCTGGGAGTGCGACAGTCGTCGTCTTCGCGAAGTGCGCCAGCGCAGCAGCCGCGTTCGGCCGAGTACGCGCAGACGTCGAGCACATCGTCCAACTCGCCGTCGTCGAACAAGGAGGCGCAGCACAAGGTGTACTTGCTCAACTGCAAGCACTGCGGCAACTTCCTGAGCGACCGAGGCATGAAGGCGGTGCTGCTGCTCAAGCCCAACATCACGCTGTACAGCACCGACATTGTGCCGTCGACGTGCGGACCTTTTACTGCCGCTTCTGCGTTCCACGGCGGTGCGGATCCCAACGAGCCACCGGTGGAGCGCACGTGCGAGTGTCTGACGCAGAGCCTGGGCTGCTACGGCTGTGGTGCGCAGGTGGGGTACAACATCATCTCGCCGTGCACGCGTTGCACGAGCAGTGTGATGAAGCACTCGAGGAGCTCCAACGGCCACCGCACGGTTCTGCACTGTTCCGAGATTGCGGTGCGAGAGCGTCGCTACATTCCTGGCGAGCCTGGAGTGCGCGCCCAGCCTCCTCGCGTCATCCAGACCGTCGCCGCACACAGCCCGATGCAGATGTACGCCGAGAGCAGGTACGATGCAGCGGCTGCGGATCTGTTTCGCCACAGCAATGCTTCTCGCCGCGATGTGTATCGCATGAACGTACCCTCGTTTGACGACGACGATCTCGAGGCTGAAAAGGCCGAAGCCAACGCGGCTCTCGTCCACCAGCAGTACTACCAGCAGCGCGAATACCGTCAAGCTGGCCACCACGGTCGGGCACACCAGCATCCTGGCTCTGCCGGTAGCCAGCGATCCTCGGCACCTTCCGGCTCGGGGCGTGTGCTGCGACGCGGAGACACGCTTTTCTGGAGCGATTTGGTCGCAGGCGGCGAGCGTGCCCAGCCATTCGACCCTGACCCGATCCTCGAAAGGCCCACAGTGGGCAGGTGATGGCCCCCCTTTTCCCTAAATTCGCATGCTAATCGGCAGCCGCGATGCACTTCTTTTCCCTCCCTTCTCCTTGTCTTTTCTCTGCATATTGCACATGCCCTCTCTATCTCTTCTGTCCAGCAAACCCTTGTATTCCGTCCCTATAATCCTCCCTTCTCGCTTCAATTTGCTCATCATCCTGTCGCGTTATCATACTAGCATTGCTTCGTTAATCTATTCTTATCCCAAATTTCGAGGCTGATAGCTGCAGGCATGTGTGGATCCATCTTGGCATCGCTGCGAGAGCCTGTCTTCTTATCCCAATGCTGAGACTGCCAGCTGGAAGGGCGTGGCTCGATCTTAGCATTGCTTCGTTAGCCTATTATTATCCCATTGTGTCAGCTGATTCGGTATGACATCGTAGCTGGAACGGTGTGGCTTCATCGTGGAACTGCCTCGTTCATCCAATGTGGCGGCTGATACTGACTGTGTGGTATTGTGGCTGAAAGGACGTGGCTCAATGCTGGCGCTGGCAGTTGGATCTGGAATTGCAGACGGGATCGGCATTTTATCCCAACTTGGCGTCTGCCAACCCCGAACGCGCGGCTCCACCTTTGCTGCCATTTACAGCTGCAATGGAGATAGGGTTGACGGACAACGTTGAGCTGTGCTTGTGCTGTCGAGCGAAATGAAGATGCTGAGAGGGCGGGTGTTGGATTTGGCGGGTGTTGCAGCGAGGACCCTGCAGCAACGTGCATCGGCGCTTCACTGCAGAGGATCCGTGTGATTCGATCTGTTGCGGCGGACTGAGCTGAGCTGCGACTCGCTCTCACGCGTCGGCACCCGCGTCTCGCCTGGGCCAAATTCAAGACTCGGCCGCTTTCGGTGGAGGCGAGGTCCGAGCCCAAGCCCAAGCCCAACACTTGTGTCCCGCTCCAGCCAGCCAGAGGTGGGCGAGTATATGCAGTCGATTGAATGCGCCGTCAGCTCTTTCTCATCCACCCATCCACCGACCATCATCCACATCCACACTGTCACCGTCGCTTTTGCTCCCGAACGGCATCGACAGTGTTGTGACACCATGCAGAGCCACATCTACGAACTCGGCCTGCTCGGCGGCCGATGCTCCGACATCCGCATCAGGGCGTTCGGTCGTCTGTACCACCTCCATCGTCTCGTCCTCATCCAGTCCGGCTTCTTTCGCGCCATGCTGTGCGGCGGATATGCAGAGGACCTCGCTGCCGCTTCCGTCGCCGCCTCACTCAGCCAGAGAAACAGCCAGCACGGTCCCTCCTCATCGACGCTCCACAGGGATCCCGACAGCGACATAGTCGAGCTCCATTTCGACGACCCCAACATCAGCAGGGCCGCTTTCGAGTACTGCATCGCGCGTCTCTACGGAGATGGCCCCAAACTGGTGCTCCCCTTCTGGGCAACTCCATCCTCGAATCATCCCTTCTCCCCAGCGCTCACCATGCGTCTCTCCAACTGCTCCGACCTGCAGCTCCCCAACCTCGTCATCGACAAGCACTCCCATCCAGCCACGCCTCGCTTCCTGCTCTCCCTCCTCGCCACCTCGATCTATCTCAATATCCCCAGCGTGACCTCGCAGGCGCTTACCCTCGTCCTGTGCTCAGTGACGCCCTTCACCGTCATGCACTACCTCCGCTTTGCCATCGGCCGCGGCATCGAAGGCACCGACCTCCACCGCTCGGCTTCCGACGTCATGCTCCACGATCTCGACGAGTGGGATTGGGAGCTCGAAGGCCCCGCTCGCACCCTCGACGAGCTCGCCCGCTTCGATCCCTCCTTCAGCTCTTCGTCCCGACATCCACGGACATCCAGCGTCCACGAACGTGCCAATAGCGTCTCCGACGACTTGGCCGCCGACCTCGACCAGCGAATGCACGTCTCCCCACCGTCGCCGTCTTCCAAACACGCTTCCATGCGTCCCCACACCAACGCGCCTGGTCAGCACGCCCGCCGAGCATCCCAGCCGGTGCACGGTCTCAGCTCTCCACCGCCGCCTTCAGGCCGCGATCACAAGAGCAAAGGAAAGAAGACGCCCGGCTTCCGCGATTGCGAGTCCTCACCTCCACGACGCGCCCCAAGCGCTCTGCTCCCCGAGTTCAACTACGGCATCACCGCCGACAAGATCGGCGAGGCCTGCGTCTGCTGGTTTGCTCGCTGGGGCTACGACATTTTTGAGCTCGAGTGCTCCATGGAGCGCGAGCGCGTCGTCGAGATCGAGACGTGGATCCGCATGTGTCGTGAGGACCGCGATCTTGCCCGACTCACCCTGCTGCGCGACCGACTGCATACCGGCGATGTCGACCTGCTCCACACTTCCATGCTCGCCCGCGGCCGCATGCCGGATCCGGAGGAGCGTCTGCCATCTCCAAGGCTGCGCGTGTGGTCCTATCCGTCCATGCCCAGCTCCTGGGTCCGCGCCATGATCTCGTCCGACGGCTTCTTTGTGCCGTCCGAGCTGCACAGGTACGAATTCGCAAAAAAGGTCGTCGAGTTCCGCCGCAAGCAGAAGGCGCTCATCAACGTCCTCGACCGTCTCATCGAGGACTGGCTGCGCCAAGATCAAGAATTGGCCGCCCCAGCTGACAACGAGACTCCCGACTCGAGCAAAAAGATGGGAGGGGTCCCGAAAGCTTCGTCCTCCAACGCGTCCTCCTCGGATGCAGGCGATGGATTCGGCTTCAAGGCCTTCCGAAGGGCGCCTTCGATCGGAGCAGACGACGAGCAGGAAGAGGCCAGTACGCCGCTGCAAGAAGCGTGGGATGACGGCGTCGAGTCCACCACCTTCTCCGCATCCCTCGACGACGACGAGGCCGAGTACGAAGAGCTCTTCTCCACGGGCATCTACTACTCGCACATGCCGTTCCAGGCGCTCAACAAGATCAGCGCCGACATCTCGCCCACCACCGGCCGCCCATATACTCCGCTCAACGTGCTCCAAGCTGCTCTGTGGGTGAGCAACGAGCTGCGAACCCAGATCCTCAACAGCGCACCCGCAGGTGGCAAGAACACTGCGGCCTCGAACCAGGAAGTCGATCCAGCCAACGAAGCAGGCGCGGATTTGGGGCCCGACGACGAAGAGGCCGAAGATTGGGACCATCTGAACGCGCTCGGCGTGTCGAGCTCCATCCACCAGTTCAGAGACGCCTTCCAGTCGACGATCCATTCCTCCGGCTCGCAGCACCGCTTCTCGCGCAGTCGCTCGGGCACTCCCATGAACCTGTCCATCAATCCGGATGGCTCTCTGCACTCCGGCTCGCCCGGTGCGCTTGGCGGGCTGGGCTCCAGCCCTCTGATGACTGGCATTCTCGGCGGCGGCACGGCGGGTCTGCTCAACAAGCGATTCTACCTCGTGCCGTCGGACGACACCGTGCGCTTCGGCGACAGTCTGGCGTCAGTGATCGGCGTGACGACGGGTGGATCTGCGAATTCGGCCAAGGCGCGCAACTCGGACGACGAACGCAAGGGCAAGAGCCATGCGTTTGAGAGCGATCCGAATGGCCCCTCGGGCACGGCGGCGATGCAGATCCCTCACACGCTGCCCATCCCGGGCGTGATCCACCAGGATACCAACAACACTTTGCACCAACGCCGCAATCGCTCGCACTACTATGGCATCGCCAACGACGTTGCCACGGGCCGCGAGCTCGGCGAATATGCCTATCGCCACCTGCCGGCGGTGCCAGATTTGTCGTCGCGCGCCGCGTCGCGCCCCGCCGACGAGCGCGACGCATTCGATTCGGCCGGCGGCGAGTTCAGCTCGCACCTGCACGATCCGAACCAAGACGCCGAGGGAGCGGATGGCGACTCGCACGGCTCGGCGGACGTGTCGCCGGAGCGGTGGAGCGGATACGAGCCGATGCGCGTCGGCGTCGAGTTCTTTGGCATCGACAAGCTGCAGGAGAAGCAGCGGCTGTACTCGCCCACGTTTTTCTATGCGGGCAGCGTGTGGAATCTGTACATCCAGGTGGTCAAGAAGGCCAAGGGCATCCAGCTGGGCATCTATCTGCACCGCCAGAGCTTGACGGAGCAGTTGCCGCCGCCGTCGGCGCCCACGCCGGAGGAAGGAGAATCCACGCCCGGGCTGACGAACGAGACAGCGTGGCCTGGTGCGCCGGGAGGCGCCCGATCGACGCAGCGTGGCGAGGCGCATGGAACGCCGTCCCGAGAACAGGGAGCGACGGGCACGCCGGGCCAACGGTCGGTGCATCAGTCGACGAGGGGCTCGGTGTTTGGGGTGCCGGCGGGCGACGAAAGTCTGGTTGGCGAGGGAGGCAGCAGCTTCTTCGATACCAACCTCACTTCGCCCATTCGGGCTGGTGGTACTGGTTATGCAGCTGGCGCGGGTAGCACGCTCACGCTGCCGAGCGGAAGGACGCTGACCCGGCTCGGAGGCAACAGTGCCGGCTCTCCCATGCGCAACAGCCTGCTTGATCCATTTGCCAGTGCCGAAGCGGAAGGCTCGAGGTTATCGACCGAGGGTGGCTCGCTGGCTTCGCTGTCTTCGCTTGGGGAGTTTGGTGCGAGCCTTACGCGCGATGCTGGTGCTGGTGCTGGTTCGTCGCCGGCTGGAGGTGCGGGCGGGGATGAATCGCGTTCGAATCGGCACTCGACTGGAACTCAAGCGGGAGGCGGTGCATCGCGTCCACCCATTGTTGAGCTGTCCGCGGGTGGGCCATCGGTGTACCAAACCTGTCCGCTGCCGCCGATTCCCTACCGCGACCCGCGCATCGAACTGCGCGCGTACTTCAGCATCCACTGTCCAAGCCCGCTCGGCACAGCGCTCACCAAGTTCAGCAGCGGCCCGGACAGGTTCACCGTATCCCAGTCGTGGGGCTGGAAATCCAGCTCGCTCTTGGGGACGGTGCATTTGGAGAATGGTGATCTCGGGTCCGGGCGACCGGGGCTATCGTACAGGTTCCGCTGCGTATGTTCCATCGGTCTCATCTAGCCAAGCACCAAGGTCACGCCAAAACGATGCGGGAGTTCTCCTCGGTCCCTCTGCAATGCGGGTTTGGTGGACACATGAATTGCGAAAACAGAAAAACGGAGACCTGGAAAAGCTGACGATGAAGATGTGTGTCGGAGGAAGGAACTTTTACACGTCAAAGATGTTGGGCAGTTCGGCGTCTTTCCAGGCGCCGCTCTTGCGGGTCTTGAAGTAGTCGGCGCCGTCCTGACCGCCGTAGAGCCAGTCGCCATCCTGCTTGTGGAACCACTTGGGGGTGTAACCGTTTCCGTCTGCCTCGATCTTCTTCCTCCTGGCGCGCTGGGCCTCTTCGAGTTTGTGTTTGAGCTGTTCGGCCTGGTCCACATGGCCCTCTTCGAACGCACGCTGGTCCGGACGCAGACGCGAGTCGGTGGGCGGCACAACGTCCTTGCAGTCGTCACTGAGCTCGTTGAGCGACATGGCAAAGTAGGTAAAGCCATAGTAGTCTTCTGCGTAGGGTGGCATTTCGGCCGCCTCCCAAAGCACCTGGTAGTTGTCCTTGTCCTTCTGACGCGCAAGGTTTTCGGACCACTTACCCTTGAGTCCCGTAACGTGCGAGTCGTTGGCATCGTACACCTTGCCCTCTACGCCGTTGCGACTACCTGCTCCACCCCACATGGTGCCCTCCTTGAATTCGAGAACAGCACGCTGACCCGTGGTCTCGTTGGTGACGGTAAGCTCGCCGACGTGCTCGAGATACTTGTTGCCCGCCAGCAGGTTGCGCATAAACGAGCTCGGCTTCTGGATGGAAAAGACATCGCCATCGCCAAACTCGAGCCGGATCGAACCCTCGGGGATGAGCTCGAGCGACTTGCCCCAGAATTTGTTCTTGACCGCACTCCAGCCCTGCGCCTTCCAGCCCTTGCCCTCGGCGTAGAAGGCGACGATGGGCGGCTGATGCACCACCTTCTCCGCCAAGAAGCGCAGATGCTTGTCGTCGCGCACACACTCAAACGTCTCGCCCAGCAGCGGGTTGAACGGCTTGCGGCTCGCGCGCAGCTTGGTGCTGGCATAGCCCGACACGGCAAACGCGCTCACGAGGCACATGCGCTCCTGCCAGTCCTCGCTCTTGCCCGCGCGCTCCAGCAGATCCGCCGCATACTCGTACTCCTCCGCCGCCGCCTGGAGCAGCGAGAGCGGACAGTTGAACGAGACGGGGAAGCTGATCGTCGACAGATCCTTGCCGACGTTCTTCTTGAGCATGCTGAACAGCGACACCTCGTCGCCCGACACCTTGGCCGGCAGCTTCTTGCGGTACTGCACCGCCTTCTTGCCGCCGCTGCCGCCGCCGCCGCTCTGGCTGTCGCCGTCCGAGACGGTGCGCGTGTCGTCGGTGTCGGGCTGCGAGTCGTCGGCCTCGCTGTCGGTGGCGTCGGCCTCGCTGCTCTCGGAGCGCGAGAGGTTGGTGTCGTCGTCGGGCTTGGTGTCGTCGTCCATGAAGAGCTCCTCGCCGTGGCTGTCGGCGTCGTAGAAGATGGCCGAGTCGGTGCCGGTGGTGGCGAGCGACGAGATGGACATGCGGCTGCTGCGACTGCGGCCCTGGCCGGCGCCGCCGCCGACGCTCGACATGGAGCGCATGGTGCCTCCGTTGGGGTCGACGCGCGGGATGTTGTCCTCGATGGCGGCGCGCAGCTGCTCGAACTCGGCGACGAGCTGCTCGGCGGTCACGTGGAAGGCGGCGACGTCGTCGGTGTTGTCCTGCTTGGCGCCGAGCGCGCCCATGATGGCGTCGGTGGCGGTGCGGGAGGAGGCCTTGTTCTTGAGAGCGCCCGAGCGGCTCTCGAGGTCCTTGACGAGCGCCGAGGTCTGGTCGAGGTGGGTGAATACGTGGGAGAGGTCGACGGGCTGGAGGTCGTTGCCGTTGGAGACGTAGAGGCGCTGGAGGCTGCCCGAGGGGCGCTCGGGGATGAAGGAGCGGAGGTGGGTGCGCCAGGCTTCAAAGTCCTGGGGCGAGAGCGCCTTGAGGTGGAAGACGCTGGAGCCAGAGTCGACGTGGATGGTGCCGTGACGCTTGGAGCTGGTGACGGAGGCGTGGGGGATCTCGATGGCGTCGCGCGTGGGCTTGTCCGGGCTGATGGAGTAGGTGAGGATGCCCTCGTTGGTGAGCACGAGGAAGCGCTTGGCATAGCCCTGCATCTTCTTGCGCTTCTTCTTGAGGATCCATCCGGAGTGCACCACGTCGAGCTCGTCGATCTTGCGGTTGTCGACGGGGAAGCCGCGCTGCGGGCGCGACGACTTGCGGTCGCTGTTGCCGCCCATGATGGTGAATGCTGGACACGTACGGTGGAGACGGAGCAGATGTTCGAGGGCGGGAAGAAGGAGGCGTAGATGCGGAAGCGCAAGTGCGAGCGGAATGAAGGCGAAGGTGGAAGGGAAATTTGGGCCCAGGCAGCGAGGATGAGGTGGAGCACAGGCCGGGCAGCAGAGGGGCTTGTGTGTGCAGCGAGACAGGAGGCGAGCGAGCGAGCGAGGTCGAAAGATCCCACCCGCCCTCGAGGCGGCTTGAAGCTGCACGGCAAATGCAGCTCGTGCATACACTCGAGCGCAGTCCCATTTCACGCTATAAAAATCGTCGGGCGGCCGCTCCTCTGCGGCTCCACACACTGCGAGCGACAGGGTGAGTGGGGAAATGCGAAATTTGGCCTCGCTCAGCAGGGGTGTGGAGGATCGGCAGAAGCGCAGGCCCGGCCTTGCCTTCCGCGGCTCCTAGACACTCACACACTGGCAGGCATGGCATGCCTTTGCCATCAGCCGACTTGATCAAAGCACAAGACAATGAGCAACACTTTTCGCACGCTGACGTTGACCAGGCACGCAGCAGCAGCCCAGGAATTCCCCGCACCATTGCGGATTCTGACGTGGGGAGAATGGCTCACTCGCTTGCATCGCAAGTGTTCCTGACGTCAATGTGGGTCGCTTGCACAGCAGCCATGACCATCTCCATGCCATCCGAGCTTGGGCGCGATGTCAGGGCCGCGTCGAGCCAGATCCGTGGGACGCTCTTCGTATTGCGCGCGGGCCGTGCATCTAATCCTGCTAGGCGCCTCCACTTCCAGAGCGATGGCTTTTCGATAAAAAAGAAGTTGAGCCCCAGCGCGCCGTTTCCTTTCACAAGCCTACGCCTGCTGCTGCCCTCCTTTTACGCGACTCAGGCTGGGCTGTGGCTGGGCGTTGGCGGTAACTTGGCGGTTCCCGTCAGCCGCTCGCCCCGGCATCCGTCCCGCTGCCGAGATGCAACACCCTCGTGACGGCCGCCAACGCTTCGTACCAGTCGGTATCGTGAGTGGTATTGATCTGCTGTCGTTTGTCAATTCCATCGGAGAGTGTCGACGCCCAGATGGGCTGGGACGCTCCAGCGCAAGTCATCCTCGTCTTCGGCGCCTGAGTCTGGCGCGCTAACGGCTGCGTGTCGGATGGCGAGCACAAACACATCTTGCCGCTCGTAGTCTTGGGCGTGTGACTTGAGGCCTCGTACACGGTAGCTGCTCGCCATGGCCGCGAGCTGGTCGGCATCGACGGGCAGCACGTGGTGCGGCGGAGTCTCCCACGCTGCTTCCCCATGCACCTGGCCCAGACTCTTGATCCACTCGGCCGTCGAGGCGAGGCTCACCTGAACATGCCAACCCTTCTGCTGGTCGCCCTCGCCCCCACTCGTGGCGGGCATCTGCTCGAGTATGCCGCGACACTTTGCGGCGAGCGTGGCGAGACACAGGAGCGAGCCGGCTGCATAGTCGAGTGCCTGCACCGGCAACGCCTTTGGCTCCACCTCGTGCTGGCCCGTATGCTCGCAGTAGCTGCGGCCTTCGAGATGGTTCATGCCGCACGCGGTTTGGGTGAGCGAGTCGTACGCACGCGTAGCTGCCCATGGGCCCGTGAAGCCGAACGCGCACAGCTCGGCGTACACCACCCCCGGCCGCAGCGCCTGCACCTCCCCGGGGCCCAGTCCGCGCTCCACCAACCCTCCTGGCCGATACGCCTGCGAAACGACATCGGCACCTTCGACGAGCCGTCGCATCTTGCGCGGCAACTTTTCTCCGCGCTCCAGGTGGGCATAGGCAGTGCGCTTGCCGCGCGCCGTGTCGAGCTCGCGCAGAGGCAGGTTGGGCAGTGCCGCGCTCGAGATCAGCATCACCTCGGCGCCGTGTGCAGCGAGCGTGCGCGTGGAGTAGGGACCCGCGATCACACGAGACATGTCGATCACCCGCAGTCGCTCCGTCGCAGTATGCGCTCGTGGCGTGTGGCTGGTAGAGGCGGTGAGGCGCGACATGCGAAATGGCGATCCGCCATTCTCGCCTATCCACCTTCTTACCGCTTCTCCCATGGGAGACTGCTCCCACTCGGACAATGTGCGGTAGGCAGTGACGCAGAGCCCGCGCTCGTGAGCACGCCGCTCAAACTCGAATGCATCCCAACCATCGAGCCGCTCCTGCAGATGGGAGTGTTGGAACTGCGCAAATACCTCGTGGATGTCTTGGTCCGTCCAGTGCTTGCTGTTGGGGACAAGACCTAGTAGCTGTAGGATGCCGAGCTTGTGGTGTGGAAAGTTGGTGTGGATGCGCACGATTCCTGCCACCTCCCTCGCCTCCGCTGGCCGGGTTCGGTAAAGACCAGCGAGGCTGTCCCAATCCGCAACAGCGTGCGCATCCATCCCCAACACCTGCTTCGCTTCGTCACTGTCGCTTGCAATCGAATCCCGAATCATCTCTCCTACACCGACACCTGTTGCGCCGCGGTCGAGGTAAATTCGAGTCCATCCTTTCCACTCGGCCACTGCGTGTCGTGCGTCCACCGAAACAGGTCCCAACACCACATCCTCCTCCTCCCCGCCAAGCTTAGTTCGAGCCTGGATGAGCCTCTTGTAGTACTGTGCTGCAAGCGCAATCGTGGCTGTGCATGCTTGAGCCACAGCGGTGATTTGAAACGACGACCTTACAGCCTGACCATAAACGCTCGGATCGTGAACGAGCTCGAGCCCTCCCTGGCGGATCGTGTTCTCCAACACCCGTGTAGGCAGGCCAGCATACTCCCACAGCTGCCGAACCAGCGTAAGCGACGACACCGCGCCAGCCTTAGACATTCTCGTGATGGTGCGCAGTAAGAACGCAAGCTCCACATACTCGACAGCTCTCTTGCTCGCGACAGCACCCGCCGGTCCACCCCCGTCCAGTCCCGCAAAATTCACCGCAAATTCAGCCGACTCCAGCACGACATGCTCCGACATAGCCAATGCAGATAGAATTGTCAAGGACGCAAAGAGACACTACAATACAGCGAGGAGCAAACATGCGAGCGAAAAGACTGACAGAGCTAGTAGAGACGAAACGGATCAGAGCCGAGCAATGCTGGGAGAGGGGACTACATGGTGAGGGCGCGGAATCAGGCACGCGTGCGCGATCGGGTTCGCGAGGCAACCGCATCCACCGATACAGCCGCATCCACTCCGTGCGTGCTCGACGCCTTGCGGCTACCGGCCGAAGCTTTGCGCTGGTGCGCCGAGGCCTTGCGAATGCCCGACGCAGGTGTGCCAGTGTGACCTCTGGATTTGGGCTTCTTGCCCGATCCAACCACTGCCGAATCGCCATCCTCGCCACCCTGCTGCAGCAATTCTTTGGCCGCATCGCCATCCTCGGCGTCGGCCAGCAGACTCAAACGGCCGCCGGTGCCTCGCTTCCTCGACGCAGCGCCCGTCTTGGCCGGCAGGATATCCACACTGTACGCGCGCTCCGGCAGCGCCATGGGCACCACCATGGACGCCAGCAGGCCCGCATCCGGCCGCCGGTTCTCCTTGTTCGGCGTGGATGGCACGTTGCGAGCCGGACTCGACATCGGGCTTGATGCGGCGCTGCTCGCACCATGGTCCTGAGACGGCGCCGTGTCTTCGCTCGCCAGCGTGTCCGGACTCGGGTCTTCGTACACCGTCCATCCTGGCAGCGGACGTGCGACGACGCCGAGGAAGAGGCCCGACTGCGCCAGCGCCGAACCATTCGCGGACGCCTTGGCGCTTAGTTCAGCCAGACTCGGAAGCGACGCAACGGCCGCCGCGTCGAGCGTGATCGAGTCGGCCCGAGGACGGCTGAGGGCGAGCCCCGATACGGAATCGCCCGACTCGGCTTGCGACGGCGAAAAGTAGTCGGTCATCTTGCGCGGGCTGGGGCTCGCGATGGGGCCCGCACCCGCCTCTTCGTGTGCGATGGCGACCTCGGTGCGCGAAACCCGGTGCTTCTTCTTGGGCAAGCTCTGCAGAACCGCGCTCGACGCTGCTTGCATCGGGTCTTCGAGAGGAGTCGTGGCACCTGTCGCGGCCATCCCTGTCTGTGTCTCGGCCGCGGCGCTCAATTGATGCGTGCGCGTGCGGGAAGGCGTGGAGGTGGCAGCTGCCGCGTCCTGGTCGCGTCGGCGAGTGGCGGGCGGCCTGGGCTCGGACATGCGTTGCGTTGTGGGGCTTGGCTCGACAAACTTGGCCGGCTTCGGACCCGACGTGTGAGGAGGACGATGGTGCCTCGTGTTGAGCGGTGTCGTCGAGGCGCCCTTTGGAGTCGACGGGCGGCCGGGAGAGTGATGCACCAGATTTCCGACGTTGCGAGGCGAAAATCGCGATCCTGCAAAGGTGGCCGCCGCTAAGGCCGGGCTGGCCTCGAGGTCGAGACCGGCCTGTCCGGAAGCCTCAAAAAGACGGCGAGGTCGAAGTGACACGTCTGTGTCTGCCATCGGTTCGGATGGATTGGACGAGCTCGATGGCGACGCGACCGAGCCTTCGCGAACGAGCCGATGGTTCTGCAGCACGGCTTGCTTGTGGGGCGAGACGGATAGGGAGCCTCTGCGGCTGCGCGACAGAGATGGCGAGCGGGATCGCGAGCGCGAGGGAGTCTTGAGCAGTTTCTCGGAGTTGGATGTCGGCGAACCAGCAAGAGACTGCGATACGAATTGGTGGAGCGGGAGTTCGGCCAACGGAGCCCTGGCCGTATTTGTATGCGGAACTGGCGAAGCCATGGTGGGATCGGATGATCAGTGGACGATTGAGGGTGTTACTGAAAAGGATGAGACGGCTGAATCTGACGGAGGCGGATGAGGCCGAGACCAAGAGGGTCTAAAGCGGCAAGATGGGTGGCAGACAGACGCGTCTCAATGAGGACGATGAGGTGTTGTTGTGCGGCTTCCGACGGCGCGTGGGATCGGTGCGGATGCGATGCTGCAGCGGACGAATTGTCAAAGGAGGAGAGGTAATGGCTTGGGAAGGTGAAGGAGAGAGGATGGGTGTTGTCAAAGGCAAGAGGAGGAGTGATTGGAGGGGTGCGGGAGAGAGGATGCGAGCTGTGCAGCGCGCGCGGATTCCTCCACAAAAGCCAAACGCGTCTCTGAAATCTTTCGACAGCGCCCGTGATTTTCTCCCGTCAGCGCGCGCAACCCTCTGCATTTCCGCCGGGCGCAGCTGCAGCTCAGCCAGCGACAAAGCTTTGGCCGCTCCTCGTAAGCTTTCGGGCCTGCGAAAGCACGCTCAAGCCCGCTCGGGAAAGCCGGTCAGGCATGAGAGAATAACAGCAACAGGCTAGTCAAAATAAGCTCGGATCGCCATTTTGCCTCCAACGAGGTGCATGCAGAGCCTCCAGATTCGCCGTGCCTGTCGTCGCAGATGCACCGGCACTTTCCCACGGTCGGTGACAAGGACGGTTCGCAAAGCTTTGTGGGTGGCGGGGCTCAATCTGGGCGTTGTTTTGAACGGGCGACGTTTCCTCGCAGGCGCCCGACAACATCCAATCTCTACGCCATTCGCCTCCATGACAGAAAAGAAACGTCAAGACACATGACATCATGCTGCAGAGTGAGCAGAGTGAACGAGAGGCGGCGCAGCGTAGAACGAGCTGCAACGGGCAGTGTAGGACTGACATGACGAGTGACGTCGATGGCCATCACGATCAGAATGGAGCATGGTCCCGACGTTGCGCCCATGGCGATGGAGGTCTCGGCCAGCCGTGTGCGCTGCCAGGACCATCATTCGAGTGCAGGCAGGATACGAGATGTTGCGATGGCAAAAACATAGGTCCAATTCGAGAGACAGTGAAGACACACCTGTAAGGATGGCCGAAACAGCGTGCTCAGAGAACACCTGTGAGAGACAAACACAAGAGTCAAAGGCGATAGGCAAGAAGACATAGGTCAGTCTTTGCGTTTTGATTTCCGAAAGTCTGGTCAGCGAACTGGTAATACACGTACCCTTGGTGCTGGGGACGTCATCGGTGCCTGTCCTGGAGATGGCCTCCTTGATGGCGAGCGCCAGAGCCTTGAACGCCGATTCGGAGCGGTGGTGGTCGTTGTCGCCGCGCAGGCAGTCGACGTGCAGCGTGACGCCCGCCTCCATGGCGAAGCTGTGGAAGACGTGCGGGATCATCTCGCAGCTCAGGTCGCCGATCTTTTCGCGCTTCAGCCCGAGCTCGGCGACGCAGTAGGGGCGCGAGCTGATGTCGATCACCGCGCGGCTCAGCGCCTCGTCCAGCGGCGCATGGCCCGTGCCGTAGCGCTTGATGCCCTTGACGGGTCCAAGCGCCTTCTTGAACGCAGCACCCAGTGCAAGTGCACAGTCCTCCGCAGTGTGGTGGTCGTCGATCCAAAGATCGCCCTCGCACGCCAGCGTCAACGACATGCCTCCGTGCTTGGCCAGCGCATGCAGCATCTATTTCGTTCAACAATCGTCAAATCAGCGTCGGCAGCAAAAGAAAGCGTCACTGAGAGCCGGATCAATGCGACTTACGTGGTCGAGGAAGCCGATGCCCGTCTTGACGTTGATCGTCTGCGGCGCAAGTGTCGGGTGCGTGTCGAGCGAGAGCGAAACCTCGATCTTGGTCTCGTTGGTTACGCGCGACACGGTCGCGCTTCGCGCCTCGAAGGATCCTGTCTGACTTGCCGACGCCATGTTGCTCTTTCACTTCGATAGGTGGAGTCGATATGGTGGTGCAGTGCAAAGATGCGAATCTGTCCCGGCGTTATCGTGACTCGCCAACAATGCTCGCCACTTCAGTTCTTCTGGCTTCCGGCTCAAAATCCGAGATCCGAATTTTTTCATCGCTCCGGCTCGGGCCACACTTGCTCAGAGTGTAGCATTGCAGACAGCTGTTGGCTGAGGACTCGATGGGTATCATGAGCATTGCACGTTGAGTCTACGTTACACACACGCTTCGCATCCAGGGCGAAAGCAGCTGAGCATCAGAGCATACGTCGCAGGATCCACGCAGCCACGCGGACGCGCCAACGCACTTTTCGATCGGGTCGTTGGAACAGCCCGGCGTTCACGACATCGTTGGCATCGCGCCCCAGCGTCTCAAACTCGTCCTTGAAGCGCAGCGACAGATCCCTGGAGCTGGTCGAGATCATGAATGTGCACTCCAGATCCAGGTCCGCAGAGCGAGATCCGTAGTTGCTCGATCCCACATGCACCAGCGTGGGTGCAGCCACCTCAGCCGTGTCTGATGACGCTGGCTTGCCGAGATTAGTCTGGGAGGCCGCATCGGACGGCGTAAGCCATATGCCCTTAGCGTGGTAGGTCCATCCCTCCTTCTTCCACTCTAGAATCTCTACGCCGCCCTGATCGTGTGGCCTGTTGTTTTGCCCCAGCAGCCGCTTGGCGCGCGTGAGCGCCGTCCAGAACTGGTACTCGTACCAAGTGTATCCATCGGGAATCCAGCCCGAGACGCCCTTGGATCGGAAGAAGCCATTCGCCTCCGGAGCGGCGCAGATGATCTTGACGATGGCAGTTCTCGTCGCTTGCGTTCGCAGCAGCAGCTTGCGGTACGGCTTGTAGAGCGAAAAGTATCCGGACGTGAGCGCCAGCGTAGCTGGCTGCTTCTGTGGTTCGGACGCCTGCAATCCGACTTCCAGAAGCCGCGGAATGGCCCGGGTTTCTTGCCTGATCTGCAGCGGTCCCATCTGGAGCAGCGGCAGAAGCAAGGTGTCGGCTGCGTCGCTACCTCCACCGATCGTGTCCGCCGTGCGATGTTGCCAATCCCGGGTGAATGCCTCGAGCGACTTGGATGCTTCTCGACTCCAGCCAGTCTCTGCATACGGTGCTGACAACTCCTGACCCTCCGGGTTGAGACAGTCACGTCCTCCATCCCAGACGAGCTTCCAATCTGGCTGTGCAGCCTCGGCGCTCGAGCCCGCCTCCTGGGGACTTGACTCGAGCTTGAAGCTGAACTGACCCACGACGCGTACGAGCGAATCCAGATAGTCTGCCACGTCCTTGTGGTCCTCGACGAGAAGATACCTGTCGCGGCGGTTGGTAAAGTAGTCTCGACTGAGATTCGCGCCGCTGAGCACGACATCGTCGTCGAAGCCGTAGATCTTCATGTGCTGCAGACCCCAGCCCTCGTTGAAACGCTTGCCCACGATCTTCTTCAGGAGTCCTTTGAGATTCGGCGTGTGATAAAGGCGGATGTTGACGCGGTCTGGGAATTGGGCATGCAGCTTCGATACGAGGCTAGCACATGACGGTGTTGGTGCTGCCTCCCGCGTCCCACGGAGCGCATCGACGAGAATCGTGAGTTGTAGTGATGGATTCCGTTGCAATGCCTGTTCAAGCGCCTGGACCAGCTCGACCTCTTCTTTGCCGATATAGAGCGAGGCGAGGAAGATTCGGCTTCGAGCTTGTCCGATCTTGCGTTTGAGTGTCTCGTAAAAGTGCGACGGATCTTGCAAGAGATGGAGCTGCTTCCCTGACGCCGGGAAGAGGGGAAGACTAAGCTCTTGGGCCAGCTGTCTGGTGAGTGCATGCGGACCCTGGGAGCTCCCCTGCGATGCCCAGGCGCGAGAACACGACCGCCTGCTCGCGTGGAAGCTTCTTGCGTGGCACAAGAAAGTTGCGGTGTATGCGCTGCGCTGTGCCGCCTCGAGACAGCTTGCCGACAATCGCGGTGAGCATGCGGCCGGAGCCGACCGCAAGAGCGACATTGGGTATTCGACTCCTTGATGTGACGGTCGCTGCTGCTACTGTTGGAAGTGAAGAGGGGCCCTGGCCGCTATTATTCGTAGCGAGTACGCGAGGCCGGAGGTGGAAGAACGACTTTTCAAGCGCTGAAAAGTGGAGGAAGACTGGGAATTAACACTGTTCCGAGACCCGAAAAATCTCGCTCTTTCAGACTCGGATTTCGGTCGCTCCTGTGCGCGTGTGATCGGGCAATGCGCGTCGCCCTGCAAGTGGAGTGTCAGCGCCGTGAGAGGACTCCAACACCCAACCAACTCCACTTGGCACCTCCAACCTCGTCCACCTCTGCCACCTTTGCACCCCGCATTTGGATCCATTCTAACATAAAGGCGCTTTCCAGGTCAACATACGCATCGGCAAGACGCACCGAGCCATTCTAAGGGACACAGATACGGACAGAGCTTGAACAGCAGCTGCCACGATGCCTGCCACAACACAAGAGGTAAGCATGGCCAAAGGCGCATCGGCGTTCGCTGGATGCAAATGCCACGATCTCGCTTGCTGACACTTCTTCTACTCTACTCCTCATAAACTCGCATGGACTCGCAGACCATTAGCCTCTCGAACACAAATGTCATCGTCCACCCGCTCGTGCTGCTTTCAGTGACGGATCATGCATCGCGATCGGCATCCGGATCGCGCAAGCGCGTCGTCGGCATCCTGCTCGGCCAAGACAACGGCAAGACGATCAATGTGGCCAACTCTTTTGCCGTTCCATTCGAGGAGGACGAGCGCGACGCAAAGACATGGTTCCTCGACCACGACTACATCACGGGCATGATGGAGATGTTCAAGAAGGTCAACGCTCGCGAGAAGATGGTGGGATGGTACCACACAGGCCCGCGCCTGCGCTCGTCGGACCTCGAGATCAACGAGCTGATGAAGCGCTTCATCCCGCGGCCCGTCATGGTGATTGTCAACCCAAGGCAGCGCGACGTGGGCATCCCCACCGACGCGTATTTCGCCGTCGAGGAGATCAAGGACGACGGCACGGCGACGCAGAAGACATTCATGCACGTGCCCAGCACCATCGAGGCCGAGGAGGCCGAGGAGATCGGCGTCGAGCACCTCTTGCGCGACATCCGCGACACAACAGCCGTCGGCACGCTCTCGACGCGCGTCTCGAGCCAGCTGTCCAGTCTGCGTGGGTTGCAATCCAGGCTGCTCGAGATCCGCGACTACCTCCAGGCCGTCGTCGAGGGCAAGCTGCCCGTCAACCACCAGATCATCTACGACCTCCAGGACATCTTCAACCTGCTGCCGGACCTCGACAAGAACAGCGAGGCCGCCAAGTCGTTTGCGGTGGACAACAACGACCGTCTGCTGGTCGTGTACCTCTCCAGTCTCATCCGTGCCGTCATCGCGCTACACGGTCTCATCAACAACCGACGTGAGAACGAAAAGGGCGAGGAAGAGGCCTCGAATACAATGGCCAACGGCACCGCTGCGGCGAGCAAGGACGGCGCGGACGACGCCAAGAAGGACGAATCCAAGGACGAAAAGAAGAAGGACTAGCCGTCGCATCGACGCTTTCATCTTAAAAAGCCTCGCAATTCTTACTCGCTCGCAAAACGTCGCTCTGCAACTGTCTGGGTGGGGCATCGACCTCATTCTCGCGAGCCAAGCCGCCCTCTCGGCTTCATAAGTGTGCACATGGGTTCTTTGAGATCACACAGGGCCGCATTGTTCGAATGAGGTGCTCGTTGAGGTGACAAGAGGATGCAGGCCTTCTATCCGCGCACGTGCCGCAAGATGGCGGTCGGGTGAGGCTTCACCTCCACTTTCTGCCGAAATTTGAGAAGGTTCTCGTTTTCCCCCACTCAGGCTCGCTTTACGACCACAACGCTCGGTGCAGGCACCGACGACCACCTCAGCATGAGCGCGATGCTGCGCAAGCCGGAGCCACCGAGTCAGGAACTACTGCTGCGGTGGTTCCAGACACAGGCGCGGCTGCTCGCCGACGAGCGGCGTGAGGAACAGACGCAGTCCAAGCTGCTGCTCTCCAAGACCGCACCCAAGATCCTCGAAAAGCACGGCCTTGCGCTGCTCTCGCTCGGCGTGGCGTCGATCCGCATCGGCGTCGGCGCCAAACTGCTCGTGGAGCTCGAGCGACCGTCGGCGTACCATTCTTCGCCGAACTTTCCACCCCACTCTTTCCGATCCGGCGATCTGGCCGCCGTGCTCGAAAACAGCGCCGAGCCTCAGGCTACCACCGACAGCGGCGTGGTTGAGGGGGTGGTCTATCGTGTCACCGAGACGCGCATCACTCTGGCGGTGAGTGAGCGACAGCGAACGCCCAAGCCAAAGCTAGAGCCGGAAAGCGGTCAGAATAAGCGAGATGCGCGGACGGGCGCTAAGAACAAGGTGTCCGGAAGCGAACTCGATCTGCCGGAGCGCATCCGCCTCGTCAAGGTCGCCAATGAGACCACGTTCGATCGCATGGAAGTGACGCTCGACAAGCTCGCCAGGGCTCTAGGAGTGTCTCTTGGCTCAGCCTCGTCGGGTGCCGGTGGCGACTCCTCTGCCGATGAGGCGGATACCAAAGAGGCCGGACCTTCGAGCAATGCCACCACATTGCAGCGCGCCTTGTTTGGGCTCGCTCCGCCTACGTGGCACCAGCAGGATGTTCCGCTGCCGCAGTTCAACGCGAATCTGAACGGGACGCAGCTTGCTGCCATCCGACATGCGCTCTCATCGGACCACGTTTCGCTCATCCACGGCCCACCCGGCACAGGCAAGACGACGGCGATCGTCGAGCTAATCATGCAGATCGTTGCGTCGAACTTGGGCGCGTCGGAAGATGCCGGGCGCGTGCGCGTTCTCGTGTGCGGTGCGTCGAACCTGGCGGTGGACAACATCCTGGAGCGGCTTGTGGCGTCTGCGGCGCACCGCGAGGTGTTCAAGAAGAAGAGTGTGGGCGTTACGCGGCTGGGCCACCCTGCGCGTGTGGTGGCGAGCCTGCAGGGCGCGACGCTGGATGCACAGTGTACGCAGTCGGCCGAAGCGCAGCTGGTCAAGGACATCAGCAAGGAGATCGAGACGATCATGGCCGAGCTCAAGCCCACGGCCGCTGCGGCGGGCAACAAGTCGGCCAAGGCCAAGCCGAAGCTGCGTGGAAGCGACCGCCGCAAGCGCTGGGAGGAGGTGCGCGAGCTCCGAAAGGAGTACAGACGCAGAGACCGCCAGGTGACGAGCAGCGTGCTGGACCGCGCCCAGATCGTGCTTGCCACATGCCACGGCGCGGGAGGCAGGCAGCTGGCCAACAGACAGTTCGACTGGATCATCATCGACGAGGCGTGCCAGGCGCTCGAGATGGCATGCTGGATCCCCATCCTCAAAGCGAGGGAAGGCGCCAGACTCGTTCTGGCCGGTGACCATCTGCAGCTGCCACCGACGGTCAAGTCGAGTGTCAAGCCACACCGGCCCAAGAGCAAGCCAGCAAAGAAGAAGAACGTCGGTACATCTGCGTCGATTTCAGCAGAGAACCAAGACCGCTCGTCAGATGATCCAACCGTAGAGCCCGTGACTGGGGCAGCAAAGCAAGACGGCGACGATGATGGCGACGACGACGTTGAGCTCGCGGAGAAGTTCGCTGCAGCCTCGATGGACGATGTCCGGCCAACGCGGTTGCGGCCCGCGCGGTCGTTGGAGACGACGCTCTTTTCGCGGCTGCTGGGGCTGTACGGCAGCGGGCTCAAGTCGCTGCTCTCGATCCAGTACCGCATGAATGCGACCATCATGTCGTTCCCCAATACCGAGCTGTACGAGGGCAAGCTATCCGCGCACGACTCATGCGCATCCATCGCGCTCTCTGACCTTTCCAACATCCAATCCGACCCGTCCGGCTCCGACGATGAGGATCTGCTGGCGCCGGTGGTGCTGTACGACACGTCTGGGTGCGAGCTGTACGAGTCATCGCCTTCAGCAGACGAGGGGGTGCTGCTAGCCGACTCCAAGTCGAACGTGCACGAGGCGGAGCTGGTGGTGCGGCATCTGGAGGAGCTGTTCGCGCGCGGGGTGGGTGCGGACCAGGTGACCGTGCTCACTCCCTACGCGGCACAGGTGGCTTTGCTGCATGCACGCATTCGCAGCCACAGCTTCGCCGGCATCAATGCGGACGAGATCGAGCTGGGCACCATCGATTCCATGCAGGGAAGAGAGAAGGACGTGGTGGTGGTCAGTCTGGTGCGCAGCAACACCGATCGCCAGGTGGGCTTCTTGGCGCAGAAGAAGCGCCTCAACGTCGCCATGACGCGCGCCAAACGTCAGCTCGTCCTCATCGCCGACGCAGAGTGCATCGCCGAAGCCACCGATCTGCCCGACGAGTTTCTGCCCCACTACATGGCCTGGTTGGACCAACATGCCGTCGTCCACCCCGTCGCCGCTACAATGTAAAACTCACACGGCAAACACATCGTCACAGCGAAAAATCATTCCCTCAGAGTTGCATTGAAGGGTGCCAAGTGAGAGCTAGGGCTGGGAGGAATCCAGCAGCGAGGGGCGCCACTTTGTATCTGCGACGTCGAGCTTGGGTCTGGGGATGCGACGGTTGGCGATGGAGCGGAAGGCGACGGCTGCCATGGCGGGGTTGGCTGCCACCTGGCCGCCGAGCAGCTCCTGCTCGAAGCGGACGAGCTGATCGAAGCGTTCATCATCGTCCTGCTGGCTGTAGGCCCAGAGCGTATCTACCGCCTTGTGGGCGTTTCGCTCCAATGCATCGAGCGCCTGAACGACCTCGCCTGCTCTAGCACGAACCTGACCCGACGCCGCACACACGAGATGCGGAAGCAGCTTGGCCGCCTCGGCCTGCACGCTGCCGAGACGTTCTTTGATGAGCTTCTGGACCGAGGTGTAGAGGTAGTCCTCCTCGAAGACGGTGCCCTTTTTGCCGCCGGCCTTTTGGCGTTCGGCCTTCTTGCGCAGCTTGGCCTCCTTCTTGCGGCTGCCGGACTTGGTGCTGAACGTGGCCATGGACGACTGCGACACGATCGACGCCGCGCGCGTGTAGCGCGTGAACTGCGTCATCTGCGTAGAGGTATCGGACATGATGTCGAGATTGTCCAGCGCCGGGTCATTGTCACCGTCGTACAGCGCGCCGTCAGGGTGGGCGGCACGTTTGTCGCGCAGCTCGCGGATGCGGTCGAGCTGCTTGGACAGCTGCGACTCCATGTCCTGCACGTCGTCCACCAGCGTCGTTGCCGCCTCAAGCAGGCCCGGGTGTAGCGTAACTTCGACGAGGTCGAGTCGGGAGTAGGTGGTGAGGACGCGGCGTGCTTCCGAGAACTCGCCGGCGCGACACAGCAGCGCAACGCCCTGCTCGACATCGCGCACATAGTCCAGACACACGCGCGCCGCCTCGGTGAAGCGCCGCAGCGTCTCGAGCTCGCTCACGAACCCCTTGGCCATGGCGACGATTTCGGACGCAGGCAGCTTCTCGACAAACGCCAGCCGCATGGCCTCTTGCCAATTCGCACACTCGCGGTAGGCGTCGAGCGCCTTGCCTCCGCGCCCGGCGAGCTGGAACGCTGCACCGGCATCGTCGAGCTTGCGGCGCGTGAGCAGGTAGTCTCCGAAGCGGTCGTACACATCGCGCAGCTTGGCGCCTTGGCCCGCAAGCAGCGCAATCGCGTCGTGGTACAGCTTGTGCTTGTCGATGTACTCGAGTGCCTGCGGGTGGTGCTGGGGACCGGCGCGCACAAGCCAGCCCAACGCCTTGGTGTGGCGCGCAAGGTGGTCGTCGATACGGAAGCGCTGGAACTCTTGCGGCTCGAGCGCACGCAGCTCGCGCAGGAACGGCAGGTACTCGCGCGGATCCTTGCGCTTGGCATGCTGCGCCACCATGAGCGTGAGCGTAAAGTCGTACATGCCGAGCGCCACGTCGAAGAGCTTGTCCGCATCCGCGAGGAAGATGATGTACTTGACCGCCTCCTCGGCCGTCTCTGCATCCTCGTCCTTGAGCTGCAGCAGCAGCGCAAGCCCTGCCTCGTAGTCCGCGGGCACCTTGCGCACGTGCGTGGTGAGGATCGACTGCACATACTTGCGTGCATCCAGCCGCTCGAGCTCGGTGCGGATGGCATCGCAGATCCGATTCACCTTGCCTGCCACCTCGCCCGCGCCCGTCGAGGATGCCAGCGGCTTGTACAGCGTCTTGGTGACGTCGTGGTCGCGCAGGCCCGAGAGGAAGAGGTTGAGGTGGTCTACGTCGGCTACCTGCTGCACAAACGTCGCCACGTTGGCCATGAACCCCGCCGGGTCGTGGTCGTAGAGGATGTTGACGTCGAGACGATGGGTGCGGCAGATGCGGAAGGCGGCGCCGTAGCGGTGCGCGTCGATGCTGCGGCGCACCACCTCGAGCACGAGCGGGCGCGGATAGATGGTCTCGAGATTGCCGCGTGGCATCTGCAGCACGAGCGACATGGCCGACGCCACCGCCGTGACGATGCGACTGCCGCGCTCCACACGTCGACCCAGATCAACGGCCTCGGACGCCGAAGCCTGCACCTCGTCGGTGCTGCTCCAGCGCAGAGAGCCCAGCGGCAGGAAGCGCGCTTCGTGCGCCGTGTTGGTCCACACGAGGAAGCTGCCTACCAGCGTGAAGGAGGTGGCGTCCTTGGCGACCGCTTGGCTCTCGGCCAGCAGGCGTCCATCGCTCGCCAGACCAACCACCTTGCGCGTGCCGTCAGCCGCAACCAACACCCGCACGTCCGCACAGAAGCGCTCGAGCTTGGTCACGCGCTCGAGCGCCGAGTCGCGCACGCGCTGCACGGTGCCATCGCTCTCTTGGACGTAGAAGCCCGGCGGCACTTGCGATGTCGGCACGAAGGGGTCGGCGACCACGCGTCTCTTTCCGTGGCCCGGCAGGCGAACCCCCGCATGTACGGTGGCCTCGAACGTTGCAGCCTCTCTGGCCTGCGTAAGATCAATGCATTCTGCGACAGCGCCTTGATGATGTGAGCTGAGCACCGCCACCGAGATCCTGCATTGGTGCGTCGCATCCAGCGCGGTCGGCGCCCATCCGGCTACAGCGATCTGATGTGCATCCGAAGCAGCCACCTGCGCCGTAGCCACGAGCGTGGGCTCGGCCACGGGCTTTCCGCCGACCTTGACTGTGCCGCCAAGCACGCCCCAGTCGAAGCGCCAGACCTGCACCCAACCGTTCTGGAAGAGCAGAGCCATGACTCCGACGGCGTGTTGCGGCGACGAGCCGGGGAGCTGCGACCAGGCGACGTGCGTAGGCACTGCGAGCGCCGATACCGCGCTTGGCTTGACCTCCGCGCCGGCAGGAGGCACGCACAGGCTGAGCGACGCCATGGGCGGAGGCACGTTCTGCATCCTGAACGGCGTGAGCAGCGCGGCGGAGCCATCGGCGACAGCGACGCACGCCGCATCCACCGGCGGCCTCCCGGGCGACACGACCGTCTCGTGTGCAAAGACGCGATGCTCGACCCTATCAGCGTGTGCGACGAGCAGCTGCAGCGGGTCCTCGGGATGCCACTTGACGTGCTCGACGCCTGTGGCCGCGACAAACTCTTGCTTGAGGTACCAGTGGTAGTTGCCCGTGGTGTAGACCTGCACCACATCGCGCGCCTCGTGCTGCTCGCCGGTTCGGGACAGCCATACGGCGAGTGCGGACCCGTCGGCGTTCCATGCGAGCTCGCGCACCGCATGGGTGCGTGTCCAGGCGCTGTGCTTCTGCGCCTCGTTCCATCCGAGCTGCACGCCGTCGGGCTGCGAGGCGGCTTCTTCGCGCAGGCTGAACTCGCCGTGACGCAGGCCGTTGCGCTCGAAAAAGACGACGTCGTGACGACCCTTTCGCCCCTGTGCCCACATGTGGCCGTCGAGGTCGGATGGACCGAAGCGCTGCGTGCTGGCGATGAGGTTGCCGATGGGTCGGAACGCCAGTGCCTGCGAGATACCGCGCACGCCCGCGTCCGAGGTAGCCGACAGCGCACCCGTGCGCGAGTAGATGCGAATCACGCGATGCCAGCTCGTCGGTGCATCCGGACTGTAGAAGGGCTCCAGCGAGCTGATTGCAAAGAAGGCGCCGTCGCCTCGCCAGCTGATGCGGGGTGCACCGTCGTCGTCCGAAGTGCTGGGGCCGCGCGTGTCGGTGTTGCTCGCCTTGGCCGCTGCTGCCGCCTGCGCTGCTGCGGCCGCGGCAGCCTTGCCCTCGGATCCGTGGAACTGCGTCGCCTTGCTGCCCCAGCCGACATCCACCGCCTCGTCTTGGCCAAACTCGTCGGTGCGCAGACGCACTTCGGAGAGCACCTCAAAGTCGCGCATCATCAAGAGCACCTTCTCCACCTCGCGTGCGCCCGACGTCGAGGCGGTCTCGGATGTCTCGCACGTGACAATGACGAGCAGCTCGTCATCGGGACTCCACGCTGCTGCTGCAATGCCCTGCTCGATCGTGCCCACCACGACGGGCTCTTCTGGCGGCACGTCATCCGCCACCTCGCTAATGTCAGGGATGGGGAGGAGAAGCAAATCGCCTCCTGCAGCGATGGTGCATAGCGCAGGACGATGGCTCGCCTCTGCTCCGCCATCGGACAGATAGTGCAGGTTGATGACATCCCTCTTGCTGCGTCCACTCGTCGATGCGATGCTACCAGCCGAGTCGGGCAAATCCGCCAGACGACCCGGCACGAGCAGCGAGCTGACCCGCTCCAGACCCTGTCCGTCCACTGCGCTGCGCAGGAAAGAAAGCGTGACATCCGGTGCCCCCGACGCTGTGCGTGATGTAGCAACGGCGTAGACCGAGCCGTCGTCGAGATCGCTCGCCGTAGCCTCGATTCGCAGCGCCGACTGTGAGGCTTGCGAAAGCGCAATGGCGCGATGCGAAAGTACGCACAGATTGCGCATCTTGACACTCGATCCCGCCCAACAACCAAAGTGCGTCGAGGATGCGTTGAGATCGTATGCGGATCCGCCGTGTGTGGTCGAAAGGGTGGAAGTGGCAGCAGCTGCCGTGACCTTTTTTTGTCCTCGCCCCGTGGAGGTGCATCTTTCTTCTCGGCTTTGCTCCACACCGATAAACTTCGCTCCACAATTTAACATGCTGCGATTTCTTGCACCGTCGCCCACTGCAGAAGGCTCTGTATCAAGAAACTCGTGATACACACATGCCACAGAGGCTCTGATCATGATCCCGTGTGGATGCAGACGTGGTCGCCATTCCTGCACAGAGCCTCTGTATGAGGCTTCTGGTCGAGAAGTACACACGAGGGTTCTTTTCCAAACGCGTCTGTGCATCGAACCTGGGCATCTTGCGGCACGATCGCTGCTCGGCCCGTTGGCATTTCCACATACAGGAGTGGATAAGATAGATTAAAGGTAGCGCATAGAAGGTATGAGAGCGTGTGAGGCCAGCCTGATCTTGGCAGGGACTGGCTCTCGGGTGGCTGATAGAATGGAAGAAAAGTACAACAAATGCGAGATGCGATAGAGAGAGAGTCATGGGGAGAACAGAAGAAAAAGTGGAACCATGCGCATAGCGTACGGCGAGTTCAGAAGTCCGGGAAGAGTGCGCCGTGCGGATCTGGATAGACGCGGTCGGATGGATAGAGACCGGGCATGGCGCTGGGCCTGGCTGGTTCGTACTTGCTAAAGTTGGACGTGTCGCCGGGCTCTCCCAGGTAGGGGACGATGGGAGGAGGGATCCTGCCCTCCTGCAACGCCTGCCAGTCTACGCCGTAGAACCAGGGGTGCTTCTTGACATCGTCCGCTCCACCACGTAGATTGCCCAGACGTCGACTGCGGTCGGCAGTCAAGAGGCTCGTGATGAGATCGCGCGAGACCACGTCGACGTGATCGGGAAACACCAACTTGCCAGCAAGAATCTTTTCATAGATGAGGATGGGGTTCGGGTCGTAAAAGGGCGGATAGCCGGCGAGCATCTCAAAGAGCAATACGCCAAGCGACCACCAGTCGACGGCAGTGCCGTGGCCGCTGCACTGGATGATCTCGGGCGCCAGATACTCGGGCGTGCCACACAGCGTCCAGGTGCGGTCTTCGAGCTCCTTGGCAAAGCCAAAGTCGGTGATCTTGGTGTAGCCGTTGGCGTCGATGAGCAGATTCTCGGGTTTGAGATCGCGATACACCACACGGTGCTTGTGCAGGTACTCGATGGCGAGCACGATCGTCGACACGTAGAAGCGTGCCACGTCGGTGGAGAACTGTCGGGCGCGTCGGAGGTACGAAAAGATCTCGCCGCCAACAACGTACTCCATGAGCATGTAGCAGTTCTTGCTGTCCTGGAACGACGCCACCATGTTGACGAGGAAGGGGTGCTCCACCTTGGTGAGGATGCTGCGCTCGCTGTTGATGTGCGACACCTGCTTGAGCCTCACCACATCCGCCTTGGCAAGCACCTTGAGTGCAAAGTACGCGCTTCGGTCCGCTACGTCGCGGTGCTTGAGCCGCACCAGCAATACGCGCCCGAACGTGCCCGTGCCGAGCGTCTCGATGACATGGAAGTCCGACAGGGCATATTCGCGACCTGATGCGGGCTGTGGTGCTTTGACACTAGCTTGCGGGCGTGGCGAGGGAGCACTCGAAACCGTCGCGGGTGACGAGGTGTTCGAGGCGCTGGGATGTGTCGGTGGAGACTGTGAAGTGATGCTCGATGGTGAAGATGACGCCGACGCCGCGTCCGATGCGGGACGAAGCTGGGCATCGGTCATGCGCACATCCGCCAAGCTCGCGGTGACAGCGGGCATGCTCTCGGAAGGTGCGCGCTGGACGGCGATGGTGGGAATGGGCGATTGTGTCGGCGTCGAGAGGGCCGCGATGCTTGGGGATGCCTGAGCCGGCGATCTTTGGCAGTGTTTGGACTGCCTCTGCTGGCGTTGACGCAGCTTGAAACGCCGCACGGCGAGCTTGCCCTGGCGCGTGGCGGCGGGGAAGGCATCGAGCGGGGACCAGCCAGCTTCGTCTTGGAACCGAACGCCGTCTTGGAGCTCCATGGCTTGACGACCATGAGCTTCGACATGCCAACCGGGCGATACACCGGGCACCAGCTGCGCATCATCCTGAATCGACCGAGAGGAGCGTCGAATGGTGGCTTCGAGCGCTTCTTGTGAGCGGCGACGCAACGCGCCTTGGCTGCTTCTGCGTTCTGAATCACGATTGCGGCTCATCATGAGCGGCTGCATGGCGTCGGGCGCATCGAGAGAGCGTCGGGTAGTGGGAGGCAAGGGTGGAGGTGGTGTGGACGAAGATGGTCCGGCCAAGCCTTGCGACATCTGTAGACCACCGACAAACGTCTGCAGACCGGGCACGAAGCGAGCTCTCGAAGTGCTTGGGAGCGCCTTTGGACGCGTGGATGTGGATGCGGTGGCGCAGCCGGCATCGGCATCGACGGTGCTGAGTCGACGCTGCTTGCCGTTGGAGGTGCCCTGGGAGTGATCGTCGTGGCAGGCGTCGGCCGTGTCGTCACGGGTTGCCGAGAAGCCGTCTTGGACAGCGTCCTCGTACGACCTTTTCAACGTCATGGTGGATGTGTCGGGCGATGATGTGAAAGAGTTTGGTGGTGGCGGCCCTGGTACCGTTGCTGCGAGCTCGGTTCGCACGCGATAGTATGAAGCGATGGTTGTAAGCAAGTAGTGGTGCTGTGGATGCTCAAGCGTATAGCGTTAGTTATGAGTATGGTCGTGGCAATGCTGGATGGTCGAGTCGAGCGAGCGGATGGTCTTGTAGAGAAGGAAGAGGGCAGGAGCGGCTGACCAATCTCGGAGGATTTGGATGCACGCGACAGCTTCTCGGTGCGCCGACGGTCTGGCCGATGGAAGCGGATGCAAGGGTCGGGGTCCGAGAAGCAAAGTGGTGCGCGGTGGTGAGGAAGCGATGCAGGTGTGGACGGCAAAGGCGGCACGCTAGCAGCACAAGCTAGCTTTGGACGTCGATTAGTGCATGCAAGACTGGTGCAGAGTGATGGTCGAGAGAAGTGCAGCGCGAGCGATTGAAGCGATCCAAGGCTGCGTCATGGGCAGCTTGCAGACGGAAACGACGACGAGGTGGGCGCAATGGAGCAGAAAGAAGCTACTGCCGCTTGCCGTCGGAGAGGGTGGGGGGTGTTCGAGAAGCTGATCGCAGTCGGCTCGGCGAGTTCGGTGCAGCGAGGCGATCGGTACGCCCAGCAGGTGCAACATGCGGTGCGGTAGAGATGCCGGCGTGAGTAAGTGGGAGGACGAGGCGAGGACGGGGCGAGGCAGGCGAAAGAGGCTCAACAAAACCGCGGGCCAGGCTGGCTCAGTAAACCTAGGCTCTGCGGCTCTCTGCTGTGGTGGGTGGATGGGGAGGGGGCTCTAGAACGCGACTAGGCTCGGTGCCGGAGTGTCGGAAGTGGGCGGCGGCGGCGGCTGGCGGCGGCTGGCGTGAGGGTGTGGGATGCTGTCGAGGCGGTGGGGCGTTGTGCGAGTCAAAGTGAAGCTAGAGCTAAGCGACGCCCCGAAGCGAGCCAAATTAGTGGCCATCTGCACACGACGCGCATCGGCGCCTACAATTGCCCGCCCTTCCGCCTCATCACATCAGACATTTTTAGCCTCGCCGGGCGCAGAAAATCCAGGGGGAAAAAAAAGAAAAAGAAGGCAATTTCGAAATGAAAGCTGTCGCCGCACAAGATTGCGCTCACGACGGCCGCTGCGGCGGCGGCAAAGCGTCGGCTGCCTGCTTGGCCATGTCAGGGCGCACAAGCTTTCAACACCGACTCTCACGCCGTCTGCGACCATGTCATAACGTCAGATGTAATCATGCCAGCAAGAAACCTTTGCTAGCAGCGCGGGTTTCAGGCCATGTGCTAGCTGACCAGATGTCTGTCAATCGACGCCCGCCGTGTCAGGTGCACAAAGCTGCACCGCCTGCACCGGCTGCGTTTCACGATCTGAAAATTTCCGGCGGTGGAGAATTGGTCGGTACCGGGGGCGTGCGGCTTTTCTGCCAACTTCTCCAACTGGCTGGCGTGCATGAGTTCGAAAAAGAAAAAAAGAAAAAGAAAAAAAATTGGGTGCAACGACGACGTCAGCGTGTTGAGCCACCGAACCAATTTTGGAAAATCGGCTGTCTCACCGCCAGAGGGCGCGCCCGTCAGGACTCGGCCAAAAAAAGGAATCTCAGGCTTGGAGAGAGACCCCACCAAGCCACACGCAGTCTCGACCCCGACTTAGTTATTGCTTTGTCTTCATCAAGCGCTATCATATCTTCGACTTTGGCGTGGGTTGCCTTCATGTGTGTGTTGCGACAATCAAAGGCTGTGCGACCAAAAAAAAAACGGTGGCTGGAGGCGTTTGGCATGAACAGGTTCCAGCATCGAGCGTTGGGATCCGCTTTGTTTCGCCTTACATGACTTGCGTACGACCTCTCAAAAAAAACATTCCCGCCTCGGCAGTCGATGGAAGGCTGGCTGCCTGTGAGCATCGCATGGAAATCTGGCCAACGAAGACGCGCATTGTCGTGATCGTTGGCATCACCGAGGCCGTGCATGAGCCGCTCGCCCGCATGGGCCCCAACGACATGCCATCGGTGCGGTCGGAGCCGAAACCCCGCTCGTGCTTAGAGCAAAGTGCGCACCAAGTGTGACATCGGAGTTGGATCGGCGTGGGGCTAAACGCGCTAGTCCACTCCGCTCGTCCTACTGGCCTCACTCTGGCCATCCGATCCGCAGCTGCATCCTTCTCTAGCCGAGCTCGCCTCGACATGGGAGAATCCAGTTTTTCCGCCAAAAGATGCTTCGATGGACGCGAGTGGCGCTCTCTTTCGGCACCGAACTACTCCGTACCGGCATCGGCAACTGCAACCCCCCTTAGCCTACCGCCCGCTTACCCGAGCCCCAACACGATGCCTGCATGTCGCTACCTCTCCGACGGAGCGGATACCTATGATGGCCAGCGAGTCAGCCGTGCATGGAGCCGAGCCGCGCAGAACGAATGACGAGAAGCCCATCGGGGACTTCTGACGGAGATCGGATCGCCGATTTTCGAAGGTTGGGATGGGACCAGCATCGGGCATCCGAATCGCCGATCTGGAGGCCAAGACCGGCTCCGAAATGCACTCGATTCCACCCGCGGCCATTTTGACTTTTTTGCCCGTCTTCCCACGCACCCTACAGTTTCGATAGCAACATCATCTGCAACAAGGACGACCAGCTCTCGACAGCCACACCTTGCATCACTCGCTGCCTGCTCGACACACGGAAGCTAGCACGCAGCTGCGGTACATTCCCTACCAATCGAAAGAAACCTCTGCCGAAAGCAGCTTTTTGATCGACTACCGTTAACTTGGTCTCTTCGCACGCACGCACATCATGTTGGGCCTCAAAGCACGCATGGCGATCATCGACAACTCGGGCGGTCTGATCGCCGAATGTGTCAACGTGCTGCGAAACAAGACCACCCAGGGTCTCGGTCGTGTCGGTAAGTCTCTCTCTCTCCTCTTCAGCCTGGTGTAGCTCTGGCGTCAAGTATTGAACTGACGTCCTTGTGTTCGATCCGTGTTTGGTTGGTTTTGGCAGGTGACGAGATTGTAGTGGTGGTACAAAAAGCACGACCGATCTCCAACACTCCGGGACAGGCTACGACGCAAAAGGTGCGCAGGGGCGATGTGCGACACGCGGTGATCGTGCGTACCAAGAAGGAGATGACTCGTCCGGACGGACGCGTGATCCGCTTCGACGACAACGCATGCGTGCTGCTCAACAACAAGAAGGAGCCGCTGGGAACAAGAGTCAACGGCGTCGTTGCGAACGAGCTGCGTGCAGCTGGTTGGGGCAAGATCGCAAGTCTCGCACCCAAAGTCATCTAAACTCGCGCCCTATCCATATCGCAGCCTGGGAAAGCAGGCACCAAAATCGACCGCAAGGTCGCCCCGTCATGACATACTGTACTTTTAGCATCTCCCAGCATCCCAGCTCTTCATTTGATTCACTCGTGCCCGTGCATCATGGCAGGGGCAATTCGGATGACAATCCCCTCGGTCGCGCGGTAAAGTCGGCACCGAACGGAACGGACGGAGCGGAACGTCGCATCGCACGGATGGCCCGTCTTTCATCTGAGCTAAAGATAGCTACGTACGACGCTTTGAGGCCGGCGGACTATGGTTCCGACATGTGTCACAGAACTCTGTGAGACCGCGGAGCCGTCCTAGCCGACACTTTAAGGAGCCGCTTCCGTCTCGAAGCCCATGTCCTGCGGTACTGCGAGGGCCAGCCAAGGCTGTGAACGGATCTCATCTCGGCACGTTACCATCGGGACTGCGCAGACACCATGTTGGCGTTCTGCTGGTGGGGCACAGGAAATCCCCCCCACGAGACGCGCGCGCCTTACGAGATGATGCACAAGCGATCCCGCGTCGGAGTATTTGGGTGGAATGCACCGGCTGGAAGCGAGGACCCTTGTGTTTCTGCGCCTCTTGCGCGCATTCTGCGATTGTATGCCCAGCTTCACACCTTTGGCCGGTTGATTCTTTGCTGAATGCTGCCCGAAGCTGGTGTGGCGACGCTTGCATCCTTGCAGGCGCTTCTTCCCGTAAGCCAGGACCGGCAAATGAACTTGGGCCACAACATCCGGCGCGGTGCAAAGCTTTAAGAAGAGCAGCTTGATCGAGCGAGGTCCTTGACTGGGCCCCCTCGATCTCCTCACAAACACCCATGTCGGCCTCGGACTGGCATCGACTCGGCATCAATGCATAAGCTGGCGATGCAGCCGGTATCGGCGAGTTGGACGCCCGACATCCGTCCCGCACTTCCGATCACCTCCGTCTGTTTGGGATGGCTCTTTGTGCTGTGTTTCACCCTCCCCGCACGCGGAGGTGCATGGCGCATGGTTCGACTCGCCTCCTTCCCAGCTATCGTGCTGCTGTCGCTGCAGCTGGTGCTGGACCGGCGCATGACACTCGGCAACCCGCTTCGCGATCTCGCCCTCCCCATCCTGGCATGGACGATCATCTGCAAAGCCGCCGAGATCTGCATCGTCTTTGCCCCCGGCGGCCCGCGTCCCATTCGACCCTTCCACAACAGCAAACTGGTGACTCGCATAGGCGAGGACTATGCGGCGTACGAATGGAAGCTCGTCGATCCACCCAAAATGGCGTCGTGGGGGCGGGTGGTGTATGCGCTGGATGTGTTTCTGCTGCGTCGGGTGGGGACGAGTCCCATCCGCCCGCGCGAGGGCCGAGCCCTCGAATGGTCGCTGCGCGGTCTCAATGACTGGTCGCGCTTCCTGCGACAGAACCGCTGCAACCCAGCGCAGATTCCTGCCCACTCGACCGTGCGTCGCTTCGGCCAGCCTGAGATGGCATTCTACGCTGCCGTGCTGCAGATGCTCTTTGCCGTCGTCTCGCTACGGTGGATCCATGCACTCTCCCACCCCTGCCAAGTGTTCGACATCTACGGGTTCTGGATTCCCACCTCTCCTGCATCGCAAAAGTGGATCTCCCTCCTCCCAATCACCGCGGTGAAGCAGATTCGAATCAGCGGCATCCCGGCGTCTGCATGGAAGCTACCACTACCCACGCTGCTGTTCGTGGTGGTGACGGTGGGAGGCGCTATCTGCCTGTTGCCTTCTGCGGCGGAAGGACTGTCGCTGCTGGTGTGGAAGCCACGGCCGGCTACATCGTTTCTGGCGGCGTTCGAGCGGCCACTGACTTCGCCGGGGCTCGCACGGCTGTGGGCACGCAGCTGGCACGCTACGTCGCAGCGCGACTATCTCGCCATGGCATCTCTCCTCCCCGGATCACGCAACCGAACCCTCCAGCTGCTCTACGTCTTCTTCTGGTCCGGCGTCCAACAGTAAGTCCCGACCCCCTTCCTCACACCTTGCTTCCACCAACCTTGTGTACTGACGCTTTTTGATTGCAGTTCGATGATGTTCGCTCGACTTCGGATACCGGAGGGTACACGATTGACTGGACGCACGGTGCTGGGGGGTATGGTGGATCCAGGCATGGTCGGCTTCTTCCTGTGCCAAGCCGTGGGGATCTGGATCGAGACGGCGGTGGTGGAGGCACTGCCAGCCACGTGGCGCAAACAGCGCGTGCTCGTCTCGCTCGCCCGCCGCGCATGGATGTACGCCGTGCTGCTCGTGCCCGGCTGCATGTTCGTCCACAGCATCCTCCAGCACCGCCTCATCACGTCCGCCGTCCTCGACGGCTTCTCCCCACGCGCGCTCGCACTCATGCTCCAGGGCAAAGCATACTAGGGACGTTTTTAATAGATTGGCATTGTAGTGAAGCGGGATGATGTGTGTGTGGAATGCATAGCACAGGTGGAACCCGTCTGCAGGGATGGACGAGCCCTTGAGGGGGGGGACTTGGGGATGAAGGGGTGGTCACCACGTGGAAGTGAGGGGGAAGGAGGATGTGAGGAGGCGGAGCCGAGAGGTGTCGGGGAGTGCAGCCGAGTCGCGTGGTCCGGAGGCCAAAGAAAATTGCGCACCTTCCCTCGGCCTCGGAGATGGGCAGCTAGCAGTCGGGCTTTCGCGTCATGTGCTGGCGTCAACGCCTCGGAGGGGCGCGAACGCTGGGCGTGAACTGGTGAAACAGTGGACCCTGTTGCTATCATCCTCGGCGCTGCCCCTTTTGGCCCATCATAAAAAGGTAGACAACAAGTCCCACCTTTGCCTCGGTCTTGCTTCTCCCCCCTCAACCTCTCTGAGACTCGTCGCGATGCTGCCGTCCTTAGCAGCAGCAGCCGCGCGCATGCTGGCGTCTTCAATGCTGTGGAACGGCGACCTTCCACCTGCTCCGCCCATGTCCGGTGACCTCGTGTCGGGCTGCACCTTCTCCGTCGGTCCACCGGGCCCACCATCCCCTGCACTCTGCGCGGCGTTCACGGCGCACTGCACGCGCTTTCGCGACGACCTGCGCTCGCAACACATCCACGCACTCAAAACATCCACCCCGCTGCAGTCAAAGCACGACGAGGATAGAGACAACCCCCTCCGCGATGTCGCGTTCCGAACAGGGTGCACGGGCGGATGGACCACCGCCTCCGACTCCACCTACCTCTCGGCATACACCGCCACATGCATCGTCGACGGCACCGACTGGATCCCCTTTGTCTTTGACGACTTTCTCCAGTCCCAGTTCGGCAAGCCTGACGGCAGTCGTGCCATCTCCTCGGACTTTATCGGATGTCAAGTCCCCGCCCACGCCTAACACCCACTCTGCATCGCGTCGCTTTAATGTTGTATAATGCCCATTGTATCAGTTGTGCATTGCTTGTGCTTTCCGCCTCCAGGTGCATCTGCCAAGCCTTTACGATCGGCCGTCGATGAGATCGCGCGCACTGCGCACCGCCTCTTCCCTCTGCCGCTCGCGCATGATCTCCACCTTGCGCTCGTGCCGGTCGATGAGGCTCGCGGCGGTGGGGAAGCGGTCGAGCAGCGCAATCACATTGTTCGCCTCGCCCGCCTCGGCGAGTCCGCGACTGATGGCCTCCATGGTGTCAAAGTGCGCATACCACGGCGAGAGTCGCTTCATGTCGCTCCCCACCAGCTCGCGCACATCCGGCAGCCCGCTATTCGGGTCCAGGTAGAACGCACTTGGCTCGGCATAGTCTTCTCCCGCCTCGTACGACCCACCGATCTCGGAGGCTGCATCGTCATCGACCGTGCCTCGGCGCTCCAGTGGAAGCTCCGTGTACGGATCGTCGTCCGAACGCGATTCGTGGCGTCGATTCGGCGGTCGCGAAGGCACGCTCGCCGCATCCGACCGATGCTTGACCGCAGGATCCAGCTCGTCCTCCGACACCTGCGGGTCAAACTCGTCGCCATCGTCAGCCTCCGACTTGTGTCCGTCATTCGCTTCATCCTCGTCGCTCTTCCCCTTGTCTCTGGTCGACTCGGCCTCGGCGGCCACCTTGGCACTGCGCGCCTTGAGATCCGCCGCCGCGCGCTCGTACATCCACGACCGCGGCGGCTCGTGGTACAGCACGCGCTCCACCACCGACAGCGCCTCCTGCAGCTGGCCCGCACGCGCCATCGACGCAGCCAGGTGGTTCCAGTTGCTCGCGTCGAAGCCAAAGCCATCCTGCTTGGCGCGCGTCCAGATCCGCGCGATCTCCTCGTGCCGACCGGCCATCGAGAGCACGTCGATCATGAGCGAGATCGGCATACACAGCAGCGCGCGGCTGTTGGCATCCAGCCGACGGATCGTAACACCTTCCGCCTCGACGCCGTCTTCGCCACTGCTGGGCGCTGACGGCTGCGAGGCAGGTGGGCTGTGCGCATACACACGGTCGCGGCCGATGCTCGCCGTCTCGAGCGCCACCTTGTAGATCTGCTCGAATAGCAGCAGTGCCGACTCGACGTCATCCACGCGGCGATAGGCGTCCAGCAGCGGCGTCATCTGAAGCACCGTCAGCCCCGCCGTGCTGCTCGCCAGCCGCTCCATCGACCTCTCCACCATCTCTGGCTCTCCGCGTCGTGCCTGCGCCGCCATAAGCACCGTATGGAGAACGGCGAACGACGGACCCTTGCGAGCGAGTGGCGCATCCACATCGCCGGCCCTGTACGAGTCGTCCACACCCGCCTCCGCCTGCAACTCGGCCATCGACGACGGCTTGAACGCCTTCCTGTCCTCGTCCGAGACGAGCTGCGATACGAGCGTGCTGGCGAGGTTGTAGTTGACGTCGTTGTCGCTGCGCGCATAGCTGTGCACCATCACACTCCACGTGATGGCGCTCGGTCGAAGCTTACGACGCTGCATCTCGTCAAAGTACTCCTTGGCCTCGGTCTGGTCGCCGAGCCGCAGATACCCGTGAATCATGATGGTAAAGTGGAACAGGTTGGCGCCCTGACCGACTCCGCCTTCGCGCGGGTTCGGCAGCACGTTCTCTGCTTCCGAGAAGACGTCTTCGGCGATGTGCATGAGCCCCGCATCGCAGGCGCTCTGCAGCATCAGCGCGTACGTCTGGGCGTTGGGCTGCAGTCCCGCGCGGCGCACGCTGCTGACGAACCGCATCACCTTCTGCACCGGCAGCGCACTCAGCACGTACGCCTTGAGGATCATGTTGCACACCTCGATCGACGGCCGGATGCGAACGTCGCGCCGCCTCTGCATCCAGCCAAACAGCCGGATCGCCGCACCGTACACGCCCGACTCGACGTAGCAGTTGAGAAGCGCCGCGTACGTGACGCGGTCGGGCGTGTGTCCCGCCGCCACCATGGCACGCAGCGTGTGTGCCGCCGCATCCGGGTCGCGACGCAGCGCAAATCCCTGGATGAGGATGGTGTAGGTGTACTTGTCGGGCGTGATGCCCACATCTCGCATCTGCTCAAAGATGGACAGCGCCGTGTCGATGTCGGCCCTGCGAGCGTAGGTGTCGATGAGATTGTTGTAGTCGTTGGTTCGCAGCTTGATGCCTCTGTCGACGGCCTCGGCGAGAAAGTGCTCGGCGGATTCGGCATCGTTGTTGCGGTTGCACGCCTTGAGCAGCAGTCCAAACTCCTTGGCACCGAGCGGTTCCTTGCCGGGCTGGCAATCTCGCGTCTCGAGGGCTTGAAAGTCGTGCAACATGGCCATCCGTGCGACGAGGCCCTTGATGTCACCGCGTGCAGCAAAGAGCTGCATGTAGAGCCTGTGCTCGAAAATGGCGTGCTTCTTGCTTTTGCCCCGACGCAGCTTCGCCAAGATGGGCGCTGCGCGGTCCATGCGATTGCGCAACGCCCAGCCCTCGGCGACTTTTCGCAGGAGTTTAGCTGGGATGCTCTGTCCTTTTGCGGTGGAGCGATTGAGGAGCGCTTCGAGACGAGCCGACGGATCCTGACCGTGACCCACGCGGATGATGCGCGAGAGCAGCGTGGGATTCAAGGGCACGCCCATGGACCACAGCTCGTCGTAGAGCTCGAGCGCGGCGGTGGAGCCCTTGTAGATGAGGGCGGCGCGAAGCACGATTTCGCAGGTGGATGCGAATGCTGGATCGGAGGCGTCAAACTCGTCGCCGAGGCGTTCGACCAATCCTGCGGCGTCTCGGTGGTGGGAGAGACAGAAGAGCAGCGAGCTCCTTGCGTGCCTGAAGGCTGGATGGGAGAAGAGAAAGGCGTGCGGAGAGGTGGCGTACCATTTGAGTGCGTCTTCGATGGGCTGCTGCGACTCGGTGGCGTCGATTTGGCCGTCGAGGACGTCTTGGAGCATGGTGGTGTCGTCAAAGAAGCTGGCCTGCGACCTGATGCGCGCGGCGATCTGGGCAGCGTCCGACGGACATCGCACCTCGAAGACAAGCGAGTCGAGGATGGCGATGAGCGCACGATCGACGATCGGGAGGTGATCGCTCGTCTTGCGAAGGTCTTTGAGCTGGTAGATGTCGGGCCTGCATTCACGCAGAACTGTGTCCATGGCCTTGAGGGCAGCCAAGGGTTTTGCGTCGAGGGCCAAGTAGGTGGGTTCGAGCATGCGGATGGAGAAGCGCAGTGGGCTCTTGCGCGGGCTGGAGAGTGGTGGATGTCCCGTCTTTTCAAGGTAGACCTGGCAGTCTTGGTAGATGGCGCGGATGCGGCGGCTGAAGAGGTAGCGAAATGCCTTTTTGAAGAGCGTGACGTGGTTGGTGGTGACGAGATGCACGGCCCGCGCCAAGGACTTTGCCACTTCGATACGTACATACAGAGGCAGCGCTTGCTTGTGTGCGTGATTCTGATAGACCTGCCAGAGACGGTGGCCAAGGATTCGGCGAGATTCGAAGCCATTGAGATTCTCTTCCTCCTGCAGTTCCTCGAACCGCTTGGGTTCGTCCTTCAAGATCTGCTCGAATCGCCGGTTGAGATCGACAAGCCCGACGATGGCCTCGTCGGGTTCAGGGCTGTGCTTGGGCAGCCAATCAGCTTGCCAGTGAGCTGGACGAGAGCCGAGTGAAGATGCAGGCAAGTCGGCGAGGGCCTCGCCCATAGACGCTGGCGGCGGATCTTGTGGAGGGGTTGATTCTGATGGAGGCTCTGGCGGCGATGGATCGATCGGGTCACGGTCAGGATGGGCGGCAGATGACGGTCGAGCCTCGTCCGGGAGAACCGTTTCCGCAGGGTTGTCTGGTGACTGTGAGGGAGCCCATGTGGAGCGGGACCGAAGTGGGGATGCTTTGGCTGTAGCGAGCTGGAGATGCGACGCTGCTCTGCGCGGACGCACGGTTGCGACACCAAGTCGGCCCGATCGGAGCGTGACAGCAGACTCTACACCAGAGACTGGGTTTCTGCTCCGAGGCGATCTGCCCGCGGGGCCAACGAGGCGACGCAGTGGGAGTGCGCGAGGCGTGGCGGCGCTGCCGGATGGTGGCTGCGCATCGATGCTCTGGATGCGTGCGGCGAGGCGACAGATGGTAGTGGCAAGCGCGAGCAGACTGAGCAGGCTGTCGCTTTGCGAGGCCACTGGCCGAATGGGACTCGGTATTGGTGGCGGCCGCATCGCGCTTGGCTAGTTGCGAGGAAAGCCGCGCGGCTCCTCTAGCACTGGCCGCCTTCGTGCACAGCGCAGAAACACCGAGAAGCGCCCTATGTTATCGCCATGCGAGGCAGCAGCAGATCACTGCAGGTCGATCGAAGGCGAGCTAGTCGATGCGCTTGTTGGCACCGAGTGTCCGGGTGAGATGCGTCGAGGCTATGTGGACATGGGAAGAACCAGATGTCGACTCGCTTCGAGGCTGGTGCGAGTGTCCGAGCGGCGGTCGTCAAGGGAATGGTCGAGGAGAAGGAGGCTGGCTCGAGGAGGTCCGTGGCTGCTTGCGGCTCAGGGTCGCGGAAGAATCGAAAATAACGTCAGCCACGCCTTGCAAAAATCAACACTTCTTCCAACCAGATGACGCCGTCTGCTGCCTCGAAAAGCTGCGCCTTTTTGGTCGATCCCGCCGAGCTCGGAAGACCTCGCTCGACAGGCGTCCCCTTGCAATTTTCTCCACTTTGGGCGTTGCGTGGTGGAATTTCTCGTCCGAAAAGAAAAACAGCTACCGAACCCGGATGTCGGAAGTGGACAAAGAGACCCTGGGCTGCCTCGGACCATCATGAGCTGGAATCGCTGCCATCTTGACTCCCGACTCCCATCTGCTCGGATCCGGCCCAGTCGTCACCATGTCGAACAAGCGCGTCAGGGGTCTCGCCATCCACCGCCCCATCCTGTACGGCTCCACCTCGACGCCTCTCACACCTGCCGAGAAGCTCGCCGCGCCGCCCGACCACACGCACAAGTGGACCGTCGCCGTGCGGAGCGCCGCCTCCCACCCGCTACCCTCGCTCTCGACCATCTCGGGTCTCGCCGCCAACAATGCCAACGTCGAGCCGGGCTCCGAGCTCGCTGCTGCCAACGCCGCCAACGCTGCTGCCGGTACGTCCAGTACCACCGCACCCGCTGCCTCGGCCCCGATAGCCGCCGGTGCGTCCGCATCCATCTCGACGCGCGGCCGCGATGTGGAGCACGACTACCACAAGATGGTCGGCGGCAAGGACGATCTGTCGCACTTCATCAAGCGCGTCCAGTTCAAGCTGCACGACACGTATCCGCAGCCGACGCGCAACATCGACAAGCCGCCGTACTGCGTGACCGAGACCGGATGGGGCGAGTTCGAGATCCAGATCAAGATCTTCTTTGTGCCCGAGGCCAACGAGAAGCCCATCACGCTGTTCCACCATCTCAAGCTCCATCCCTGGCTGGCGTCCGTCGCAGCAGTAGAGTCCGAACAGCCACCACCACCTTCGATCCCTGCGCCGCTTCCGCCGGCAGACACCTCGGCACCACCGACCACAGCCACAGACGCTGCGGAGCCGTCCACCACAGTAACGACAGAGACGTCTGCAGAATCCATCAAAGAGCAGTCCGAGACGACAGAGATGGATGTGGATCCCGTCGGCAGTGCCAACGGCACCGAGACGGGCATGCAGTCCGAGGCGGCGGGTGGGTCTGGCACTGCGACCACGGTGCCTGCAGCGCCCAAACCGGCGCTTCCGCCCGTGGTGCATTCGTGGCAGTACGACGAGATCGTGTTTCCGGAACCGATGGAGGCGTTCTATGACATTCTGTCCACGCATCCGCCCACGCAGCTCGCGGTGACCTCGGCGCTGGCGTTTGCGGACCCGGCCGCGTACCGCTCGTACCAGTATGCGCTGAGCGAGGCGGACAGGGGTGCGAGCAGCGGACCGGCGCCGATCCCGCCGCATCCGCTGCACACGCCCACGGGCTATCTGTTCGATGCCTTGTCGCTCGAGGCGCAGCAGGCCGAGGGCGATCGGTTGGACATGGCAAGGGTCGCCGCGATTCGAGACCTCGAGTCGGGGAGAGAGCAGCTGATCCGTGCGGAGAGGGCGCTCAAGGACGCACGAAACCGCATCACCACGCTCAACAACGCGCTCATCGCCTCCGCTACCGCTGCCAACACTGCACCGGGAGTGCCGACGAATGGTGCGCCGCAGCAGGCAATGTAGTGCGCACGACGAGGTTAGACGGGAGATGGAAAAAATGTATTTGTACCGCCGAGGTGTTGACTGTGATTAACTACTGGACCTGAGCAGAAGGTGCGCGGAGAGGCTGGAAGTGGAAGGGAAGCGGAAGCAAGGTTGGATTGTGAAACTGAGGATTAACGACCGGTATCGAGCTGGTTGTTGTAGAGGTGTTCGTAGCGGAAGCACATGATGCCGCGTCTGGGATGCATGACGTCTCTGACAGTCACCTTTTCAAAGAGCCCGTAAAAGTCGATTGGATCGTCGAGGCTTGCGACCTTGATCTCGGTCGATCCGTCCTTATGCCTGATCCTCCTATGACCCGCATACTGGAAGTAGGTCCCATGGAGGTGCTGCCAACTTCGCCAGATGCGGTCGATCTCCATATGCAGCAGCCAGAACGCCGGTTCGCACGTGGCGCTAAAGAGCCACATCTCGCCTCCGATGGCCTGGTGCATCCAAGCATGAATGTTGTCTTCGAGACTTCGTCGCAAAGTGGCGTAGTCGGGGGCGGCGAGGAAGGTGTTGATGATGGATTGGTTGAAGTGGGCCGTGTACATGTCGCCCCGCGCAGGCGGTTTGGCATTCCAATCGCCATTAAAGTGCCTCGTCACCGGATGCGGCTTATACACCGAGTAGCCCGGTTTCTTTGTATTGGGTAGCAATCCACAGTGCGATCCTCTAAAGGGACCGTTTGGGATCGGTCCACCTTTACCATCGTCGGTGCCGAGCGATCTCCACAGTGCGGCGTTTTGAATCCCGTGAGTCCAGTCGTGTTCGATGTCCCAGTAAGCCTCGCGACCCTGGTAGCCCGACACACGCATGAGGCTGTAAAACGCGCGCAGAAACGCAGAGTGGCACGGGAGAAAGCACGAGTTGTAGTGCAGTTCCTCCTGCAGTCCAATGTGCACCAGCGTAAGGTCATCCATGAAGCTGCCACCCTTAATAAAGATCGACTTGCCCGGCTTGCTAAGCTGCCTGAAGCTCGAGGTCCACGATGCACGCTCTGCGTCCGTGAGGGTGTACCACGATACGCGCTGCATGGGATGCGTACACTTGACTGATGAATGACCATTTGCCAACGGGGGGTTGCGCGCCTCGAGATCAGGGACCGTGGTGGCGACGGATCGTGCTTCGATCGCTTGGATGTGTGGCCAGAAGGATGTCGTCTTGGCTGCACATTGCGCCGCCAGCAACACCGCCGCCAGCACCACGAACAAGTGCGATCCGACCATGATTTTGAGACAAAAAGAGCAAGTACCAGACTGACTCTATGTGGTTGGGGATCCTCGAGGTCGTGCGGGGGCTGAGTGCGCGAGCAAGGCTTTATATGGGCAAGTGCCGCCCCAAGCGAGCGGTGGAGACCGAGGTGGGAGGAAGCGCACAAAAGTTCATCTTCGCCAATCGATGGTCGCACATACCGCACGGCCGTGCACGCCTACGTCCAGCCCACCACCCGCGCCTTCATATCGCATCCATGCCCAGCCCAGCCCCTGTCCTCGCACGAGCTCGCACACGCTCAAGCAAGACACGACCCCGCCGCCGCCGGTACGCGATGCACACCACCAAGTTGCTCGTTCTGCCGCGGGGAACGTGCTCCTCAAGACACCGCGTGATGCCGGCGTCTTTTTTGCGAGTGTCACTGCTTCATATGTGGCGACTTTGTGGCTGCAGCCTGCATGCTCTTGTGAATGGTGCGCTTGAACAATGAGCGGCCGTTTGGGCGTCGATCGTCCATCTGCGCAAGTTATGCATCGTTGCGCTAGAAACATCTCTGGATGCACTGGATCCACCCCGTCGTTATGTCACCCTTGCACAAGTAGGATCGTCCGCTCCGCAGCATCCCGTCTCACCGCCTTGACTTTGTGGCCCATCGCACAACACACTGCACGAGCTCGTGCTGCATTTGCTCGCACACGAGGGGCGATTGTCTTGACTACGATGCGAAGCAAGCCGCGTCGAGTGAAAAGCCGGTTGGATTGAACCGGCGTTGTCCTGGCTTCGCCATGGCGAGCAAAGCCTCGAGTCTTGACGATGCAATTGCCGCATGACGAAGGCGAGGGCAGCGACGAGGGTTGTGCATGCAGCCGGACACAGGACAAGCGAGTGCCACAACGCAGGCATGATCGAAAGAGCATGTGTCGACACCGCCACACCCACGATCACCTTTGGACGGCACTCTGGGGTTGCGGTCGCATCATGCAGGCCTCGGGACGTGGTGGCGTCTGACGCACCGCAGCGCGCGCTGACCAGTGTCGGCGTGCATGTTGGCAGCATCTAACACAAGATGCGACCCGAGGAGCCGCGAGATCGGCCGCAGGTGGGATTGACGCCGGTCACCAGCACTGCATCCTTGTGTCGCCGGCGTGAACCGAGCTCCACCGGCTCACCCCGTGCATACTGAACCATGCAGCAGCAGCATAGCGATATCCCAAGACAGCCTCACGCCATCTATTCCGCATATCCACGTGCCAGCTCGCACACACAATCCGACACCTCACAACAGCCCAAGCCGCAGCCTCGTTGCACCACACCTCACTCTGAGCATCGCTGTCCATGACCAAACTGCGCATTAAAACGAGGCACTGCACTACTTGGATCCGCGTCGCCAGCTCGTTTCCAAATCGGCCTTGGAGAGCTGTGCACTGCCCACACCATTCGGCGCTGTCGTCTGCGCACTCACGCCATTGACGGATCCGTTTCCATACACCCCTGCTGCATTGCCACTGCCGAGCGATGGATCCGCGTATCCATTCGACGCATGCTCACCATTGCCACCGGCTCGGCGCAGACGACCGTTGGGATTCTCCACCGACGCCGCACTCCCCGTCCTACCTGGCCCGAAATCAAACGCGGTGCCGGGTGCACGGCCCACCGGAGCCGGCATGTTGGTGGACGCAGCAGCCGGGGCGCGCGTGAACTTGCCCATTCCCCCGGTGTGCGTTGCAGGCGAGGTGCCAAACGGCGACCCGCTGCGCTCCGATCCAGCGCCGATGCTGAGCGCACCCACGTTCGGGAAGCCCTGACTCTGGCGCGCGATGTACGAAGGCCCGATCGAGCCCGACGCGCCACGCAGCGGTGGAATCACATTGCGCGATGCACTTCCGTCAAAGTGTCCACCCAGCGTACCTGCCGACGCGGACAGCTGGTCGAAATGCCCGCCATCCGACAGCGCACCATACGTCGCAGCCTGAACGCGGTAGCTAGGTCGATGACGACGCGGAACCTTGCCGTCCTTGACCTTCTCCTGCGGATTGCCGTGCATCTTGGACCCCACGCCCTGCTTGCGCTCATAATGACGCTGCCAGCCCTCGTGCTCAAACAGCGGCTGCGCAGGGTACCCGTCGATGGTGACGTCCATCTTGGTCGTCTTGAGCCCGTACCGCCTGCGCTCCTCGGACGTGAGCAGCCAGGGCGTATGCACGTAGTCGGCATGCAGATTGCGCAGCGCGGGGATCCACATCTTGACATAGTCGCCGTGCGAGTCGTAGTCCTTGGCCTGCTTGATGGTGTTGAACTGGCGCGAGGCGCGCGGATCGTTGCCGACACCCGCAACGTACTGCCAGTTGCCGTAGTTGGAGGTGGGGTCGTAGTCGATGAGGTGCGACTGGAAGAACTCGGCGCCAATGCGCCAGTCGTAGCCCAGATCCTTGGAGAGGAAGCTGGCGACGTTCTGACGGCCGCGGTTGGACATGAAGCCCGACTCGCGCAGCTCGAGGATGTTGGCGTCGATGAAGGGGATGCCCGTACGGCCCTCGAGCAGACGCGTCATCTCGTGCTCGGCGCCGTCCTTGAGCGGATCCCACTTGTTCCACCAGCCCTGCTCCATCTTTTTGGCGGCTTGGCGCGGATCGGTGGCGCGCTCAAACCCGCCGAGGTCGTACAGAAGGTCGCCGAACTTTTCGGCCACAAAGAAAAAGTAGTCGCGCCAGAGCAGCTCGAAGCGCACCCAGTACGTGTTCTGGTCCTCGCCAAACTTCTTCTCGTGGTCGTCGAGCGCCTCCCAGATCTGGCGCGGCGAGATGCTTCCGTAGGCGAGGAAGGGCGACATCTTTGTGCTGTAGGCGTGACCGATGAGGTTGTTGCGCGTCTGCTTGTAGCGGGCGACGGGCGGAGGGTCGGCCTTGCCCCAGCGCGTCGAGTCGGCCGACTTGCCCCTGACAAAGTACCAGTCGAGGCGATCGAGCGCGGACGACTCGCCGCCGCGCAGAGGAAAGGCGGAGGCGGGATGACGTTGTTGGAGCAATGCGCTCGCTTCGAGGGTGGGCGGCAGCTGCGAGTCGTTGAGCGGGGTGAGGAGGAAGCGGAGAATGTCGTGGAACGAGACTTGGCCTTCCTGCTTGTCCTTGGGTTCGAGAGCGCGAGGGGCGAGGCCGTCGACGTCGACCTCGTACGAGACGTCGAGCGCATAGTCGGTGGTGGAGGGGACGCGGGGAGGGAAGGTCTTGAACTTGGCTGGCGACGGCTTGACGGGGCGGACCATGTTGGGACCGAGCGCCTCTACCTTTTTGCGGAAAGGGGTGAAGACGTCGGGGGTCTCGCAGCTCTCGAAGGGCAGGTCGGCGGGGTGGATGAGGGTCTTGCCGTGGACGAACTGGACGGGGACGCCGGTGCCCTGGAGCTTTTCTACGATGGCGTTTTCGACGTCGATCTCGGGATAGGTCATCTCCTTCTGGAGCCATACGCCGTCTACGTGGGTGCCGTCGGCCTGGAAGGCGCTGACGAGGTTGGCGATGACGTCTTCGGGGATGCCGAAGCGGATGAGGAGGTCGGAGCCGGCGGCGCGGAGGCGGGAACGGACGTCGTAGACGGACTCGGAGATGAAGCGCGTACGGAAGCCGCCGGTCTTCCAGAAGCCGTACTCCTTTGTACGTGCCTCGGGACCCTTGCGCTGGTAGCCGGGCAGACCGCTGAGCTCCATCTCGCGCTCGTCAAAGACAAAGACGGGGAGGAGGTAGTCTGCGGTGGAGCCGAGGAGCGCCTCATCTTCGAGCTTGCTGAGGTCTACGGTCTTTTCTGCGGTGGAGACGATGGGTTTGGGGGTCTGGTGGGCATAGTAGAAGAGGGGATTGTCGTTGATGCGGAGGTCGAGGCGGAGGAGGCAGATGAGGACGCTCTTGCCCGAGTCGGAGCCGGGCGAAGTGGCGGTGCCGCGATGGGAGCCGCTGGGCGACGAGGAGCTGGCCGAACCGTCCATGAAGGGCAGATGGTGGCCGAGCAGCCAGGGCGAGACGGCGGGATTAGTGGTGGCGAAGAGTCCGACTGGACGATCAATGTGAAGCCGATTTTACAGCGCAGATTCCCAGGCGAAGCGACGCAGAAGACGCGAGATGCAGACGATGTTCCAACCAGTGGCGACGAGACGAGGCAGGGTGGTTGCGAGGCGTTTATGTTTTGGTTGCTGAAACAGCCTACAGTTCTTTTTGGTGGTTTCAATGCTGTGCGAGATGGAAGCGCAGACGCAGATGGTGGTGAAGAGGGTAAGGGAGCGTGCAGTTGGCGATGCGAGGTCGGTCGTGCGTGCTGAGGCAGTCGAGTCGAATCGAGCGAGAAGAAAGGCCGAGTGGCGGGATGCGAGTGCGGGCGGAGGTGGTGAAGATGGCAACGGGCGTGTATTCCACAAGCAAGTGGAAAGGGCTGCCTTGCGGAAGAGTGCAGGGAAGACTGCGTGCCGCGTGTTGGAGGGGGAGTGAATGCGGTGGGAGAGATGATGGCGGCAGTTGGATGGTGAAGGCGCGGCGGAACGAGATGCTGAGATGCTCGGAGGCCGAAACGGCTGGCTCACTCCAGTCAGAGCCCCAGCCAGCCAAGAGTGAGCCGGAGCCTGGTTCCTTTTCTCTTCTTTTCTTTTCTTTTTTCTTTTTCTTTTTTCTCGAGGCTGGATTTCACGGCTGGGATGGGCGCGGCTCGACGGGGCAGCAGCGCAGTTGAGCTGCATCGATCGCGCATCCCCTCTTCTAATTGCGACAGAAGAGGGGGAAAAAATCAATCCATTCAGTTAAAAAAGCTGGCTCGGACGACCCGAAAATCTGCCGTCCCAGTCAGCAGTCCTTTCCATCAAGCCTCGCTCGAGGCCACGCTGGAAGCGACTGCTGTGAACAAGAAAAGAGAACTAGGCGGTGAACTGCAGCCTCGGTAGCGCAGACCATCAAGCCGCTGCTCGCTCCTGGTCACTGCGCTTTTGTTCCTGCACACGACGGCTGGCTGTGGCAGTGGGTGTTTCTGTGGTACACATCTCCAGCCATTCGACGAGCTTGCAAGCGAGTGTGCACGGGGCGGGGCGCTGTCGGGGAGGGGGGCATCCGGGCATGACGGAGCGGTGCAGCGCTATATTGGGCTTCGTCACCGTCTGACGGCGTGAATCAGGCTTGGCCTTTGCGAGATTACAAAACGCCTACGCGATTTTTTCGCTGCTGGCAGAGAGACTCGTGGCCACACGCAATCCTATTGGGCGTGCACCAACCTCGGCCCCAGCAGAGAGAGCCTTGTCGAGCCCCGCTTGGGCGGCTTCGCTTGGGCTTCAAGACGTCGGTGCCGCTTCTTTATTTTCCTCTTTTCTGCACAGTCATTCAGTCGCCGGCGACGGACGGTAGTCAGGCAGACAGTTTGGCGCTGGGAACCGATGGCCGGTCCGAAGCCCAGTCGATCCGATGTGGTGAGAGCGTGGATTGCATGCGTCGGATCACGTTCCAGCTGACCACACAGTGGTGCGAGAGGAGGACCCAGCAACTCGGGTCGCATCGAGCGAGCAAGGCGGCCAACGCGCCACAGCAACAGCGCTGCCCGCACCGATGGCGGCGGCCGATCGAGACAGCTCCGGCGCGCATCGACGTGCATGAAGAGTGAGCTTTATTTTTCGCTGCTGCTCCGCTCCACTTCCATCCCGCACCGCACCCGCACCCGCACCCGCTCACTCCCCAGCTCGCTCCCAGCAATCTAACATTGTGACACGGCCCCATAAAATCCCCAAGATCCCCTTCTCCCTCACACGTACGCCAAACCTCGACTGGAAGGAAAACTGTATGAATTACTATTAATACTACTGCACTGCTACAAAGAGGATCAGGGCGACAGGGCAAAGCTCATCTTGATGCCCATGGCGGCGAGTTCGGCCACGAGGTACTTGAGCACGTACGGCACTGCCACCACATCGAGGTCGCCGCCGCTAACGTTGTTGATCACGTTGTGTGCAGGGATGCCGATGGTGGCCTCGGCGCCACCGATGGGCTGACGCTTGCCACGCAGCGGTTCCAAGCCCTGCTGGCGACGCACCTCGTCCTCCGCACGGCAGACGCGGCAGAACTCGCCGTTGGGGCCGAGCACGGGCGTGGTGCCCTGCGTCGTCACGTCGATCGTCGACATGGCGCCGCCGGCGCCCGAGTGCGAGTGGTCAAAGCCGACGGAGAGCAGCGAGCCACACGTGCGGCAGACGTACGAGGTCGAGTAGTCCGAACAGTTCATCAGTCGGTCCTGCAGCATGTACGACGTTCCGTGCGCCAGCAGCGCATCGCGCTCCATCTCGCCGAATCGAATACCGCCCGCGCGCTTTCGACCCTTGATCGGCTGTCGCGTCAGCGCATGCACCGGACCCGTGGTGCGCACCTGGAACTTGTCGTTCACCATGTGCCTCAGTCGCTGGTAGTACACCACGCCCAGGTAGATGTCTGCACGCAACTCCTGCCCCGTGATGCCCGAGTACATCGGCTCGTTGCCCACGTGGTTGTACCCCGCCGCCTTGAGCTGCTCGCCAAAGAACTGCGTCGGCGTGAAATCCTCGCTGAACGTGAAGGGCGTCGAGTCCTGCGCAAGTCCGTGCATCGCTCCCGCCTTGCCTGCGATGCTCTCGATCAGCATGCCGATCGTCATGCGCGACGGGAACGCGTGCGGATTGATAATCACATCCGGCTGCATCCCGCTCTCGCTAAACGGCATGTCCACCGCCGGCCATTTCTGCGAGCACACACCCTTCTGGCCGTGGCGCGAGGAAAACTTGTCGCCGATCACGGGCGAGCGCGTGATGCGCAGCATGATCTGCACCTTTTGGCACTCGCTGTCGCCTCCACCCGAGCCGCCATCAGCACCGAGCAGACGCACCGTATCCACGTACGCGTACTCGTCGCCCTTGAACTTTTTGAACGACGTCTTGCCGCTCACCTCGTCCCAGTACGCACAGATCGGCTCGCCCGCCATCACCTTCTGTCCAATGTACGGCAGGCCGTCCTGGTCCAGGATCGCCCGCTGCGCCTCCGACGCGCGGTAGTTCGGCGCAAATCCAAAATGCAGCGTCGGCACACTCGCACTCGCCGCCTTGCCGCGCAGATCCCGCAGATCCACCGTCTCGCTCTTGTACACGGTTCCGTACCCGAATCCGCGCTCGTGCGCCGACTTGTTCAGGATCATGGCATCCTCCATGTCGTAGCCCGTATACGAAATCACCGCCACAATCGCATTCGTCCCGTTCGGATAGTCGTCGAAGCCGTACTTGTTGTAAAGCTCCGGTCGCACCACCGGCGTCTGCGGGCTCTGGATCCGGTACAGCTTGTTGTCCGTCCTGCGAGAAATCGCCGTCGACGCCGTCCCCATCGTCTGCTTCATCATCTGGGTTTGGTACACATTTCGTGGGCTCTGGTTGTAATCCGAGAAGGGCGTAAGGTTGGCGAGCACCGAGAGGATCGAGGTCGGGGCGAGCTCGACGTGCGACGAGACGCCTTGGATGATTTCCGACGGGTCGCAGGCGATGTCGAGGTAGACCTGTTCGTAGGGGCCGACGAGGTCGATCTTGTTGTTGTGGAGCAGACGGACGGGACGGATCATGCGCGAGCGGTTGGAGAAGAGGTAGAGACCGGGGTACTGTCCCGACTTGGAGGTGGGGACGAATCCGATTTCGAGGTCGAGGGGGACCTTGTGGAGGCCTTCGGTCTTCCAGATGCGGAGTGCGGTGGCGATGTGCTTGGCGAGGGCCGGGGTGGTGTATCCGAGGATGGCGCCGTCGAGCTGGACGACGATGTTGTTTTTGGCAGCGCCGGCGCCCTGGACGCTGCCGCCGACGCTGAAGGCGGCCTCGGTCATGCCGAGGCTGGTGAGGAGCGCGTGGAGGTGCGAGACGTCCGGCTGGCGCGTGGTCATGCGGCAGGTGTGCGAAAAGTGGTTGAGCAGGCCGCACGGCGAACCGTCGGGCGTGTGGACGGGGCAGAGGAAGCCCCACGCCTCGGGCAGCAGCTTTCGCACCGAGGTCGTCTTGAGTTCGGCGAAGAAGGCGCCGCGGTGCACCGAACGGAAGTGGGCGAGGTAGCGCGCAAAGTTGAGCTTCTCGGCCATGATGGTGAATCCGGACGTCTGCTGGAGGTCGAGGCCGGACGGCGACGACAGGTTGCCCGTGGCGAGGAACGAGGCGATCTTGACGCCAATGTCGATGTTGACCTTGGCGACGCTCTTCTTGATGTAGCGCGCGTCGAAAAAGTCGACGCCCTTGAGCTTCATGCGCACGTCGCGCGCGATCTGGGCGCGGATGTTGCCGACGGCCTCGTCGATGCGCTCCTTGACGATCTGGCCCACGAGGAAGCCGGGCATGAGGATCTCGTGGTGCTGCGGCGAGTCGGCGTTGTCGGCGCACGACTCGCCGGCGACGAGCGAGTAGAGCTTCTGGATCATAAAGATGAGCATCTTGTACTTTTCGCGCGGGCTGTCGAGGTGGACGAGGAAGATGCGGTGGATGAGCTCCGAGCCGACTTGGGCGTCGTTCCAGTCCTCGGGGCAGCCGAGCACCACGCGGAACTTGGAGCCGAGGTACTCGAGGCACTGGTGGCCCGACCACAGCGTGTACTGCTTGAAGTTGCGCAGCAGCAGCTCGACGCGGTCGGTGAGGAAGGTGTTGTCAAAGTCGCCCTGCACGATCGACGCAAAGATCTCCTTGTCCGTGGCGTCGACGAGCGCCTTGAGCACCATCACCACCGGCACCATGTACTCCTGCTTGCGCCAGCTGAATCGCAGCGTGAGGCCGCCGTTGTGCAGGTAGTGCACCGCGTTGGTCACGCTGATCAGGTCGTCGCGGTGGAGGCAGCGGATGACGATCGCCTTGTTCGAGTAGCTCGGTCCGCGCTTCTCGAACGACGGACGCTCGATCGCCTGCGGGCTGTTGGCCTTGGCGACGATGAGGTAGCGGATCAGACGCTCGTTGCCGTTGACCAGGTAGTAGCCGCCAAACTCGTTGGCCTCCTCGTGGTGGGCGACGAGCTCGCGCGACGACATGCCGCGCAGGTTGCAGCGGTTGGAGCGCACCAGCACGGGGCAGTTGCCCAGCGCCACGATCTCGCTCTGCTCCGGATCGCCGTTGACGCTCCAGCACAGACGCGCGGTGAGCTTGCCCGTGTAGGTGAAGAGACGCTCGCGCGCCTCGGTGGGGAACACCCTGCGCTCGCGCACGCCCTTGGCGCGGTCGTTCACGAGCGGCTTGGACAGGTTGACGCTGTCCATGCGCAGCGTGATGCGGTTGCCGAGGCCGCCGTTGGCGTCGCCCTGGCCGTCAAAGACGATGCGCGGCGCCAGACGACGAAGACTCTTTTCGAGAAGGCCGACGCCCTCGTTGTAGAAGCCACCTACGGCGGAGGCTGGCGGATCCAGCGACGGATCCTCTGCCCACAGCGCATTGAACGACTCGATGTTGGGAGCGACGAGCTCGGTGAGCTCGGGCGCCACAAAGCCCTTGTCGGTGGGGGCCGAGTAGCGCTCTTGGCGCTCGAGCGGGAAGAAGGTGTGCCTCTTCTTCCACAGCGGCAGTTCGGCGTCGATGCCGCCCTCCTGTCGTGCCGCCTTGATCGAGTTGGGCAGCGAGCGCACGGCGTCGGGCGGTGTGGAGGGCCCGTCGAAGGACGAGCGCGAGCTCGAAGAGCTTGCCGAAGACATGGACTCCGACATGGTTGAAGAGGATGCCCACTCCGCTTTCGGACTTGTCGAGGCCGCGATGCGAAGGCTGGTGCGATCGATGGTAGGGATGCGGTAAAGATGCGAGGTCGGAGGTGGACGGATACGAAGTGGCCTCTGTGGGTGCGCTGCGCCGCGCCATCTGAGCGCCCAAAAAATTTGAGAATTTTTCGCACCCTTTGGCCGCCGCACGGTTTCCGCAACCCGGCCCAAAAGCAGCATTTCTTCCCCTTCACCCCGCTCTCTTTTTTTTTCACCGTCACGTGCCCTCCACTATCGTCGCTCTAACATCGTGAACTTGGTGCCACCATTGGCAGCGACTGACGGTCGTGCACAAGACCCACACTCGCTCAAGACGTACACATGACCGCAAAAAGTTCGAATGGTGATGGTGGTATTGATGCAAGACAACAGTGATGGTACAGATTCTACACCTCCCATGCCTTGGGCTGGCCGTCGTCGCGCGGTACGAATCGGCGGTCGACCTCGAGAGGATCGCACTGCGCGTCAGGCAGGTCGCTGCCACTATGCTGGCTTCTAAACTTCTCGAGCTCGGCAGACAGACTGATCTCTGCCTGTCCGCGCATCCAACCGTCTCTGGACTTCTTGAGTGCCTGCAGGTCGCCCTGTTCCGCCACCGAGGCGACGCCGTTGCTGACGGCGATCGCATTGGTTTCGCCACCGGACAGGCCGAGCGCCTTGCGCTTGCGCGCCTCTTCGCGTCGACGCTTGTCGGCGAGCTCGGCCATCTTGCGGTGTCTCTCGACCTCTTCGAGAATCGCCCGTGCGCCGCGCTTGTGCGCGAGCTCGGTGGCAACATGCACCCCGAGCGCGCGAGCATCCTCGAGCGTCTTGCAGTGCTTGCTCGCCGAGTAGCGCGACTCTTGGCTGCCGTCGAGCGAGACTACGATGGCATCCAGATGCAGCGTACGACCTTCGGCAGCGGGCGTGGATCGATCCACGATGCTGTACGATGTCGAGACGATCTTGTCCGCGATCGTCGTGGCAGAGGTCGAAGCGTCGGCGGTCTTGGACTGTGTCTTGGCGGCTTGGATCGGCTCCACGCCCGTAGCGAGCGACTCGAGCGGGGGCCGCGTGGGAGGCGAGGACGCGACGATGCGGCTGTCTGCACTGGCATCGGCAAGCTGGCTTGCGGGGATGGTGTGGCCATCGCGAACAAGAGGCACACCGCCGTTGGGCAGCTCCGCCTTGGCACCTGCGTCTCCCGCGGTGATAAAGTCGTCGACCAAGGCGATCGCCTCGCTGCGCTGACCCTCGACGTGGTCGTGATCGTCAAAGCGCGTCTCGACACCGACGGGGATGGAGCAGCCACCCTCGAGCTCCCTGAGCAGCGCGCGCTCCGCCTCGGCCCGGAAGGTGGCGCGCCAGTCGCCGATGCTGTGGATGAGCTGGCGGATCCGTGCGTCGCGGTTGGTGGTGGGATCGGCGCCCGCGGGTGGCGAACGCACCTCGATGGCTAAGGAGCCCTGGCCGACCGAGTGGAGCAGCACGGGCGAGCTGAGGAAGGCGGTGACGCGCGAATGCATGTTGAGGCGCACCAGACCGGCGGCAGCGAGGATGAGCGCGGTGTAGGGACCGTTGGGCGCGTCGAGCTTGGCGAGGCGCGTGTTGATGTTGCCGCGAACGTCGCTGAAGACCAGGTGCGGGTATCTCCTTCGCAGCTGGGCTACGCGGCGGACGGAGGAGGTGCCGATGACCGAGCCGACGGGCAGCTCGTCGAGCACCTTGTACGGCAGGCCGGCCTTGACCACGAGGGCATCGCGCGGATCCTCGCGCTCAAGTACGGCGGCAAGTTCGAGACCCTTGGGCAGAGCGGTGGGGACGTCCTTGAGACAGTGTACGATGGCATCGACGGCGCCCTGCTCGAGAGCGACCTCGAGCTCCTTGGTCCAGATGGCCTTGCCTTCGCCACCGATGACGTACAGAGGCGAGCGCAGGTTCTGGTCACCGGCGGTGGACATGGAGGTGATGGGGAAGGCGTGTGGGCGCAATGGAGCGTCGGCTGCGGGCTGGAAGGAGTGGAGGAGGTTGCGGAGGAAGTCGACGTCGTGGTCGGCGTGGTCGCTGTCGACCTTTTGGAGGCGCGTTGCGGGCGTTGCGGAGGGCGACGAAGATCCTGCCGGACTGCTGCCAGGTGAGTCGACCGAGAGCGCCGCGGTGGCTTGGTCGAGCTGGGTGCGGAAGAGGGGCGAGGATTTGCCGTAGCGTGCTTCGAGCATGGCGCTGACGTGGGAGCTTTGGACGAGGGCGAGCTGGCTGTTGCGGCTGGCGAGGACGAGGGTGCAGCTGGGATCGACACCGAGCTGGCCTTCGAGCGGCAGCGGATTGATGTTGGCCTCCTTGCGCTGCTGGTCGAGCTTTTGTGCACGGTCAAACTCGTAGGCGGAGGCGCCGTGTGTGACGGCGAGCTCGTGGAGCGACGGCAGCGTGGTGGTGGACGAGAGCATGGAGGAGGAGGTGGAGCGCGAGAGCGGCGGGGTCTGCGCGAGATCATCGGGAGAGCGGTAAAAGATGCAGCGCGAGTCGGTGGGTGGGTATAAGGTGGATGCAGGAGCGTCAGGGACGGGAGGGTGTCCGGGGGGCAATGGCTGCGACTTGGCGTGAGGCACAGGACACGACGAGACGTCGCTCCACGATGGTGCCCGGTGCTGCCGCGCCTGTGCTTGCTGCTGTTGCTGCTGCTGTTGCGGCTGTTGTGGCTGCTGCTCTGTTGCGATGGTCGAGGTGCTTGGGTCGACACTCGAAGCGGTGTCTCCCGCCTCGATGCGATCCGGGCGCTGCTGGGCGAGCGACATTGTATGGACGCTGTTTGGGGATGCGGGGACGCTTGCTGGCCTGCTCGGTTTGAACAAGGGTGGAAGAGGTGGTGGCGCAAAGACACGAATGTGGGGAAAGCGCAAAGTCCAAGTCCGACCGACGACGGCTGCTTGCAAAATCGCTTAGCCGGGATGGCGAGCGAGGCTGCTCACGAGACGACATCGGCAGGGTCTCGTGCCGATGCCACTCCACCTTTTTTCTCTCTCTTTCAGCTTCCAGCCGCGGTCGGAGCGCTGATTTGCCACGGCCCAGTCGAGAGGAAAAAATTGGTCCAACAGGCTGCAGCAGCCGGACAGCGCCGGTTGGCCCTTCCGACGCGCCGATTTCTAATCAAGCTGGGCCGTCATTTTGGTAGGAAGCGCCTTAGTCAGCGTGAAGTAAGCGCTTTTTTTTCTGGTGAGCTGCACCCTGTTGGCAGGAAGAAAGCCAAGCCCAGACGAAAGTTTTGGCGGCGAAAAAGTGGAGCCGTTCGCTGCTCTGTGTTCCTCTGCATGGCTCTTCTCCATCGAAGCACTGATCGCTTCTACACAACTACGACCAGCGCGAGCTCTTCTTCCTTCAATCCATCGCGACGAGCTGTAGGCCCCGACTCCGAAGCTCTGCAACACGATGGCCCGCAAGAGGTCCCGAAACTCGACGGCGCCGGCGCCAAGCAACGAGGAAGCACCGCAAGAGCCGGCCATCCTCGGCGAGGGCTCGTCTACGCTAGCTGGCAGCCGCAAGAAGCGCGCACCACCACCGCCGGCGGACAACGAGCTGGATCTAGAGAAGCTCATCTTTGGCGGCTCGTCCTCGCTGCTTTCCACGCCCGCAGTCGCCTCGCGGCCCACAGGCGAAGATGCGATCCTAAACGACGACCAAGATGACGATGCTGCGTCGCAAGGCTCGCAGGACCAAGCGCTCGACGACGGCGACCTCTTCATGGTGGACACGGCTGGAGGCGATGACGACGGCGAGGGCCAGCTCGACGCGCGTGCCGAGGCGTCTGGCTCCGAGCGCGACAGCGACGACGACGACGACGACGAGATCCTCATCGACCGACCTAGCTCGAGCAGTGCAGTGGTCAAGAAGCCCAAGCGCATCAAGCGGTGTGTGTGGACTGACCCTGACGATGCGCACCTCACCATTGACCTTACACGCGGCGGCACGATGGGTGTCAACGGCTCGCGCGTCGGCAACGCGCGTCTGCGCCGTCTGCGCGACGAAGTGGGCGAGAGCAAGATCAGCGGGCTCGAGTACGAGATGCGTCTGCGCGCGCAATTCGAAAAGCTACACCCGCGACCGGGCTGGGCATCGTTCCGACTCGGCACGCACACGGACCAGCCCGACGATGCCCTCTCCGGCTCGGACGCGGTGGTGGTCAACGAGGACGCGACGCGGGGCATCCACGACCTGCTGCGCAGCGACACGGGTCTTGTCGAAGGTTACGCCGATGCAAAATCGGTCAAGGCACGCGGCAAGTTGAAGGCGGGCGAGATCGAGCTGGATCGGCTGCGCAATGCGAACGATGCGCAGAGCGCGCATGCGGTGGTGGCCGAGGAGTCGCTGCCGGCGATCGAGATGGTGCGGTTCCATCCGAGCGCGCGCGCGAGCGTGCTCATGACCGCCTCCAAGGACCGCCGCGTGCGCCTCTTCCAGATCGACGGCAAGACGAATGCGCTCGTGCAGACGATCCACGTGCCCGATCTGCCCATCCAGCACGCCTCCTTCCATCCCTCGGGCGAGTCGGCGCTCATTGCCGGGTCGAGGCCGTTCCTGTATGCCTACGACCTGCAGGCGGGACGCGTGGTGCGCTCGGTCCCATGGCGCGGTGCTGGATCAATGCACGGTCAGTCGTCGGCCGAGGATGACGGGACGGAGCTTAACCTGTCCGACGCCAAGTTCCAGCCGAATACGGCCGAGGCGGGAAACAGGCTCCTGGCGATTGGTGGGCGCAGGGGGGTGGTGCATCTGCTGGATTGGGGCAGGTCCGGTGCGGCGGGTGGCACGCGCATCGGTGGGGTGCGCATGAACTCGCCGCTGGCTGGATTCAGCTGGGATGCAGCATCGGTGCTCGGCGACCGGGGTACGGGCATCGGCGTCACAGGTACGGGCAAGGACGTCGAGCTGCTCACCATGTCCGTCGAGGGCAGCGTGCATCTGTGGGACATCCGCAATACCGGCATGCACGTCGGATGCACATCCATCTGGACCGACCCCGGTTCGTTTGGCGCCAAGGGCCTCGAGGTGTCGCCCAACGGCAAGTTCTGGTCCGTGGGTAGCGAGAGCGGCATCGTCAATGTCTACAAGCGTCCCGCCGAGTCGTATGCCGATGCAGCTTCGTCGTGGGTCCCCTCGGCCAACGCTGTGGATGGCGCAAGGGCGATGTTCGGCAAGGTGCCCGGTGGAAGCATGGAGGCGGTCAAGACGGTCGAGAACCTCGTCACCGCCACCTCGACCATGCGCTGGAATGGCGATGGACAGATCCTGGCGCTGGCGTCCAAGACCAAGAAGGATGCGCTGAGGTTGGTGCATTTCCCGACGATGCGCGTGTTTAGCAACTGGCCCACCTCGGGCACGCCGCTCGGCAGCGTGTCGTCGGTCGACTTTAGTCCGCACAGCCAGTATGTTGCCATCGGCAACACGCGCGGCAAGGTGCTCCTCTACTCGCTGCGTCACTATCTCTAGCATCATTGCCAGCTTTGCTTGATTCACGTGCGTGTTGTGGGATTGTGGATTGTCTGTTGCGTGCGAGGCTATGCGCTTACATGAAAGTACCTCACTTCGGCCACGATGATGGCGATGCCAATGACGGTGCTGGGTACAATGACCACTGCACACCACAGCAAGAACTGTCTCGCCCGTACACTGATTCCGCCCTGTCTGAGACCGCTTAACCAGAGCAACCCCGCCAAACTAGCCGCAAAAGTGCCACCCAATGCGCCTACGTTGGAGCCAAACGCGATCGAGTACTGAGCGACCTTCATGACGAGCTCGCGATCCGTCTGCGCCAACCCGGCGATCTTTTCGGCAAAGTATGGACTTCGAATCGATTTGGTGAGCAGGATGGTGGCGCCGATGTTGGTGCCTCCGATATTGCACAGTACGATGCCGAGGACCGAGATGAAGAAGGCGGTGGGGATGTAGCCGGCGGAGCAGACGCGACCGAGGCCGGCGGCGAGGATGTTGATGAATCCAACGTGCGCAAGCGCCTGCACCAGGATGAACATGGAGAATGCAAACGGCAAAAGCGGGAACGGCAGGCGCGAGAGCACGATGCTGACGGTGGGGAACATGTCCACCACCCGTGCATGCAAGCGTTGCATCCTACGAATCACGTTCCGACTCGCAGCAGGAGGAGGACCCGACTCGAGCGAGGTTTTGGAGGTGGTCGGCTGCACTGTGTCGGGACGCGAAGCCGAGAGCGTCTGCATCTCGATTGCTTCCACCTCCTCCACAGCCGCCCTGGACGTCTCTACCTTGCTCCCTGCCTCTCGAGTCGCCTCGTTGGGCGCGACATTGGAGTTCTCCACTTCGTCCGTGGAGGAAGCCTTGTCGAGTTGGAGTTTGCGCCACTTGAGCCAGTCGGCCGCCGCATCGCGCACCAGGCACAGCACCGCACCGGGCACCGCGATCTCAAACACCTTGACCCCACCCACCACCGACGTCCCCACGAGCGTGGCGAGCGTGGCGGCCATGACGATGCTGCCAAAGATCGCGCCGGTCTTGTCGACGAGTGCTGCGCGCGGGTCGACGTCCGGCCGGATGATGGTGTCGGGGATATAGATGAGTGGCGTGCGCTTGCGTTTCCCCGCCTCGTCTCCATCACCCCCGAGCGGCGCAGTGGATGCAGTTTCCGACGCCACACCCGTGGTCGCACCGTTCGTGTGCGCGCCTGGGTGCGCATCGTCAGACCCCTCGGCAGGCGCACTGGATCTATGACGCATCCCCTCGGCCCCGTCGCTGCGCGCTTTGGAGCGCATACCAGGAACGCTTTCGACGAGCTTTCGGAGCGACGACTTTTGGTCTGCATCGGCGTTGGGCTCGTGCTTGGGCGCATCTCGATTGCGGAAGAAGACGAGCATGGCAGCCAGACCGCCGACTGCCGACCCAAAGGCGGGGAGCACCATGTAGGCTGTGTATGTGATGAAGTTGACGTCGAAGCCGGTCGCAATGACGAGGTTGGTGGGGTTGGAACTGACGAGCACCGCCGACGACACATTGGCCGCGACGAATTCGGCCCAGATCCAGGCGTCGGGCGGGGAGATACCGGCGACGCGGGTGAAGTACACCAAGAACGCAGTTCCCGATAGGATGACGGGGTCGTTTCCGACGAGCACGCCTGCGGACCAGAAGAAAAAGTAGAGCAAGAGAAAGAGGGTTTTGCCCTTGGCTTCGCGGCCGTTGCGGCCTGCTTTGAGGCAGATGAGGAAGGCGAGGTATCGCAGCAGACCGGTCGCGTCGAGCGAGATGGCGATGTAGGCGAGCGAGATGAAGAGCGCCAGCACGTCGTACGGCTCGATGCCGTCCTCGCCCACGATGCCCTGGCGCACCTGTTCGCCGCCGATCGTCGTGGTGGCCAACAGCACCAGCACGCCAATCACGGGCGCCGACACATGGTCAATGGTGACGTACATCGGTTTCGCAGTCGAGCCCAGCTGCTGCTCGACGGTGCGCTCGTCATCTTTGCTGTCCTCGGATGCGTCTGGGGGGCCGGCGAGTGCGAGCCAGACTTTGGTGCCGATGCGGCGGAGGGGACGGGCGAGACGCTGTGGGACGCGGATGTTGAGCGGGCGGATGACGATGAGCGAGACGCACGCAAACACGATGATCGCAAACACGCCAAAGCCGTTGAGCGAGGTGCGTGTGGTGTCGACGGTCACCTGGCCCTCGCGCTTGTCGAGTATCGCCTCCATCGGGACGGCCTTGTATTAGAGGGACGGCTGGTGGGGGTCGGAAGCGAAAGCACCAAACTCAGAGCAGCGCGGCAAGGCGGTCCATGGCTAGCTGGCAATCCTCTCCTGCGTGACGTCTAATGATGAAGTGTGGGATAGAAGGCGGTGCACCAAAGGGCATGCATGAAGGGGTGCGGTGCAGTGCAGCCCTACAAGAGGTAAAACTTCTCGGCAGTTCTTGGCTCGAGCCCAGTGTGCCTCCACGTGCATCGCTTGGCCGGCGGTTGCCGTTTTTCTTGCTTTTCTTTTTCGATTTCTTTTCTGCCACCTTTTCCAAAAGTGGAGTTTTGGCGTTCGGCGCCCGTTTTGACCGACAGCCGCTATCACTCGCTCTCGTCGGCGATCTCCATCTCGGCGAAGGAGCCATGCAGTGGGCAGCAGCACGCTTGCGGCCGACATCCCAGTGGCATGCGGCATCCGTAGCACTGCTCTCACCACGGCTGCATGCTGCTGCGCCTGTGCGCTGGGCGTCGTCGAAACGCGGCGGATCGTCGAGCCGGTACATGCAACGGCAAAAGACGGATGTATACGTCAAGCGGCGCAGCAAGTCCACCATCGATGAGGACGACGAGATGGGCATGGGCACAGGCGGTGCTGGATACGTGGCGCGCTCGGCGTTCAAGCTGATCCAGCTCGACGATCGGTACAAGTTCTTGCGGCCGGGGCGTGTGATCGTCGACCTCGGCGCCGCACCAGGGGGATGGAGCCAGGCGATCGTCGAGCGTGTCCGTCGTTCCAAAGTGGCCAAGACGCCGGTGTTTGCACTTGACCTGCTACCAGTCGCCGACATCGACGGTGTCGCTTCCATCCAAGGCGACTTTTTGGACGCCAAGGTACAGGCGCAGCTGAGGAAGCTCGTGGCAGATGCATCGGCTGCAACGGCGACTGACGAGCGCGGCTTTGTCGATGTGGTGGTCAGTGACATGATGGGTAAGTTGCTCTGTCCAAAGAATGACTGAGTCTGGTGGATGGTGGATGGTGGCTGACGAGAGTTGCGACAGCCAACACGACGGGCAACCCGATCACGGATACCGAGGCATCCTTGGAGCTCTGTCGAGCCGCTGCGGTAAGTATGCCCTCAACCCTCTTGGCGAGACTTTGCGCGCGATGGACGACCAGCTAATCATGGCGACGATGGGTGGCGTGAAACAGAGCTTTGCATTCGACACGCTGCGCCACGACCACACGCCCAAGCCGGAGGATGCGCGCAAATCGCGGCCCCCCTCTGCGCTAGCAGCCAGCAGCTCGGTGCTGGTGATGAAGTACTTTATGTCTCACGAGGCCGATGTCTTTCGCAGGGAGGTGCTCCAGCCGCACTTTCACTTTGTCAAGGCCGAAAAGATGGACGCCAGCCGCAAGGAGTCGCGCGAGCAGTTCTGGATCTGCATCGGATTCAAGGGTAGGCGGCCAGCCCAGTCGCAGGAACAAGCAGAGTTGTAGCAGGCATCGTCGTCAGCAGCACGCATGCACTTCCTAAGCAGTCTGGCTGAGAGAGAAGCGGGTGTCGCGCGCGCGTAAAGTCAGGATTTAAGCGTGTTGGTCTTGGAACGCCGGCGCCCAAAATAGGGTCCAGCAAGGCACTGCACTCGAGCCTGCAGGATCTATGCGCGCCGCACAAGCCCCTGACGCTCCCTCTCGTCTATCCACCGCCCTGCTGTACCGTCACCACCATCCCTGACCGCCCCCTGATCGCAGCCAACACCATGCCGTTCAACTAGCCCTTTACGCAAGCCAGTATGCACACCACTGCACCCTACGCATGACGATAATCTCGATCTACAGCCACCATGTCTGCCACCACACAGCCCGCTCGACCCCGGGCCACCTCGTATATCCTCGTCTCCTCGGCCAGTGCGGATGAGCCGCAAGACTCCAACTTTCCGTCCAATAGCTATGCACCCTCGCCTCGCCTTCGACCACGCTTCTACTTTTTGCTTCCCCTAGTTGCCGTGCTCGACATTGCGCTGGCGATTGTTCTTGGTGTGCTCGTGTTGCGCCAGGAAGCGCGTCGCCGCTCGCATCCTTCCAATGCAGGAGAGCTCGACGATGCCGCTTGGGAGCGCCGCAAGATCGTCGTGGCCGTGGTGGTCTTCTCGGTAGCGCGCGCTGCTGCGTACGCGATCGTGGGCATCAGCCGGCGCATTCGGCAGCTCGGCGTGACCGTAGCTGCCATGAGCATCCTCAGCACGCTCTTCTACGTCTCGGTCGCCAACCTGCTCTTTCAGGCGCGCTCCAAACCCGACGTGCCCGACGCTGGCCTGCTGTCGTGGTCCGAGATGCTCAGCCTCGCCCATCCGTGGCACTGGCCCGAGGCGTTCCGACAGTTCGTGCCCACCATGCCTATCCTCGTGGGCTCGCAGCAGGCATTTACGCTCTTCGAGTGGATCCTCTACATCGCCGTCGTAGGCGTCAAGGTCCCCCCGGGCGGAAATCCGATCACCGCCAAGAGATGGCAACGCAACCTGGCGCAGGATCCCGACTTTCAGCGCGGCGTCGATGCACAGAGCCTGTATCACTCGGACGTCGAGGAGGGCCAGCCCGAGGAGCAGGGTCCAACGCCAGTAGCAGGAAGCGCGCCCACGCACGAGGCAAGGGGTGCTTCTGATTTCTCCACGCCCGACGACTCGGCCGATGCAAGTAGTCGGCCGCTCCTCGCCACCAGCCCCGCCCGCCCTTATGGCTACGGCAGCACCGCCTCCGAGCCCAGGACGCCGCCAACGGACGCTACGGCCCATCGATCCCCGGCCGCACAAATGCTGCAAGGGATGAGTCGAAGCGCGTCCAACCGCTCCGGCATGTACTCGCGCTCCCCTGGCGCCGCCGAACTCGGTCTGTCCTCGCACCGAGCCTCTGCGATGATCGGTGACGATAGCGGCGAAATCTCTGAAGATCACGACGACGAGGAGGAAGCCGAGGGCAGCGATCCGGACGACATTATCGACATCACGCCCAACCGTGCCGTCGCGCGCAAGGAGGCAAGGCTGCGACTCGCGCGTGCAGCGCTTCCCGAACGCAGGGCGTCCGGCGGCACGCTCTCGACGCTCAACATCTTTGGTGGCCACGCCAGCGGCGACCATAGCGGCTCGGACACTCAGCCGAGAGGTGCAGCGCGAGGGCCGGGCGTGTTTTCCGACGAGGCTGGAAGCCCTCTCGCCCGCACTGCGCAGCACGACGACCACGTGCCCGCTACGCTCATGACCGCCGCGCCATCGACCGAGTCGAGACACGCTTCGGCATCGCTGCTGCCGTCATCGAGCAGCACACGCTCCGCCTCGACACGCACCAGCTCGGCCAGCAAGGACCGCAAGTTCAAGCTGCCAAAGTGGATGAAGCCCGGTCGTAAGAAGTAGATCTCAATGGCAGTGACGATCTGAGCATGAATCGGCATGTGCACGAGCCTGATGAGTGAGCGCATCGGGCATGCCAGAAAATGTGGAGTCGGATCGGCTCATCAGGTCAGCCGGCAGCCTTTCAGTCAGCAGCGCTCGGTATCTCCGGCTGAGGAATCTCGAAAAATGGCGCCATGGCTCGTGCCTCGTTTTTTCGCTCTCTCTTTGGACGCACAGATCGGCGAGTTGGAAGTGTCAATGAGGTGCGCCGGCTTGCTCTCCTTCCACATCCACATCCACATCATCCCCCTTCGAACGTCGCCTGCGCCTAGCCTCGATAGCCTCGATCGCCAGTGCGCTGCCCGCTCGTGTCCGTCAAGATACCTCGTCTCGCGCTCCCACGTCCCCAGGCTCTGCCGCGTGCGCTGCCTGCCTCGCGTGCCTTTTCCACCGCCGCCCTCGCTGCTGCTGCCCCCGCACGCTTCGGCCTGCGCTCCTCCAAGCTGACTCGCACCACCGCCTCGTCTCGTCTCGAGCAGACCACCACCCACCTCGCCTTCTCCACCTCGTCGTCTGCCAGCATGCCGCCCCTCTCCAAGCCCTCCACCAACCACTATGACATGGTCGTCATCGGCGGCGGCTCCGGCGCCATGGGCGTCTCGCGCCGCGCCGCAGCCTACGGCAAGAAGGTCTGCGTCATCGAAGAGGACGGCCGTCTCGGCGGCACCTGCGTCAACGTCGGCTGTGTGCCCAAGAAGCTCATGTGGCACGCTGCCGACATGGCCGAGCATCTCAGCGAGGCGCCCGAGTACGGGTTTGGCGACGTGAACAACAAGCCCGCCGTGCCCGGCTTTGCGTGGAACTACTTTGCCGAGAAGCGCGACGCATACGTGCGCAGGCTCAACGGCATCTACGACCGCAACCTCGACAAGGACGGCGTCGAGTACCTCTCGGGCCACGGCAAGCTTACGGGCGCCAACGAGGTGGAGATCACCATGCGCGGCGACGACGGCAAGTTCACCGCGGGCACGCACAGGGTGACGGGCGACCGCATCGTCGTTGCTACGGGCGGCCGACCCATCATCCCCTCGGACGACAAGATCCCCGGCGCCTCGCTCGGTGTGGACTCGGACGGCTTCTTTGCGCTGCGCGAGCAGCCCAAGCGTGTCGTCGTTGTGGGTGCCGGCTACATTGCAGTCGAGCTCGCGGGGGTGTTCAACACGCTCGGATCGGAGACGCATCTGCTCATCCGCCACGACACGTTCCTGCGTCCGTTTGACCCGATCATCTCCGAGACGCTGCAGGACCACATGTCCAAGACCGGGCTGCGCGTGCATCAGAAGACCAACATCACGCGCGTCGAGGGCGAGCGCGGCGGTCCGCTCACCATCCACACGGACAACGGCGATCCCATCGAGGCCGACTGTCTGCTCTGGGCCATTGGTCGTCGCCCGAACACCGATAACCTTGGTCTGGAGGATGTCGGCGTGGAGCTCGACCAGGGCGGCAACATTGTGGTCGACAAGTACCAGAAGACCAACGTGGACAGCGTGTTTGCGATCGGCGATATCCAGGGCAAGGCACTGCTGACACCTGTTGCCATTGCGGCGGGACGCAAGCTGAGCAACCGCCTCTACGGTCATGCCGAGCTCAAGGACGACCATATGGACTACACCAACATTCCCACCGTCATCTTTTCGCACCCCACCTCGGGTACTGTCGGTCTGAGCGAGCCCGAGGCGATCGAAAAGTTCGGCAAGGACAACGTCAAGGTGCACACCTCCAAGTTCGTCAGCATGTACTATGGCATGCTCGAGCACAAGGCGCCCAGCGCGTTCAAAATGGTCGTCGGGCCAGGAGACAAGGTCGTAGGTCTGCACATTGTAGGCCTCGGCGCGGATGAGATGCTCCAGGGCTTCGCTGTTGCTGTCAAGATGGGCGCCACCGTCAAGGATTTCCAGGAAACCTGCGCCATTCACCCCACCAGCGCAGAAGAGGTCGTCACCATGGTGCCAACCACCCACAAGGCCTGAGCAACCCTCCACCACATCCTAGCCTCCCCCAGACCAATCAATGCGCGCTCACTTTCAATCAGCACTCCAGCGTGTGTTTGTGGTTTTGTTCATCATCATCTTCATCGCACACCAACGTGAGAACCGGCTTAAAAGTCGTCGCGGTTGACGGGGTCGCCGGTGATAAAGACCCTGGACAGTGGTCGGCGCGTGGGCTGTTTGAGTCGGAGCGACTTGCGTCCGCTGAGGGTGCCGTTGGGGTTGGCCGACATGGTGGCGTAGATCGAGTCTCTGCCCGCACGCGATGCAACGGAGCCAAACCGCGTGCGTCCAATCGTTGCCGTATCCACCTCCTCCTCCTCCACCTCGGGCGCGGGCGAGTTGCGCACCACATTTCGGATCCTGCTCGGCGACGATCCCGCATCTTCGCGGCCATGCTGTGCCGCCAGGGCGTTGGCAAGTTTACGACCAGCAGCGCCGGCACGCAGCTCCTTGATCGCTTCGTCCAGCTGCCCGCGTCCGCGATACGACCGACGTCCGGCTTCGTACGCACCCCGCTCCGCCTTGAGCGTCGTCTTGTCGCCACCGCCGTCTGCAGAGTTGGCATCCGCAGCCATCTGCGCAGCAGCCGACGCTCCCCATGACCGGAAGCGAGATGCGGTGGGCGTGGACTCGTTGACGGGCGACAGCTGGTCCGTCGCCTCGAGCATCTCTTCCGCACTCGTCGGCTGTGGCCCGCCTACCGCACCTACCACCTCCGTCTCCAGCTTGCCCGGTGCCACACCGCTCGCGTTGCCCTTCGGCACGGCTAACGGCCCGCGCACCTCGGGTCCGAACTGCGGGATGTGCACGCCATACAGTCCCTTGCCAAACGCCGCCTTCTGCTTCTTCTGCTCCTCGAGCTCCGCCTTGCGATCCGCCTGCAGCGTGTCCTCCTCGGCACGCATGAGCGCCTGCCCGAAACTGCTCACCAGCCCGAAAAAGTCTTCGGGCTTGGTCTGCGTCGCATCCTCGCCAAAGTAGCTCAGCAGCTGGCTCAGGCTCGTCTGGATCGTGCTCCCCGCCAGCTGCAGCGCCTTGATCTGCGGCACCGACTGGCGCAGGAACTCGGCGGTGACCGTGACGAATCGGTCGCTCTGCGACGAGATGCCGATCCGATCCAGCGTCGCCTTCTCGTTTTGCACCGCCTCGTGGCCCGCCACCAGCGCGGCGATCGACTGCATGATCGCCTGCGTCGACAGCCTCGCTGCCGCCTCGACATGCGAGCAGTCGTCCAGGAAGCCCACCAGCGTCTTGTCCGTCTGGTTGAGCACGCGCACCAGATAGTGCAGCAACGTCGGCGTCGCCGCTTTCGGCTGCGACGGCTTGGTATCCTTGAGCTTGAGCAGATCACCTAGCTGGAAGCCCGCCGCCTCGCCACGGAACGTGGCCGAATTCAGCACGTTGCCGATGGTCAGCACCGTATGCAGCACCTTCCTGAACTTGGCGCTGGCGTTCATCTCGTCCGCCGCATGCTTGAGGATGCGCAGGTCCGGCTTGAGCTCCTCCAGATCGAGCTCAAACTTGCGCATGTACACCATGCACGCCAGACGCTCCGACAGCCGCGGGATGCCCAGCATCTCCTTGAAGAACTGGTCCGCTTTGCTCAGCGCGCCCACATCGCCGTCGTAGTCGCGCACCAGCTCCAGCTCCTCCGTCGTGGGCAGACACGACTTGATGCTCTTGAGATTGTCCACGCTCAGCTTCGACTCGTCGCACTGCAGCAGCGCCATGCGCACCTCCGCAAACGGCACCTTGATGCGCGTCAGCACAATCGACACGTTCTGCGCCCGCGTCAGGTCGAGCAACGTCGTCGGATTCGCTTTGCGGCCCGTCTGCTTGGCGTCCGGAGGAGCCGCCACGGGCTTGCTTCCGATGGCAAACAGCTCGTCGATCCGCTCGATTTCGCCAGTCACATCCACGCTTGCTTCCGGCATGTCGTTCCAAACGGTGCGCGAGAGCGAGTGGGCCGGGATCTTGTTCCAGAAGAGTGCCTTGCGCTTCTTTTTAGGGATGAGCGGCAATGCGGGTGGCTTGGGTGCTCCCAGCATTCCCGGTGGCGGCGGTGGGATGAGCCCAGCGGGGAGCGGCGGCGGGGGAGGAGGCGCTCCGGCGGCGCCACCTGGGGGAGGAGGCGGCGGCGGTGGCGGTGCTCCACCTCCAAGCGCGCCGATGCTCGCACCGGGAGGACCAGGTGGTGGAGGAGGGGGCGGTGGTGGCGGACCGGGCATAGACCCTCCGGAGCTCGAGGCAGCGGGCATGTCCGGCGCCGGCGGAGCTGAAGGGGGCGGAGGAGGTGGTGGTGGTGGTGGACCTCCCGCCCCTGCAGAGAAGTTCGGAGCAGCTGGCGGTACTGGAGGAGCTGGCGGTGGCGGAGGCGGTGGCGGCACATCCGCGGAGCCTGAATCGACACCTGCATTGACGATGCTCTCGCCATTGGGTGTTGATGCGGCAGCACTGGCCGAGGACACGCCAGGCTGAGCCGGGGGAAGCGGTGCTGTGCGGTGACTCGCAATTGCGGCGGGTGGAGCTGGAGCACCAGGCGGTCTTGGCGCTTGGCGATGAACGGTGGCAGTGCGGGCCAAACCAGCTCCAGCTCCATCCGGCGCAGCCGGCTGGATCTGGAGCTGGAGCAGCAGAGCCTGCAGCTTGGCCATCTCGCTTCTGAGCTTGGTGATCTGCTTGTCCTTTTCGTCGAGCTGAGTTCGCAGAGCTTCGGTCTGGTCTTGCGAAGCAGTCGCCTCCATCGATTTGAGCGCCTTCTCCTGCAGCTTGGCGACGTCAGCCCGGAGCTCCGAGATCTCTGCGTCCTTCTTGCTCAGCGCCTCGATCGTGCGGCGTGCCATCATATCGGCTTCCATCTCGGAGTTGGCTGCGGACGAGACCGCTTTGGACGACTCCTGCTCCTTGTCTTTGGCCTCGGCCTCTTCCTGAGCCTGCGCCAGGCCGTTCTGGAATCGACCGTACACGGCTTCGAGAGCGCGTTTGAGGTACTTGATCTCGCGCTCTTTCGCCTCGACGTTCGCCTCGGCGCCAGCGAGTTGTTCCTTGTGTCGAGCGATCTCGTCCATAAGGTTGGTCCACTGTCGGTTGCGCTCGAGGCGATCCTTCTTGGCCCTGTCGTCGCCGTCGGAGCGATCGTTGGGACGCGCCGCAGACGAGAGGCGATCCAACTCCTCCTGTAGCTCGATCACCTGCTTCTCCTTGGCCACCAAACGCTGGATGACACCGGCAAAGTTCTCCTTGTCGCCGCGCTTGGGAAGCGTGGAGGGTGTGCCCGCGGGGCCACTCTCGGTGTCGGGCGACTCCCTCCGAAGTGCAGCCGCGCCCGGCAAGCTCCTCAGCGTGATGACCTCGGCGGTCTGTTCGTTGAGCTTGGTCCTCAGCTTGGCCTTGTCGTCGCTGAGTTCTTCCACCTTGGCACGCAGGCCCTCGAGCTCCTCGATGAAGCTGCTCGGCACCGTGCTGGTGTCGCTCATACGGTTGGCCTTGATCATCGCTTGCTTGCCCACCAGGTGCTGAATGTTGGCCAGATACGCCCGCATGAAGCTGCGCCATCCTTCATCAAAGTCGGCGACGTCCGCAGAGGATTCGACATACTTGTCGACAACAAAGAGGAGGTCGGTCTTGAATTGATGGTCAATGTCGCGGTCGAGAATGTTGGAGGTGTGGCGTAGGATCGAGATCATGATCGGGTAGAGGTCCTCGTGGTCATTCTGCGACCTGCGGAGGATTTCGCCAGCTTCGCCGAGATGCGAGATCGCTTCACGATTGCGCTCGCGTTCGCGATCGGACAGATGCAGAGCACGGTCGTGGAGCTCGTCTTGGTCCTCCTGCTTCTCCTCGACGTAGACCTGGATCTGTGTGGCGAGATTCTCCGGCGGATCGACGTATCGAAGCGACACGAGCACTTCGTTGAGGCCGCGACGCGCGAATTCGTCACGCAACGAGATTCTCTCTTCCAGGTCCTCTGGACTGTTGGTGATGGCATTGACGAGCACCATGGCGGCCGCCTTGTACTCCCATTCGATCGCCTCGCTCGCGTCCGAGTCGTCAAGATCTGCGCCTTCGAGCCCGCCATTGGAAGCGTGAAGCTTGAGGTCTTCCACGAGGAAAGCAAAGCGATATCGCTCTCCCGAGACCACTTTGAGCTCCGAAAGCGCCCCGCAAACCATGCGGTGGCCATCCTCGAGGGAGAGGACACACAGGGCTGCCAGCACGTCGGCGACCTGGAGACGCAGCTTGTACGAGGGAGAGCGCAGCGCGAATGCAATGTAGTTGACCAGGTTAGGCTGCTCCAGCACCTTTTCGAATCCAAGCTCGATGTTCATGAGGGTGCGGAGGCACTTGACTGCTTCGAGGAGGATGGCGTCCGACATGTCCTTGCGCTCAGCGCTCTTTGATCGGTTGGCATCGAGACCTTTGACGATGCCATCGGTCTCGTGCTGCATGATGTGTTCGAGCGCACCGAGGCCGTCGCAGTGCAGGAAGCTGTCGATCCATGAGAGTTTTGCGCTACTGAGTGTGACACGCAGGGAGAGCAGATGCTTGAAAAGGTCCTTTCGGCTGAGCTTGCTGTCCTTGAGGCGCGTGACATGGCCCATCGCCACCTGTCGCTCATCCGATGAGCCGAGTTGGTCGTGTCCGCCTGCAGCAGAGATGGTGCTTCCGCCACCCCACCAGTTGTTCCACAAGCTCGCGGTGACACCAGCGCTGCTGCCGGTGTGATTCGCCTTGATCGTGTGCTCGCCACCATTGAGCGCCTTGGAGTCGATCGAACCGAGCGAGCCGGTGTCGGACAGCACCGTGGTGGGACGAGTGCTATCGCTGCCTCGGCTGGAGGCGTCGCCAGAAACGCTCGCGCGCGGGCTGGACGGACCGTCAAAGTCTTTGTGCGAGCCTGAGCCTGAGCCGTGGGTATCGCTCGTCGCCCACGTGGCGATGCTGGAAATGCTGAAGCGGTTGGACCAGCCAGCAGGGAT